CATCAGAGCTACAATTAAAAGCATTTGTTTGTTTTAAAGCAAATTTTTCCTCCCATAAAATTCTATTAAATGTAGACTTGATAAAAAGGACTCAATCTTCCTGCATATTCTGTGCATTAATCCTAAATGTAGATGCTGACTAAACATACTTAGTTTTAAATATTGATTATTGATCCTTTTCATGAGCAATCTCTTCATATTACTGCTTCAACTCTGCAAGTTTTTATACAGCTGTCTTGAGAATATTCACAATGAAGATGGAAATATAACATTTCTTACTGAAAGCTTTAGAGAACTTATGTCAAACTGCTGACCAAACGCACTTTCCCGGCAGGATGCTTGCAGTTTGTGTCTCTCTGCACTGTGCATGTTCTCAAGCAACATCTTGAAGCATTGCAGGTGGTTTGGCACATTCCTTTGCACTTCCAAGTTGTTTTAGCAGTGTTTCTAAACACTTTGAATATGTGGGAAACAAAAAGACAGGAGGCTGTTTGGTGTTTTGTGGACAGAACTAGCAAATGAAAGAAAACAAAAAAGGATAATTTATGCTTATAATGAGGTGCTGTGAGCAACTCGAATTTCACTAAAGATAGAATCAAGTCAAATCTCTGCAATGCTTGGTCACCAAGAATCAGGAAAGATGCTTTTGTTAACCATGTGTGAACTTACCCCCACCACATCTCACTCTGTGCAAGAGATTCTTTGTGTTACCTTGCAGAAACAGTGGAACCCTCTCTGTACAACTTCATACTGCATCTGCCTCCCCACCAGCCAGTCCCTATGCACCTGAAGCCAGAGGTGTGTGAAGCTTCCGCATACCATGCAGATGCAGCATGCGCTGCTCTACAACTGGGTTAGGGGTTTGGCTGCTTGGGAAGGGTGTTTCCAGAAGAAATTAACTCCAACCCTGTAGAGTCCATTACTGTCCGTCTCTTCTTGTATGATCATTATATCATATTCATTATAATACACATGCATGTTGAAAATTTCACCAGCATATTTATCACTGCCCGAAGATGCATATTTTTATCATTCAAAATATTTTTAAAAATTTTATGTAAATATATCCAATTATGTTTGTCCTTTTTTCCTAATCGACATAGAATGCAGCTTATTGCTGATGCATTAGCAGAGAGAAGGTTTATAAGAATATGAAGTTATTTCCAGACAATTAAAGGAAGACAATTCACTAAACAGTTTTCTTTTCTTGCAACTTATTTTTCTGATCAGTGTTATCTTATCAGTCGTGCTACTTCACGTATACAGAAATTTGAATTCAGCCTCTACAGTTACTCATCCTCTATAGTGACTCACTGAAAGTGTGCCTTTTGTTCTTATTTCAGTATAATGTGGTGTCTTGGCCCTTGTCAGAGAACAATATATGTATCTCCACATATGCTGTTTCATAACTGTCTTTGTTTTACCAGGGCAAAATAGATACTGTTCAGATGATCTGCTACTTGGCTTAATGACTTAATGAAATGACAAGTATAGTGTGTTTTCAGAAATCGCAAAATGTTGCGTGCTGACTCAGGTAAAAGCCAAAAATTCTGTGCATCCTTACTTGTTTCATCCTTCTTAAACAGTACCTCAAATACATTATTAAAAACTAAGTGGCCTAAATATCTGTTCAGATTCATTGTTTGCTATTCCTTCCAGTTCAGTATTTCAGTTGAAAAGCTGAAGGACTCCCATGTCTGAACAGAGTATGTGATGAGGAGCCCAAGTGGTTTCTATAAAAAGCAGCCTTTCTAGATAAGGGCTATGTCATTTATCCATTTTTGTGCTTACTGAGTAGTGTCTTATTACAAAAGCATCTTTGAGAAGACTGCATTGCTTTCTGCATCCACACATCTTGCTGTGTTCAGATACCAGCCGTGTAGTAGTGTTGTCCCAGTGCCTGGATGAATTAATTATTCAGGCTCCTGACATCAGAGGTTTCCAGGCACAGATTGGCTGCTGCTGGGATAATAAAATCTTTCTTCAGGAAAACTGTGGAGAAGGATGATGGCTGTGAGACTGGTAGAGCTGCTGCAAACACAGCTGGCTTTATCTGGCTGCTGCATCTCTGCAAAAATATGGCAAGATGTGTTTACAGTCTGGATACAATGTGCATCCTCCGATAGGAACAGGTGAAGGGCGTTGCCTTCATTTTGAATGAGAAAAAATTGTTCTTGGAAAAATTGCTTCTGGTTGTATTCTGGAGAAACACTGCACCCTACACTGGGCAGCAGCAGCAAGCAGTGCTTATGACTCATTACAAAGGTGCCAGTGGCAGAAATGTTGCATCGTTACATCTGTTTCCTGGGACCTTTCAACATCGGCAGGGTAAGTGGAGCAAAGAGGAGGATGCAGTGTGAGTGGGGAAAGCATAACAAACTGTATTACATATGCATCTTCAGTTGGGTTAGGAATAAGCTGTGCTTCTGTGGAGAATTTACGTCAGTTCAATGAAAATAGCACACTTGCCTCAGGGAGATCTATGGAAAGCATATTTATCACTGAATTTGTGAAATCAACCCACTGCTTGTGTTATGTTCAGACATAAGTTATTTTAATTGGTGAAGTCTATTCCTCTTTTAAACCTATATAAAGTAATTGCTGAAGAAAGGAAACTTTATTATCAGTAGTTGCTGTAGAGCTCATAACAAATGCATTATTTGCATGCATTCCCTTGAAACAGATTCTTTGTCAGTGCTATTTCTGCTGTGTCTGTCTGAAATTGTCTGTCGACTGCTGCTAACCATTTGAAGGCTGGAAGTTGGTTCTCTGATTTCCAGTTGTTGTAGTAAGATGACTTGTACAATAAGGAACATCCAGTAACACTACAAATTATGGAACTAGAGGTAAAAATTGTTCTTGCATTTCTGTGTTCAGAGTTCAACTCCCTTTGGAGCAGTTATTATATGGTAAGTCATTGCCTGAGTTTCAGGAGCATTTTAAGTTGCAATAGTGTGAAAGAAAACAGGAATGGACTGATCCTGTGCACACTTTCTGTTGGTCCTCATACCTACTCACAGAGAGTGCCATTCGAGCATGCAAGTAATTCCACTGAAATGAATTGGATTATCTATAGACATAATTTATTGCCAGGACAGAAATGTTATTTACTGTGTGCACAAGACAAACATTGTCTTCATGTGTAGAAAACATCTTTTGAGAAATGTTTTCCAGAATGTAGAAAATCAGGAATATTTAATAGGATATTATTTCTTGTATCTTTGTATTATTTTGTATGTCATCAAAAATTCCATTTTTTAAAAATCAGTTCAGAATTAATTATCCTCAAGTTAGTGTATTTCATTAAAATAATTGTAAAAGCTGCGATTCCAAAAGATAGATTCAATTTTCACATGTAAAGAACACCCCTGCCAGCTGGTACTGAAGCACAATGCAGTATTTTGAGTGATTTTTTTTTTAATTTATAACTTGCCTGTAAGTGCAACAAGTAGATTTTTGGGAATTTGATGAATATTTCAAAAACAATGTAAGTCAAGCTACCCATTGAAACCAAAAGGAAAACAAAGGTAACAAAATTATTTTCTTAGATGTGAAGTGTGCTAATCTGGCAATGCATGCCAGAAATGTGCCTTCCCTCTGGTATTTCTTACCCGTAAGATACTGTCTCTGTGTAAAGAAAACATACAATCTCCAAGTCATAATGCACAGATACATTTCAGGAGCTTGTAAATAATCAGGGAGGAATTATTGTCCCATTTAAAATAACATTTTGGGTGATTAATTTTGTGAAGTGATTTGTATCTTTCTGTATTCTCACTATGAGCAGCATTACATTAATGTATATCAGGGAGCTTAATAGTTGTAGTATGTGAAACTTATTGGTTATCTGCTGCAGAGCTTTTAAGGAGATTAAAGAATATTCCCTTTTGATTTTATGTACGTGATCACTATTCAGTGCTACACAATTCCATAGGAAAAGCAGGTACTAAAATTAAATTTTCTATCTGTAGAGTGAGTGTACATGAGAGTAAATATTTAACTGGACTTCTGTTTATTTCCACTTTCTGTAGTGGAATGAGGGTACTTATTGAGAACAGAGTGGCACAAATTATTTTTTTTGTTTTTATTGTATTTTTCATTGAAATACATATTTCTTTTTGTTTTCAAAAGAAAATTCTCCAATAGAAATACGTGGATTCCACTGGTGGAAAAAGTACTCTGTGTTCCCTGCAAGGAAGGGAAGGACTGCATGCATTGCCTGTGGCATTGACATTCTCTTCCCTTAGCAGCCATGACCTGAGCTGCAAGAGCTAGTGAAGCACATCTGGGAGCCATTTTTGCCTATACAGCTTGTAGCAGTCCCTGGCGGACTATCTGAGAATCAGTAGAACTCACTATGACTCAGACAAATGCTGCAAAATCAGGACTGAGGGAGGTAGTAAGAAACAGCTTACAAACTATCTGAACTAGCTGTTGGCTCCTCTATAGCAGGATCTCCCAGAGGACAAATAAGATTGATAATGCGAATTTACATTTTAAATTCAATACTGTAAAATTTTGCAATTATACACTCTAAGTGTATTATTCCTAGGTCTGTAGTGGATTTTCTTAAAAAAAAAAAAAAAAAGCAAAAAAAAAAGCAAAAAAAAAAAAGCAACTTGACTATCAGAGATGTGGTTCTAGCTAGAGAGTTTAATAGAAGTTCTAGATGCTTATACCTCAGGTAAATATTTATAATATAAAATTTGAAGTCAAATTTGTCTTCGCTTTCAGATTTGAAATGGTCTTACTTTCAAGTCACTCCTTAAAGTTTCAACTGGTGAAATTTCAAACAGTCAAGTGTCAGAGCACTATTTTAAGTTTATGAGGATTTTGTTAGGGACAATTAAAGACAAAATTAGCAGAACTGTCTTGAGGAAAATATAGTGGCATTACTGACTAATGTAGAACATACTTGTTGTCAGTAGAGAATATTATTCCATCATGTAAATCAAAAGATATTCAGCAAATTTTAATTACGTTTATTTTTCCTCCCTTAGATGAGCAAGAGTTGGTACAAAAGAGGACTTTTACAAAATGGATCAATACTCATCTGGCTAAGGTAACTTTTGGCTTTGAATAATATTCTTTTTTGATCCACCTTTTTTATTTCTGCATATACAGACTCTGACATATAGCATATTTCAGATTTGGCTGAGCAGAATGACATAAACCTGAAAAAGGAATCCACATCATTTGTACACCATCGAGGGTGAAGCTGATGCAGTGTGGTAGCCACTGCTGTATCTACAGGCAACTGCTCAATGCTTTTAGCCAAAACTGTGGTCTGAAAGTAGCACATTAGCTGCTGTTCCAGACAGAGGAAAGATTTGAAAAAACTGCTTTCCATGAAGAAAAAATATTAACATTATAACATACAATGTACCTGAATAAAACTTGATTTAGTTCTATAGTCCAAGATGTTTCTATCAAACAAGTTATGAAAAAAAAAAAGTCTGCTTCTTGGATCCAGTGTGAATTCATTATCGGATACATATGAGGATTTTTCACAAAACTATTCTTGCTTCTTCTTACCACAAGCTAAATTTCATTTCTGGTGTTAATAGAGGAATGAAGGATGTGATCTGCACACAGTTTTCAAGTATTGTTACAACTGGTACCAGCTTTATGTGACAATGTGAGCAGTGAGATTTAATTTGGCACTTCCCAGAGTCTTCTCATAGCAGAACTCTACCCGTAGTTATTAATTAGTCCAGCAAACCAAAATATTTATATATCAGAGGTGTTCTTTTAATATATATTTTTAAATTATCAAGTTTAATGAATTTGAAAATTGAATGAGGATTAGCTAAAACTAGTTTTACTTTCTGTATAAGGAATTTGCAAATAAAGCATACAAAAAATGAGCAGAGTAAAGCAGGAAACCCTTACCATGCTATATTGTGTGACTTGGTCTGATGAGTCGGCACAGTAGAGTAATAACTTTTATTTTTACTAGTAAGGAATTTAAATGAGAAATTTACAGTGAAATGAACTGCACTGTCATTAGCAAATTCAGGTAAAAGAACAAAGGTTATCTTTAAAATTTCTTGACAGTAGGTCTTCCTGGAAATAATATGTATCCCATTTCTCTTTGAGATATTTGTAAATGGCCACATGTAGCAGAGAATGTAAGCTCCATTTATTTCAGCTGAGATAGAAAGAAGCCTAGGTTTTGTTTAACTGCTTAGAGCAGAGCAGAAGAGAGAAAAAACTTTTATATTTTGTGATTTTCTTTTTCCTAGTTGTATGATGTTGTTAATAATTGATAATATTTTGTTGTAATTGACTATTAGATAAATGTATATATTTTTAATATAAATGTGTTGGCCATGTGTAACAATAATTTACTAGTAGTAGTTAACTGATTGTTAAGAAGCAATAAAGTCATGATGGTAGCTCAAATGAGATATTTTGCTTTGCATTAAGAGTTGTGAACTCTGCTATACATAAAGTATTGACAACTAGCCCTTTGGGCAATGAGTGCACAGATGGATCTTGTCACTCTTTGCATCAAAATATATGTTTCTTTTAAAGACATTATGCTGTGGAAGAGAACCAAATGCTCACAGCCAAAGATGGCGATTAACAGCCACAACCCCTCCCCCCCCACTTTTAGCAATACGAGTACAGCATGTAGTCTGTGTTAATTCACTTTTCAACAGGAAAATTGTTTCTATGGTATTTTTATTGATAGCTGTCAGCAAGTATGCCTTGCTGCCTAACCAGTGAGTATAATGTTTTGAATTATTTCTAATATATGCTATTTCATTGTCAAAGGATAAAAATTGTTTTTTATTATAGTGATTAGACTCAGAAGAGAAAGAGTGATACATTCCTTTCAAAAGTTTTTGAAGTTCAAGCTTAAATCTTTTTTTTTTTTTTTTTTAATGCATAGAAATGCATTTTCTGGGTTTGCCACAGCTGCAGGAAGTACAAATGGTTCTGTAAAACACATAGGATTTCCTTGCATTTCCTAGGTATTGTAACCTAGAAATTCAACATTTAGGTTACTTGGTTCTTAAGAAGGATGGTTGCAATTTTTATTATTTAAAAAGGAAGTGGAAAGATGTAACATCTCCATTGTATGGAGGGCCTTGAATTGTAATAAGGAAAACTGGAAGTAGCCCTATTTTCAGACAGAGTTGTCTGCTCTTTGAACCCTATAAAATGTGGAGCACCACCAAGATGTTCTTGATCACCAAGAACATCATGAAATACTGGTCTTATATTTATTGCACAGAAACAGCAGTGCATGATGAACTGATAACAGACAGAAAAACTCTTCTTGGTATGAAGAAAGAGAGGAGACACCCTAAGAGATCATCCCAGTCTGTGACCATCTGAATCTCGTGCACATGCCCATTAGGGAGCAGCTTTCTAGTTGCCTCATCACCAATATATTCTGTCCAGAAGAATTGAGATTGCAAGGAAACTCTGCTTTCAATAGCTTTGTTTCAAGGCTTTAACTATTTGCCAGGAGCAATACCTGCAAGAATAGCAGTTTCCTGAATAATGTTAATAATAATAATTCCTAAATAATAAATAAATAAATAATTCCTAAATAATGTTGCAGGCTTTGGTGGAGAAGCGTGTTTTCTTGTGGCTACTGTAAAGATCACATTACCTAAATTATTTGTCCTGTACACATTTTTAGGACTACTTGTTAAAATCTTTCCTCTATATAATAACAAACTGTTTATTAAAACAAGAAAGTTAAAAGGGCACTGTTTTATATAGTGGTAGATTTGACTGACAAGTATTATAAATACAGTTGTGAGTGCATGAAAATTCTGAGGCTAATAACAAGATGTCTGATAGTAACTCAGTTTATTCTAAATAATCTTTCCTTCTGAGCTATGTGCACCCTAATTCTAAAATAGCATCATTATTGGAAGTGCTGATCCAAGCCAGACTGATTTTTCCCAGCATTATTTTTATAACTTTTGTCTTCAGTTAGATGAAGAATGTTTTGTCGTATGCAACTTATTAATTTTCCTGATTCTTGAACTTCAGTAATAGAACTGCAACTGAATTTGTCCTTTAAGTTAGTAATGGCTGCTTTTCTTTTCATTTTTAATGAGAATTATAGAATGTGATCTTTCTGTTATCATTCATTTACTAGCTTAAATAGGAAAGTTTTCAAATTGAGGATTTATGGAAAACATGGAAGTTATAGTAGTTGTAGTACAATTTGTTCCTTCTGTTTTATTTTTAACTTTCTCAACTGCTTGGGAAGTGCTTTGATTAAAACAAGTAAGTTCATACGGACACCATGAAGGTGAATAGCAAGAATGCCTGAATGAACTTGCCATTTTTACTAACCTGGTAAATGTGTTAACTGAAAAAGTAATAGGATGAAATGATAACAGTAAGGATTAAAAAAAAAATAAAATAAACAACATCTAAGAGTAAAAGTAAGGTAACTAACTCAAACCATGACTACTGGAGAAGAGTTCCATCAATGAATAGAATGAATGTTTTTGGAAAACTGCTGGTGAATAAGTGCATGAAAGTTCAAAATCAAGAGAAATTCATGTTTTCTAAGTGAAGGCTCAGGGAGTTTAACTCTGTTAGACGGAAGCATAGGTGTATGGATGGCAGAAGAGAGGAAATTCAACAATGATAGACTTCATTCTTTAAGTGTACTGGTTGAGAAGAAAAGAATTAAAAAGAGTAGTTTTTGACTTCGTGAAGGTTAGGGATTTGTAAGAAATGGAAACGAAGGAGTGATTTGATTCAATCAAGAGAAACAAATAATTTGGGGAAATAAAGGTGGATATGAAAGATATGACCGTTTGTTGGGGATTGCTACGAGTGAAGATTATTCACTTCATTATTATCAAAATTCTGGTCTATTTTATTCTAAAGAGTCATGCTTCAATTAAAACAGTAAGTAATTCAATAACTATTTTGAGTCCATTAAATCAGTTGGAAAAAAAATCTTTTGTCTTTTTATCTATAAAGAGTGAAGAATAGCTTTGAGAGTAGGGTTATAATTGATTAAGAATGAACAGAACTTGTAAATGAAATGAGTTCACCAGTTAGTTGGACTCTGTAAGAGAGAGTAGGTATGATTGTTTATATTCCTTTTTATAGTAGAATGATATTATTTTTTAAGTTGTATTTCTTAATCCAAATATGTTTTCACAATACACAAGATATATAAAAGAGTTAGTAAATTAAAGGATACTTGAAAAGAAAGATTGAGGTAAAGCAGCCTTAACATGGTCTGTGCCTTCATCCACAAGGCACTGTCTCGCAGGGAACAAACGTGGCAGAAAGAGCTTCAAAGATGGTTACAGGTAGTATAAAAGTTTCATCTCAGGTCAGCTTTTATTATTAGGCTGTATGGGTCTGTCTACCTTCTGGAGTTCAAGCTATCTGAATCCATTCTCTGATTCTGACTCAGCAACCTGAAACTGTCTCTTTACCACCCACTTGCAGATATTAGGGTCAAGATAACAGATTAAAGTGCTCTATTTGTCCTCTGGCTGTCCAGTTTAATTTGTGCAGTCCTATTAATGATAAATGATATGCTTGTGTAGCAGGACTGGAACATTCAAGCTTTCTAACCCCATGCTATTTATATATATTTCTCTAAGGTTCTGGAACTAGATCTCTCTCCATCACTCACTTCCAGCTTTCAAATCTGTAGAAATAATTTAACTTCTCCTCTGTGTACGTTTTGAGGAATCATTATTAAGTCCATGTTTTAAATGTAGGGTAAAATTGCACCAATAATTTATATATATAGCTCTGCCTTTTTCAAATGGAAAAAGAAGACTCCTTGTTATCTTAGTGATTGACAGAGGAAAAACTTTCAGTCAATTTTACTTGCGTGATAACAAATGTGATTTACAGCTTTCTGCTCACTGTGTTTTCACAAGTACTTCATGTAACTCTAATGTCAAACAAAGAGTGAACTAGCATTCACAAAATTAACTTCATGAATGAACTAGTCGTGTAAGATTTAGGGCCCAATTCCTCTGACTTCAATCATAAAAGTAGACAATAATAGCAAGGAATATCAAAATATAAGTGCTTAAGGATTTATGAAATTATGGCAGACAGGTGGGTCAGCAACTATAGAATAACTGTGGAATTTCACATTCCCCTTCCTACTTTCACGTGTATTTCACAATAGAGGCAAATTCATTAAACAGATTTGCTCCTGTTTGTGCATGTGGCTGGATTTTCATGCTTTTTCATCACTTTTTGAAATATCATTTGAGAAGTAATGCAGTAAAGCTAGTTTTCCAGTGTTCTCATTGGCATTCATAGTGGTTCCAATAACTATTGTTTGTACAATACAGTGTATTCATTAGAAAAGTTAAGTTCGGGGAGTGAGGAAAATATTCCTGTAGCAAAGATTCAAATGAGAAATGAAACGTGAAAAAAGTTGGAACACAACAGCAAAGCTTAGCAAGACTCTTTAACAAGGAATATATTGACAGGTCAAGGGGTATTGGTTTTAAATAATAAAGAGCAGTAGATTTAGATTAGATATCAGAAATTCTTTACTGTGAAGGTGCTGAGGCAGTGGCTCAGGTTATCCAGAACAGCTGTGGATGCCCCATCCGTGGAAGTGCTTGGGGTCAGGTTGGATGAGACCCTGGGCAGCCTGATCTAGTGGGTGACAGCCCTGCCCATGGAAAGGAGTTGAAGCTGGGTGGGTTTTAAGGTAACTTCCAACCTAAGCCGTTCTATGATTATACTGAGCGATTATACCAGAGAATAAACCTCTGTGTTGTTTTCTCTTTCCTTTAAGAGTTGTAATCAGTAAAAATCTCTTGAATGCTTATTTTAGAGACTCAACTGGACTTAACTCCTACTCATCTGATAGCCATGATGTACAGAAAATATCAACTAAAATCGGTGAAAGCCAAGAGTGAAAACTAACTTAAAATTTTCTAACTTTGAAAATATTGAATGTAGTCCAGATTTTAGCTTTATGCTTATAACTGAGTAGCTTCAGCATCACAGGCTGTGATGATTCTAAAACATTATATACTGCATGCTGAAAAGACTGCATGAAAAATTTAACGAAGTAATTCTTAAAACAGGCAAAAAGAACGTTAGAGAAGTGCATGAAATAAGCTTTTGAAATCCTAGAGTATTAAAGAATATCTTATACACTTTTTGACAAAATTCCTTGGTTAAAATCAGAACATTCTTTGTGAGCAGCAGACTTTAATTCAACAGTTCATCAGGTTTCCACTGAAATTTCCTATGCCTTGTTTCTTGATTTTGGTATTACATAAGCTTCTCTGGGAAAGCAAAATGATATTCTACATACTTTATTGTATGTACTCTTTCAACAAATTTAGTACATTAGTTAGTTTACATTGGTGATGACATTTAGGAACAGTCGTACCACAAGAAGAGAGGTGCATTCTACAACCAAATTCATGTGCTTTGTAGGAGCAATATGAATTTGGAATTAATTGTGAAAGTTATTTTTTCTTCTCCCATTACACTTTTATTTAAATTGCTATATTTAGAATTGATCCCTAACAGGAACTGATGAGGATATGTTTGCTTATACTTGCTTCTCTTAAAAACTGATATCCTTTCCTGCAGCTTTCAGGAAATTCTATGAATTTCTTGAAAAGCATCACTTTATACAAAAAAGTTTGACTGACAAGCCTCACAGAAAGAAATATATGATGGATATACCAACATTAGATACTCCTCTTCTGGCACAGTAAACTATATTTTGTAAAATCTGAATCTGAATTAACAGATATATCACAAAATAACAGTCTGGATGGAAGGTTTATAAACGTCTACTTTTAACCCCCGGCTATGGATAAAGACAACTCACAATAGACCAGGCTGCCCAGGGTCCCATTCAAACTCACCATGAATACCACCAGGGATGGGGCATCCACAATGTCCCTGGGCAATATGTTCCAGTGCCTCACCACCTTCTGAGTAAAGAATTTATTCCTAACACTTAATATAGATCTCCCCTCTTTTAGTTGAAAAAAAATAGTTCCATTTGTTCATGATTTTCCCAGGACAGAGGTGAGGTTCACCAGTGTGTAGTTCCTGGGATCTTTCTTTCTCCCTTTCTTAAAAATGGGAGTGATATTGCTCTTTTTCCAATCACTGGAGATGTCACCTGACAGCCATAACTTTTCAAATATGATGGAGAGTGGCTGGTAACTACATCAGCTATTTTGTTCAGGGCACTGGGACAGATGTCATCTGGACCCATTCAGTTTCGTGAGGTGGTCTTTTACTTGCTCTGCTATTGTCTATGTGTGTGTGGGGGGAGTTTTACTCAACACCTAGAGGTATAGGCAGATGAGAGCACAGATGCCAGTGAAAACTGAGGCAAAGAATAGTTGGATATCCAAAAACAAACCCACAGGGTTCTATCTCTTTATAATTAGTTGTTAATGTCTTCAGATAGTGAAATACCTTATAAATTGTATTACATGATACCATTTTGATAGTCTGTTTAATTAACTAATTTTCAATTTAAGAGGAATACCACATAGAAGACCATGTAACGTGGTTATTTTACTTGTCTTTTGTTCCCTGTTGTATTAGTGTTAATGTACATGATGTATGATGGTAAACGTTGACAATGTAATTACACAAAGCTTGCAGCAACAAAAAGTAAATTTCACTCTTTGATTCTCACAGTTCAGAAGAGTCAGTCTTGTGGACTTTGATGTAATCCATTCAATTGTTTCTTTGTTCTTTCTCTTATTTGTTTGAATGCTCTCTCATCCTTTTCTTAGTTTTCCCCCATAATAATATTTGATCTATGTTGAAAGAAGAGTACTGTGTTAGTTTGACAGATGTCTTTGAGGGGGGTACTTTCCTTGCTTTTCTTTAGTGTAATGCCTTCAAATCTGCTTTTTCTAAATGCTGTCAAAAATGAGTGACCCATGAAGGGTGTTTCAAAGCAAGAACTTGAAATGGGTGGTGAGAGGTTGTCTATAGCATGAAATGATGGACCTTGGGAACAAGAGGTACATCCCACTTCTGGTTTGCACATGAATGCCAGAAAGGTATTGACTATTTTTGGAACAACACAAATTTTGGACTGTACTGTGTGTTGAGGGTAAGGATAGCAGAGCACTCAGGTTGTAAGGGATCTGTGTTGTTCTAAAACAGTTCACCTGACAGGCACGTTACAGGTACAAGATTTATGGGGCACTCTAAATCCCTCGTACTTCTTAATCAGAAAGTATCCTAAATCATCCTCCCTAAAAGGCTCCCTCTCTTCCTTACTTTAGAGTGAGTTTCAGGAGGCAAGCTTCACTATTGGAACATTTCTTTCTATGGTGAAATTTTTCAGGCCTTCAGCTGCTGGATTAGGATGGCAGATGGTTGTCTTTAATGATGTATTGATTTAATACATATTTCTTCACTGTAGATCACACAGTAATACTGATTAAACCAAAGCTGTTTCAAGTTTCAAAGAGGAATTGATAAAACAAAAGGTGAAGATTAATTATGTTTTCATCAACTGCCTGTAACGGGACAAATTAAACTTCAGTGACCTGATTGCTTCACTGATTTCTTTGGTGTTATATTAAGAACATTAGTCATTATGTATTACATTACTAGAAAAAGAAAAAGTAATATATATAATATACTCTTGCAATGTGTTGCAATAGTGCTTTTTCACGTATTTGAGAACATGCACTTTCTATTATTGTAGCCATAAGAGCATGCCACATCCTAAATGAAGTCCACTTTAAACCAAATCTATGTCTCAGTGAAACTTTAGTTCATCTGAACTAAACACTGAAGGCTGGGTTTTGATAGAGGTAGAAATTTTTGCTCTGTGCTGTTTTTTTTTTTTTTAATAACTACCTTTTCATTAGCAGTTTTCATTTCTTAGGATCATCAAATGTATGTTTCTATGGAAGAGAAATAATAGATCAAGATTTTGTACAAGCATTCTTTTTAGAAGCACCCCAAACATAATTTACTAAGCATAAGATAATTTAAAACTAAATTTGTAGTCTGTCTTTTCAGTCAGTTAGCAGGTATAAATGTTATCATCATGTGAATTAGCAGGAATATGAATTCTAGCAAACTCATAGAAACTGGAGGGCATTTGTTTCCTTTAATTCAACAGAACCAAGTTTCACTCTAGATTTTTGGTTACTATGAAATACAGTGTGATCATTGAAGTGCTGACCAGATGCTAGCCAAACTGGCTACAAACTGGTATGTATTTAAGAAATTGGAGTTCAGAGGTGGGACTTTGTTGCTCAAAATTCCTGAAACATCATCTGTTTACATGTTTTTCAGTACTATCATTCTCATGTTTGCAAACATAAAGACATATGTTAAGCAGTTTGTCTTAAGTAGAAGCTGTCATAGTGCTAGCAGCACTGAAGCCTGCAAGGCCTGAGTGAAAGAAAGGAGAGAAAATATGACAATTTTGTGAAACAACAGTTAGCCAGAAGAAAGCAGCAGCAGTGCTCAGACAGCCATATTGCTTTAGGGATTTTTTTCTTCACACAGCTAATTTCTCAAACAAGGAAAGTGAAATTTCTGTGACACACGTAACACTAGGCAAAATATGCCAATAGTCTGAAACATGACTGTAATAGTGTTAGTAAAATGAGTGTGTTTTACAGACTCTAGGCAGCTGTTTTGTTTCTTTTACTATTTTAGGGAGCAGAAGGCTTTTCCCAGAAATGCTAAAAAGTCAAACAGTATGGTAGCAAAGAAAGGGTTAAAAAGCAAAACAATATTAAATGTTGTAAAACATAAAGAATGGGATCCAACCACTCCCTTTTGAAAGGAAGGGAGACAAGACAACGCTGCTGCTGCTGCCGTTATAATATCTGGTCTCTTCACTTCTCAGCGCAATCCTCCCATGATGGTCAGTGATCTGTTTGAAGACATCAAGGATGGAATAATGCTGATAGCCCTTTTGGAGGTTCTTTCAGGGCAGAAGCTGGTAAGAAATTCCTTCCTTCTGAATCTGTGAGATGGTTGCACAACTTTTCAAGGATATGATCTTCTAGTTTGTTTCTATATTTGAGTACTCTTGAAAACAAACAAAAAAGCAAAATAAATTTATTCACAGAGTGGACTATGTGGCTGCAATGCAAAACGAAATAATTGCAGACTGATAATCTTGATTTTGTATATTTTATTTCAGTTTTGTCTTACTGTTTCATAAAAATATGTTAGTCTTTATAATGCACCTTGCTGTTACTGCAGTGTTACTACTGTGACACAAGCATGGTCTGAAGCCCAAGCTGCTTCTGTATGTCTGAAGAAATAATGACAGGTTCTCTTGTCTAATTCATGGCTTTCTTGTGAGCCCCCAGATATCGTAGGGTCTAATATCCATGTGCACTGACAGATACATAGTCACTGTAAAGACCCTAAACTGATACCAAATGGCATTTCACAGACATATTGTGTAATGAGGCTACAATTTGTACATGCCAGATAAGTTTTCTCTTGGGACCCAAGTTAGTAATGTGTTTGTGATGGTGAGAAGAATTTAAGGTTTTTATGCCAAGACCTCTCACTTTTTCCAAACCAGCTTATGTATCAAAGGGCAGCACCCAAGAGCTGAACATCTACCATTCAGTTTGCCTGTTCCCTTACATTCACTCTATTTGCAAGTTCCATTCTTTTACCTCTTGTTCATGCAGCCGAGATTAGCTAAAATTAATAGTAATTAGTATTGCAAGAGTGATTGTAAAGAGATTTTAATGAGAAGTAAGCTAAGCTTTCAAGGGTATTCCTGCATTGTTGAAATGTACTGACTACTGCTTCTGTTCATATGAGAAGTCTCCCTCTTGTGGCAACATAGTAGTAAAACAGGGAAAGAATTGTAGAGAAGGTACCAGTTAATTGACATTTGCTATATAATATCCTTCCCGTATAAATCACAGAACAAGAGCAGTTTCTAATTAACTGAAAAGCCATGTATAGCAGAGTATTATGTTCTATAGTAACTTCAGAAGGAATTTTAGAATTTATAATAAACGTTTGTTAAAAATAACTTTATCGATACCAATTTAAATGGCAGTAGTTATATATTTACATTGCAATATAATATTAAGGAGACATTTAAAATTCAAATTCAGAATATTAGGAGCCTAAAATATGTTTTTGATTTAATTCAAGGATTTCTAATTTTTTTATTATTATTACTTTTAACTTACATGCCTGAAGTTCAGCAAAATATGTTTGTAATTACGTGGAATGTTTTTTTCAGCAAAGTGAATAAATCTAATTGGAGTGTGCACTTTTCTTTTCCTTAAAGCCTTGTGAGCAAGGACGTCATCTGAAGAGAATTCACTGGGTTGCCAACATTGGCACAGCACTTAAGTTTCTAGAAGGAAGACGGGTAAGTTTGATAGCACAAAAGCTGTTGTAAAGTAAAAATGTCAAGATTCAACACTAACAGCTAGCAATCAATAGGAAAAATTTCCTGGGGTTTTTAGTTAGAATCACCTTAGCTTATCTTTTTCCTTTTTTTTTTTTTTTCTGTATTCTTTAACTCCTCCCTGCTTCCCTGTCTCATCAAAGTTAACAATTTCAGTTCAGTAGAGGCATTCCTGTATGACTGTACATACAAAACACTGCTTGAAATTATACACACGTGAATTAAGAACAGTGTGACCCTTTATTAGCATAACAGAAGTCCAAGTTAATTCCTGGATTGATTCTTGTAGTCACCACTATGGCAGTTTTAGATGTAACATACAAGATGTAACAAAACTTTATAAAAATTCAACACAGAGATAGAAAACGAAAGATAGATGATTAGAGTGCTGAGGTATCTCTAGTACAAAGACAGTCTGCGAGAAGACTTTGGGGAGACCATGTACTGGCTTTTCCATTCCTAAAGGGGGGCCTATAATCAAGAGAGGCCTTTTTACCAGAGCCTGTATTGATAATCAAGAGAGGCCTTTTTACCAGAGCCTGTATTGATAAGGCACAGTGTAATAGTGTTTATCCAAATGGAGTATTGTCATATGGAATATTAGGAAGAAATCCTTCATTGTGAGGGTGGTGAGGTACTGGAACAAGTTACTCAGAGAATCTGCAGATGCTGCAACCACGGAAGTGTTCAAGGCCAGATTGGATGAGATTCCTGGGCAGCTTGATCTAGTGGGAGGTATCCCTGTCCACAGCAGGGGACTGGAACTGTATGATCTTTAAGGTTTCTTCCAGTAAACCCTTCAGTGATTTTAAGAAAAAACTCAATGTGTTCCAGGTATGAACATAAAATAAAAACAATCTTCCTGTGTTACACTGATGTATCTATTTTTTTTTTTAATTAGAATTGGAGACATTTTTTCGTATCTGCTTTTCAGTTTTTTTTTTTTTTTTTTTTTTTTTTTTTTTTTTAATGCAGGTATAACAACGAATGAATTTTATTTCTCTATAATACAACACAACAGGAGTTTGGGGACTTTTCTCTATTAGTTATTTTTTGTACGTGCTGTATATTGGCATATCAGATTTCCTTCTAGAGGGAAATGGAAATAAACAATATGTAAGATAGATTGGTGTGCATTAGCAGGTAGCTTTTGGCTGAATGCAGCTTAGACAATTCATCTATACAGTCTGTCACCCTTTTCCTCTCAGAGGAGATGGGGATGCTTTCAGACAGCAAATGCTTTTTCAGTAGCTAAGCGCAGTCCCTGATTTTTACCCTCAGACAAATGAAGGGAGATGAGTGGCTGTCTGTGGCACTTAGTGTGTGCTGGGGGTCTCCTTCCTCCCTGGGCTCTCCCACAAGTAACATTTGTTACAGATTTATTCAATATCATATTTTCGCAATCCAGACAGACTTCTGGCTGTCATACTGAGAAATGCACTTCAGATTTTGGTGATGTTATTCTGGACCAAACATTTTTTTATTGTTATTTTGGTTTGTTTGTTTGCATTTGGTTTGAGTCTTTCTTTTTAATGCTAGTGAAGTGTATATTTAATAGATTTGAGTTCTTTTTAATGAATAATAAAACAAATATAACAATAACTAGAATAGATACATTATGCCCCCATGAGCAGTAACCTAATCAAAAGATTTAGCTGAGTCCTCATGACTCTTTTTAATCTGTAATATCCATAAGTAAAACCTTGCTTTCTAGAAAAAGAAAGATTTTTGTGGGAGCTGAGTCAGCTAAAAGAATAAGACTTATGGTGCTTTTTTTCTTTAGGTAGATAATGGCATTGTTTAGTGGACTTCCAGATGTTGATTCAAATGACTGCAGTTTTTGCTTTGTTTTGTGGATAGAATCTCACCAGAAGTCAATCTCATGCTGTTCTTAAACCCATTCTCCAAAGTTTTTCCATAACCCTTTTCCATGACCATGTTTGGAGTGCCAGAACAGCTTAGTAGCCCTCCTTATTAACGTCAAGACTAAAGGCAGGACTTTTAGTTTTGTTGAGTGAATGATTAGTGTATTTCCTGATATTCTGATACTACCTATTCTATTCAATTTCCTTAAACACTGTCTCTGTCTTAGTTCCTTTATACATAGTCTTTTTCTCTGCTGTTTTTCTCTTGAAATTATTTTATGGTGACGCTTTATTCAGAATATAGAGAAGCATTTGGGAGTTAAAACCTGTTTGTTTTGATAAACTGCATACAGCCTTGGACAGCTGAAATGTTCATATTCTATATTTTTAAAAAAATTATAGTCAGATTTGTCTTGCAAGGGAACCTTCACCAGTGATGGTAAAATATTTTACAGTAATAAGCTCCCTGAAGAAATGTGATATTTTTTTTTTCTTTAAGGTTTTTTTCCCCTTTTCTTATTTCTTTTTTATTATAAAACACTGTTTTCTTGGTCAATTCTACACCTGTTACAAGAAGCAAGGACAACCTACATAATTTAAAAGCTGTTATGGAATATTCAGTTTGTTTTGTTTATTAATCATATTCTAAGTTGTAAGCAAAATGATGCTTTCTTTACATTTTAAAAGTAACACATTTACTTAATCACTTAATCATTATTTTGTAACATTTTTTCCTTTTACTTCCCATGCTAGTCTGTATACCGAGGATCTCCGGTTTGTACAATGTTTTTATGTAATTTTTATCTCTTTTTATCTTTTCTACAAAAGTTAAATATTATTTCTACAATATTAGCATGCTATGGACCTAAAACTCTTTAATTATGTATAGCTTACATGTAAGTGAAATTACATAATTATGGGATACTTTCATAGTAAGAAACTTCTTACTTTGTTACAAAAATATATTAAAATATAAAACCGATTTCTTTTGTAACTGTTACTGTTTCTTGTGTGTAGTGATAACATGTTTTCTTTCCTAAATAGATAAAGCTTGTCAACATAAACTCAACTGATATTGCTGATGGTCGGCCTTCTATTGTGCTTGGTTTGGTGTGGACCATAATTTTATATTTTCAGGTACAACGTTTTTTAAATTCAGTGTTGCTTCTTCAAACAGTGGTTGAGCTTATTGTTGCAAATGAACTAGTGCATTTTCAGTATTTAGTTACATGTTTGATAGTTTATAATTAACTGAGGATCTGATGCTGAATAAAGTAGCAGATATAGCTGTTTCACACTGCTTAAACTAAGATACCTGTCTTGGTAATGAGCATAGAATGTATTTCTTCTATCACTAGAACACATACTTCCAGTATCTCTGAAAAATGCAAAAAAAAAAAAAAAAAAACGCACAGAAAAGAAAACTATGGAATTTGGATTCTTTTTATAAGCACTATTACCAACCTTGTTGATGATTGTACTCCATCTAATTCCAGTGCACGTGATGTCAGACAGCAATTAAGCTTAACGTAATACAAGTAAACATGCTGATTTCACTGGAACGTGAAGGTATTTGCAAGGATAGTAGATGTAAACTGTTTAGATGGAGACCAATCTTACACTATCCTCTGGATATAATTTTTACGAGTTACAGCCAGATTGTCAGTCAAGTTAATAATTTACTTTTGATGGAAACTGTGATGCAAATAACTGCTGTAAATGCTCAGCAAGTTTTACTAAAGCATGTTGCCTACAGTACATGGACTATTTCATCATGAGTTACATCTAAGCAGAGCCACAATTAAATTTAGGCCAAGAGTACAAGGTTAAATTAAGAACTATCAGGGTGATCATCAAAGTCATTTAAGTTCTTTAATTTAGTGAGTGTCCTTTGAAATTACTGAACCATTTTGTAATGTGCATTAAAGCTCAATTTAAGCCATTGTCAATCATTTCAATGATAATTTGCTGTACTAGATAACACACTTGCACTTTATTGTAGCTGTATGTAGTCAGGAAGGTCAATGATTGCTAGGTTTTCCATATTTCAGGAATTACAGATACAGACATACATTAAAATCTTTGAGCCTACTTTGAAGCACAGTTTAAAAAAAAAAAAAATACAGCATCTAAAAGTGACACCTTCTTCCCAACTTTACTTTGTCAGTCCTATTAGTTTATTATTTAAGAGACAGGTGGAAATTAAATGGCTTGTTCACAAACATCCATTAACTTGTTGTTTTTTTTTTTTTCCACAGATTGAAGAGCTCACCAGCAATCTTCCACAGCTGCAGTCATTGTCTAGCAGCGCGTCCTCTGTAGAGAGTGTTGTCAGTTCAGAAACTGCAAGTCCCCCAAGCAAACGGAAGGTGGTAACCAAGGTCCAAGGAAGTGCCAGGAAGGCTTTGTTAAAATGGATCCAGTATACAGCAGCAAGGTAAGTAACTTACAGATGAATTAAACTCCTATCTTAAGTGTGAACTTTTTGTTTAGAATTTAAACTTTCTCAGTCAAAGTCTATCCTTTTGCTGTGTGTTTATATAGCGCTGCCTCTAATCATATTCTTTATGAAACAGAGGCTGCTAACTATTCTGCTATAACAACAAGCAAGCGATTATTTAGAATTTGCACTAGTTTTACAAGCAATCACATTTTATAGGCTCCAAGTAATGAATGGGATTATCTTTGACAGAAGGAGGAACTGGAAGGGGCATTAGTTATCTGAATGACAGTGCATTATTTCTGCTGCCCAAACACTTGATGCTATAATGCGAGCCCCACACTGACAGCATTACTCAGTGACAGCATATGTGAATTTTGCGCTGAATTTCAACACTTCCTGTCAAAAGGCAGGTGATGAAAAATCATGAAAATTCTTCTGCAGTTTTGAGATAAAAAGGGCATATTACTATAAACTGCCCTGAATTTTCTTTCTTTTTAAACAAAGTCTGTGCCAAGTAAAACAAAATTTATTTCTGAGTTATTCCGCCTATTCCTTGTTAACTTGGAATCTTGCTTGTATTTTGTAGAATTAGAATTATTCCAAGATTGCTCATCTTCCAAAATTCATGTAAAAAAATTATATTTGGTCAAAGAAATAATAGTAATTAATGGCTTCCACTGTAAGAATTTTTTTAAAAATACATTAAAATATTTTTTTTTAAATAAAAGGATTTTTTTAAATTAAGTAATCAGCACTATTTGGGGGAAAAAAAAGTCATGCATTAATGTAAAGGAAAATGAAAAGTTTTGGAGTAGTGCCTCTGACAAAAGAAATATAAAGACTTCCTCTGGTTTTCCAATAAGCAGGTAGAACACAATAAAACTTACAGTGCAATACAGTCTGATTTGGCAATTTTCCTTTTAAGCTCTTGTTAGCAAGGGACATTCTATTGACTGGTCAGCTGCAATTTCTAGACACATAAACATATACAAACAAACAGAGGCTTGTAAATCACATTTTCAACAGTATGGAAAGAATAGGTTAAATGTGTTGCAAGAAATCTAGAGCAAGGAGAGAATATTTTGCCTGTTCCTCATTTAGGCTAGCTGAAGACACATTGAAGTCTGGAAGTTTTTCAGTGATTGCAGTGGTCTTTGAATTAAACATTCATGCAGTATTATTGTTCTTGTAAACTTCACAATGGCAAGTCAATGTCAAGTTAATGTCAAGTGTGTCTTCTGAGGAAGCTTGCAGTTTGCGGACAATTGTACTCTTCAGAATTACTTTTAAAAGCACCAGTCAGGAGTGTGATTCACTTCTGATTCCTCTCTCAGTATTTATTGGCATTTCTTCATTGTTTATGTGCATTTTTCATTGAAAATATAAGAATTCTGGAGGAAATAATAGTCTTACTCCAGGTTTTTTGATGAGAATAAAAATATATTTGCATTACATTTTCACCTGATTTTTCACTCAGTGATATCATTTGTAACATTTTAATGCTTTCATTTTAAAAGATAGCAGATTACTGCCATTCTTCTTATGTATTTGTTTTTGTATGATGCTGATGTACTTAACTAAATTGTGGCAGTTATAATTCAGAGAGTTATAAACTACTCTCTGTTCATGGAGAGCAGTAGAAAGAACTGCATATATCCACAGACTGTGTGTGTCACTTGGTGTATTTCATTAGGCTTATTGCCACTAGTGAGCTCATTGGAGACGCATGCAGTATGCATATTAAAAGATTCTGTTTAATTTATGCAGTGTACAGATGGAGCTGTCACAGAACTGACCAGTCCTATAGGAACAAAAGGTGCTTTAGGCCTAATGATAAGTAGTCATTGTCTGGAGCATCCTTTCTCACTCTGGATTTCCCCTTGTCTTGATGTTTACGCAAGTAATTATTTTCTTTCATTTTCTTCAGGCAAGCTGGAATTGAAATCAAAGACTTCGGACAAAGTTGGAGGAGTGGTGTTGCATTTCATTCCATTATTCATGCTATCCGTCCAGATTTAGTAGACATGGAGAAAGTAAAAGGAAGATCAAACAGGGAAAACCTGGAAGAAGCCTTCACACTTGCAGAAACAGAGCTAGGGATTCCGAGGCTCCTTGATCCAGAGGGTATCTGAATTTAAAAATGCTTGAACTGTTTGAATGAGTTAAAACAAGCACGCTGATTCTAGTGTTTAAATTTTTAACTATTATTCTCTGCCATTTAGCTATCACTTACTGTACTGTGTTCTATACTTGTATAGATGTGAATGTTGACAAGCCAGATGAAAAGTCTATCATGACCTACGTAGCCCAGTTTTTGAAGTACTATCCTGATCCTCATCATACAATGGCTGATGTGCAGGAGAATGATGTAAGTTTCTCTTGCATGCTTACAGAAATTGGTTTATCACAGGGTGTGCTTCCTAAACACATTTTGTAGCCCTCATAGTTTATTATTATGTTGTTTTGATCTGCAATTCAAGTGAAAAGCAGGCACAATTTTAAAAAAACTAAGAAAGTTTAACTGAGAATAAAGGAACCAGTATTGCATAAATGGAGAAAAGAGAATGGTGATACTGCTGAGATTTTCCTGTCAGCCAAAGCAAGGAGAAACAGATACAGTAAATGGTAGGACCCATTGGGGTTTGCTACTGTTTTCTGAAAGCTTTTCAAGCATAATACTAAAAACATTGAAGCTGTTTGTTGCCTGAAGCAACACATCACTTCTGTTTCTATCACAGTGGATCTGTGGATAGGAAAAGGAGTTGTCCTAGAGAATGGTTAGAGGTTGTTTGTGGACTTTTAGGCCTGAGAGGCAGTTAAGATTTTTTGACTTGGATTTCCTTCTATTGTATAATAAGATTAGACTGCTTGCTCTAAGGAATTTTTTTGTTTGTTTTTCTTGTTTGTGCTTTGAGTATGATAGTATATTGGCTTTACGCTTGGATGTAGTGCAAAGGATTGTACTCAGAGATGCCAAGTGATTGTGACTCACTCCCTAATCCTGATCATTTACTTCCTTCATGCCAAATGGTAGGAAGCACTGCTGAGACAATCTGCTCAGCCCCAGCAAGAGAGAAAGAGGCAATACTTTTGTTTGTTTCTTTGGTTTCCTTACAGATAGTCACCGAAGAGCTTTGAAATGAGTGAATCTCCTTCCTTCTGGCTATGTTTGGCTTTATTAGGTGTGGCTAATAGCTTTGCAGTAGCTGCATAGTAGCTGTAGCTTTGCTGTCTGATTCCAGTGCCTGAGTCATTGGCATTCTTCTTTCTCCTTACTGCAAAATTATGCTGAGGATGTAAATGTACCAGTGCCATAGCACTGAGTAATGAAGCTGAGTTGGCAAGACAGGGGGAGCGAACACTAAAGCCTCTGACCCATGACAGGCTTAGACTGTTCTGCTGCTTCCATACCATGGCACACAATGCAACACCTGCTGCCAATAGACTTGGCTGTGTGTGAACTATTGAGTCATGGCCTGAATCTCTGATTGATCACCTGAGGCAAGCACTGAGTCAGCCATGGGAGCACAGGTGAAGGAATTCAGCTGTGTAACTGGAAGGGGTGGAGTCTGGCTCCATCTATTCTAGACCCCATTGAAGAGCTGACTGCCATTGAGGAAGGATCTCTTCCTGGAGATTCCTCCCTTTAGTGTTTTCCTTTTAGCCCAGGACACAAGTGACCATTTTCATTAATTTTTGATTATCCCTTTCCACTGTGATGATCTTTCTAGCAATGTGATCTGCAGATACCAGCCTAGCCACGCGACTCTATGTATTTGTTGATTATTCTGCCACCTGCACTATGGCTGTTTGTGTGCATAGCACACCTGATCTAGGCATGAAATATTAGACTCTTTAATTATAGAAATGTCCACACAAGCAGCTAGGACTTCTGACCACCAAGGACAAGCTTCCATTATTACTTCACTTCTTCCAGTGCAATATCTTATAAGCTGGGCAGCATAGGAATTTGTCTGGACAACACATCTTCAAGAAAAATACTGGAACCTGAGTTGGCTGAGGGGCAGGGGAAGAGAAAGTCAGTAATCTTCTTCACCTCTCACCTACCTCCTGTGCTATTAAAAGCCACCCATGTGCACTTACTATGAGGTTGGAGTCATCTGACTAAGGATTCACTACTGATATAGTCAACCTAAGTTTATTTTGACAAGCAGAAAAATACAGTAACATCTGTTGGTCAATGCATCTTGTTCTGTAGCAAGCACATAACGCAGGTCAGATGAAATACAACCTGAAAGTGCTTAATTTTAGGAGTTTAGCAGATAATAATCTTGACAGATTATCTCTCTCAGGTACATGTACTCCAACACTGTGATAATTATTTTCTTATACTAGACATCAGTGGGAATAGGAAAAGACTAAGAATAGAGGGAATATATCACTCACAGGAAAATAAAGTCTGCATGGGTTTGTTTTTAATCAGATTCCAAGACTGTTTTATCAATCTCTAACTAAGGGTCAGGTTCATCTAAGGTAGTTTAAGTTCTTTTGAAATGCTATGCACTGTTAAGACAATTTATTCATCTTAAGAAAAATGACCATCTAGAAATGTGTCCATCTCTGCCGATTGTAGATTCTTAGAGATGGATTAATCCTATATAAATAAATAAAAAACAACAACCAAATTATGCAAAATTCCTAAGGAAAGATATGTGATGGATATAGAAGCTTTAGGTTAGAGTAAATAGAAACACTGTTCTACCTATTGCTACACTATTAACTGTAGTTATCGTTAAGGCATACAGTTCACTTATGGTTTCACTGATGTTGCTATTTAAAACAATACAAAACTTTTATATGTCTGATCTGATCCTGCATATGTCTCTGTACCCAAAACAGAATCAGTGAACTATACTTCTTGAAAAAGAATATATAATCACAGAAATAGCTTTTATCTGATACACTGTTAGCTCTGTGCACTGAGAAAATGAGTAATCTCTTATTTACTTTTTTCCAGTCAGTTCATTTAGCCAAGGTGTATATTAGAATGACCATGAACTGTGCATCCCAGAAAAACAGCAAGCAATATACTAAAGATGTGTTTCCTAGTGTTCAGAGAAAACCTCTTGAGTTTCTGTGCCCACTGTCTCTTGCCCTGGCACTGGGGTCCACTAAAATGAGCTTAGAACTGTCCGATTTGCATTCTTCCTCAGGGTTTTATATACAACTATGCGATCTCTCTTCTCCAAGTTAACAGTCCCATCTTTCTCAGCTTTTACTCATTGGAGAGTAGTTCCAGTCCCTTCAATGTATCTGTAGCACTTTCTTAGGCTATATCTATCTCTCTCCTGTGCTGGAAAGCCCAGAAATGGGCAGAGAACACCAGGTGTGTTCTCATCAGCTGAGGAGAGGGGAAAGATCACCTCCTTTGGCCTACTGTCTGAGCTATTAATGTAGATCCATGTTCACAGTAAATTTACATAATCTGGTGATTTAAATCACGCTTAATCTACTTTTTACCAGTCCATGCACAATTTAGAATGTGGGCTAAGAAATGAAAAGATCCACTACAGTGCAGGAATTCTGTATGATACTTCACTACTTAACATTAGGTTAAGATATTATTTTCTAATACTCCCTTTAAATATACGATAAATATGGAAAGAAATATTTGTCTGTGTATTGTTAAACTTCATGTTGTTGAATTTTAAGCACTGGAATCTCTCCATAATGTAATGCAATATAATTGAATGACATCTGCAAAAGATAATCTGGATATCTTATTTAATCTAGTTATTGTGCAGTCAACAAGATCCAATTTCATTAATTTTTGCTTCCCTTTTTTTCACCCAGTCCACAACCATGTAAACTATTGTCCTATTATTTCTTGGAATCTGTGTATAGTCTTCCAAACTCATCATGATTTTCTTGAGAATAGATCAAATATTTTAAAGAGAAAAAAATCTGTGTAAGAGATTTGATTATCTGTTGACAGAATCTCTCTGAAAAAAAAATCATAAAGAATCCCACAGTACAAAAAAAAAATTCCTTTCCCTGTGGCATATGTCACAAATACAAAAGTTTATAGGAATAGAGGACTCAAGTTTGCGAAAAGTTTAAACAAGAATACTTGAGAGCTTATATTTATCCAGTATCATTTTTTCAATGTATTTCACTGTGTCGAGCCAATGACTGGGGTATGGGACTTGTCACACATTTTGCAATGAACTGGCTCTGTTTAGATCTCTTTTCCATGAAGTTGTTTTATGCTATCATTTTGATCCAAGGGCAAAGGTGAAGGAATTGACAGTTATGAATGACAGGGCTAGGGAGTCAGGTACAGAGCGGACATAGATTACTGATAGGCATGAGAATTTTGCCAGTGATGGATTAGCAGAATTACAGGGAGTCAAATATATCATGCCTGGATCAGCTGTGCTTATATATGAATCTGTGTAAGCAACGCATCACAAATAATTGGTTACTCTAAAGTAACTGCTTTTTCCAGATGAAACAAATCATATAGTGACTAGTAATCCAGAAATCAGATGTAGTAGAGAACTTCTTCACAAGATATAGCACATGCATTTGATAATATTTTAAGAACATCTTTAATTGCATTATTGCACATATAGCTCTTGTATTGCTCTTTCTGGAATTTCTACCTGCTTTGTTTTATTTTGTTTGCTTTTTTTTTTTTTTTTTTTTTCTTTTTCCTCTTGTTTTCTCACTTGTTTCATATTGCTAGGAACTTCAATCAATCCCAACTTTTGTCACTTCTTTTATGAAATTTAAGGTAAGGATAATATGCTCCAGAATAATGGGCTTGCCTTGGGCCTTTCATAATTTTTTGTTTTATCCTGAACATATTGGGCTTTTGATTTTTGGATATTTTAATAGACAATGTTTGGTTACCCTCATATTATTCTTTCCACAAGAGGAAATAGATGAACATAATGAGACTAAGTCTAATTTCTTACAACAACTATTCCCTATAGCCAAAAGCCTAATTTTGCAAATAATTTTACAGAAATACAGAAAAGCCAACTTATAATAAGCCTCAGACCACCTTTCTTAATTACAGATATAAGCATAAGAAAATAATTTACAAATTGTTTTATCTATTCATATCTATTTTCATTTTAGATTGATATTGTTATATATTCTTAGGTTTATAGAGTAGATATTAGACTGAATATATGATTGTGTAAGTAGTGAATGTGATATGTGTGTTTGAAAGAGAGAGCATTCATGTTTAATCACATGATATGCTCAGCTCTTTGTTCTCATGTAAGTTATGCATTTTTTAAAGGATATATTTTTGTAACTATCTTAGACATTTAAATACTTAAAACTTTCTAGTATTATCTGAGAAGTTAAGAAATCCAACAGATGGAATTTTATATATCAAATGAACATTCAAACAAATTTCAGATACATTCAAATACATTTCAGAACACTTAGATAAAACTAGAAGATTGCAGGAGTGAAGATGTAATGAAGAAAACAGCAGCTGTCATTGTAGCCAGTCAGTTCTGTTTGTAGTCTCACATGGTCCAGATAGTTACCTTTATTCAACACTAGTTTCTGTGTGTTGGCTTTTTTTCCTAATTTATAAGAAATAGGTTGATCAACTGTTCATCTCATGCTGTGCATGTATAAGAACCCATATATATTGAAATGAAGTTTAATAACCATAGCAGAATTATTCCCACTCAATCTATTCAAGCAAAAGTTCAGGCAGCTTTGAGTGGACCTTAATATAAAATATAAAATCTTAGCCTTACGTACTCCTGCGTTGCTGCTTAAGATAGTGAAGAGGTGTAGTGGTAGAAATTACTTTATCTCACAATCAATTTACAGACAGAAGAAGCACACTCTTTCATAATATATCTGTTGTAAAGCATTTCTTGTATGAACAAGTAAATCAGATGATAAACCCATCATTTCCAACCTATTTTTACCATCAGAGTTCCCAGTTATAAGAGAGCTTCCTTCAGCAGCGATTGTAAAAATAACTTCCTGAGTTCTTCCAGTAGCTTACTGTCTGCCTTTAATAGCTCATTACTGAAGGTGATGCTTGGCTCAGCATTCAGAGTGCATCTGTGGTACTGTTGTCAGTCTGAGTCTTTCTGTGCTAACAGTAACACATATATATAACTCAGTGTTTTCAAGGGGAATAGCTTAATTAATTGATTTCATATATACACATGGTAAAAGTGACTTGATTATTATTTTTTTTCAGCAAATAGGCAATACAGTAATTCAGCATCTCTGAAAAACAGATAAATTATTTTAGATTCAAAAGCTCCTGTCTGAAAGTTCTATCCACGCTGTGCCTGAGAATTTGAACAGTTCTTCTGGTTAATAATTATATATTAGAGAATTCAAAAAAGTATGTTGTCAAGTTTCTCATTAAATGCAGATATGTATTTTTAGCTCTATAAAAACCAAAAAGTTCTGTATCATGTAATTTGTTAATTAAAATCAGAGAGTTCAGTTTAAAAAAAAAAAAAAAGCTTTTACTTCTGAGTCTAGTCTAAAAACTTTATATGTAAATTTAATTTTGCCCTCTTACCATTTTGGAATTAATAAGCAGTTTTCTCTGATGTTTTTCATTCATATTTTTTTGGTGGTTGTGTACTCCAGCTTTGTTGTTCCTCTCTGCAAGTCAGTGAATGCTCTTAGAATGACATGAGGATAAATTAATACTCTAAAATGCTGTTTGGATGTAGCATGGAGAAAATAAGCCATAGTGGCTTAGAAAAGTTAAAATAATTTTGGTTATGGATAGAATATCCTCATACTGAGGAGAGAACAAACGTTTACATTTCTCTAATGTTTTCCTTTTCTTTATGTTCTGTTTGCTACTTAAGGTGTGCAAGCTTTAGAAAACAGTTAAGTACTGTGAGAACACTAATATTTTTTTATTAGGACTAAGAACCACTAGTCACTAATGAAAGTCTTGTATTGAGATTTAGCTCATCGGACATGGGGAATAATGGTGGCAGGTTTCTTAGTGCCCAAGAAATCTTCTGTGTTGGTTATCAAAATCAAAACTTTACGATGTTTTTATATCGAACAAGGACCACAGAATCAAGTTTGCAGGTGACAAGTGATATGCTGAAATAGAAAGCTGTGAAAATGAATAAATATCTATATGAATGATATGCCTATCCTGCTTTTCTTGTGTTGTGCAGTGTCTTTAACAATGTCCAGTGATTCAGTTACTGAAATGCTTTCATCTTCTGCGATTAAGAAAGCAAATATTTGTTTGACTGAATAGTAAAAAAAAAATTAAATAAATCAGAGAACACTCAGTGTTACCTCTCAGCTTTATCTCCTCACTTAAATTCAGAGAAACCGTACTGTAATTTGAGAGAGATGTGGCTGTTCCTGTGTTCTTTATACTTAGGTGCTGTAGAAGTTCTCTAGTTGCTGATGTTATTCTATTTAGAAAGAATTGGTCAGATTCAATTTTAGCAATAGGTAATTAAACCATGTTAATAGAAATCTTGCAAAATACCTGCTTTGGTTTTCTGTAGAAAAAGTTGTGGCCACAGATGCTCTTGCAAAGTCTTATCTTTAGTGACTCACAGCAGTAAGAATGTAATCTACGGAGAATAAAATCCCATGCTTTATAAAATTGAAGTTACAGAGTGAACTAAAAGCAGTATACACAGTATATATAACATTCATTCTCTTCTTGACTTCAGGATTACCTTACTTAAAGTTTCAATTACTAGGATTGTTGTTGTAGATTAAATCCATTAAGATGCAGGGTTTTGTATTGGCTTCATGGAGCTGACTGCTAAACAGATATTTCAGTAGTCTATCATTAAAGTTATCATTTCTAGTGAATGGATTACCCTTAATTCCAAAGATTTTAGTTTTTTTTTGGTGGTTAAAAGAGTTAAGAATTCTCTCTACTTATATTCTTTTCCTCATATGGGAGCAATCACGAATTTGCTGTTTATCTTGAAGAATCTTGACATTATTTTTCCACACACAGAGTAAATTATCATGCAAGAATAGTAGTGCTTTTATTTTTCTTCTCTATATTTAAATTATGTGACAAGTTGGAAGCAGTAGGAGTTCTGGCATCTTGGAACCTTCTGTGAAGTAAAGGAAATGCCAGCTTTGAAATAGCTGGAGCAGGGAAGTGTCATAGATGTCCCATACTGTTTTTCAGGCAGCAGCCTAAGCACTTCAGAAGCCAGGAACCTGAGCTATAGGGAACTTTATTTCAATGCAGCTGCCATAACACAGAGTTAATCTTGCTGTAATATCCAATTAACGGTTAACAAGTATAATACCTGTGATATTTGCACATTCTATTATGCACATTGTGTCCAGCCAACTACCAGTGGTTTGAGTAGAGGATCAGTATGAGAATTAGCAGAAATACATCTAAGATGATTCTCAGCTGAAATGAAGCAATACTTCTAAGCTGTTAAAATGGCTAAGGTCTAGTTTTATTTCTCTTATGTAATGCTTTAGTCTTAGTCACTCATTTTATGTTCATAGCTGATATGTGTTCTGTTTGTTCGTTTTAATAGATGTGTTTCTGACAGTCACCACTTTTACAGTAATATAGCCTTTTTGCTTTCAAAAAGTGGTTTCTAAATAGTAGCCAGAACATGTCTTTCATCAGTTGGAAATCTGAGACGGACATTTATATCCTACTTAAAGATTAGTGTTCTTAGTGAACAAAAAACTTTCTGTTGTCTGCTAGCCTTCTAATATAACGTGCTTAAAGACCTGAGATTTCCTACCAGTACTTTTCTACTCACTATCAGGGCACTGCATTTTGAAGAGCAGCCTTGCAAGCACCAGTGCCAATGATAGACTTGAAGTGTTAAAGCAAAATTTAAAACAAGTATGTTGTTTTTAAAACCATAAAATGTCATGGAAGCAAAAGAAGTTGAACAGAATCAGATTTTTTTTAGTTGCCTTCCATTTTTGTTGTTAAAACCTTCTATACCAAAATATTTTTTAGCTTCTGTACATATAACTTGATGTCAAGGATTGCCCTGAAGTCACTAAGAGAATAAATGTGTAAGCTTGGATCATACTGCTGCACTTTCTTTTCTAATGTTGCTGCACCCCAAGCAATAGTTCAGTAGTAGACAAGATAATAAAATAGCCATAAACTGATAAAATGATAATAAATCCTTTCCTATCTCAAATCAATTAGCTTTTACTGAAATTCCCTTTGAATGTATGTGGAAAACTAAAATTTTTTGTGTGATTGTACTAATCATAGAAGGAAGACAAGTTGATGCTGAGAGACCTAAGAGTGTGGGCAGAACAGTTTGAAAGAGATTTAACACGGGCACAGGTGGCAGAAACAAGCTTACAGGAGAAATATCAGGTAAGCAACTGGGAAAGATTTTTGGAATAAGATGTTATTGTCACCATTTTGTGACACTGCACTGCAGTATTTTATACCATCTGCATTTTGATGTATTGTACATATATGCAGTTTTATGTTTTGTAGCTCAAAGAAATAAGGATTCAAATTGTGTTACTTGTTGTTGAGGAATGTTGAGGTGGAGGAATTATGACAGCTCCAACTTTGCTACGTAGTGCACAGATGGTTTTCCTTGCAGAGAGCTTTTTCTAGCAGCATGAATAAGGTCTGTCCTAGTTAGAAGTGAGCATGTGTCTGTACAGTCTTTCCAGATTCTGTGTTATATAGCTTAAATGGGAGGTATGGCTGAAAGCTGGATGAGGTGACAGGTGAAGAGGACAGGGCTTAGTTCTTCATTTTTAACCCTTCTTTCAAAAGTTAATGTCTAAACCTATAACAAAAATTTTGACCTAAAATTTTTCCTGAAAATTAACTGTTTCCTAAAAGCAATCACTATCTGTCTCAAATAGCATTTAATTCACTTGCTAGTTTTTTATTCAATTACTATTTACTTTTGGACAGGGTTCAGGCCTCTGGTAACTAAAGGGAAATACCTAAGTGTTACACATACTTTGCTGGGGATTCAGATTTAAATAAAACACAATTCAACAAGGTCTATAAATACATGTGTTAACTGATATTCCTTTATGAGTAGTATTAAAACTGCTGTCAGTACAAAATTGTCATGCAGGTGCCAGTATACCATAAATAGTACAGAATTTGTTTGACTCTGTATTACACTGATTTGATTTTCTCTTTGTGCAGTCATTTAAGCATTTCAGAATCCAGTATGAGATGAAAAGGAAACCTATTGAACTTGTAACTCAGTCCTTAAGGAAAGATGGTAAATTATCACTTGATCAAGCTATAGTGAAGCAAGCGTGGGACAGAGTCTCTTCCAGGGTAAGTTGAAAACTATTATATTATACACTTTTTATTAAGTATGAGAATTTTAAATTATTTATGATTTTAAATCATTTGCTATCAGTTTTGTTGGGCATTTGGAAACTAAATATGGACCATTTCTCCAGGGATGCTGGATTATATTGTATTTGGTTTGTGAATGTTTTCATCATCATCATCTTTAATAGTTGCTCATGCGTAGACAGAATATGAACTTAAAGATAAGTAAAATACTTTGAGGTTTCCTTTTATTTGAAATTGTGTTAGCAGTGCACAGCCAAGTTGAAAGTGTTGTAGAGTGTGCACAATGCACACTTGGCATGCAATATTTTAATGAAAATTGCTAGTGACTCTAGCACTAACTAAAAATTCTAATACAACATTTTTAATTTAACTAAATGTTTCTGTGCAAAAAATACTGAATGCTGTATCAACAAATGAAGCTTTAAGGCTAATTTTTACCTGATTGGAATAGCAGGAATAAATTGCAGTGTTCATGACTGATAGTACTTGTTTATTTAATTGAGCAAGGAAATAAGTTGAATGCTTTTGTTTTTATTTCCTAGCTGTTTGACTGGCACATACACCTTGATAAATCTCTTCCTGCACCTTTGGGTACCATAGGTGCTTGGCTCTATAGAGCAGAGGCTGCTCTAAGAGAAGAAGTAAGCATTCAGCAAGCTCATGAGGAGACAGCAAATATTATACACCGGAAGCTTGAACAACTTAAGGTAGGTCCAGATGCATTGATTCCATGCACTCTATTTCATTATTTTGAAGGCTGTAATGATCTGTGATTATTATTCAGTCATGAGTGGTGTTCCCCAAGGTCAGTGCTGGGTCCTGTCCTCTTCAATATCTTTGTCAATGACCTGGATGAGGGCACTGAGTGCACCCTTGGTAAGTTTGCAGATGGCACTAAGTTGGCTGGAAGTGTGGATCTGCCTGGGGGTAGCGAGGCCCTACAGAGGGATCTGGGCAGGCTGAAGCCAATGGGATTCAATGAGGTTCAACAAGGCTAAATTCTGAGTCCTGCATTTGGGCTACAACAACTCCAGACAACACTACTGGCTTGGGGCAGAGTGGCTGGAAGACTGCATAGAGGAAATGGTCCTGGGGGTATTGATTGATGCTCAGCTAAACATGAGCTGACAGTGTGCCTGGGTGGCCAAGAAGGCCAATGGCATCCTGGCTTGGATCAGTAACAGCATTGCCAGCAGGAACAGGGAAGTGATTGTCCCCCTGTATTCAGCTCTGGTGAGGCCACATGTCAAGTACTGTGTCCAGTTTTGGGCCCCTCACTGCAAGAAAGGCATTAAAGACCTGGAGTGGGTTCAAAGAAGGGCAACGAAGCTGGTGAGGGGTCTGGAGCACAAGTCTTACGAGGAGCGGCTGAAGGAGCTGGGATTGTTCAGTCTAGAGAAGAGGAGGCTCAGGGAAGACCTTACTGCTCTCTGTAATTACCTGAAGGGAGGTTGTAGTGAGCTGGAGGTTGGCCTCTTCTCTTGTGTAACAGTGATAGGGCTAGAGGGAATGGATTCAAGCTGCACCAGGGAGATTCAGGCTGGATATTAGGAAATACTTTTCTGAAAGAGTGGTCAGGCACTGGAATGGGCTGCCAGGGAGGTGGTGGAGTCACTGACCCTGGAGTTGTTCAAGGAATGTTTGGTTTTTGTGCTGAGGGGTATAGTTTAGTGAGTATTATTGGTGATAGCTGGATGATTGGACTGGATGATCTTGTAGGTCTTTTCCAACCTTGGTATTTCTGTGATTCTGTGAAATCAACAAAATACTCGTGGTTTGAAGGCTAGTTGGTGTCAGTGGTGTCACCTTTGTGATAGCTCAAAATGATGTGTTTTTCCATGATAACTTCAGCTGTGATATCTATATATTTTACAAGTGATGTTCAAGATTGTTTTGTGGCTGCTTCCACTTTATGAAAGATACCAAGTACTACCTTTTCAACTGGCTCTTTATTTCATTTCTGTTGGATAAAATTCCACAGGGAACTGAGCTGGGTACACAGTTCAGCCATGTGAACTTACTTGCGAAAGAAGAGAGAGAGCACAAACATACTAAGTGTGCTGTTGGTTACTGCAAGTGATATTGCTAAGATGGGAAATAATGAGAAATCACTTTTTTCACTATTGTGTTGCAAAGATAAATAGCATGAGAAGTCACCTCTGCTGTGGTAAAGAGGAATTTTTCCAGACAATATTAAATATCATTGGCATTACTCTTTGCTGAGTATATGTTCTCTTTTAAAACCAAAATTGTGAGCTTTGTCAGTGCAATAAATATGAGAAAATTATAGGGAAAAGTCGTTGGAGAGGTGATAAAAGAAACTGAAACAGCAAATATGAAGGAAAAAAGAGAAAGAAATAGGGTATGGAAGGCTGCATTTGTTAGAGTAATGCAGTTTTGTCTCTTATTGTGGTCGTGTTTTGTTGTTTTTTTTTTTTTTTTTTTTCTATCATTGATGCTTTAAAACTTGTTTGGATGTGCATTTGATTTTTATGGGTATGGTCTTGTTATTTTTCCATTAAAAAAATCCACTTTTTAGTAAAAGTAATTCCATATAATGAAAAGCTGATAATTTTCATGGACATTTTGGAACAATTGTGACAGTTGTTGTGTATGACAATTATTCTTAATTAGAACTAGCTATAGAATAGCTCTTCTAAGTGGTAGCTAATAAATTTTAACCAAAATAATGTTGAAAACTGTGTGAAAGATGTTGTTCATTGTTATCTTTCAAAGTCTATCCTTTCATAAGGCTAAATTTCATTAGTTTTCTTGATAAAAGTATTTCAGGATTCATAAGACTCAACTTTCATTGGGGAAAAAAAGCAAGTCAAATACTTCTGCTTTTACAGTGTAAATACTATACATCTTATCTTAATAAATTCATTTAAAAAAATGCTTGTATTAAACAAGCATCAGAAGTACAGTGTTGGATGATTTCTACTTTAAAAATGACTTTTGACTGAAGCTCGCCTGTGTCAGGGGAGTTTTTCCACGGGAAGGGGAAAGCTTCAGCATAAATTTGCATAATTATACTGGCTCCTGGAGCTTTTTTTGTCACTAGGATTTGCATTGTCGTATCCTGGTGTGTTACTGGGTAGTATCAGAAATCAAAAATTCTTTTCAGTCACTGTTTGGCAGAAAGTTTTTCAATTTTTTGTTAGGTGTTTGTTCAGATAACATCATCACCTTTCCTATATCTTTGTCTTATCTAATAATGAGTTATTTGATTGAATTTTATACGTTATGGTCTATTTGATACTAACACAAAAAGTACCAGCTTGTTTAGACAAACCTTTGGGGAATTAAGCAAGAATTTAAGATTTTAGTTAATTCCACCGAGATTGAGAAATTCAGGACAATGTGCTCTTTATGGGTTAATTTGCACTGCAGGATTTCACTTGGTGAGTATGTTGTATAAAAGGCTTTTTGACATTAGATAGAACAGTTGTTTTATTTTTACTGTTACCTATTAGGGGAATCCTTCTTCATTGGGCAGGATCTCAAATGCAGTTAAGTGATACCTGTTCCAAGTCATTCCTTCATGTGAGTGTATGTTAGTCATAGGATATCCTCAGTGGAGTTTTCCCTGTGGTAATACCAGCCCACCACCTGCATCTGAGAAAGTCTGATTCATTTCTTTCACCGTGAGGTCTTGGCTGAAGTGGAAAACAGTGAAAACATTGGTGGGCCACTAAATGTGATTATTTGCTGGGCAGAGCCAAGAGATGTGATCAATATGAGACTTTGTGAAGTCCCCCTGAAGTGAGAAGGGGGCAACCTTGTATGATTCCCTTTTGCTCACAGGCTTCTGAGCCAGAAGCTGTCTGTTTGCAGCAAAATATCCATTATTTTGTGTCCTCTTGGCCACTAGGCACTTTGTGTTTTTGTTACCGTATCTCTGCAAAGACTACTGCCAGTCTTTTTAATATGTAATCTCCAGGAGGCTGTTTGAAGCGGTGTTGCTTAGTTACAGTTGAAATGTGCTCTGCTGTAAGGTTTTTGCTGGTACAATTCTTATCACAGGAATACTGGTCGAGTACCACATTCTGCCTTCATTTGGGTAATATATAGAGAGCAATCCTGAAATCCTTTGAAGCTGAGAGAGTGAGAAGTTCACTGAATATTGAATAGATACTTACATAAGGACCTCTGGATTACTGTCTGTATATACAGATTAGTTGCTGAAAATTTGAATCAATACTTAACAAAGGTTAGTATCGGCTGTAAGGATGTAAACAGTAAATTTAGAATGATTGTACAATGGTGGTATTAGAGTATTTACAAACTGCATTTTGGGCATTTTTTAAAAAATACAATTAAGATTTCTTCTTTTCTTAAACCATTGCAGTGTGTTCTCTGCTTTAAAATCTTTCATAGTTGTGAGAAATGGCTTTAACAGAGGCATTCCCTGTGTAAATGTTCAACCTAATGTAAATGATTTTTGGTAGGCATACCGTTGCATGCAAATGTGAGAGCACGATCAAATAGTTAACTACATTGAGTCATCAGTACAGGCTTCAAAATGTGCTTATTAGATAGCCTACTGTGAGCCTTTTCTCTGTCTCTCTCTCTCAATCTCTTCCTCTACCCTTTTTCACTCTCTCTGTCTCTCTCTCTTTACAATCAGGATCTATTGAAAAACATAGAAGGTCACAAAAAGACGTTCCATGAGATCCACGGGGCAAGGTCTGTTAATGGAGTGCCTGTTCCATCTGACCAATTAGAGGATATGGCAGAGAGGTAAGGCTTTCAACCCAAAATGAAAATCCTCTGTGGATGAAAGGGAACCTGTTTGATTTTTAACCTGTTCATGTACAAACTGCGTTCTAATAATGTTTCTTAATGGCAAGCATGTAAATGTTGGAAGGAAAACCTTCCCTGAATGTAAATGAAAATTTGTTGAAAGCCTTGTACATTAATGATTGGTGAGAATCAATATAAGCTTTGTGTTTTAGAAATACCTTTGTTTTTTAACATCAATTTTGTGATTACTTGCCCATGAAAGAAATGTTATGTAACAGCAGTCAGAATGAATTTAAGAAAAATGACTTTGCAAAACTTAGTAATGTAAACTGATTATTTTTATGAATAAATGGGATTATAATTCATTTGCTATTCAATAACAATTATCAGAATGATCATCTAACATAATGTTGATAAGCTTAATTAGGTGAAAGAACTAGAGAAATATCTGAACTGTAAATAAAGATTTCAGGAAAAACTGAAAGGGGGAAAAAAGAGAGGGGGTGCAGGAAGAAAAAATTATTGGTGTGTTTTACTATAGTATGATTCATTTTCCAGGTTTAATTTTGTTGTCTCTTCATCTGAGCTCCATCTGTTGAAAATGGAGTTCCTGGAACTGAAGTACCGTCTACTGTCACTCTTAGTCCTTGCAGAATCAAAGTTAAAATCATGGATTATTAAATATGGAAGAAGAGACTCAGTAGAACTACTTCTGCAAAATTACATAGTAAGTTGGAGTTGTCATCTCTTTGTCACTATTTCTGGAATATTCTCATCTGAGACTGTTAGAATTTAATAAAAACTGAAAGACAAATGAGACTTGTCAGTCAAAACCTTTAACTGCATTTATATAGAGTATCTTAACAGTGTTTCTTTCATCCCCGGAGGAAAATGTTAAAAATCAATATGCTGTAGTTTACCCTACCTCCTCAGGAAAAGAAATAATGTCTCAACTGCTAACCATGTCTGACCATTAGCTCACTAAAAATATCTGGAAGTTCTAAATCCTAGACTTTTACTTGTTTAAGATAATAGTTTCTGAGAATTCAATTTCTTGTTCTATATCTGCATAGATGCACTTTATTGTGACTATATGTGAATTAAGTGCAGAAATAGAAGGGGTTTTTGGGGTGCAGTCCTTCACAGTTCACAGATTATGAAGGTCCTCCAGATGAGGAGAAAAAAAATGTAATGCTGGCTTCACGTATTTGTTGAATGTACTATATTTGCTGGGGAATCATTTTCTTTTAAGGCATGGCTTTTCTACTTATTCACTTACATTACTTCTCCTCTTCAAAGAAATTGTTCCAACTTTGCATCATCCATACATCACATTAAGGTACACAGGCTATTGACTTACAAACACTCATTGATGTTTTCATTTAGTCGTATGCTGCTGTATCTTGTGAAAATCTTGCTTGCATTGTCAAACGTCTAGTAGGATGATACCATCACTTTACATTAAGATATGAGGGACTATTTCAAAAGTAGGACTGGGATAAATATTTTTCCTCTCTTACCTGATCCATATGATGAAAATTACACAGGAGAATTCAGTTTGGAAAGAATTCGTACACTTATACAAGTGTTCAGAGACAGGACACTGTAGAGAAGATTACTGATGCCCATATATCCTGCTGGTTTTCATTGCATTAGAAACAAACTTGAAACTCAAAGTTCCTCACACAAAGTGAGAACTGAAGGCTATTGATACTTTTTCCTTGCTATGTCTAAGCTTTAGCAGTTAGAGATTCAAATGTTGCATAGAAAATTTGCTAGAGAGTTTTGAAATAGCTAGGTGTTACGGTCCATTTGTATGCTTTACAAGGTTGTCTTAGAGACTGCTAAATGCTGTTGAGAAATAATGCAGGAGTAGATATCTTAATTTTTGAATTATTTTATCTTTATTTCTTATTATTATATTTAGCTTTAAAATTAACATTAAGTGGTTAATTTGCATGTTATTTCATGATTACCATAGCTATTTCTATGCTCTCAGACCACTAATGTTGAGCTGGTTATTAGGGAAAAGAAAATGCTTCCTTTTGTCATTTATGAAATTGTGTGACATCAAAAATGAGGAAACTGAGACAAAAAGATAGAGCTCGGTTTCATTCCTGGTGATCTTACTTTATATTTCCTTCTAAGTGTCCCATGATGGAGAAATATTTTCTTTGGCAGTCCAGCCAAGTTTCTAGGAGCAGGAGCTGAATGTTTCTTTTCTGTTTAATTAGGAGTCTTAACTAGGAAAGCTGTAATCAGTACCTTCGGTGATTATATTAGCAGGAAATTAAAAAAAACAAAAAACAATAAAAAAGAGTACGTTTGTCTGCCAGAGCTATATTGGCATTCTAAGAGCAATGGTAGTTAGGTTCTGAATTGTAACACATGGCCAGTAAGTATCTGTGTACCGTAGTTAAAAATAAAATTGTTGCTTGCTAATTTATCCCATCTTTTCAGCTATGTGTCATATACCAGAAATAAAGGTCAGTACAAATTGTACATCATCAAACTGGATAATATATTGCAGCAAAGTCTCAGCTGCAATGGAGATACTGGATACAGAAATCAATGACTTTTAACCCATAGCACTGTTTTTTTTTTTGCCATCACTGTATTAACGCATTTTTTTGGCAATATATGTTATATAGATTTGGGAATATCTGAATATTTTTTAAGGGACCTTGATAGATGGGAGAAATTTACTCAGTAAATTTACATATTTCATTTTTGAATATATTTGTAATTGCACTTGTGATCAGTATCATATAAACAGTTTGGTACAATCTTTTCATATGAAGAGATTTTGAATCAGGATGAAATGTCTGTGTGTATTGGTTTAACAAAAGTAAAAAAAAAAAAAAAAAATTAAATTTTGTCAAATGTCTGTGGTAGAGGATATGGTTCTTTGTATTTGACAAGGTTTGGTTTTATTATTTTTAAAACTGTTTATAATGTTTACATAATGTGGGTTGATGAACGTAAGATCTAATTTTCCTTTTCAAAATACACTGACCTTAGAAAATTTTTGTTAAACATTGAAACTTTAGTGCTGTTAAAAACCTTGTATTACCAAACTTACAGCTGTACAAATAAGATTGTCTATTCTGACATTCCTGAACTTGTATGTACATAACGGAAATGCATTTGCCTTAGATGTGTAGATCTGCAGCTGGAGGCATGGCATGTAGTATAGGTTATAAAATCACTCCAAAACTCTAGCTAAGTACCTTAGGGAGGGCAGTGTAAAAGTCCTGTAAAAAGGGATTTTTTTTCTCCCCCTTTTTTTTACGAGTGATAATGGAAGGTACAGTATAATATAATTTTGTCTTACATAGGTGTATAATTGTACAGGGCATTTGAAGAAGAAACATTCTGACAGATTAAAAAAAAATGCCATTTGGCATCAACGATAAATAGGTATAAATGATAAAGAGAGAGAACTTTGTGGCCATAATATTTCCATATAAATTATTCATTCTTCTGTACCATATTGCATAGTGGAAACACCACTCCTAAAGGAGAAGTGTTTTGCACTTCAGAAAGCAGCATCTTTTCTTCATTGTTTCCTTAATCTTATTTTTACCACTTGCAGTGATAGCAGAAGCAAACTGAAGAATAAGTCATGTGCATTTCATCTCTTTAAAACAAAATCCGGAAAGTTTTTAAGCACTTAGCAGTTTTCTTCTTGGTGTTTTTTTTTTTTTTTTTTTTTTTTTTTGGTGGGAGCCTTCTGTGAGGAAGGAAATTTAAATTATTTTTTCATTGATCATGTAACTTTTAATTGTTCGGTTTCTGCGTGTTCCATGTATTATATTCTAGGTATTTCAGTAATTCATTTATTAACACACTGATAATATATTAAATATTCTTTCCATAGGCAGAGTAAATAAACTCAATTTGTGAGGGGAAACACTACTGTACTATTAATTTGAAAAGATGAAATTTTAAAATTTCATAAATAAATGAAATAAAAGAAATAATGAAGTTAAAAGCTGTCATTGCTCTCCTGGTGTAATTTTTTCAGAGGATGTGTTCTAACATTTATATTTATTTTCTCTATTGTAATATGTCTTTTTCAGTCTGTTATTGAAAACAGTAAGTTCTTTGAGCAATACGAGGTTACATACCAGATCTTGAAAAGAGCAGCTGAAATGTATGCCAAAGCAAATGGCTCAGGTAAATGCCCATGTTTCTATTGTTGTGGGGATGACATTTTATCTCTTTAGACATAGATATCTCCTAAAAAAAAATTAAAAAATAAATCATCTAATGCTTGTTTATTCCATGCAGTAGAGCTGTATAGCAACTGGAATCCACCTGAAAGTCTACAGGTTGAGATAGCAATTTGCATTTTCTTTAGCATGAGGCTAACTGGTACAGAGCAGCCCATTACTTTTTAAGTTCCTTAATGTTCAGAAGGTGGTGATCGTACTTTCTGCTGGTCCGTTCTAACTTCTGAATTGTTGATCTGTGCCCAGTAGTGTGTCAATGAACCAATTAGTGACATGTTTCACTGGTTGGGGCACTCCCCACCTTTGCTTAATTCACTAAGAAAGAAACGTCAAGAGACTTATGAAGTCTCAAGATTTACTTGGGTTCTTTTCCTTACCTCTATTTCTTCCTTCTGGAGTAAGGACTACAGTGGTGAAAATATTAAAAAGTAAATGACAAAAAAATTCACAGTTTGTTTTAATGGTGTTGGAAAGCCAATTTAATTCAGTGCTTTGCATGCAGACATAGTTTGTATGCTACATACTTCTACTTTCTTGTAAAGAAAATTTTTCTGATGTCTTTTGCTACAGATTAGAAACAAACACTAAACAGAGTATGCAGTGTGGTCCCAATGTTGTTGTGGTAGCAAAAGTTTTGTATATTTTTGCGTACTTACCTTGTGTGCTTCTACCATTTTGTGTACTTTCCTCAATCTTTAAGATTAATGCTTAATTTCTCAGAAATAACTGCAGTAAATTTGAACTGTGAACAGTGTGTGTAATAACTCTTCTGAAATAGCAGTTTTAGTCGAATACAATTGTCTGATGAGACTAGATAAGCGTAGCATAACATGAAGCATCACAGAAATAATTATGAACATAAATAATGTCTTTCCTGTATCTTAGTGGAAGAAGTTGAGAGTGTGATGAAATTCATGAGTGAAACAACAGCACAGTGGAGGAACCTCTCGGTAGAGGTGAGAAGTGTAAGAAGTATGTTGGAAGAAGTAATTGCTAACTGGGACAGATACAGCAGCACTGTGGCAGGTCTGCAAGCCTGGTTGGAGGATGCTGAAAAAATGCTTAATCAGACTGAACAGTCTAAAAAGGTATGAACTAATTCCAAATATATAAGACTTTTGTAAAATTTGAAATATGGAATGTGCTTTTTCATTTCCTTAGCTTATTTTACAAAATGTCATTCAAAAGGAGATGTTCATGCTGGCAAATTTTAGTGGGTACGTTGATAGATAAATCCTTATTGCACTACTCAGAATTTTTTTCAGTTTCTGGCACACTATACTGATAATCAGTTTCTCAATGTTTACTTGTATGGCACACACACACACACATATATAAGAAAGGATTAGTCTGAGAAGCTACTTTTAATGTTTATGATATATGAAGAGTTTCTAAAAGCTGTGTTGAAAACCTTTAGACACGAAAGTGTTATTCTTCACAGAATGCTAATATATTAAGTATATTCTATTGCCTCAAAATTGTTAGCAGTTATGAAGAGGCAATATAAACCACCTGTAGACTGAGATACATATGTTATTTCTATTATTAATGTTGAATCTAGAATATGAATAATGGAATAATGTTCACTTAGTTCCAAGGATAATTTTGATTAGCAGATTTAACTCTTGTTTATTAAAAAAGTACTTATGGGTTTGTATGGTTATACAACTGTCATTCCCAAGTATCTCAAGTCCCAAGTGAAAGACGGTAACTTCTTGCTATATGGCAAACTTTTTAAACGTTTTCAAATATTTGTTCTGTAAAACTACAAATACATCAGTAGTCACAGAATTGTAGGGGTTGGAAGGGACCTCTGGAGAGCAATTAGTCCAACCCCCCACTAAAGCAGTTTCCCTAGAGTATGGTAGAGTAATATTATATAAAGATTTAATTGGTGTTTATTTGAAACCTTTACCTGCATTACTAAACACCAGCATATTCTGTCCCAGGCATAGAACTTATACTTTTCATCTTCTATCCACTGTCTCTGTATTATTTCAAAACCAGTAAGTACTCTTGTTCTTTTTGCAAAAGAAAGTGGTTTCTTAACTTTGTCATTGGGTTCTCTGTTTTATTATGAACCTGTGTCACAGAAAAATTGGAAAAAAAATAAATAAATAAATCAGTATGCAGTAGAATTTTTCTCCTGTAAAGTAGTTAAAATTTAACAGCAATGTATTGATAAACAAGCCAATTCTTCTACAACTTTATTGTTTACTTGTGATGCCTCTTTAGCACTTCTATCACAATTCCCTCATAACATGCACCTCTCTTAACCTACATCTGAAGAAAGAAGGGACACAGAACTGTTGCTGTCAGATCAGGAGTCTTGTATTTTTAGAGTAGATTAAGAGCCATTAATAAAACAGTTCAGTGCCCCTTCATTGGTCTTGAGGACCAAGTGGACTTGTACAGCTTGCATCCTTTTGGCTATTCTATTTTTCTTCCTAAAGAAGGTGGCTTCATTGATTTAGTCCACTAGCAACGGTAATTGCCCTGTGTGCTACACTGAATTGTGTACTGTCTGGGAGAAGGGCAGCTGCCAACATGACGTTAGAGAACATATGAACCATTAAATAACTCAGACAATCAAGAGAGAGTGATTGAATCCTGCTCAGTTTACTGATACAGCTGTGGCAACGGTGCCTGGAGATGCTTTTTTTAGGAACAACTGCCCATCCTCCTGGAGAGCAAAAAGAAGGGGATGCAGGGAGGAAGTTTGTCTTCTCTTTCAACTCATGAGTGTGTGCTTGCCTACAAGGTGTAGGCAAGCATTTGGCATAGTGGGTGGGTTATTTAGGCTGTCTCAGTGGAGTGGGGGGGGAAAATCAGTGACAGTCTTGTTTTTTCCTTCTCCTCTCATCTGTTCTGAAACAGAAAGAAGCAGTGGTGAAAAATTAATCTTAGATCAGAAACTGGATGAATACGAGTGATTTCAGTTACAAACCAAATCCTTTCTCTTAAGGAGGATTTTCACCAGTTCAATTAAAGCTACTCACTACAGTAAAATAAGCTATGAGTATACCAGTGGCAATTTTTAATCCAGTAGACTGTGCTCAAACATTATAAAATTTTATTATGGCAAATCCATTTGTAAGCCATAATTTTGTAAGTTTCATAAGCCAATATGGCTTCAGAGACTAACTGTTCAAAGAGCTTTATCAAGCCATTAGCTGGTGATTAAATTTTAGTTTAATGATTTAAGGTAAATACTATTTGTAAAGGTTTAGGAAAGATGCTTTCATTTTCTTCAGGATTTCTTCAGGCACTTACCCCATTGGATCCAACAGCACACAGCCATGAATGATGCTGGTAATTTTCTGATTGAAACATGTGATGAGACCATTTCCAGAGACCTTAAGCAGCAACTTTTGTTACTAAATGGAAGATGGAGAGAATTGTTTATGCAAGTGAAGCAAGTATGTGTTTTTGCTGTTATTTAAAATACTTATATTTATTTTGATATTTCCATGTCAAGAAGACAGTTTGCCTCACTAGCAGGACTGTAGAACAACTTACTAAAGTGCCTGTTTATACTTATTTATATTAGAATTGAAACCTTGACAGGACTTAATTGCTATTGGGACATTTGCTTTGTTTATATTTTTGATTATACAGTTTTTCAATTTTCCTTTTATGCATTTACAGCTAATATAGTCTGTATTTTATCTTTGCAGTCTCAATAAAGTGAATATTATTCATTCATAACTTCTAATTTCTTTAAGAAAATAATCAGTTTTACATGCTTATTCTTACTGTAAGCTTTGTAAAACTGGGTAGCTAAAACGGTGAACACAAATATTGCTCTTTAATTGCAATTATGTTCAGTTACTGTACTGTAACCATAAGTAGGTGCAATGCAAGCTAGCTAAGTGTTTCCCAAATCAGTCAGACATTATGTCAGTCTCATGCAACAGGAAGCACTAATAATAGGTGAAACAAGCAAACAACAACAAAACAAAGACGTATCTCCTAGAAGACATTCAACACATTGGAAAAGTATTTTTTTTTCTTTAAAAAGCAGAGACAAGATAGGGTTATGCAGAATATTTCACACCCTGTAAGCACATAAGAAAATATAATTACTAATTATCCATATATATCCAACAGTGTTTTCCCTTTTCAATGACTTTTAATCAGCAATTGCTTATTTGCAGATGTTGAACTTGTTTTCTATCTTATTTTAGTCAAATTAAATGGAAATGCGAATAATGACTGCCCTTGTTGTTTTTTTATTGTAACTTGTCCAAACTAGATGGCTCTCAAGATAATTATTTTTTGCTTTTGATTCACTGTGGAAACTATAGTGTCCAGAAAAATGCATTTCTTGCCCCACATAGAGGGGGAGCAAGATTTTGAAAAATCAGCAAAAATATTAGCACACAAAAAATCTAGAAAAGCTGATGGAGGGAAATGCCTGTAAAATCTACTCTTGTGGATCTTTCAAAATTCCAATTGTAAGTGATGAGGAATTGATTGATATGTTGATTCTAGGCTAGAAACAAATGACAAGAGTTCTTTGAATGATACATTTAGAAGGCCTAAACACTTTTATGAATGTCATTCTTTTAATTATCAGCACTACTGAAAATAACCTTAGTTTAGAAGATTAGTTTCCGTTATTTTACATTTAATTGAATAGAATTTTTCTAGTAAAAAAATTGCTCTGAAAACATGCTAATTCCCTCAAGGAACTGCTTAGTTGCCACATTTGGGTTTATTGTTTGTTTTTTTTTTTCCCCAATATATTTTTACAGTATGCTCGGGCAGATGAATTGGACAAGATGCAGAAAGAATACCTGGACGGTGTGGCGAATTTGACAGCTTTTGTTGATGAAAGTAATAGAAAATTTTCAGCACCCGTAGAAGTGTCCTTCTTAGATGTGAAGATGTTTGTACAAGATCTAGAAGTAAGTTTTTTCCTTCCATCTGTTCTTTCTCTTTCATAAAAGCAAAATGTTAATTCTAAAGGTAAAACAAAATTATTTTGGGATACATTTTTAATATTACTTTTTTTTTCACTCGTATTCTCAAATAAGTTATCTTATAGCTAACTTAAAGCCTTATATTTTATGGCTGACCTTTCTAGAGCATATTTCCAAAACTCTTTCCAACTGGATATTGGTTTATGTTTAATTTCAGTTCACATCTTTGTGAGCTGACCAATTGTGTATCATCATAATATCGTGACAATTTTCATTTGAAATATTTGAAACATTGTCCAATCTTCACAGTCAACCATGACAAAAATTGGAATATATCTCTTACGTTTCAGTGAATGCATAAATGCCATTGCTGATTTTTTTTTTGTTAATTTTATTTTTACGAAATATTTGTTACAGAATATTAAGCAGAAATTACCTGCCATGGAAGCTCAGTACAAAATGGTTGCAAGAACAGCACAACTGGTTATGAAAGAAGTTTCCCAAGAAGAAATAAATGAAATGCTTGCAACTTTGACAAAGATGAAAGAGCAGCTAAGCAAGGTTGCAGAATACTTTTTGTTTTTACAGACATTAAACTAATTAAACCAGTAACCACTAAGCTCCAATACAAAAAAAAGAAAGAGATGAAAAAAATCTGAGAAATATTTATGGTAACAATTGAGTTAATTCAGATGTAGAAGATGCTATTACTTCTACATTTCAAGATTGTTATCCTTAAATGGATTCTTTAATTAACATATTATTTATACTGACCTTAAAAGAAGTAGCAACTATATTAGTTTACATGCTGATAAAGTTGCTGTTTACTGAAATTTACTGCCTTCTTAATAATTATTTTTCTTTAAAATGTCAAATAGGTCAAGGAGAATTCCTGTGCCCTACTGTATGAATGTCAGCATCTGCTGTCCCCACTTGAAGAACAGGAGAAACAAATCACGAATTTCTATGAATCTCTTGAAAAGGTCAATGAAATAATTTCTATCTTGGATCCTGAAGCACAGCCTACAACTGTTCTGAAGCAAAAAGCTCAAGTAAGTTTAGAAAGATATTCACTTTAGAAAAAGCTTTGCTTTCTTTAAGTATTCACAAATTGATTTCTAGATTTTTTTTTTTAATGGGAAGCAGAATTTAAAAAAAAAAAAAAGCCAATAGATTTAATTTGGTGTGTATTTATATGTGCATTAAATGTCTTATTTCCCAACGACTTCAAGAGTTTGTATTATTTAAAAAAAAAAAATCTGGTGAGCTTCACTGTTTAATCTTTCCTTCTACATATGAACATCATGTTACTGACGTATCCAATCTGCTGTTTACTAAGTATCTTGCAAGTCCTCCTTTCCTCTACTTCTGAAAGTACTACTCCCCCCTATGAAGGATACTGACTTCTGCTGAACAGATTAAACATTTTTTTCTTTTTTTCAGATTGTATAAATTCATGTGTTTTTCTTTTTTTTTTTTTCCCCTGAGTCTAATTCTTATTGCTCAGTGCTACTTGTAATAAAATTTTAAATCCAATAAGTGACTGGAAAGATTAATTTGTTGAAATGGAAGATTAATCTGCTGTTAAGATTTGGCATTCTTATGTCCATTTTTACTATAGCCAACTTAGACTTGCACAGTAAATCAAACATCCCATAAAAGTAGTCACGTATTTATGTACTGACCTGCATTCTCTGAAAACTGTCCCAATGGCTTTGGTACATGTCTATGTACTTATTTATTTTTTTTTAACAGATAGAAATCTATTTATGTGTGGAACTCTGCAGTTATGACCTGTGTTATTCCAGTGAACATTTTTGTCCCTTTTGTTCTTATTGTTTAAAAAAATTCTTCCAGTTATTTTGCCAAACTTTTCTCTCCTTTGTTCCTGGCCAGGGTGGATATATGTTTCTTTCTTTCAGGATTTGGTAGCTTATCAAGAAAACTGCAAGAAAGCTTTGTCCCTCATTGAGAGAAATAGTCAGAATATTCTGCAGTGTGTGGCTTCTAGTGAAGTGGTAAAGCATTTCCATCACTCAACATTTCAGAAGAAAGTTACACAAGTTCAGATTACTTTTCAGGTAATTACATTTTGCTGCATATTTTTGAAGCCTTATTCGTATGCAGCTGATGCATCTTCCCACATCAATATTTCATTGCTCTGTAGCTCTGTTGCTACCAAGTGGTCAGGGGGCTGAGTGTCGTCTTCCACCCATGAGATCCTACACTATTTTTTATTTCCCCTGACTTTCTTGCCTTGACTGATGTCAACGGTTTATGGGCTGGTCCGGCCCAGTTCCGTGACCAGCAGGGCGGAGGGATCTGCGGATCCGCGCCTCTGGAAAAGGGGAAGCAGGGGACCCCAAAATACTTGAAAAAACAACAGCACTGATCTGAGGTGGAACAAATGATTTTACTAAATATAGTATTAGTAAACTACAAAGAGAGAGAGAGAGAGAGTCTGTTTGAATTGTATAGACCTCACCACAACCCTGGGGTGAGAAGTGCAGTCCAGTTGAGTGACTGAAGTACAGACGGCGAAGTGTAGATGGCGAAACGCAGGCAGCGAAGCGCAGACAGTGAAGAGCAGGCGAAGAAGAGAGCTCAGGTGACCTTGCATGGAGTTATATCCCCTTGCTGACCGCAAAGCCTCCTGGGGAAATGTAGTTCTTCTCCGACGGACGAACATTCGGCAGATATCAAACCCCACCCCCAGTGCATTACATGATGTTATGGTGTGGAATACTGATGACCAAAAATCATAAAACCATGACAACTGATTACTTCCCTTTATATTCATATGCATTCCCTTTACACAAAGCATGCAAGACAAAGTCTGGCTGTTGCTGTTACTTCTCTGGTGCTTTGTGTTTTCTCAGAAAATGCAATAGTTTCTGAAGATGAAATTGCAAATACTCATTTTCTAACGTCAGAAATGCATAGAATGGTCTGGGGTCCCCTTTGCCTTTAGATTTGTATTTTGTTACTAGTAATACTGATATTTTAAGGGCTAATTAGACCCAGTCCAGAGTGATCCTCACTAAAGTCTTGGGTTCAGATCTCCAGATGTAGGGTTCTATATGAATGTTCAGCTAAAAAAAAATTATCTGTGTCAGTAAGGAGTTACCCTGAGATAATTTATGTTGCATTAATTAATTAAAATTTATCTTGCATTTTGGGGGCTCTCATTAAAGATTCACAATTTTTTACTTAGAATTTAGAAATTATTTAAATTATATTTTATGTTTACAGAGGTGGATACAGTTGTGCTTTCAGAAATTTACCATGTTAAACATTAATAATTCTGGTTCTGTAAAGATGAACCATGATTTCTCTCTTAGCATACACATACATAAAAACGTATGAATTCTGAAACTGGCTTTTACTCACATAAAAACTGCAGTCTTACATGATTCTAATATTATAAACAAAGTTATCAGTAACCTTTAAAGAGTCTTAACAAAATATTTAAATTAACAGCTAAGGATTTGATTAGCTTGCTGGGTAAAACTGTTACAATTTCTAACACTGGGATGAGAAATTGGTGAGAAAATTAGTCTCTGGTTGGTACAAAGTTCTGGATTTATCTTGGTGCAGCTGAACCAGTGAATGGTTTGTTTCTTCTGTTAAATTTTATTACTTGATTCACTAATGCAATGTGACTAAGTTTTCAAAACAGGAAGACTAGGAATTAAATCACAAAGCTTTTCTGTCTGCATTAAGCAGCTTTTTATCTGGATGCACATGTGGCCTACTAGTATGATTACCGTGAACTTCCTCCAGATCAGAAGTTCTGTAGTGTGGAAGTGTTTGGACCTGTAGGTTAAACCATCTTTATTCTTTCCCTTTGCTTTTCCCTCCTTTTAAGCAGAGGTTGATGCAGAAGAGTGTAGTGTGCTGTCAGGAAAAGTGCAATGACAAATGTTTAAATGTTTGAAAGAAATTATCATTTACACTTCACATTTAAGGGAGAAATGCTAGCCAAATGGTATATGCATTTTGAAAGTATCACACATCAGATAGCAGTATCTCCATCAGATAGCTACCCATTTAATTAGAATTGAAGATCATATGAACCTTTGTGTAGGTAGTAGAGTTGGAAAAATGCAGGCGTGAAGGGGGCAAGAGAAACATTTCTGAATGGATTGTATCAGCAAAAGTGACACCAAGTAAATGCATTTTCATCGCAAAACAGTAAATAGCAATGAGAGAGAGTCCATTCATTTTCTTTTCTTATAACTCAGAATATGGTCAGGAAAGCTGGTGACTGGAGGAAAAACATAGAAGTAAATAGTCGTTTGATGAAGAAATTTGAGGAGTCTAGAGCAGAACTGGAGAAAGTAATACAGATTGCCAATTGTTGCTTAAAAGAAAAAGGAAATCCTGAAGAGCTTCTCAGAAAGCATAGCGTGAGTAAATTCTCTGATTTTTCTATGACAATTTTTAAGTGCAAAAAGACTACTTAATTTTAAAACTGTCATGGGTTTCTTCCATGTGTTGAAATAATGCAGCTCAGACCAAACTAATACTAAGATGGAAAAAGTTAAAAAATAAAAATAAAATAATAATCACTCTTATTGATGAATATAAGTAACCAGAAAGTGCAGAATGCAGAACCTCTTAGAGGTAGGGGTTGATTCTGAAGAACTATTTGGAGTGAGAATGCTAGTTACATTTTGACCAACTCACACCAGCTGATGAGATTTCAGATGAATTAATAGTCATGTCTGTATTATAACTATTACTTAAGCAAGTGACTTTAAAACCTAATTCCTTAAAACCCTATACTAATGTACTATCTAGGCATCCCAGAATTCATTATTTTTCTCGATTATAAATAGCTGGAAGTTTTCCATAGCTCAAATTCCACTTCATTTGTATAGCAGAAGTAAATTTGAAATTTATAGAGTATGTTAGGGAACTTCGTGCTAGCAGATATCAGTAACCACCTGTCCACCTTCAATTCAAACTCAGGAATTTTTTAACCAGTTGGACCAGAGAGTCCTAAATGCCTTCCTGAAAGCTTGTGATGAACTTACTGACATCCTTCCTGAACAAGAGCAACACAGCCTGCAGGAAGCTGTGAGGAAACTCCATAGGCAGTGGAAGGTGAGTGACACTGAACAATGTCTCTGGAAGTTCTAAACGTTGACTTGAGAAAGCTTCCACATGACTTTTACAATGAATATATTTTAAGGAAGATGAAGGAAGAAGTTACATTTTTTGGCTTCTTATACAATTATATTTAAAAAGTGCTTTTCAAAATCAGCTGCAACTACATTTGCAAACACCAACTGCCAGATCAAGTGGCAAGCAGTTGTCTTCTGTATGCAGGCAATGATAACCGTACTGAAAAACTTTGAGCACAGATTTCTTTAAGCTGTTCTTTAAGCTGATATAGGACTGCAGTTATTTTCCCAACCTTAGGAAATTTGCAAAAAAGCAAATTCGTCACTCAATCAGTTTAAATAGTGTCATCTGCCAAAAGCTCTAAGAACAGAATAAGTATTGCCCATAAGCTATGGATTTTGTTTGCCTGCTACAGCATGTTGCAGGTCAAAGTTGGAGTAATGGATGAATGGTTTCTCACTGGAACACTAACAATAACCTCTGGAAGCAGGTGTGAATACCGATTCACTATTATTGTTTGCTTTATTGTTTTTATACAGGAAATACTTGAAGTATCTTGCCAAGGATCAAGATGTCTCTGAGACATGTCTTATGTACATATATATACATATTCTGGGTCCCAGAAACATGTGCATATATCATATTTATAAGAATTAGATATTGGTAATAGGATGATTTAATTTTCTTAAATGAATACTGAGAAAATCCTATATATTCATTCAAATATATGCTTTGTTTTCTGTATCAGGTGTTAATAGATAATTTAACTGTATTAACTTCACACTGAAGTTAATGTTTTATCTCTGTGCTTATTTATTACTCCTGTGGGAATGTAGGATCTTCAAATGGAAGCCCCGTATCATCTAATCCATTTGAAGATTGAAGTGCAGAAAAGCAAGCTCCTGGTCACAGTGGAGGAGTGCAAGGCTGAACTAGCTCGACAGAATAAGGTGCTCACCAGAGAAGGCAAAGAAAGGATGATTGAAGAGCACAAGGTATGAATTGTATGCCAGAAAGTGGGTATTCATAGAAATAAATCTGAATGTAACGATAAACAGAAGGTCTAGCCATCAGACAAATCTATGCACCACAAAATTAGATCGTTTGAGCCTTCAACAAAAAGTTTCACTTGAAATTGATCCCTTCATGCTAATACCTAGGAGTTCAGTTAAGAGTATGTATGACATAGGACCTTAGTATAGTCTAGAGCACAATGTAGATAGCTTTATGAATTCTACCGATTTATATTTTTGCTGAATTTTCTGCTTTGTCTCCCATCAGTTGTTCTTTGGTGACAAGGGATCTTACCATCTCTGTGAGAAAAGATTACAACGGATTGAAGAACTGTGCCATAAACTTCCAGTTTCTGATCCAGTGAGGGCTACATTGGAAAGTAGCCAACGAATCCTGAAGGAGCTCAAATCTCAGATAGACAGTACATACACAAAACTAACAGAGCATTCAGACATCTGGAAGAGCTATACAAACAGGTGTCAGTCCAATTCCTAGATGGTTCTGGTAGTGTCTTCTGTGTGATCACACCTCTAAATGTCATTATAGATTCACATAAAGAATGATAAATACAGTGTTGTTAACTTCAAGTTACCTATAATTATACTTAATGTAGTGATTACACATATTATGGTGGGTTTTTTGAGGGCTTTATAATTATTGTCATAAATTTAAAAGTTACCATTTAGCGGTGTCCATTTTTTGTCTAATTTTTTCATTGCTTTGAATTAAATGATGTTTTATTTCAGATTTTCTGAATTGGCAAATTGGATTTCATCTACAGAAAGAGAGCTAAAGAGGATAAAGGAAAGTGTCAATGATACTGCTAAATATGAGCAATTTAAATCATCTGTTGGGGTGAGACATTGGCTTATATTCTAACAAAGCTACTGTCATTGAAACTGCGACTGGATAAAAGTGTATTATGAGTAGTGCAGCTGTTTTAGCATGGAGACCATAGATAAGATTCTGCTGATTCTTGGTATTCTTAAATACATTTCCAGGGAGAAATTTCCACATGCAACAAATTGTGTCAGAAGTGGCTACTTCTACTATTTTAGAAAATAACAGATCCCTTTAACTGTATATTCGGAACACTGAAAATACAGAATCAAATAGATAAAGTAATTGCATCTCTTTCTGCTGCATATACAGTTAAAAGTTTTGAACAAAGAAAAGCCAAAATTTCTGGACTGGATATGAAGGATCAAATTAGTCATACATTTAGGGCAAGCTTCTATAGTAAAATATCTCTTCCATAGTACTATAGTAGAGGAGGCAGAGACAGCCTACCATTCACTTTTGCTTTGCATTTGTAATTGGTAAGAGAAATGGTAGAAAAGCTGAAGATTCTGTCCTGGTCCTTCAGATAAAACCTAACTTTTTTATTTCTTCCACTCCCCCCCTATGCTGGGAGACTAAACAGGAATATCACATGCCATAGCATGTTGTGTGAAAGTCATTAACAGATTTTGAAGTCTCCTCCTACATGTGGAAGTTGGTGGCCCTGTCTGTGGCAGTGGGGTTGGATATTCGTGATCCTTGAGGTCCCTTCCAACCCAGGCCATTCTGCGATTCTATCTCTGCAGAAAGACATAATTAAGGTGACCTTGATAAACCAGAAAGACCTTTAGCTTAACGGGTACTCCTGCTGCAGAAAGTCTGATTTTTATTTTTGATGCAGTTTACCTGCCAGCAGGATATCATCAGCACTGAGATCAAGACATCAAAAAAATTGAGGGGAAATAGTTATTAAAATAAGTAATAATAATAAACTTAATGTGTTTATAAAGCTTGTGTTTGGGAAACACAAGCTTTATTTAAAGTTTTTTTATTTACAGTTTAAATTGTAACTAAGTGATTCCATCACTATATAAAAAATACATACATGGTATCTACCATCTATCTGTTTTCTATAGGTAAAAAGTACTAATTTGTAAAGAGAACGTACTCCTCTATTACTTTATATGAGGTAGCTCTGAAAAGACTTTTTAACAAAAATATAGCCACTGATTGAAACATAATCAAATAAGGGATTCAAATACTACATTTCTAGTGTTTCAAGATAAAAGCAAAAATAGTATGTTTATATTAATAATCTCTGAACTGATATAATGAGTGGAGTCATTAATATTTCTTTTACTTGGAGAAAATGTTTTTTTTTTTTTTTTTCTTCCATAGGAAATCAGGCAGCATATTAACAAGGAGAGAGAAAATCACAGCTGGCTGAAATCTAGACTTGCAGTTGTTACTAAAATATGTACCGATGTGGAGGCCAAGAAAACAGAAGATGAGCTTTGTAAACTTTCCAGTGACTTCAAAGGACTTCTAGATTTGCTGACTGAGGTACAGTATGAGGAAAACAAGAAGCCTCCATTTATAATGTCACATGAAATGGCATAAATCATGGCTCCACACATATCCTACTGTGTATTTTTAGTTAAACTGCAAACATTCAAAAATGAAAATAATTTTGTTTTCTCGGCAACTAGCAGTAAAAAATTGCTGGCAGCGTTATATTTGGTTGGCTTTTTTTGTTTGTTTTGATTTGATTGGATGGTGGTTGTTTGTTTTTTAACAGAATTTGAGTGTCTTAGTAAATATTCCTAATAAATATAAAAACGTCAGTATCTTTAGAGACAAAAGTTTTCTAAATTGATCTTTTCTAAAGATGAATTTTCTAAAATTAATTGGCAAAAGCCATCAACTATTGGATATATAACTTGATTTTAATATTGATTTGTGTGTCTTTTATGCTGAAACAATAAAGAAAATATTGAAGTGGTTTCCAATCAAGACATCAAGCATGCACTGAATTTGCAGAAAAATACGGCATGTGTCTGAAGTCTGAAGGGTAACGAGATACTGGAACTACTGAAATCATGACAAGTTTCTGGCCAAAAAGTAGAACTTCTCAGAATCCAGTGAACCTTTTACTTCTGTGGGATCTCAGTGACTTTACTGCTTTATGATTTTCGCAGTAAAAAGACAGATTAGGAGAAACTTGGTACCTGCTCCACTTAGATAGCGGAACAGATCTATTTGGAAAACAGTCCAGTATAGAGAAAGATTTGATTTCAAATTCTATAGTTAATGTCAATTCGTGAAGACCTTTCAGGTTTTCTAAATAAGTAGGAGTTCCACCAAATTTTTCTGAACTTCTGTGGTATGAAAAGTATGTTTGGAAAATCAGTAGGAACCAACATTCTGATTTCCAAATTACTGGAAATAATTATTTTTAAAAAAATCTTACTTTTTGAATAAGAAAGTACTTAAGCTTTTTGTTTCTTCCAAATGTCAAAGCCACAAGGAGTCTGAATGATCTTCTGCAGTGAATATGAACTGGAAGGAAAACTCTGAGTAAGGGAGGATAGAAAGAAAGTTGTTTCTTAGATCTAGAATGCTATGAAAATCTTAAATTACAGAAACTGTCAGGATGTACCCTTTTCTGATAATCAGATACAAGTAGCTATCTAAGTCATACAAGAAAAGATCTTTTTGATAACTTGAATAAATATATCATTTTCTTATAAGATTCTGTGATGCATGTTGTAGTCTGTAAAACCAAGGTAGCAGCGGGCTTTAATATACTTGTGATTGGACAAGGTTTTGCTGTAGAAGGTCTTAAAGGCGATGAACTTTGTTTGTGAATTGAGTAGCATATGCTTTTCATAATTTGAATCAGCTTGTAATGCTGAGGACAGCACATCTTTGAAGTTATCATCACAAGAGTTTGTCACAGGCAGCTCTTTGCCTTTTGGCAGTGTAGTAGGGAATATGCCCAAAAAAGACAAAGATGGTTAGAGATTTTAAGTCTACATTTCACTTGCCAATGTAAAGCTGAAGGTGTATGCCATGAATTCTGGAGATAAAAGTGGTTTTAGTTTAGACAATTCACTATATTTTTACAAAAGGTATTCCAAATACATCTGTGCATTTAAAATATAGATGTATCTTTTAATGTGAAATACATACAGTTATAATTAATTGTAGATTGAAAGGACATTAGGTACTGTTGGAGATTGTGTCCAGTATAAAGAAGAGGTTAAAAGTGCAATCGAAGAGTTAATCAACAACTCAAAGGAAGCCCAAGCAGAAGCTGAAAAGATCCTGGATACGGAAAGTTTATTGCAAGCTCAGCAACTACTGTTTCATCATCAGGTACAGTAATTTCTCCATAAATGTCCACATTTTCTTTAAGGCAGAATGAATATAATTACCAAGTTATATTTTGTCCAGTGATATAGTTCTCAAAGTTTGCAAGAGTCATAACCAGGAATAACTGATTTTCTGGTAATTCTATAAAGCAAAACATATCAAGAAATACATAATGCAATTTGGGCATCCTTCTGCTTTCTAATGCAGATTGATGATATATTGCTTTGGTCAATCTGAGATTTCAACCTATTACTCAGACTGTGCATGACAAATTGACTTGTGGATGCTGCTGCAATTACTCAACTTATCCAGCTTCTAGAACATTCATTTGGATGAATGGCCATATATTGCCACTTTCTATTTGTATGCCACATAAAGTGTATATACTTTTCAGAATCCGTGTCTTGTGCTTTGAGTATATGAGACTCAAGTAATATTTCCACAATTTATTCCTATTCATTGTTCGCATTGTATACCCCATTGCAAACTGCAAAATGCAGTTTCTCCATGTTTCCCAAACATGATTAAAAGTCTGTTAGCTCTTGCTGTATGAATCCTTCTAGCAAAGAACAAGGAGACTCCGTGCAAAGAGACAAGGTGTGCAACAGCAGATTTTCCAGGCTAAACAGTTGCAGATTGAAGGTGGACTGCCAAGTGCAATGCAGGAAGATTTACTAAAGCTAGAAGGAACACTGGAGAACATGCAGCAGACTATGGAGAAACGTGAAGAGCAATTGCAAGTGGGTACTTGAAAACAAAACTAAAAGCATATATTCTATTCTCCCTTCTTTTTTTTAATTAGTGGGAAAAAAATATGCAAATAGTCAGGATGTACTTTCTTATCTCTGAATCTTGATCCTCAGGATCTTTGTGATCAGTACCTTCATAAAAAATTCTTGAAGCTGCTATATACTTATGCTATATAATGCTATAAAGAACTAGCATTTTGTTTGAAAGTATGTAAAAGTCCCAAACTCTCTATCATAATATTATCTATCATTTTTAGTAGCCATCTGTGGATTACTGTTTCAATTAGCTAATCACCTTTTCTGGTTAATAAAAATATCCGTGACCTTTAATTTGTAGTACTCAGGCTGGATGTTACAGTAGTAATATCTGATATTGCACAAATATAATCTGTGTCTGGAATGTTGGAGTACTTGTTGTCATCCTAAACTTAGTGAAGAAAGAAGCAGTAACAGAAATAAAATTGATTGCTTTGGACTGTATAATTTATCACTGACTAAACTGGGATTAAAATTTAAAGCTTCTTGCACCCATATCTGGATTGTCCTTTACATTTCATTAAGAAGAATTGGAATATAGCTGTCCACCACTTCACGTGACTGTTTATAATCATAAAAACTATTCCCAGTGTTAAAACACATGATGCAAAATGTGATCAATGGAGCCTCAATAACTTCAATAATTTATTATGAATACATTTTTTCCCAAATACAAAATCTTGATTTGGCTGTGCTTTATTTCGGAATCAAAAAATATTTAATTCTTTTTTGTCATAAATAATTTGTAATAATTCTTGCAACTGGCAGTATAGTCCTAGTCAGTAAAATGTTGGTCAAAAACAAAAAATATATCCTTATGTATCTTCACAATTTTCTACTGTAATTTTTTCATGAGAAGACTTGAAAATCCTTTTAGATATAATGCTGATTCCTGCCACCATAAGCCAGTAAGCAACTGCAGTCATCCCTTCAGATGTATAAGTTTTACATATAAAATGTTTTAAATATTCCTAGCAGTTTAGAAAGTGTGCAAAATCAGTGAATTAGTGTAAAAATGAAAGCTTTATTGTGTTCAGGACGTTTTCATGTGTAGAAATAAGTAGCATTCCAGGAGAAATAGTTTTATTTTATGATAGGAATTTCCGGGTTTTTTAGTAACTTAAAATGATTTTTTTTTTCTCCTGTTTGTCCTTTTTGTGGTTTTTTTTTTTGTTCATTTGTTTTCTTGTTTTCTTTTTTGTAGGTCACAATAAATAAATGGGAGCAGTTTGAAAGAGACAAAGAAACAGTAGTAAAGTATCTAAATCAAGCAAGCTGTGCGCTTGAACGTATCTTAAACTTTAGCAGTTTAGAGAGCCTCTCCTCAGAGCTGGATCAGACAAAGGTATTCCCTGTGAGAATACAGGAGCTGAGATATCCTCCTGCTTCTTTTGTTAGCATGATCCAAGTGCATTGCATACAATCTTAGCATGATTAGTGCTAATGCTGGTACATATTGCTTATAGAGATTAGAGACTGCATAAATCGTTTAGAGGTAAACAGTTATTTCATGAAAAGATCATGAAGAATTACTCAACATCCATAGATGAAGTAAATAAATGGGGGGGTATAATAATTTTGGGGGCTTCCCATTTTATGTTCAGCAAACATTTACAGTAGTAAGCTAAGCAGCATCAAGCTTCGACATACAAAAAGACCCACATACAGTGGCTCTTTGCTAGTCATGTGGCTTATGCAAACTAGCACTCGTCTAGTCTGAAGAAGGCAAAGGAGAGACTTCCATTATAAGGAAGCTATGAGTCAGGTGCTCTTCATATGAGAAGAACATCCTAGCCCGTTTTATTTTCTGCTACAAGTGATTGACTGTCCTGAGTGCTCTGTATTTCTTTACATTTTTACACTTCGATGGAGTTTATACAAAATTATATCCACATTCTTGACCGTTCATATTTACCATGTATGACAGAAAACAGTAAAAAAAATTGAAATCACAAGCTACAAGATATTACAAAGACATGTCTGTAAGGGATAGTGTCTAAGGGTAAATTAAAGATGATTACTGAAAGCATATAATATTCTGAAGTTCATAAAGAATTTTCTTGAAGAGCTATAAGATAAACTTCCACTGGTTGAGCTAAAATCTTTTGAAAGTATATAGTTTCCCTTGCTATATTTTATTCAATATAGGTTGTTTTTCTTTTTTAAATGAACAAACTTCTTTAAAAAAAGTAAAAACCCAACACCAACTTCTTAAAGGCAACATGGTAGGTAAGCCTTCTTTAGAGATTCCTTCTGTGTATTTACACATTCATAATACATGTTTAGGGCACTTATGACTTCATAAAAGTGCGAAACCTTTTTCGACCACAAACAAGAAAAAATAATTTTGGTGAAAATATATGAAACTGTACAGTTATGCTAATATGTCTTATATCATTACAGGAACTTTCTAAACACAGTGAAGCCATGGCAGTACAAGCTGAAAACTTGGTGAAGAATTCTTCTGAGATACAGCTTGGTTCAAAGAGAAAACAAGCCCTGCAGCAGCAGGCAAAATCTATCCAAGAACAAGTAAAAAAAGTGGATGTTACTCTAGAAGAAGAGTATGTTCTTAACAAGTCCTAATACTTATTCTCCACTATAAGATTGTATTAGATCTCTAAAATCCCTTGATAGTATTTTGTGTTATTTCATCAGCTCCATCATTTTCAACACATCATGGCATAGCTACAAGATTATAGTATCAAATATGTTAAAATGCAGAATTGCAACACATGCAAATCTGTGTTAGGTAATACATTATTTACAAAATTACTGTAGTTGCATTTATCTTATCACAGTTCTTATCTTTAAGCCCCAGTAATTAATCTAATTTCTCAAATACTGAATATTTTGGGAACAAAAATTCTCAGTGCAAATATGAGAATGTCTACCATGTTCTCAATTTTCATTTTCCCCTATCTCCATATGAATGTAAAGAAGTGCCTTTATCTTAGTTGAATGCCTAGATTTTATTTCATGGAGAATATCAAAAGCTGTTTCTGCCATTACAAATTAACGAGGCATCATTTGCCAAAGTATGGTTAAAGTAATAATGTTTAATTTCTAAGAAAATATTCTTAACTACGGTGAATATTTGTAGCTTTTGATATTTGTTAAAGTCTCATCTTTTTTTTCCTCAAGTAACTCAAAGTTATTAAGCTCAAAGTCACTCTATTTGCAGTTCAGCTTTTGCCTTTTTTTTTTTTATATACACATACATTTGTATGCGTGTTTGAAATTTGTATTTTTAGAGATGACCCACAAATGATGGACAATATAGGCCTATTCTATGTTGTCTTACTGGATTTATGGCGCAGATTAATTTGCCATACAAGTTTGAGAAGACACTCTGTGGTGGAATACTAAGTATCCCATCTGAATATGAGCAAAAGACAATGCCGTCATTAATGTTTTGTGCTTTTTCCCTTATTGACCATTGTTATGCTACTATGAATTAAATGCATTTTTCTCTGTGGTGTAAAACAACAGTTTTTGAACAGAGAAGAGTTACAAACTAACCTCTGCAACATTAACTTAGTAATTGCTGTTGGTCTGATTTATTTTTTGTGTTTCACTCTCTTCAGGATGGAGTAATGAGAGTGATTTATAGACAAAAAATTTACTATATCTTTCTGAATATTTTACCTTTTTCTCCAAAGTTACAGAAAAAGAGTGATTTTAGTGTCCTCCTTCTTTTATATAGGAAATTTATCCTTCCAACAATGAGGATTTTAAAGCCATCTACTTCTAAATGAAAGCTATGTTGATACTCCCTTTTGATCTCAGTGTGGAAGAAGTCTTAGCTGAATGTATGCATTATGCAGAATGTCTGTGGTATTGTGATACAGCAGATAATAAAATAAATCTCTTCTGCAAAATGTGAAAATGAACCACTCTATAGTTAATCTGCAGAACGCACAATCAGTGTGTAAGAGCTATGTTGCAACACATATCAATAAAAATCTTTTTCCAATAGTTTAAACTGAATACTAGTGGTGCATATATCAGTAAAAAGAAGAGGTAAATTTATTTGAAAATAAAAAAGGAAAAACAACAAGGCCAAATTTTAGATGCAATATTTTCCTGCAGCTTCCTCGAGTGTTACTAAGAGAAAAACGAAATGAAAATAAAAATTTCTTTTGAAATGAATGTTTTTTTAAAAGAAAAATGTATTTTGGAATTTTGTAATATTCAAACTTTTCTAATGATGTTTTTGTATAGTCAGCAAAACAAAAACTCCATGCAGGACCTACGTTATCACTGACATCTTTACAATGGCCAGAAATTAACAGAAACTTGTACGTAGGAAGTTAACATTAGATCTTGTAAGGAACTTAGACCTCTTATATGTGACCAAACATTGGGGGGTATTTTACTATCCATAAGATATAAGCATCACTCACATACAGACACTTTTTGACATATATTGGCTTTGAAACATACATTAGAGATATATATGCATATATTTCAAAGCCTACATATATACACATATATATTCACTTTGGGATAGTTGAGTCATCTCTTGATTCTTTGGCTCAATATCAAGTAATTGCCCCAGGAAAAAGTGATTTCTTATACACTAGGCAGATTGTTGTTGTAGAAAAAATCAAGTCCAATAAAGCCATCAATCATAGCTAAAAACATTTACTTCTCTAATATACTCATTATAACACTTCTACGTTATTGATTTAAAGGGTCTGTCAACTAACATCTGTGCACAGTAATCTCTATTTTTAGTTGCTTGATATAATCAAAATTCCATATAGTTCCATATAAATCACACTTTCCATGATATCCTTCCTGCTGTCATGAAATTCTTTACATACAACTGATCAATGAAATTGTGTTCTGTTAACCTTTTGGTGTCCACATTATGCCCAATGTAATTGTTTGACTGCAGGTGCACTGTCTAAAAGAGAGCCAGGTTTGAATTGAATTGCACATCTTGGTCTTCTAAAGCCAGGATATTTTAAAATGCCCTTCCTGTAGTCTGAATTAGTTACATCTTTATGCAAGCAAGAATATGGACAACTTCATTATATTAAACTGTTTATTCTCTCTAATTAATTTGGTTAATTTTAGTCTTAAAAGAATGGAAATGATGAAAAACAAGTGGGATCATTTTGGCAAAAATTTTGAAGCTCTGTCCACCTGGATAGCTGAAAAAGAAAAAGAACTGGAAACTTTGGAAACACTCTCATCTCCTTTGGACACACAGATCAGCCAAATCAAGGTGATTAGTTCTTGTTATGTAGAGCATTAAAGAACAGGGTTATTTTTGGTTTTTTTTTTCTTTTTTTTTTTTTTTTTCTAGAAGCCAAGAAGGAGAACAAACATTTTATGCGTTTCAGAACAAGCATGATATAAAGATGACCTGCTTAGTATATTAAGATACCAAACAGTAACATTTTACTTAAGTTAAAGGAAAATTCTTCTGCCTTCTCTGTTAGTGGTTAGTTTCCAGATATGGAGTCTTTGTGCATATAGTTAAATATTGAATTTATACTCTTTATTTTAGCACAAAAAGTAGATACATATATACAAAGTCTATATAGGTGGTGGTTTTTTTTAATTAAACATGCATCATCTAGTGGATATTGATCTACATTTTAATCTTTCAAGCTAAAGTTATAATTTGATTTATGTATGTTTTATTATGAACTAATAAAGGAACTATTGCTTTTTGTAGCTTGCAAATCTATATTCCATTTATTGCAATTATATTTACAAAGTCCTAAATTCTGTGTCATTTAGTTTCTCGTTACAAACTAAGATGCATATTGTCTCCAAACATTTCCATTTCAAAGTCTGCCTTGATATCCTTCCACTAAGAAAATGTTCCTACATGGGGCTGTGTGTTTCTATGGGATCAGATTTTTTTTTTAGTGTGTTTACAATTTTCTTTAACTTGTGACCTACCTACTCTTCAGAAAGTGCAAATTGTGCAGCCTTATTGCAGTCATGCACCTGATTAATGATACATATTTCAAAAAGATCCCATCGTTTGGTATGATGGAAAGATTTTACCAACAGACATTTTTGTTTTTATTTGATCACAAGGTCATATAGACTAAGCTAATTAACTTTATTGATTTTATCATTGAAAAATAAAACAATGCTTGTTCTTCTGCTTCATTGCTACAACTCAAAAGCAGCTTCCTTGTGGTTCCAGTTCCACTGGTATACACTGTCATCTATTCTTATTTGTCAGTAGTTACTATATAGGATGCTAATGTTAAAGACAGAAAATAAATTAAATGATATTAATATTGCATTACAGTGTAATAATTCTTTCCTGTTTAAATGGAGCCTAAACAAGCTCCACCACTGCATTCAGGCCAATATTTCAGACAAGGTCTTCCATGCTATATAAGCAGATAAACAGTAATTCTATCAACATCTTCCAAGTTTCTGGATATTCCAGCACAATTCTTCATTTAAACATATCAACAGAATGAAAATGGCTGAAAGGTAGTTGTTTCAAATGTTTGAGTAAACAGAAACAAACAAAAAAAAACCCTGGTAAAATCAAGGGTTCATAATTGAAACTCAGGTGCACTAAGCAATTTTATGAACAGTTATGAGTCAGATAACATCAGATATGTGGATGTAGCCTGAGGTCTCCTTCATGAGCACGGTTCTAATTTTGCAGATATTGCTGTATTTTAGTGTAAATTTCCTGATGGATTAGTTTGTATCACAATGCTTATCAGCATATTTAGTTCATAATTCAATGAACAGCATTTTAGTAAGGATTTGCTAAATGAAGAGAAAATAATTTGTTCTGATACATTTGAATGAACAGATATTTAAAAAAAAAAAAAAAAAAAAGGGAGGTCAGCTGAATATAATTATCATGAATATTAGTGGTAATACTCTGCTTTTTAAGACATTGTTTGCAAAACCCGAATGATGTCTGAAGTGATGTCTGCAGAGCCAGATTTTCACCTACGCAATTCTCTGAAATTCCTGGTGGACAAAATGACAGTTCTCACAAGGAGTGAAAACTGGTGGCAGACTCAATGAGAGCCTGAAGGCCTCAATTATACACCTTCTTTTATATAACTGAGTGAATTTAACAGAAGAGTGTGGGAGTAAATAAGTGCAGCCTAATTTGTATCTGCTGCATTGTTAGATAATTTCAGCTTAAAATAGGCAAATATACTATTTTTCTTCAGCTTCATGTTCTCATGCAAAAAAGATGTTTTATAATCTGAATTAATTCAGAATATATCACATAAAAGGATGCATAAATGGTTACAGAACCACATACTTTTTCCTATACCGTCACCCTACTAATTCTAGACTCAATGTTGCCATTTCTGAGCTATCTAATGTCACGTAAGGTACCGTATTTTTACTGCAGTTATACGAGAAAGTGGGCATGTTTAGGCCTATGAGGGTGAATTTTAAGGAAAGTTTTAGGTTGATGTCACACACACACACACACACACTTCTTAATACTATTATGTCTGAGAATGCTGATGCCTCTTCCAATTTCAATGAGATATTTAGGCTCACTCAGTTCCCTTCCTGATACACATTCTCTAGTTTTTTTGGAGAGAACTCCAAGGACATGCTACATCAGCAGAAATTAAAAGAACTCTGCCATGAAAAGAAAAAAAAATCTCCAAGTTCTAAGATATTTTCTGAACAAGCAGCCACTAAATAAAAAGTACCAGAAGTTTCTCTCTTGCCTATTGTAGCTGTCAAGTCTCCCTCTAAATTGCAGTAAAATCAACAGGAGGAAATTGTCTTAGACCTGGTGAAATATAAAGTCAGTAGTTACGCATTTAGTAATGGATATAGAAAATAACTGCAAAGTACCAAAGCCACTGTCACAATAGTTTTATGGTAAAATCCAATTTATACTTCAGTTAAGTTCTTTATATAGTCTCTGCCAGGGAGCACGTTAACCTTAACTCAGCATCTAAATTAATTTATATTCTATTACACCGCACTATCATTTTAAATTAGAAAAGGAAACAAAATAGGCACCCTTTTCATGGCAGACTGATTTTAAAAAAAAAAAAGAAAGGGAGCTTATAGAGCATATTAGAGACTTTCATAACTAGATTTTTCAATAAGTCAATGAACTCTCCTCTTTTTAAATAAAGGATAGTGGTAACAAATGTGAAAGAAGGAAGAATAGAGTATATTTCTGAGAGTTAAAAAATATTGTACTTCTTTGTTTACTATTACTTTACATTTTAGGTTATTAATACAGAAATAGATGGTAAAATAAATGGAATCTCAAAACTAGAAGAAGAAGCCAAATCATTTACCCAGTTTGTTACTTCTGGAGAATGCGCACATATTAAAGCCAAACTGACTCATATCAAAAGGTATTGGGAAGAGCTAAGAGAACACGCACAGAGATTGGAAGGAACCATCGCAGGGAATGCATCAGCACAGAAAATATATGAAGAAAGTCTTAAACAGGTAGACAATACAAAATCTAATGGGTTATTTTCTGCAATTTATAGAACTGTTCTGTTTTTCCAAAATTGAATATAAAATGCTATATTTTACTAGAATGAACTAGAACATGAGTAGCTTTTTAAGGTAATCACAAGACTTCCGCCGGTATATTTTTGCTCTGAATGACTTAAAAAGCAGGCTTGGGAAGATATTTTAATATACACACTAAAAAATGTACACTGTCTTTTAGAAAATCTGTATGAGTCTTCTGGATATTACAGTGGTGAAACACATATCTATGAATTCTGTAATTTGGTTGTTAGCATGCAGGTGTGATACATTATGAGGAAATTGAACATTATCTTGTCCCAGTCCCACGGAGCTGTGTACAGTTTGATTTTTAACTTCAAAAAATACTCAGAACTACAAAAGACTAAAATGTAATATTTTCTTGGCACTAAAAATTTATAAAAAGTTATTTAAAGCATGACTGTATTTCTTACTGTTTACAGACTGTTTTTATTTCCTTTTCTTCATAGGTGCAGCAGTCAGTGTCTGAATTTGAAACTAGGTTAGCTGAGCCTCTCACATCATGCACTTCATCATCAGCAACGTATGGAGACCTACAGGATTGCACGGTGAGCATGTGGCCTGTGACTTCTGCCGCTGAGTCAGGGAAATGCTACCACACTGACCTCCTTACAAAAGCCCCAATAAACCCCCAGGCCAAGGGCTGCCTGAAGTCCTGTAGCCTATGATGGAGGCAGGACTCATTGTCAGAGTGGGTTGACCTGGTGAAGGCTCCAGCAGACATTTTCTGCTAAGTCTTTCACTGTTTCCAACATGTTTGGAGGGCTTTTCCCCATTCTAGAGAAAGGAAAGCCTTAAAAGTATGATTCAAATCTTCAGGTTTTCATTTTTAATTTTATGCATCTAGAGCATTGTGAAAAAAAAAAAGAAACATTTCTAGGATACATTGTTCCTCAAGGATTTTTAAGAAACTTGTGTCTTGATATAGAGAATTCTGATTGAAAACATAAAATTAAAAAAATGAATTGCCCTGGAAGTTTGTTTGTTTGTTTTGGACAATGCAGAAACTGAACGGTTCTGGCAGACAAGATTTTGTCTGAGCTGCTAGAAGCCTCTTTGTATTTGAGCATTTGGTTGAGTCCATCATAATTAGAAAGCAAATAATGGACTGGTATTCAGAATACATATAAAACCCAATCTCTTATGAATTTGATGACATAGCTTCCCTTCCCTTTCCTTTCCTTTCCTCTCCTGAGTTTGTAATATGTTCTTGCCATGATAGTCTTTATCTTCCATTCTGACAGAAGTTCACTGTACATGTTCCTTGTCTTTCCCTTATCGTGCCATAGACTTCAGTCCTCTCAGTTTGGAGGGACTATTTGTAATTACTGTATCTGTATAAATTAAAGCATGCTATGGGGGGTTTGGATACAGAGTTGTCCTACATGATCATTCTGCACTGCACACCTGTTCAGAATATCTCACTTCTCTTTCCTGACAGGCTTTTCTTTAACACTGTTAAGATAAGATAAGATAGTCTTTCCCCGCTGCAGGCTTGTGGTGATTGATACACTTGGGATGTGTGTATCTGGGATAGATTTTGAGATAAATGTAATATATAAAGTGACTTTCTGGTCTGGAAAATGTGGCATTTTGTCAAACTATGGGTATAAGTATAGAATTTTTTCCAACATCATTACTGTAGCTTTGATGTTTATGTATGCAACTTCTCCTTCTACTACATGTCCATTAGGACCTTTGTCATACTGTGGAAAAACTGAGCAACACACTGGCCTCTCTCTCAGTCTGTGCCCGAAAGGCTGCCAACAAAGAAAAAGCTGCTCAGGAGGTTACAGCATTACAGCAGAGATATGAGAAGGTATTAGAAAATGCTAAAGAGAAACAAATGTTGCTGGAGACTCTTCTGGCTCGATGGCAGAAGTAAGTAAGCTACTACGTCTGCTATGATGGACACAGAGACCTTTCTGCTGTCAGACTATGAGACCAAGGGGAGGGCTTGTTTTGGTAACGCTCCACACGTAATTTTCTCAGGCAGGAGAAAGAGCTGTGTGCTTTCCAGATCTGGCTGGAAGGGTGTGAAGCTGCAGCCAGGCCTTCAGAGCAGTATGTTTCTGCTGACAGAGTTAAGCTGGAAGGTGAACTGCAATCGCTGCAGGTATGTTTCAATGGAAAGACTGAAACATTCCCCCATATTTCTGTAGCTTTTAAAGGATTCAGTTTTTCAACTGTCATCTGAAAAGTCACTTGATTCTGGGCTTTAGAAATGTGTTAGGGAAATACTACACCACAAAGACACGAAAATGACAGGAAAAATGTTATTTGCAAATACAGTATGCCTGCTCAAGAAAAATTATGTTCTAATATATCCTATTATTTATCAAAGAATGATATTGATCTGCTTCCCAGATGATCATTTCTCTAGAGAAATTCCTTTATTAAGCAATTCTGCTCCCTTAGCCGCCTCTTGTCCAGGCTGATTAGTCCCAACTCTCTCACCCCCTCCTCATAGGAGAGATGCTCTTGTCCCTTGATAACTGTGGCCCTTTATTGGATGCTCTCCAGAATGTTCATGTCTCTTGTCCTGGGGATTGCCCTGTTTGGTTTCAAAGTATGTTTCACATCCAAGTGAATTAAAACATCATATTTTGCTGACAAGATCTCCAGGAAATCTCATTTATAAAAGAGGTATATGCTAAATTTATACGTTTGCCTTGAGTACTGTAAATCAGTGAGAGAAATTCCCTTTTCAGATTAATATGTATATAGCTCTCAAGACTCCTGCATTCAAATTAACACGTACAGGCATGAGAAGATGATTTAGCTCTGGATCTCTAATGCACTCTCGTAACTACATATAATGATCTTCTACTAATGTTTAATATTTATGAGAGAAAGCAGGCATAACTGCTTTGCTCAAATTTGGTTGAGTCGGCCACTGTACATATATTTTGGAAAGTCTTCCTCCTAACAGACTATACCCCCTTCACAAGTGTAGCTGTCTGCTTCTCCAGCCATGTTTGTGGGCCATATTCCAAATGAGTCATATGGCTAGGTGTAACATTTTGTTCCTTGGTGCTGGGATGCTGCTGAATCTCCAAGTCAGAGCTCTGTAAAGATAATTATTAAAGCCTTTCATATTCCATTCAAACTAAAAAAGCCAGATCTGTAAAGCTCCAAGAAGCCAAATGCACAGTAATAATCTTCTGCTCAGAAAAGAAACTCACTGCTATTTTGCATGCTCCACTTTGTCATAAGTATAAAAACAAAAAAAGGCAGCAAAAAACAAACAAAAAAAACCAACAAAAAGACTTTTGAAGAATCCCTCCTGAATCACAATTAAAGATATAGCTATATAAGTACTGAGTACCCTCATGCTCTCATAGATCTCAGTTCCTCTAAGTACTTAGATGTACTCATGCGCTTCTCTCAAAGTGGTGTATTGGAAATCCTTAGCTATTTTTTAAATAATTATTGCTATTTGGCATAATATGATGTCATATTGAATCAAAATGCTGTACATTCCATTGTTTTCCCAGGATTTGCGAGCAGATTTTGAATCTCATGCTTCCATCTATGCGAGCCTATTGCAATTAAATGAGTCGCTGTTCCCAACAGCTTCCAAACAGTGTGTGAAAGCAATAAAAGAAAAATGTAAAGAGCTGGATGAGAGGTGGAAAGCATTACCTCAAACTGTTGATAAAAGGTTTGTGCTTTAGAGTATTTTTTTATGTGTTAAATGAGAAATTCATATCCAAAATACGAATTTCAATTCTGAAACATAGTTCTACAGTACAACCATTAAGAAAACAAACATGAAAGGATTTAAGAGTGCTCTGTGCTTCTAGGAATGGAGGATGGTGAATCTCACAGATTTATCATGTCTTTTTGCATAACCTCACCCTACTTTTTGATAGATTTCTGTCACAAGGAGTATGAGGCAGGAAATGAGATTAATGTTTTGTTTCCTCAATTATATGTTCCCAACTAACTTCCTAAAGTACTTCCAAAATATGTACTATCTGTTCTTCATTTCTTAATTTTTATTATTTACTTTGTGCAAAGCTATACCTTTGTCCTATAAAACCCATTTTGGATGTTTCATTTTCAGTGAATAGTATAAATTCTCAATTGTTAGGCTTCTGGCTCATCTTCAACTCAAGAATGCTGCCTCTTCTTTTGAAAACATATGTTACTATATATTTAGATTGAAGTTGATTGGTGATGAACATACACATTTTACTGGTTGCAAAGTGACTTAAATAACAGGCCCAGGTTGTTGGCATCTTTTAGATCCTTTATTAATACAATAATTTTACAGTTTAATAATTTTCTACATATCATTTCATGTTGAAAATCATGTAGAGAGATTTCTAAGGAAAGATGTGCAGTGGTCAGATAGCAAGGGCCTTTTTAAGATCAAGGTTTAGAAGCCTAGTTCTACTAGGTGCTGGACCTATTCTTCCTCTGAACCTCCATTTATTTCAGTCCAACTTGAACATTCAGCCTACATTTTTGGACTTTTACCTCAAGTACACTGTTGCAGATAGCATAAACATGCTCTGAGGACTGAATTTTAGCTTGAATATCATCCTCTTTGCTGGGACTACCGTTATGAAGAGAAGTTGAAGGACTTAGTTGCTTAAAGGCCCTTCTAACAGTTGATAGGAACAAAGTGGTAGGAAAGGAAAGATAAACTGGTACTTCCCAGATAAGTAATAAACACAGCAGTCTTAGCATTTGTAATGTAGATTACTGATTCCTTCCACTTGCAGTGATTTTTATGCTATCCAGTTTGCTATGACTTTAATTCTGAGAAATAATTTTTGTCAAGTGCTTTCGTGTTTACATCTGAAATCTTCTAGGATCAACTTCCTTCAGTCTCTTGTTGCTGAGCATGGACAATTTGATGAACTCCTCTGCAGTTTTTCAGAGTGGATTAAGCAGTTTCTTGCTGAACTACAATCCACTTCAGAGATAAACACAGCTGATCAAGAATTAGCTGCATCTCACAATAAGGTAAATTTCTGGATGTAAATATTAAAGCCAGACAAATTGTACCATGCATATAGATAAATATAAATATTTATCTAAAACTATCATAATGTTATTTACCAGTCCTTGAAAGCCAATACTCTGTTGTAGCCACATACACATTTCTATCATTTGACCAGGCTAACACAAAATTATAACTCTGCACTGTGCTTTATATAATCCATTAAATAGTAGTTGTTTTACTTGCAAATTCAATAATAGAATGTTTTCTGAACCTTCAGTTTCAAAAGGAAATGCAGCCCTCCTATTTTCTTTCTTTCCCGTAGAACCATTCAATGGAAATTGAAAGTAAGAAACAGCAGTTACAAAGTCTGAAGGACCTTGTAGATAAACTGTGTGTTTTCAGCTGTCCAGAGGACCAACAGACATTGCAAGGGAAAACTGAAGATTGCTTTCAGATTTTCCAGGAGGCAAATCAAATAACTAACCAAAGAAAAGAGGCTCTGGATCAGCTGCAGGTATTCCTGGAGCTCCATAAAGCTGCATCAAAAAAGCTCCACCAGCTGAGGCAGACAGTGGAGAAAACAGGAAATATGGACAAAGCTAAATCGGATTTACTGGAGAAGGACCTCCATGATGTTATTCAGTCTCTTAACAAGCTGGAATCTATTGCCATCAGTTTGGATGGTTCACTTACTAAGGCCCAGTATCACCTAAAACATGGGATTTCTGAGCAGAGGACCTCCTGCAGGGCTGTGGTAGACCATCTGTACTTAGAACTGGAGGCAGTTCAAAACCTGCTCGGAACAAAACAGAGTGAGGCAGAAGCTCTTGCAACCTTGAGAAGATCTTTCATGGAACGGAAAGAAGAGCTGTTGAAGAATGTTGAAGATACTGAGGAAAAAGCTGACAAAGAGGGCCTAAGAGAAGCAACACTGCAAACCCTTCAGCAAAGGTAGAAACAATATTAATGCTTGAGATTGGTACTTCTTTCTGTTTGGATGGAGGAAGAACATGAGCACAACATTCAACAAGTCCCTCAAATCTTTTATACTGAAATAACAGAGAAGAAAATCTTTGTTATAACACATTATTTTGTTCAAAGGAATACAAACTCCCAGCAGTCACTAGGAATCCCATACAAAATAGATGATTCTCTCCATTCAGAATTGAAGACTGCTGAATGAATCAAAACACTTATTGTAATAAAATACTCATGTAAATATTTTATGATATTTACAAATGACAGCGTGTGGTGAAGACATGTATCTCTACAGATTTGTGTAGCTGTATATGTATTAGGAAAATCAAACTCTGAGCCCAGTTGTTACTTTTTTTTTCTTTTCCTGATACATTTTATCTTCTGAAGATATTTTAGGAAATATTAGAAAAATTGAACTTTATGCACAATAACTCTATGAACAGCTATTTCTGTCAACCTTACCCCTCTTTTTTTCTCACCAGAAAGGGAAAATGAATAAATTTGTAACCTGCATTTTAACTTACAGATTGAGGATCTTTAACCAGTTGGATGAAGAACTCAATTCTCACCAGCATGAACTCCAGTGGCTCATGGACAAAGCAAAGCAAATAGCCCAAAAAGATATAACTCTTGCTCCTGAAATTGACAAAGAGATCAATCATTTAGCATCACTGTGGGAGGATACCAAGAAAGTTATACAGGAAAAGTAAGTAGTGAACAACGAACAAGGAGAGATTTCTTGTGGTGAAAAGAGATTTGTTTATTTGAGTTTGACTTCTTGCCATATTAACCTGTATAAACACTGAGAATAGAATATTCTTCTATCCATTACCTGAACAGAAATAGGCTGTTCTGTGGAATGGAAGGTGAGGAAGGGAAGCCTGTTTTTAGCAGTGGATTATTTTGGTCTCAGTGCAACAGGGATGTAGAATGCAATGTTTTAAACCTGAAGGGATGCTCCCGATAATTGGACTACTAAATGTTAATATTCTAAATGTTGCTAACTGTATGCATTTTCTTGGCTACTCCAAATGTGTTTCAGATTGCATTCTGATTCCCTTATGGTGAATTGCTACATCTCGTTCACCTTCTTTCAGAAATGTGACAATGAATTATGCTAACAGAGCTTTTTCCATTACAGAAAGGAGCAGTCCTGCATTCTTATCGATCTGATAAAGGAGTATCACGGCTTGAAGTCAACAGTGATGAAAGTCATAGACAGTGCTGACAGTGCTTCAGTGATAAAGTCCATTTGGAAGGATCGTGAAGATATCAGGCGAACTTTATCAAAGGTAACTAGATTTTCATTTGAGGGATTTAAATCATCCTTGACTTGAGATTAGCCCCTTTAAAATTCCTTGAATTTACTGTCAGATCTTGATGTTCAGGATTTAAATTTTACTGATTCTGATGGGGAAAGAATATATTCCTTTTTAGTAAGGTCCATGAAGGAATATTTCATTGTTGCTATTTTAACATTTTAGGACCTAAAAGAGCAAAATGTTAATAAATAGAAAAGGCATAAGTTATCTGCTCTTTATATAAAACATCTTATGAAGATATTTTGGTCATAGTATGAGGATGTATTTCCAGTTAAAATACTTTAACCTTTTTCCATATTGGGTAATTGGTTGGAATGGTCAATGAAAGAAAAAGGCTGACTGGAATACTATTGCAAAAAGTATTGCTGTTTCCTCAAATGCAAATCTGGCTCTTATATCTGTCCCTTTCCTTAAAGATACTTATTTGAAGTGATATAATGTTGACATTGACCATTGAGCAAAGATAAGGAATATGAATCCCTTTATTCCATTCATTTCACTAAATCATATTCTTAACATTATAAATCACTATCTAGCTTGTCAGGAATAACAGCTTTGAGTTAAATTCTTTCCATTGATTTGGAAAGTAATTTTATTTCAAAGCCTACTAAGCTCTTCATTAAAAATTCTTCAGTCACACCTCATTCTAAGTTGTGCATATTTATAGCATCTTTTTAATAGACATTTTAAGTAGAACTGCAAGATGGAACATAGCTTGTCTGTCAAAGAAATATGTGAAAATTCATGTCTCTTTAAAATGAGACTTTTTCTGTACAGAATGCCTTGCTACTGCAATGGCAGCCTGAACTAAACCTGAAGTAGTTGGAGCACGATAAGTATTTTGCACAACTCCTACCATAATAACCTAGGAATGGCCATATTGCATCCAGATTAGTAGCTGATCTGTTATATATATATATATATATAAAACAGATCAGTGTTAGATATATATATAAATATATATATACACACACACGTGTGTGTATAGTTATATGTGAGATACTAAAATCCTTTTTCAGATAACTCTTCTAGAAATAGGTGCTTTAAAGATTTCCTCAAGTGTAACACTGCATATGTAGTAGTTCTGAGGAAATAACTTTCCATGATTTTGTCTAATTCCTTTCTAAACAGGTTTGTACTGAATTCTCCTGAGTATTTTGTACTGATATTATTTGTGGTTCTAAATTTTCTTTGTGACACCCTCTGTTTGCTCTGTTGTAATGCAAGAACTGACGCTAAGTACTGATAGTAATATTAAATATTCAGTGAGATGTTCTTACTCTTCAATTTTAGAGTGTAGATTCTGAAGAATAAAAGAATACTTAAATAAAATTGTTTGCCCAAAATCCCATTGATTGCTTGTTATTTAGCAGGAAAAATCTGAAATTCATTACTTCAATCTGTGTGATAACAATTTATCTTAAAAGAACAATTCTAACATTTTATTATTTGTATATTGTGACATAATTGAGCATTAGATAGTATTAGATAGTAAGTTGAATGAAAATCATCAAATGTATAACATATGCCACAGCTTGAGAGATGATGTCTGGAGAACTGGATTTTTTCTTTCATTCTTCAACTCTTCCTTAAATAAGCACATATTTACATCCACAGCACGAAGCCGCCAAGAATGATCTGAGTGATAAACAAAAAGATCTGGATATTTTTACCAATAAAGGAAAACATTTGTTAGCAGAACTGAAAAAAGTGCAAAACTGCGACTGCACTGTGGTGAAAACAGATATGAACTCTACAGTGGACAAATGGTTGGATGTAAGAATCTGGTGTTTTTGCATGGAATACAGTTTATAAGTTGAACAAAGGTTGCAGTACTTGTATTTTCTTAGGACTGAAAAGTGTAATTGTTTGGTAAATTTTACTCTGAAATATATCTTAAAGGGCTAACTGTAAGGTTTTTATACTCACAGTAGTTACAGTTGTGACATACTTTTCCTGTATTTAAAAAGTATGAGTGTAAATGTGATAGATCATATATTTATAGATTTACTCAGTGTACACTTACGAGTGTAAATTTGTATTGTATTCTTGCTGGTATTACTTCATTCAAATAAATTGGACAAAATAAAAAGCTGTAATTCACAAAAAGATGGACCATAAAAGATGTGCCTATATTGAGAGACAACAGTATAGCAGATAAGCTAATATTTTACCTTTTCACATTTATACTGCTTTGTGCTTATATCACATAAGAAAGGTAAGTGTAGCTGTTTTAAAAAGTTTATTGGAATATAAAACTCAGTGAAAACCATAACATTTTAGAAATAGATGCATGATTTTTGTTCATTTTATGATCCAGGAAACTAAATTACAATTCATAATTTAGAAATAGCAGTAAGAGAATTATTTTGCCTAGGCTTTCTGATATTCTCTGATGCACTTGTCTTATAATTGACTTCAAAAGAAAGAAATCTAAAAGTAATTTTTGAATGGTATTAATGTATTCCCCTTTCTTAAAAGGTGTCAGAAAGGATTGAAGACAACATACACCAGCTAAGTTTAGGGGTGTCTCTATGGGATGACATCCTGAAAATTGCAGATGAAATGGATGGATGGTGCACTAACTGCATTTCTCATCTGAATGAAGGCATCAGCAACTTGAGTAACAGTCTGAGAATGGAGGTCATCCTGAAAGACTTTCAGGTGCTTACTCGTAAACTGCCAATAAAAATGTTCTGGGTCAAATTCTCAAGTGATATCAGGCATACAGATAATGCTGTGCTGTTGTAGACTAGCACATTCCCTATCAAGCAAGCAGGGGTATCACTTAATGCAGTGGCTAGCTGATGAGACTCCAGCCCTTTTTTGAAGCTGGCTGTTTCTAGCAGAAACCAGAACCGCACAGATCTTACTCTATCTAAGTTATTTTCACTCTAGCTCTATATGAGTATGTTTTTTACAATGTAAAAAATTTCAAAGAGCCTGGCATTGGACTGAAATATGTTCCCATAGAAACTGCTGGAAATTTTAGACTTTATCTGAAGTTAACCAAAGATCAATTTCTAAAATCTCAGCTTAGAATGTAGATTGTCTAGGCTTTATTCTAAAAGTTATAGTGGACTGAGGTACAGATTTTAATGTCAGTAACATGATGTCCTTCTTTCCTAATAGTGTTGAACACTTCCAGAAGTATAACAAGCATTCAAGAAGTGTTCTGCCAGTTCTGGCTTGAAATGTATAGCACGTCACCCATAGAATGAGTATTATTCTACTTCATTTGAAATAATGTCCTTATGAAGAAGTGCAATAAGTACAACAGAGTATTAAATGGTACTAAATCAGGTTTTCCAAGGACAAACATTGTCTAATATCTTTCTGACAACCATAACAGTTAAACTACCTGAATTAATTACCATTAAAATTGATTTGAAGTGAGAGCAGCTAACACCCAAAACCCAGGTATACCTGATTCACAGGAGGGCCAGAATAGAAAAAGGCATCAGGACTGTGCACAGACTTGCAGTCATAGAATGCACAGTTCATAACACTTTTTTTCTGCTGTCTTTTACAAGGGCCATTTAGCAATCAGAAATAGATGAAGGTGGATAGAAAAAAATGAGCGTATCTCTCACACACTTCATAGCACTGCTCCATGTCTCAATTAGTCAGCTAATGTTATATGTTCCTAGCACAAAATACCACTGGAAGGTTCTACTGGGGCTAGATGAACTTCTACTATTCCAGCACAGAAGTGAAGTAGTTTAAACCTGAAATCCACAGTCCAATTTTTTAACTGGAGTGTCCTGTTGGATTTTTCTAGAAATGAGTCTGGGTAATCTGAACCCCCCAGATTTCTTGCCTAATACTTCAAAACTACAGTTGTACAAATTATGATTTTCTGTTTCACAATGCTATTACTTCTTTAATAAATATAATATTTCTTTGTAATTTGGATTTATATGACTGCAATAAATATAATGTCCTGATGTGTGAGTGTGTATACAACAGCATTTTTAAGTTAGCTCTTATTTTTAATTTTTGACATTTAGTTCTGTGTCTATTTTTTTTTTTTTTTTTTTTTTTTTTGAGCTCCATTCTCCTTAATTAAAACCAGATGGAATGTGTTATACTGTGCATGACACTAAATGGAATCTAACAACAGTAGATTTTTCCAGTGAAATAAACAATGACATTGCCATTTTTATTCAGCTTTATTATTTATGATACTAAAACTGTTAGAGCCTTTTAAATATTGAAAATGTGTGTGATTATTTAATAGAGAGGAAGAGATCTCTGAAGTAAGTCAAATGAAGGAAAAGAAATAGGAGTGTTTTAGTGAAGGAAACCAATAGAATTGTATTTACTGCTAGTTGCTAAATACTGGTAAAATGAAAGGCAATATAACAGTTAATAGAGCAGTCTTCTGAATATTTTAAACCTTATAGTATGGTATGAAACTTTGACTAAATCTCTTTGACAGTCTCAAGTCAAGGATAAAGAACAGAAGTTGGAGGAGCTTAGCTCTAAAATTTCAGAACTCAAAGAACTGACTCATAGTCAAGAGCCTCCTGCAGATCTCCAGGTAAAACAAAGTTCTTGTGATTCACAGACTGTTCAAATGGCTAAGAAGAAACTCCTTTTGAAATTTCTGTCTCTCCTGTACTGCCTTTTTCTTTGAAGGCGACAGATACAACACTCTGTGGGCATCAGTTTGTTGTATGTTTTTTTCCATATTCTTCATTTTAGACTTTTCTGAAAAAGAATGCCATGAAGTAATTGAACATTAGAGGTGTAAAAGTATTTTTATCAAGTCAAAATTGAATAAGTACCTCAGAAGGTAGCTGGACAAATCTGATTCAGATAATCTCTACAATGTACAACCTTAAACAACTTTAAGCCAAATCATATGTGAGCGCAAACACATTTTGCCTCCTTAAAATAATTATAATGCAGTGGAAGTATGTGTATTTATCAAACCAGAATTAATATTTAGTAGTCTGAAATTAATGCACTGAGCTAACTGTTACTAAAGTGGAGTAAAACAGGTCACTGAAAGTGAGCTGTTGAACTTTTGTGACTGGCTAGGTCCATATTTTGGGCAAATGCAAAACAACAGTATGACTATTTTAGATGTTAGATTTCAAAAGGAAATGGTATGCAAGATCTAAGCTTTCAGTATGTCAGAAGTATTATAAGATAAACTGACTTCTGTGATTTCTACAGATATTTCCAGGAAAATGTAATAATAGACAATTACTTTTAAAATATGTATCAGATTTTAACTGAACATAATCTAACACTCATGTCTTGTCCATATTATGCAGTGATCATAAACATTAGCCTAATTATAGAACAGAACCCTGTAGTCTGAAGATGTTCAAGCTGTGTGGAAATGCTTATGTTCTCCTAAATGTTTCCTTTGTGTGAGCGGTTCAGAAGCTTCAGATTTAAGTTATGTTTATAATAAATTGAATATCTGATCACTCATAACCCAAAACCTAGAGCATGTTATTTTGCAAATATCTAATTGCTGAATGTGATAAATATAATAAAATGCACATATATACAGTACAATAGTTGTGGATATGAACTTACGAGTTTTTGGTTTACTTTTAATTGGTAAAATGTACGCAATCAACATCTGCTAGAATTTCATATTTTGCAGTAGTTAAACTTATTTACGGGCAATATTCAAACTGATTTTTTGTGTTGTTTTCAATCTTAATCTGCTTTGTACTGAGATTTTTTAAACCTCAGAGCTTTTGTATCTCACTAATATATCGTTTTACAGAGCTAGTTGTATTTATGTTAGCAGTATTCATACTCTTTATAAACGGCAAATTAGTAAAAGAAAGAAAGGTCAGCTGTTTAATATTTCAGACATTGATAATAATTCAACAGCTTGCACTCTGGCTTTTCAGAAGTTAGGATCCCTTTTTTGGATCAATGTATATCTAAGATTTAATCCTGAATGGTCATTTTATATTAATGTAAGCATATTTAGACATGGAACACATTATTAAAGTGTGTAACTTTCCTACCTTTTATCTTATTCAATAGATTTTCACTTCTTATAATGTGTATTTTTTTTTAATTTAAATGTTTTAAAAATTAACACTTTGCTTTTAGTTTATAGAATCAGATTTAAGGCAAAAACTGGAACATGTCAAAGAAATGTCACAGACAGCAAAAGAGACACTAAAAGATTTCAGTTCTCAGAAGATGCAGTTACAGAAGTTTATTGACAAGATGACACACTGGTTAATAGAAACGGAAGAGACACTTTTAAGATGCTCACGTAACCTGGATCCTGAAGCTCTAAATCTAGTAAAGGTCAGTGCTGAAGAAAATGAACATACTTTTTTCCTAATGAGATTAACTTTGTTTTTTGTTGGAATTTTTACTAGCTAGGTACAACAGTTAAGCTTTATATTTCATTTTCACTTGATAAAAAAAGTACATACCTTAGAGGTGTATTTGTGACAAACCATGCTGAGATTTTTTCCATTGTGAGCTTGGTTTAATGCTGATATACCAGCCAATTCAAATTCAATTTGATGATGAATATTCCTCTCTAGTCTGACAAAAACTTCCTTTCATTCAGAAGTCCCAGCAAATTCCAATGTCATAGTGCATCTCAGGTGTAATTCCAAACTGTGCTGAAAATTATTATTGTTATTCAACATGCTTTACACTTACTATTTTAAAAATAAAATATCAAGCCATGTGAAATAGCACTTTCATATTTCTGTGCTGACTGTTTAGTTTCAAGAATTCATCTCATTTGGAAAATTCAGGAAGCTTGATCCAGTACTTCTGTTGATTATGATTAGTACTTGTAACGCACCATAAAAGGAAAGAGCACAAAGGAGGAGAAAGAATGCTTGAGAAAGTAGAGGGCTCTATTGTTTCTTTACAGATGTCATATTTGTGTTATAACTTCATTTTCAGGAAACACAAAAAGACCTGCAGCTCCAGCAGAGCACCATTGATTCAACCCGTGAGAACCTCAACAGACTGTGTCGCAAGTACCATTCTGTAGAGCTAGAAACTCTTGGTGGCACTGTCACTTCACTAATAAAGAAGTATGAAGCTGTGAATCAGCTCTGTTCCAGAACACAGGCCAACATACAAGAGTGCTTGGAAAAACATTTCCTCTGTGAGTCTTCAGGCTTGCTAACAAACCGTTAGCCCATAGTCATGAATCATTTGGGAGCCTGCCTGAGTTTCCAGTGATGTCATTTGCAATTATAACGTTATTTTTGTATGCAGCCTTTCAAAAAGTTAACAGATTGCCATATCCTATTTGCTACGAAACCAAGCATTATACAAAAACAGAATTCAACATAAAATATTTCTGAAAGGCAAGCTTACTTTCTTCAATACCTACGTATGTTGCTGCTTCATAGTCTCAGATTCTCCTGTTTTAGTATTCATCTCTACTAAACACAAACACTTTGAGTATTCACCAGTTGGAGATTTATTTAGCCAAATGGAGATAGTAAGTCCCCATCTGAAGAAGTTCCTGGGCTTCCTGAAAAATCATTGGAGAGAAACAGGCAATTTTATATCTTAGACATTAAAATACTAACCTAGATGTTTATCTAATGTTAAATTGGAATAAATAGCAGCCTGGAATTGTCTGTCTTTCCCATCAACTATAAAGAGAAGCCCAATGTGAGTGTTCTATTTGGATGTTTTGTGAATTGTGCTACCCAAGGTCACTGAAGACAGTGAGATTCATCCTTTTAGCTTTTACTTGGGGGACCAGATGGATAAATTAAGTGGGAAAGGCAGCTGGATCAACAGAATTGTGATAAAGATGCTTTGTAAAAAAAATATGATCTTTATTCTTTTTTATTAAATAGATACTATGCAAGAATTCCAGGAATGGTTTTCTGATGTGAAGGCTGCAGTAAAAGAATTATCTGACAGGTCTGGAGATAGCAAAGCCATAGAGGCAAAGCTGCATGATTTGCAGGTATAGTTAACAAATCAAAAACCAGTAACAAGTGATATAACTATGCATAGATATCAAATTTTCTCTCTTAATTTGTAGAAACCATCGTACTCAATGATTTTATTTCTGAAAAATAATATAAAAATAAATCAACACAGCAATACATACTTTAGAGGAAATACAGTGGAAATTGTTTACTGTTCTGAAAGATCGGACTGAAGTTTATGTATAACTGAATCATTCTTGTTTGTGATTTTTATTGTTTCATTTTGTTTGTTTTGCATTCATTCTTTTCCTTTTTCTATTCCTTCTATACCTTCTACTTCAGATGAACCATGTTGTGTCAAATATAGCCTGTATTGATTTTTTGCTGGGATAGAGAACAAATGTAGCAGATAGCTAATGTAAACGGCTATATAATATAATATATAATATTTTTATATATTATATAAATATAATTTTACAAATATATAAAATATATTATAAAATTATATATTATATATAAATATTCTATAAATATAATATATAAACAGCTAACGTAATTTCTAAAATACCTATTATTTTCAGCTTACTTCAGAGAAGACAGAACTACTTTGTGATAGGAAAATTGAGCTTTGTGAATTGTAGTAGCACTTAAAACACTTTATTTGAACTTTCTACTTGGAATCTTTTCCTCACCAAACATGGTTCTCAGCTTATTAAAATCTAACCACTTCTAATATAAATTTTGCTTGTCTTTATTAAGTCTTGAAAGTTTAAACAGTGTTCTTTCACCATACAGAGTGTGCTGGATTCTCTTAGTGAGGGGCAAAACAAGTTAGATGCTGCCTCCAAGGAAGGAGAAAACTTGTACACTTGCTTACCTCAACCAGCTGTGATCCATATTCAGGAGCAAGTAGCAAAGTCTAATCAGAACTTCAAAGAATTCCTCAGTCAGTGTCTGAATGATAAGCAGGCTCTGGAAGCTTGTGCCTCATACCTGGGAAGGTGAGTTGCAGACAGACTGCATGAAATTTTCAAGCTGTAGAAATACAATTGCAATTTACTGTTAACTAATTCTGTTTGCTCTTTTTCTTTGGAAATATTTAGCAACAAACAAAAAACAGGTCATATATGAGGAAGAATTGTGAGCTCATATGATCCCAAATAAATAGTTGAAATCTCAGTAATTTAAATGCAATTTCCTGGAATGAAAAAATGAATTTTCAGGTTCTGCCTGGATGTTTGAAGATAGTGTGTGCTTTCTACAAAGCATATGCCTGTCCTATACCATTCCAAATAAACATATTTCCCAAAAAGCTAGTAAGAAAACATTCTTAATTTAGCACTTTTAATTGGAATTTTGAGAGTTTAAATGCTTTTAAGTATAATTAGATTCAAAACTGCTGCTAGCTGAAAGCAAAGTTAGTGTAGCAATAACGGGTAAGAGATCAAGATGAGATGATATGCCTTCATATAAGTAAAAAGTTTACAATCAGGGACTTGGGTGCAGAGCATACTGAGTTGAGTTCTCAACAGGCCAGATTCCACTTATTTTGTCAGTGAAGCTGAAAACACGAAACTTCAGGTACTGTATGTGTCAGTACTGAGTAAAAGTCCATTTCCATCTGTTTGTTCATTTGTCTCGGACAATATCATTATAAGGATTTGGGAATATTTTTTCTTTTTTACTGTCTTCATTGAGTCTAGTAGTAAATAAAAGTACTGCCACTTTAAATTTTGAAGGCTGCTTTTCTCATGCAGTTCCCATGATTTTCCTGAACGTTTTTAGAGAGTTGCCGAATATTTTTAGATTACTAGTCACTGTGGAATTATGTTTTGTACAACTCCTATTCGCTAAGAATGAAATTGATACCTAGCTTTGTTTTCTCAGTCTTGTGGATACTGAAAGAACTGAGTTAACTTCTTACTAACTTCACTCCCCTCAAGAAATTAACGGAATATTTATCTAATCTGTAGCTTTGAAGAACAGCACAAGAAATTCAGCCTGTGGATACATGACATGGAAGAAAGAATGAGCACAGAAGCATTAGGAGAGGTCAAAGAGCTTATTCCTGAGAAGAAAAAGGAGGTGCAGAAAGTAGAAAAGTTTCTGGAAGAGTTGCTGGCTTCAAGGTACATTTCTTAATATACTCTTATTTTTTTCCTCTGTTAAAAACATGTAGTAGAAGGAATAGTAAAAACACATCATATCCATTTATAAATTTTTCTTTCTTTCTGTTCTGTGAAATTCATATCTGACCAGATTAGTTGGATCTGATACAGTTGAATTTGTATTAAGAGCTCAAATAGCATCCACATCGGCAGTGAAATATTTCTAGAATTCAGACTTAGCCAGTGGGTGATGAAGTAATTGCCATTTTTAGTATACTGTGGTTTTACAAACTTTTTAAAATTGCTGTTCGGTTTGTCAAGATATAAAAGAAATAGCAGTAAAGTAGTTCAAGTGGTAGTCAAGTAGTTCTTGCCTCACAACACGCTAAAAGGAAGCACTCAGTCACTGTCTACTTGAGCCTGATGTAAGACATCTTGGTCTGATGTAAATTCCTGTAATCATAGGTTATCCGGAAGTTTGAGATTGAGGCTGTGTAAGGCCAGAGTTTTAATCCTTTTTACTGAGCCTTCTACCCAACCCCAGATTCAGTATCTAATCCTGGGCAAATGGCCTGACCATCATGCATTCCCACCTAAGTCTATAAACTGCTGAGAAGCTTTGGAAAGTGCAGAAAGGTAGTAACTCATGCAGAACTGGAAGTCTGAGAGCCATAAAGAAAATAAGTTAGCTTTTTATTTAAATGCGCAAAAGAAAGATTTCAGTATCATAATTTGGAGCATCAAAATCTGCAATAAATTGCCCTATTCACAAGTAAATATATGAATCAGTATACAATTATTTCTTTTAAATCTCTCCCAGCTACATTTTCTGTTAACTAGGATCTCTAACACTGGTGGAATATGTGATTATGTGAACAGTCTTCGTAACTTCTCATAGTTGCTATAACAATGTCATATGCTTTTTGAAATTGATTTGCAATCTCAATTCTTTCTTTCAGGGAATCTTGCGAAAAGCTGGCCCAAATTGCACAGGCTTTAAATGAGGAAGGACATGGTGCAGGAAGGGAAGTGCGCCTGGCCTCTCAACATCTCACCAATTATCAAAACATGGTCAAAACTGTCAAGGAGAAGCTGCGAACATGTCAACTTGCACTCCAGGAGCACCTCACTCTGGAGGAAGCACTACAGAGCATGTGGTCATGGGTGAAAGAGGTTCAAGAAAAACTGGCCTTGGCTGAGAGTACAGTTGGTAGCAAAGCCACGCTAGAGCAACGTCTGACACAAATTCAGGTAAAGAATAGTAGGACTGAACTTTATGTATCATCAAGATTATAACTATGTGAGGGCCACATCAATGGAAGAGGAATGGGTTTTTTTTGTTGTTGTTTTTTGTTTTTTGTTTTTTGTATTTTTGTATTGTATTTTTACACTGTTATAAAGAAGATGATTTGAATTTAAAACCACCTTAAACTGGGAGATGCAATGTGAGAAACAGGACGAAGTTTAATGGAGAGGAATGTGAGGTATTATATTTAAAGAGGAATGACCAACTGTGGAAGTGTGTATTCAGATTCAAAAGCTGTCTAATGGAGAAAGCCTTGAAACTATTCACCTAGAAATCCTGTGGCATATATATATTACAGGAGGTTTTCGAGAACAGGCTAGATAGACATCAGCTGGAAAGATTAGTCAAGCTGTGTGCTGCTGTCTTTCTGTGCAGTCCTTGAAATACTCATTATCTGCTACAATGTAAGCAATATTTTAGGATGACTAAGACAGTGAAATAACTGTAGGGAAAACCACCAGATTCCTTGCATAAAATAAGGGATGGACACCTAGAAAAACAGGAATTCATTCTGGACATGTTTGTCAAGGGTAAAGGAGTTCAGAAATTGTGTTCTCTGCTGAAAGAATAACAGCCTTCAGCTGCCAGCAGATTGCACTTAACATTTTTATTTATTTTGCCCCACAGGAGATTCTCTTACTCAAAGGAGATGGTGAAGTTAAGCTGAACATGGCTATTGGCAAAGGAGAACAAGCACTTAGAAGCAGCAATGAGGAAGGACAAAAGGTGATACAGACAGAGCTACAAAAACTGAAGGATGTTTGGAATGACATCATCAGCACATCCATGAGCTGGCAGAGGTAAAACTCACTGAAAAACATGGGTCAAACCCTGACACAATATAATTTCTGAATAGAATAGAAACTTTTGATTTCCTTCACCATTCTTACCAATCTGTTCTAGAACAAGTTTCTCCTTTGTTTCCAGTCGGACCATATTACTTAAATTTATTGTATTTTTTGTCCTCTGAAATCTCTTAATTGCTTTCCATTCTACTAAACCAGGCTATTCTCAATTTTTGTATTTGTAGATCTGATTACCTCTTCCTATGCAAAGATACTTTTTCACTACCAAATTCCACCCTCCTTTCATTTCTTTGAACATCTGACATTTAAATTCTGTTATTCAAGCTAGCAGCAGCCCTTCCCTATTTATCATCTATGAGTTTTACAAGCAATATAAGTTCCATCCTCTTAATCAATATTGGATAGAAAATGGACTTCTGCATGATCCTATTTCCTTAGCTTTCTAATAACATCAAAGTTTTCTCTGCATCAGAAAACTGTCATAGGTCTGTACTTTAAACAGCTGAATGCCAACATATCTCTGTCTTTAATATCAGTTATGGAAGGGGCTATGATACAGGTAAACAGGAGTTCTTCAACTAAAATTGATGTCTCTTTCTCTTATAGTCAAAAACAGTAATACAATTTGATCTAGAAATTTGTAATGGGATGCATTATGGTTTTATTCTAACTTCAAAAATTTATGTCATAAAATATTGTGTGTATTAGGGGAGACTATCATATTTTGAATGAAATCCTTACCATAGTCATAACTCCTGCTAAGTCCAATGGAATCAGAAATGCATTCCTCAATACAAGTCCCAGAGAGACTGGGAGATCTGCTAGGAGGAGCAATATATAAAGAAAGGTGTATATACATACATACATACATATATATAATATAAAAATACATAATATATAAAAATATATATTATATAAAAATACATACATATATATATATAAAAGAATACATATTTTCTCAGTATTAATGGTAAATATATATATTTATTATTAGTGGTAAAATGGACTATATATAACTGACTTATTCTTCAAAAAGTCTCTGGAATACAATTTAATTGTCAATAACTTTACATTTTATTGCTGTGATCATAATAAGCTTCACTAATGCTCTATGTTTTACTTTGCTATGCAGACAATGAAATATGTATTTAATTAGCATGAGACAGATATGTTGCTCATGTAACCTGTACTAGAGAAGCAGTTTTATCAGGTTATATGTAGCAGTAGCCCAAAGAACACACAAATTCTAGAATATCTTGGATTTAAGCTGATAGAGAAAACTAAAACAAGATGGAGGAAAAAGCATATTCTAAACATATTATAGATGACTACACAGACTAACAGGGTATAAATAGACATTTTTTGCTTAGACCTTTTGAAAGTTCTCATCTGTAATGCATATGTTTCTTTTAATGTAAGCTGCTTAGAGTCCCTCATCAGCCAGTGGAATGAGTATTTGGAAAAGAAAAGCCAGTTGGAGCAGTGGTTAGAGAAACTGGATCACAAAGTGGAGCAGCCTTTAGAACCACAGATAGGTCTGAAGGAGAAGTTTGCACAGCTGGACTACTTCCAGGCTATTGTTTCTGAGATAGAGGATCACTCTGGTGATTTCCAGCAACTTGCTGAAAAAACTGCAGAACTTTACAAAAAAACAGAGGATGATTCTTTTGGAGCAGCAGCTCAAGAACTGGAAACACAGTTTAATGACATCACAACTGTAGCCAAGGTAAGATAAAGGAAAAGGCTTCCATTTCAGGTAAAATTTTTAAACAATTGTATATAAGGCTAAATTTTCTTCATTTATAGTGCCTGAAAGACAGAATGTATTTGAATAGTCTTGCCTTTTGTTATAGTTGAATCTAATAAAAGTGTTGTGTGTAGTTTACTAAATATTCAGTGGAATGCAAAAAATATTGGAAATTGAAACTGGTACGGTTATGATTTTTTGAACATTGAAGAGCATATGTTTTATTCCTAGTTTAACATATACAATAATAGCTTCATGTATACGATAATACTTTGGAGAGTCTTCCAGATTTATTTTCATCTAGTTCTTTTTTTTTTTTTCATTCCTAGCACACATTAACCTAGAAAGATAAAAATGGAATGTCTCCTCGAGCAGAAAATATGGTCAGAAAGAGAAATATTATTTTCAGAAATATGCTAGTGTTTTGTATTATTTCAAGTCATTAATCACTGCAGTTGTTATACTGGTATACTATTTGGTTTCTAAGGAAAGATAAAGCAGCTCACGGAGCCCTTCCACCATGAAAATCAGAATGGTAACAGTAGTTCTGAGTTTGTCTGCATCTTCACATCAGCATCTTTACACCAGCAGGAGGCCACATAATAAGAAACAAATGTTGCTGTGAGATTGAAGTAAACAATATACACACCTTTAGCAATCTGATAGGAAGTATTGTCTGGGTTTTCATGTATTGAGAATACTGCTGATGACCTACATTGAAGTAATATGCTGTCTGTAAAATAAAGAAAGCCAAAGTGAAAAAAAAAAAAACACAGCAGAACAGAAGACCTAACGAGTTATCTGATAGGAAGAAACATTAAATGCAGAATACATGAATTTACTTGCTTAGAAAAAAATCTGTGCATTTTTGTTTCTTTGTTTTTTATAACGTAGATAGGAAAGTCAAAAAGTGGAATACAAGTTTGCTTCTGTCTTTTCCACTTTAATTTCTGGGGTAAGATTTCTCTTGTTTATAATTACCATCTAATCACACACTGACAGGTTTTTTCTATGATGAACTTTTGCTTTCTTTACTCTTTCCAGTTGGAAAAAAAAAATCCTATTTCTAGAGAATTAGCACACTTTCATGCTTGTCTAACTGCTTCTTTCAGTAGTATTGAAGCTGGAACAATATAAAAATTGATCCACTAAAATTGTTTAAACTTGTGTACAAAGAAAGCATCACAAGTTAGCATGGTAGTGTCTCCTAAAATCTATATACATCAATAAATTTAATTTCTTGGGCAATTTTCCTTGTTCCTCAAAATTAAAATAAAAATCCTATGTGTGGGTTTAAGAACAGATTATTTTTCTTTCAACAATTACTTGTCTTAAATGGACTAGAGTCTTCCAGATGGACTGACTGTCTGGGAATAGCTGTACACATCTTGTTCTGCAAAACAGGCCAGATGTGGACAAGAAATTGTATACAGACTTCAACGTCTTCTTCTGGAAGGAGATGCTGCATCAAGCTTATGGCAGATTGTTCTTTAAATCTATCTAAACCAGGATACAATCTAGGGAATTGCTGGGACTGCTGACAATCAGAGGTCAAAGATGCACCCAGGGAAAGAAAGCTGTACCAGAGAAGCTCCAAGAATTTGCATTGTACCTTTCTACTGAAGGCATTGAGGATATTCTCACACCTGTATTTCTGTTACAGCAGGCAGGCAAGAGATAGAGTTTTCTGTTAAACATATGGGAAATCTTAAACCAAGCAATTAGATATTAATAACTACCCTTAGGCAAATGGCATTCAGCTGTGGTTTCTTGAGAAATGCTCAAACAGAAAGCACTGAAAAGCTGGCCAAGGAGGGGTCACTCTGCCAGCCTGTGTCACTGCCAGCTTCAAGGGAGGCCCTATGGGGAACTGCAGTCTTATGAGCATGGCTGAAGTCACTGGAGGGCTGCACTCAGTAATGAAATTGGAGGACAGTATTGGATAAATATAGACTGCAGTTTGGTATCTGGAAAGCATAACTTTAACAAATGGTTGTGGTTTAAATTGGCAGGCAGGTGATCAGCACACAGTCATTCAGTCACTCGTCCTCCTCTTAGTGGGATGGGGAAGAAAACCGGAAGGAAAAAAGCAAATTAGAACGGATGGGTTGAGATAGAAATTACTTTCTAAGATGAGGGATGGGGGGGGGGGGGGAAGGAAAAAAAAGAGGATAACAGTTATAATATATATTATCATATATATTATGTTCTATGACAAAACAAATGACGCACAAACAATTGCTCACCACCCAACATCCAATGCCTAGCCAGTCCTGAGGCAGCAGCTGCCTGCCTGGCCAGTTTCTCACCATTTAAGTTTTTCTCTGCATGATGTCATATGGCATGCAAGGTCCCTTTGGCCAGTTTAGGTCAGTTATTCTGGTTCTGTCCCCTTCCAGCAACCTGTGCCTTCTCACCCCTCCTCACTGACAGGACAGTGATGAGAAGTTGATATGTCCTTGGCTCAGCACAGCACTGCTCAGCAATGACTAAAAAAACTGTTTTGTTATCAGTATTGTTTTTCCCCTGAAGTTAAGCCATAGCATCATACCAGACACTATGAAGGAAAAATCAGCTCAGTCTCCACAGAAACCAGAACACAAATATGCTGGAGTGATATTAAAATGCCAATAAGCACATTTAAAAAAAAAAAAAAGAAAGAAAGAAAGAAAAACAAACAACAACAACAAAAACAAAAAAAAGTGATAGAGTGGGTTTTGGGTTTTCTAAAAGCCTTTGACAAGGTTCCACAAAAAAGGCTATATGAGAAAGGGAGAAAGGTAAGCTACCACAGCATTGGAAGAAAGGTCTTTGATGGAGTAAAAATGTATTCCAGAGTAGGAAGAAAAGGCTAGTGGTTGTTTCAGAATGAAGAAGTTAACTTGAGTTTACTTGGATTGGGTTTAACTTGGATTCTCCAACAAACTATATGGGAACTAGTTTTGTTTAACTTCTTTGTTGGTGCCTGGAAAAGGGAGTGCAGAGTGACTCTTGGAAATAATATGCAGTTATCTTGGACAGTCCAATGACAATTCCAAAGGAACTGTCAAAAATATGAGCATGTGGGCAAAGAGGTAGTAGGTGTACTTCAATGAAGATAAATATAAGGCAGTATCTGTTGGGGGATAAAAATATCTGAAACTTGATTGCATGATTCTGAATTCAGAACTTGCACTTACAATCCAAGGGACCACAAAAAAATCACATTTTTTGTGATTTTGTAAATTGAATTGTTACGAGAGGAGCATATACAGGGTAGGATTCATCTTTTTGAAGTGAAGAAAGCTGAGGGAGAAATGCAGTCACAGGTTATAATGAAGGTAATGGTTATACAAAAATTTTAGTCACCAAATCTGACTGTTTGAAAAGGTATTTATTAAACCTAGTGGATTTTTTTTTTTAGTGATGTCTCCGCTCTTTAAAGTAGAGGTAAGCAAACTTCCACAATCTGCTGCTATGTATTATTATCAGGAGTTTTAAAAAGGAGATGGGCAAAGCAACTGACAATATATTTACAAACACACACTGAAGAAAAGGAGTAGGCATGAACTTTCTTATGTTCTTAATCTAGTAATTGTAAATGTCACAGAAGTATAAGGGAAACTGAGCACACGTTTGCAAGGTTTGTGTGTTATCCATAAATGATGCTGTGGAGAATATTTGGCTGGATGAGTCAGTAGTCAGACCCAGCAGAGCACTTCTCATGTGCTGAGTATGTGGTGCAGGTATCTCTACTTTGCTTGCATCAGAACACGTATTATGTCTCCTCCTGCCAATCTGAGGCTGTGCTGTGTTTCTGGTGGCTGTCTGTCCTCTGCTCTGTGGAGAACAGGACTGTGAAATGTGGTAAATTCATCATCTGTGGGGCAGCAGTAATCCCACAGCAGCACAGGGCCACCAAGCTGAGAAAAGAATTGGTGCCACACAGAGAGGACTGGATAAGACTGGCCTGATGATATGCCAGGAAAAGCAGCTGCTCCCTTCCCCACTTCCTGCAATGGCAGGACTTACTGACAAGTTTGTAGTCTTTTCTCTGGGAGAGAATAGTACTGACTGAAACTGGTAGAAGCCAGTGCCAGAAGAGGAGACCTACTCAAACCGTTCTTTCCCCCCATGCTCTTGCTCTAATGGTGTTATAGTTTGGTACAAATGAAGTAAATAAGGTGTGTATTTGCCTACCATGGGGCTCTTCTACTGCCTTAAGATGATGTTTATTTTTTCTAAGTCAGACACATGTGAACATTTTCTTTCATGTTTGTTGCATCAAAAGCATAAGGATTTGAAAACTTTGAGGATTAACTTTAGTTCACAGTTGTTTAGTTATAACCATCAAGGAAGCATTCCAAGAAATTATGATGATTATTTTCAGAAGGAACAGCAAAGCTTAATAATCTAATTAATTTTGAAAATCATTATTTGAATGTTGAGTTATTCAAAATTAAAAATATCTTCTGTTTAATTCATAACTGTTTGAAATGAGTTTAAGGACACTTAGGTCTAGATCTAAGTATTCACCTAGGACTGAAAGCTATTGAAAGCCTTATGATTAGCTCAGTTCACTTTTGGTTATTTTTGATAAACATTTCTGAGAGTTAGTTCTTATGAATTTAATAACAAATCAACATAGTGAGACTCAAGGCCAGTCTAGACCAGAACACTATTTCATCTGATTATAATACGGTAAACTGGCTCCACATGAAGATTATGTTAAAATATTGATGTGGAACCATGCTATCATTGCATGTTTGTGTCAGGGAAAGAGTCCTCTAAGAGTAAAAAAAAGATGACTTGGGCATGGCCTCTATTTCTGATGTGCTGGCTAAAACAGAACTTGACACTCTAAACATCTGTTGCACTTTTAAACAGCAGTACTCCTCAACTGCAATGCTCACTCTGTGACTCTGCTTAATACGTATGGAGACTTTCTTCTAAATAAGAGCTGTGTTTCTGCCAGCATTCCTGCCTAGACAAACCTAAATCACAACTTGTTCCTTTTAGAACAGCTCTCTGTACCAATAAAATCTGGACAAAAGCCAGGAAAGTGTTTAAGTACATTAATAGTTTTTTGGGTTTTTTTGGTTTTGTTTTGTTTGTTTGTTTTGTTTTGTTTTCCTTCTAAACAATAGGAGAAAATGAAGAAAGTGGAAGATATCGTGAAGGATCATTTGCTATACCTCGATGCAGTGCATGAATTCACAGACTGGCTCCATTCTGCAAAGGAAGAACTGCATCGCTGGTCAGATGCAACTGGAGATACATCAGTGATACAGAAAAAGTTGGCCAAAATCAATGTAAGAAATGTTATCTACCATGATTTCATCTGTGATTCAGAACCTATAATCCAGAGCATTCAAACTGTGCCATCTTGTTCTTTGTTTATTTGAAGTGGAGACTACATATCAGTGAGATGAAAACACACTTTCTAAGCTATGTGTTATTGCCTCCCTTCCTTAGCTTTACTAAGCTAATGTAGTGAAAGCACAAACAGAACTGAGTTAGCCACCCCATACACGGAAACAGTTTTCAATAGTGGAAGCCCAATGGCATCACAGAAGACTGTGACTTAACTGATTAATGAGCTCTGCCCTGTCCTTGTCCTTAAAACTGCTGTCCCCTGTCCCTTTAAGTACAGCTTCTAAATCAATGTAAAAAAGAACCTTTTGTGATTTGCATGAATTGGAGATGCATGAAATAGTGCAAGGATCATTCTCTCTAAACACTGGAAGCATAAGGGTTGCCTCTCTGTATCTATTCTCCTTACCCTCCCATCTCAGTGTGTCCATCCATTCCTAGGCATTCAATGGAAAGCAAGTTATGCATTTCAGAATGTAGCATTCAAGCAGTGTTTTAGCCTGATCCTACACAAGAATGGGCCAGTGAACAGACTAGAGGAGGCTACAGGACAGCCAGGTCAACTTACAAACACACCTCGATTCTCTTGGATAGTTTCTAGCCTCCTTTGTGCTTAAACTCCCCACGTATAATATGAGAAAGGGAGGAGACAGTAGTTCCTAGTTCATAACACTAACAAGATAATAAATAACATTACTTTAGCACATAGTGACCAGAATAATACTTGCATTTTCCAACTTTGAAAGCTGAAAACTACCGAATTAACATATAGCTTGTGTAAGGCTGAAACAGTCCGTTGTAGAAAGAATTCGGAAAGAAACAACCAAAAGCATAAAGCCACATGTGCAACCAATTATGGCACATCATAGATCACGAGTAGGCTGCCGAATGCTTTTTCTGTGCAGCACAGCTTTGTTATTAAAAGTGGCACCAACAGCTCCTTGTCTAAAACATTAGAAAAAAAGTTGTTTTCTGCGTCTTAACCTAAGCAGTATTTTTTCAGTATCTAAACCAGTTATTCCTCCCCTAAGCTTATGGAGGTTTCAGAACGGCTTTGCAATCAGCACGCAGCACGTACCCGCTCCTGACTGCGCTTTAGTCTCGTGCCGCTCCACACGCAGCATGGCTGTTCCCGAAGCGGTGCGGCTGGAACCGCAGCTCGGAGCAGCTCACAGCCTGCACTGCGGCTGCCCCACTCGTGGCGTGCCCCCTTCCCAGCTGTGGCCTGTTACCATGGCGATGTTGCTTTGCAGGAGCTGGTAGATTCTCGCCAGATCGGCGCGGGCCGCCTCGGCCGAGTGGAGACGCTAGCTCCCGCAGCGAAGCGCAGCACGAGTGCCGGCGGGTGCCAGCTCCTCGCCGCTGAGATGCAGGCCCTGCAGTTGGACTGGAAGCAGTGGGAAGAAAACGCTTTCCAGAGCCAGCGCAGCCTGCGGGACGTGCTGAGCCAAATGGCCGTGTCGGAGCAGGAGTTCGCCACGCAAGTTGCGCGGCTGGAGGAGGCCGTGCAGCGGTTCAGCGGGCTGCTGGCTGCCTGGTCGCAGAGCCTGACTCCCCTGGACAGCCGTCACACCGACACCGAGATCGTGGAGAGCTGGCGCAAGGAGAAAGTAAGCTCGCTTCTCTTTTCCAAGCTGTTTTTGGGTTGTAAATGTGCAGTGACTGAGGACAAGCAACTTCTTCCCGGTTGCACAGTCAAGGAATGGGAGAAGTAGCAAATAATATAATGCATTTATGAAAATTTGCCTTAAAAACTTTCCAAGCTTTTCTGTAACTGTATTCAAAGCAAGTAGTGTTTACAGAAAACATTTATTTGGTGTCTGCTGTACAAGGCTTAGCGAGTGCTGCCTGGAGCTCAGACATTAACATTTGGGCTTGACTGTAGGAAAACGAAGGAACTGCCTCTGAACTTCTCAGGCTGCTCAGCATTGCAAGCCAAGTCTGTGACTGGGAAAATATGAGGCATTTCCTACATGCTGAGCAGCAGCGGGAGTGATTTCTTTCTTACTTACAGTTTGTTGCACATGTGTTGATTTTATACATTCTGTTTCCTGAACTGTCCTTCACATTATGCATGTTAAGATCTTGTCCTGTATTTGAAGTTGTATTGGAAACTGGCATACTTGACTGCTTTGCTGTGGAATGTAGTGGAATTCAGAGAAACAGGCAGTTCCTCTTTATTTTGCTCTTCTAGCAAATATTTCACATGTAAATACAACACACACACGAATGTGTATTCACAATAATCAAGATACTTCTGTGTATGTATCTTAATTCATATGAATCACAGATGTAAAGATACACAGTATCTTATCCTTCCCTTCTTGTGTTACAACAAAGTACCTTCAGTAAAAGTTAATGCTTGCTTTCTGTCCTCTTCACTGAAGAAACAGTCAAAAAGTCCCAGAACAACTTCTGTTTAAACTGAGATTATAAATCTTTTCCTCTAGAGTCTGTGCCAAGTTATTTCTATGGCTTTCTCTTTCACAGAATTCAAAGATTTATGCCTTTGTGCCAGTACATAGCTGTATCAGTAATAGAGTTGAAGTTACACGGGAGTAAATAATAGTACAAATAAGCAAATGGTTATGTTTCAAAAAAGGAACATAGGGCATGAAATTGTCAGCAAGAAACAGCTGTAATTATGAGGACTTTTTTTTTTTTTTAATGAGTGGAATAAGACATTATTCAAGTGGAGTAAGACATGTTCATAAGACATTATTTTGCTAGTACTATATATGCTATGAATGTGCTGTCACTGTAAAGCTCTTTACTTAGATTCTAAAGTTATAAACTTAGGATAAGGAGAAGTATGCAAAGTAAATACAAGATGTGCTATGTGCAGCCCTACTATATAAAATTATATAATTTGAGGAAATGTTGTCAGGACAGTAGTCCTTAATTTCTGACCCAAGAAAATGGATCCTATTGTGAATGTAAAACAACATTGCAGCATTCTCTTTCCATTGTCTCGCAGCAATTCTGTTGTCATGTAAACCAAGGCCACAAGTTAAAAATGCATTTCCTAATTCTCAGATTCAGCAGGCTCACTGTTATTTTGTACTCAAGCTCTGTTCCTGTTAGATATGTGAGATATAATGTCACTAGATCTGGAATTTGCAATTCAGCAAATTATTTTGATAATTGTTGGATTTGAAGTTAAATTCAAGTCACTGGAACAGTGCTAACAGTTCTAATGTGTTTTCACTTTTGATGTATGTAAGTGGGTATCTGTTAGTTAACACTTTACAGTGAAAAATACTCTTTGTGGCAAATGATATTACAAATTTCAGAGACAAAAAGTATTTTCAGAACCTTTGCTGTATTTTTACGTATTTGATTTGTGGCTTTCCTAGACATTCAATTTTGTGCTGATAGGCAATTGCAAACCATTTACTATGTATATTTTCAGTCATTCTTTTGTGCAGATTCAGAAACACAACTGAGAACTTCCTTGCCCCACTTCCTTTGTCTTCTTTCTAATCTATCTTCACTTGCATGTGATCAGTTTCTTACAACAGTACATCCATTTCTTCCAGATCAGACCTTAGATTTAGCCAAAGTGTCAAACTGATCTCTGCATGCCAAATGCTCTGGTTTGCCTGCAGTGCAGAATTTTTGCTGCAGTGAATGTAACTAGCTAGAAGATTATTTTTTTTCTCTCTGTTAGTTTAAGAAGAATTCCCAAATAATAGCTGGCAGAGTTCCACAGTGGAGGTTACAGTATCACAGAATCACAGAATGTCAGAAATTGGAAGGGACTTTGAAAGATCTTCTAGTCCAATTCCCCTGCTGGAGCAGGAACACAGGTTACACAGGAACACAACTGGGTGGGTTTGAATGTCTCCAGAGAAGGAGAATCCACAACCTCTCTGGGCAGCCTGTTCCGGTGTTCTGTCACCCTCCTTTTTTTTTCCTCATATTTATGTGGAACCTCTTGTATTCCTGCTTGCACTCCTTGCCCCTTGTCCTGTCACTGAATGTCACTGAGAAGAGCCTGGCTGCGTCCTCATGAGTCCTCATGACACTTACCCTTATATTTAACATTATTGAAGTCACCCCTCAGTCTCCTCCAAGCTAGAGACCCAGCTCTCTCATCCTCTCCTAGTAAAGGAGATGCTCCACTCCCTTAATCATTCTTGTGGCTCTGTGATGGACTCTCTCAAGCAGTTCCTTATCCTTCTTGAACTTAGGGACTCAGAGATGCTATGGACATCAACATGAGGACTGTTTCCATAGGAGTAGTTATCACGTTTCTCCAAGTGATGTTAGCTAAGTCAACAAAACTACTTTTGTTTCTTTTTGACTTAGCTGTTTACACAGCAAGTCTTTCAGTGCAGCAGTGATGGCCAGTATCTCTCACAGGATTGTAACAAGATGTACTTTCAAATTATGAAATCTTCTAGAAATACCAAAGCTTTAGAAACTTTGTGAAATTTTGTAAATTCATTTTTTTGGACACAGCTCAAAATAGTTTTTATTGAGCATAGTAAACTCAATCTGGGTTTGCAACCTCAAAGCCTAATGGTGTTCTGGGTTGCATCAGAAGAAGAGTGGCCAGCAACGAGAGAGAAGTGATTGTCCCCCTCTGTTCTGCCCTCGTGAGGCATTAGCTGGAGTACCATGTCCAGGTCTGGGGCCTCCAACACAGGAAAGATGTGAAGCTTTTGGACAAGGTCCAGAGGAGGGCCGTGAAGATGATCCAAGGACTGGAGCGCCTCCCCTGTGAAGACAGGCTAAAGGAACTGGGCTTGTTCAGCCCAGAAAAGAGAAGGCTGTGGGGATACCTCACTGTGGCCTTCCAATAGTTAATGGGAGTATATAAACATGATGGAAATAAACTTTTTACATGGTTAGACAGTGATAGGACAAGGGGGAACATTTTTAAAATAAAAAAAGAGAAGATTTAGATTAAATGTTAGTGGAAAGTTTTGGACTGAAAGAGTGGTGAGGTGCTGGAACAGGTTGCCCAGAGAGGCTGTGGGTGCCTTATCTTCAGAAGTATTTAAGGCCAGGTTGTATGGGTCCCTGAGCAATCTGATCTAGTACTTGATCTATCAGCTGGCAACCCCGCCTGTGGCATGGGAGTTGGAACCTGGTGATCCTTGAGATTCCTTCCAACCCAAGCCATTTTATGATTCTATGGTATGATTTTCTATTCCTTAGTTGTATGTACTTTCATGTATACACAGCTAATTGACAATACCGTGTCTCATTTATTAAGACAAAATGCATGTCTTGGACTTTTCAATGAAAACTTTCTGAACTAAAAAAAACTGAAGAAATTTAGCCTCTGGAAACCCATAATTTCAAGTGAACCTCTGAGCTCCTGTGTGTTTGATTGTCAAAATGCTCTCAAAATGGATACACATGAATTGTAAATGAAATTGAATATGAAATTTAATTGTTTATTTATTTATTTACATATATTGTTCACTTCTTTTGTTTTAACAGGAAACATCGGATGCTCTGATAAAGTCTGAATATGTGATAGATGAGATCAAGACTCAGCTAAATGATCTTTGTAGATTTTCTAGAGATTTGAGTACTCATTCTTCAAAAGTTTCTGGGTTGATTAAGGAGTATAACAGGTATGTTTTTATCTTGTTTATAGCTAATCAGTCCTTTATGTGTTTGCATACAAGATTCATTTTAGGGAATCATTAATTGGAATTTTAGAATTTGAAGCAGAAGTCGACAGTGATTAGAAGAGTTTTTTTTATAGTGGTGTCAATAGAGATTGCAAAAAGTACCACTTCATCTTTTTTTTTAAGAGCCTAACTATGCTACCAAACTGAGCTTAAGCCAGTACCCGGTCTATTGTGAGAGGAATCTTTGTAAGAAACTGAGGTACAGCTGTAGTTAATTTGCCAGAAAAAGGAACTGTAACAGTTATTTATTTATTTGTTTGTTTGTTTATTTCATAATTTTATTCTTCATTTTACTCTTGTTTTATCTAAATCAGGGGAGCTAATTTTTTGTCTGTTTTCTTACATTCTCTTCGGTCACTATAGCTACTGACATCTGTACTTCAAACACAAAATTCTGCTGTCTCTTGCAATGATTGTAGTTTTTTGGCTTTTGTAAATGCAGAAGGGCATGATGATCCAAGTTGATCCTTTCTAATGTTACAAATTTAACTATGTCATTGAAGTTCAAATTGTAATTGCTGTATTTCCATGTCCTGTGCCTAGATAGGAAAAGGCTTGCAGAAACTATTTGTACTTAGAAGTACTGAATCACTCTAGAAGTGCTTATCTGTCGTATCTGTGAAACCCAATTTACATGCTTCACTTTTAAGGAATTTGAAACTTTTAATGGATTTCCTGATGCCTCAGTTAAGTGTTTATAGTTGGTGGGAGGAGTCCAAATTAACCTTACCTCGCTTCAGAGAACTAAGCAAGAGCATTGTCACCTAACAGAATCCTGCCTTTCTTCCCTCCCTTGTTCTCTTCTGCTTTCCTGATGTGATAAATTCAGCCTCTGCCTGCAAGCTTCAAAGGGATGTCAGAGTAAAGAGCAGATTTTGCAGCAAAGATTTCGGACGAGTTTCAGGGACTTTCAGCAGTGGCTGATCAATGCAAAAGTCACCACAGCCAAATGCTTCGATGTACCTCAGGATATCAGTGAAGCTTCAGCAAATCTACAGAAAGCACAGGTAAATTTATGCCAACAAATCATTCACTTAAGGGAGATCAATCTATTTCATATATTACAATGTTGACATTGTATATATATGTGTGTGTGTGTATATATATATATATATAATACATATAACATATATATATATATATATATATATGTTACAATGTGGAAAAAAAGGTATGTTTTGAAGATAGAGAGAGCATAATTGAAGGGGCACCAGATCTGGGACTTAGTATCTGAAACTATTTTAAAGTTACATAAATATTTTTTTCCTCAAATATGGTAATAGACCCCTTATAAAGTAAGAGCAGGGTAAAAATGTATGCAGTGCAAGCCGGTATTTAAGAAGTATATTTTTCACAGAAAGCTAAAACAAGCTAATGTGTGAAAAGGAATGCCAATTAAAATGTTACTTTATTAAAGCAAGTAAATTTTTCTATGAGTAAAATATAACCGTAGCTTTAAGGAAAAATAACAAAGTTAGAATTGCATAATGAGAATAAACCTTCAGATAGACAAGAGAACAGGAGAAATTCTTAACAGTTTCACAGAAGATACCAAGACCAAAACACTTCCTTCTGCTCCTGGTAAATTTACTTTCCTTTGCTTAAATGGTTTATTTAAAAGGGTGAACAATACCGCATTAAAGTGGAAATTTTTTTCTACTTCAAACTGAGAGATTTTTTTCTGAGTAAATATGAAGCATTAAAAAAGCCAGCAGATTTTGACCATTAATAAAAGAGTTCTTAGCAAAAATAGTTTCCAATATTGGTCAGATTTTTATTTTATTGCTTAAGCTTCTTAATTGCACAAGGACTTAGATTGTCCTCCTTATTTGTGAATGCTACTGTAGATGGAAATGGACTTTTTTTTACATGTATTAACTGCATTAAGACCTCCAGGAATGTCATAGGAGCCTATGTAAATGCCATTTTTATTTTTGTTAAAAGCTATTATTTTGTCTGCTAGCACAGTTTACATCATTAAGTCACAAGGCAATTGCATCTTTGATTTTTAATTAAGAAAGAGCTTGAGCAAAGTATTTCAAAGCTTACAGACCCTTTGCATTCACTTCTCGGACCTCTAGTGAAGCACATAATCAGAATCTTTATTTATTTATTCATTTTTTTATCGAGTCCTTTACTTACAACATGAATGTAACCTGATGATATTTTTCTACTGTGTAAGCATAATAATAGTTTAAAGTAACTTCATGTTTGAGACTGCTAAATTCATTTGAATCCTAAATGCTCACAAAATCTTAAAAAAAAAATTACAAGTTATAAGAATATTATTCCAGCACACTGGAATTTAAAAATCTCATTATTTCCTTACATTACCTAATTCTTTAACATGGGTTTCCATACAGTTCTTGCGCATCAAGATTGTGCAAGAATTCTCTGAAGAAGAAACTTTGAGCCAGGCAAAGTAAAATAAGGATATAGAGGATAAATCACACAGTTTAGATGTTGCTAAAGTTCTAAGCCTTAACCCACACCCCTACACACTGATAGGATGGCCAGTGTGGCTGTCTCCAGTGTGCAAGGCAGAGTGTTCCCCTGCTTTCCTGAAATGAAAGCCATACTGTCTTCTGTACTGTGAATGCTTCAAGAAGTGTAATGCCTGACTGAAAGACCAGTAATGTCTCACAAAGTTCAGATGACATAGATAATCCTAGAATCAGTATATACATAATTTAGGCACTTCTGGATTAAGTAGCTATTATCCCTATAATATGTATGATTGTCTCTCATAAATATGAATAATATTAAAATAGAATAAACTGAAATATGAATTAATAAAATAGCGTGCAGAGATAGTAAACTCCTATTTCTGTTAAATTTTCTGTAAGCTTACCATTGACCTTTACTGGGACCCAAAGCTATCAAATAGGACTTTTGCAGAATGCAAACAGAAAGGTTTTTTTATCGTTTTTAGGAATTCTTATCAGAAAGTGAGAATGGACAACAGAAATTAAACTTGGTAGCATCCAAAGGTGAACTGCTGTGCTCTATTTTGCCAAAAGAAAAGGCTAAAGTTATCTTGGACAAATGCGCTATGGCTAAGGAAGACTGGAAAAATTTTATCAGCGCCCTCCGTCAGAAGGAATCTGCATTGGAGGTATTGAACAAAGTCATAGCGGAGAAATATTGAGTCTTAATTGCCTCTTTGCTTTTTGTTTCAGACCACACCTACTTAATAGATATCCTTAAGATTTCTCATATTAGCAATAGGTGTTTATGATGCAACATAATTAATAGTTACTTTCAAGAGGTCTTTTTTCCGTTTCCATTTTACTCATATTTACTTACATCCTTCCCACCTACTTTAATTGGGGTGTTTCATGTGGAAGGGTGTTGTTAAGAGTAACTGAGAGCAGCAAAGACAGCAATGGCTGAAATTACCATAAGCATTAGAAAGGTATTGGATTACCAGAATACATTAAAATACATTTTCTTTTTAAAAATCCTAAAACCCTGAATTCTGACACCTGTGCTGACTGAAGCTCCAGTATGGTGAGTAAACATCATCACTTTTACTGCAAATTCATGAAAAGTAAACAATTTGAACAACTTTCTAAACACACCCCAGTGCCCATCTCTGTTCAGAATTCACAATTCAGCCAGCACGTATTCGCATATATGGTGAATGGCTTTATAGTGTTCTCTCTTTTGACTTCATAGATTTTAAGGTCAAAAAGTCTTAGCTAAAATTCCTTGCGTTTCATAGAAGAATTAAAGTTCTTAGACCCTCCTATTTCAGAACAGTAATGTCTAGTCAGCTGAGCAAAAAATTGTAAATAGATTTAGTATGTTGTAAAATAAGTTTTTTTCAAAGAAAATTCTTGGATAGAAGAAGGCAACTTTTCTCATCTCGGGGTAGACATTGGAAAGAAGATTTCCTTAGATGTTAATCTTTTTAAGCACAGCATTTTTCAGTCTCATAAGACTAGTTTTACAGTATGATGTTAAAATTATAAGGCTAAAAAGAAAATGAAGTCAGTCTGAAAACATATAAATAAAATAACCAGGACATAAAAACTGTCCTGTTTAGGTTTCTATTCCATATGCATTTTTTCAGGTCTCATTTTAATTATGCAAAATAACCCTATGAGAATATTATACAGGCACTTAAAGGAATGCCTACATTTAAAACCAAGACTTTATATTGAAAGAAAATATGATCAGAAATAAGCCTTGGGATAAGGTTAAGCTTAGTCAAACAGCCTCTAGGAATAATGGCAGGCCTTTTAAAAGTGGGTTAGTGTGAATGACTGCAGGCAGTTGTAAGATAACTTCCTAAAGTAGCCTTGCCTCATGCACTCGTGGTTGTGTGAGAGACTTCTCTTCAAAGCTAATAAAGTCAAAGCTTTGTAAAGCTTTCAGTCCAGATAAAACTTGTTTCAGCCTCTTCTCAACTGTGTAAACATCCAACAGTTACCTTTGTTTTGTATTAAAGAGGTATTATCTCAAACTTTTCTTTCAGTATCTCTGTAGTGTGAGGAGTAGAGCCAGTATCATCTTATTTTGAACAGCTGAGGTGATATTTGGCTGTAACAGTGCATATTTTGTGTACTTGATCTGTGGGTTGTGCATTGCAATTTTATTCAGTGTAATGGAATTGTTCATAAATTTGTGTGTGCATCACGTGCTTTCCCAGAACTTAAAGATCCAGATGAAAGACTTTGAAGCGACTGCTGAGCCTCTGACAGAATGGTTGAGCACAACAGAAAAGATGGTACAAGGGAGTAGCAGTCGTCTCCATGACCTTCCTTCCAAGAGGAGAGAACAGCAAAAGTTGCAGGTGATTTCTCAACTTTTAAAATAGAGCCAGCCTTTCATCATCCATTCTGCTGGCCTCATTGATGTGTTACAAGAGCTTGATCATTCTGTCATTCTTCATCTCTCTCTAAATAAGATGAGAACTACTTTCAAGAATTGCTTTTGATGGTCCTGTTCTGTTAGTGTTTGCATCTCCGAATTTCTTAGGACACACTGCTTTATTGCTATAAATGTATGGTGTGCTTTTTTCAGTACACTTGCTGTTTGTCATTTCTGTTTTTCATGGGCGATCCAAACTTCTCTTTTGTCTGCTTTCTTGCACTCACTTGTAATATTTATGTGCCTATGCTTTACAGTCTGTCCTTGAGGAAATAAGCTGCCACGAGCATCAGCTCAACAGGCTAAAAGAGAAAGCTCAGCAGCTGTTGGAAGAACAAGCTGTCAGCAAAAGCTTTATGCGCAGAGTGTCTCAGTTGTCTTCACAATACCTTACTCTAAGCAATCTGACAAAGGTAAAGCACTCACTGCATTTGCTCTTAAGTTGTTTCTTTGTTGTGTGTGGGATAAGACTGAAAAGTGAAATGTTTCAGTTGTCTTGCATCCCTCCTCTGTGGTATGTCTGAGCAATGATCTTTTGTGCTGGCTTTAGAAAGTGAGAAATAAAGACCTGTATAACTCCATGGGTTGTCAATAAAATGCAATTGTGTTGTGTTTTTTTTTTTAAAAAAATTTAATTAAAAAACAGTCTGGTTGTCAACAATTTTCTCCTCAAGAAATGTGCTTTTCATTTTCATTTTTTCAGTAACTAAAGATAAGTGGCACCTGGGAAAGTGTTTTTTATACTTTAAAGGAGTTGAAGGTTTGTTCGTTAGGCTGTTTTGTTTTGTTTTTTAGATGGAAATGTTGTTAGTGAATTACATCCTGTAAAGATGACTGTTTGCATTGTATTTTTGTTTAAAACTTAGAGTTTGGCCTTCAACATTGTTTTAAAATTATTACTCATGAGACTGCTCTTGAAGGGTCAGTAAGAAGCATAGGTCATAATACTGTAATTTGTAAGGGTAGGAACGATTAGTTTAACCTAACTGTTTTGCTGAGTTGTACTCAGCAAGAAACTTCAGCATTAAATATTCCATCTCTATTGTTTTATCAGGTTAGGTCTTCATATCAGAACTGTCATTTTTCATATTATGCCAGTCATGAAGAAGGCATTGAATTAGGCTTGTGGTTACTACAGTAATAATTGCTATGGGATAACAATTCAGTTAACAAAGCATTTGCTTGAGTAATTGCAGAATTATTTTTGTTTCTAATTTCTGTCTTTATGAGTAAAATTATAAAGCATCCCTAGATCTGTGTGATTTACTGGAAGCGTGAAAGGGAAAGATACATGAGTTATTAACGTTGGTTAATGTGGACAGAACTTGTAGGAAATGTTAAGATGTGAGGATGGTGTCTGAAGCAGAAGATACATCTGCTCCAATCAGTGAGGGAAATCCCAGAGTTCCTTAGATAGCCATGAATGTTTGAGACAAATCCCTTTCTAACTTTCTTAGCTTATTTCAACAGCTTGACTTTATGTCAAGGTTGGACCTATTCTTCTGGTTATTTTAATATCAATAAAGCGATGTTGCTGCAGTGGCATAGCTTCACATGCTTATATCTGTGTTGTGCATGGATAGGTTTCACAAGATCTTTAAGTCTTTGAATTGGTATGTGTAAATAAATAATCCTTTAACACTTACTGATTCTGATTGCTGTATGAATTGTAGGAGAAGGTGTCCAAAATGGATAGGATTGTAGCAGAGCACCAGCAGTTCTCTCACGATTTCAAGGACCTCCAAGACTGGGTGGCTGATGCAATTCACATGCTGGAGTCGTACTGTCATCCCACTGCTGACAAAAATGTTCTGGACAGTCGAATGTTAAAGCTGGAGGTATGTAAATAGCTGTAGCATATGTTGATAAAACTGTGCAGAAGATAATAAAAGTCAGTGCAGAGAAAACAACACTTTGATGTCCATATTTTGACTGTGGCTCTAAATTTGATACAAACCCTCCAAAATATAGGGATGTCACAAAAAGATTGTTGTTCATTGCTTTGGGTTCGTGCTTTCATGCTTTTCATGATTTTACATGCTGCAAGCTAAGAGTTTTTAATTCAGTTGCCCAGTTGTTAATGCTACTGAGTTTCTATGTTATAAAATTTGTTTTACAGGCAGATCCCAGTATTGCAGAACAATACTTTGGCTCTGTAGAAGAGTTTTTTTATCACATCTTTTTTTTTTTTTTTTTTTTTTTTTTTTTTTTTTTTCCCTCTGAATAAATCTTCCAATTTTCCCTCTAAATGACATTCTTTTCAGAATGTTTCCACTATCTTTGATGCACTGGAAGCATCTGCGTAGATTTTGTATCTAGTTAACATATTCATGACCATTTAGTGATAAAAGATAGAACAAAATCTACTCACTTTTTAGGGACTGCTAACATTGAAACAAGAAAAGGAAATCCAGATGAAAATAATTCTGACAAGAGGAGAATCTGTTCTGCAAAATACTTCTCTGGAGGGAGTACAAGTGATTGAACAGCAGCTACATACCCTAAAGGACAGCTGGGCTTCTCTTCTGTCTGCGTGTATCCGGTGCAAGAGGTAAAAAGCATATGAGATGCGTAGTGATGCACTGTCAAATGTTTTTAAAAGTTTATACACAGTTTTATTATTTCAGGAGTCAAATTAATGAAAATAACTGCATGTGCCTAACATCGCAAGTCTGAAAGCCTTAAATGACCTATTTCAATTAAATAGAAAAAGGAGAGACAAGAGTGAGGGGTTAAACTTCATTAACATATTCTTTTAAAAGTGGATTCTGTGTTCATAAACAGTCTATAAATTTTATTTTGAATTGCATAAAATGTATTTTTCTTAATATTAAGTGTAATGGTTGTTCTATCAACATACTGTCTGGTTTTCCACTTGTTAAATTTCACAGGAGATACTTTAATTACAGTGTCCAATAGTGATGATTAAAGAAGAAATGCTGAAAGTAATAATTAAAATCAGAAAAATAAATGCAGACTTGCATAGTGGAGAATAACTAGTTGGAAATATTTCAATTTAAAACAAACAAACTAATTAAACATTGCAATGCAGCTGCAGAAAATTTCTGATTTTAGGTTTTATGCTTCCTATTCCATTTTATTTACTAAACTTCGTGCACGTATCACCTAGCTACATCATTTAGTGGATCTCAGAAGTTTGAAAACTTCAGTTCTGTTTACCATCTAATCAGTGCTCCTAATTAAATCCTGTAGGATTTTAACATTTGTGTCTCTGTTTATCTTGTGATACTTATATCATGGTCCATAATAACTACATATAGCAATGTCTCAATATTTAACTAGCATGAGAACATCCAGTATTTAAAAAAAAAAAAAAAAAGTGTATTTTTAAATTACAGTCAACTGGAAGGAGCTCTCTCCAAATGGACAAGTTATCAGGATGATGTTCGCCAGTTTACCAGCTGGATGGATAAAGTAGAAGCAAGCATGAATTCTTCTCAAAGGCAGTGTGCTGAACTGAGGGAAAAAGCAGCTGCCCTCAGCAAAGCAGAGGTATGTTTGCTTTACAGTGAATCAGCAACAAACACATACCAGCAACGAAAAAGGCTGACTAACTGCAAGATTAATCTGTAGTTTGTTTTAATGCTGCTCATTCTTAAATGCATCATTCTCTTCTGATTTTACAGCTACTCAGTGAAGAAGTGTTGAGTCACAGCAGTCTGTTGGAGACGATTGAAGTAAAAGGCAGTGGAATGGCTGAGCATTATGTCACTCAGCTTGAACTCCAGGAACTTCAGGAGCGATATAAGTTGCTCAAAGACAGAACAAGGGTACAGTTTTTCTTTATAACACATCACTTTTTTTTTTTTTTTTTTTTTTTTTAGTTACAGTTAAATTAAGAGTTTGGAATAAGCTATAACTTAACGTATATGACCACTTAGTTTTTGTACCACTGAGCTTCAGATCTTTCTAGAAAGGTTCTAAAGATCTGAATCTGAAAAATTACTCAAGCTAATAGCTTGAGGAATTCTCTGTCAAAAGTCTAACTGACTTAGTTTCAATATGATTTTACTCATTGTGACTGAAAAGTTGGAAGCATATCTGAATACCTCTGGTTTGCATAAATAATAATAATAAAGTTTTGCAATAAATGTAGTTAGACAATCAAGTAAACCAAAAGGTTTTGATGGTTTAAGAATTTTACTGCTGAACACAATCATCATTACCAAGCAAACTGACTGTAATGCCAAAAGATTCAACAGGAGTTAGACTTGATGATCCTTGTGGGTCCATTCCATTCTGGAAAAGATTAGAGCACACACAGATAAAACAAAGTTTATCTATTTATTTAAGAGATCAGAAAAAATTCTAAGCTCTTCTTGACAGCCTCAGTAAAATTAACTTAAATCAGTGTAAAAATTAAACAGTTCTTTTGTTTTTATACACTGGATTGTTACTTAATAGTGATCACAGGGTGAATCTCACAAATAACAAGCTTAGATGACAAATCTTTAAGAACAAATATATGTATGCTCACATTTGAGCTCTCTTTCCTTGTTTTTGATCAAGCCATCCTCAGAATGCAGACACACGTGAATTTTAGGAAAACTCAGTGTAAGATAAAAACTCTTCACCTTGATGTCATTACTGGATTTATATTTTCTTGGTTCAATGATACTCTAAGATACATATCTGTAAATATTTTTTACAAATAGGAGGCAGTAAAAAAAGCTGAAGAATTGCTTAACTTACATCAAGGGTATCAAAGAAATCTGAAGGCATTTGAAACATGGCTGGAGGAGGAACAGGAAAAACTTAGCTGCTTATCACACCTTGAAGGTGATGCCCAGAAACAAGAGGCAACACTCCGAGACCTACAGGTACAGCGTGTGTGACATTGTAACTAAAACAATAATGGAATAATATTATCCTTAACAATTCACTTTTTTTCTACTTGAGAGCAGCTTGAGAGCACATTATATCTAAGTAATTTTTTGCTTACAATTGGATCCAGTAAAGCTAGCAGAAATGCTGACGTTCATTTCCAGAAAGTATCAGACTTCTAATTAATTCTTCAGTCATGTTAATACTTTAAAGTACTGAATTTATTTTAGATGTTGGTCTGCACTGCAGATACTACCTTGTCCTTTTCCTCTGTTTCATAACGTATCAAAAGTATTATTTTCTTTGAGTTTCCATCTTCTGTTGCTTACAGTCCAATATTATAAGCAATACTTACTTGCCTACTTCAGGCAGTTCTGGTTATCCAGATTGCCTCTGGTGGTGTCAACAGTTTATGGGCTGGTTCAGCCTCGTTCCATGACTAACGGGGCAGGGGGACCCATGGACCCATACTGTAGGAAAGGAGAAAATGGGAAAAGGGTAAGTAGATGGGCCTAAAAACAAAACAGTGGCAACCATCTGAGGAAGAAAGTTGACTTACTAAATATGATATCAAAATGCAAGATAGCACAATATAATACAATATAGTTGGAATCAAAGCTAATAATTCAAATTAAATGAGAGAAAGTGTGTTCAAAAACTGAAGGCCTTACACTAGTGCTGAAGGAGAGACGGCTAGGAAGTACACATGCTGCAGAGATGATCAGAAAGGTTGAGGGAACTTCTCGTGACTGACCAGCAGTTTTATCTTTCCCTGTGAATAGAAAATGCAAACAGAACAGTGAACAGTCCTTTGGGATATGTTGTTCTCTTCTGAGAACCAGGTAATCAGAAAATAGGCAATCCACTGAGCTGAAGCATTAAGTCTTTAACTCCCAGTGCACTACATGATGTTATGATGTAGAATACTGTTTCCTAAGCAGATTGGCATACTTTCTAATGAAGTTCTAATAAACGTGAAAAAGTCATGTATATCCAGAAGAATGTATAAAGAATTATTTTGGAATAGCATATCAAACACATATATAAATAAGTAGGTATGTTAATTTTTGAAAGAGGCCTCACCTTATTCCTTGCTTTTATTACAGATGTAATATCTGAGTTAGTCTCAGAGTGCCTTTGACACAGCTGGAAACCTTTAAATTTAAGTTTATGATGAATGGATTGCAGGCTGTCATGACAACTCAGGCAACTACTGTTTCAGAACTCATAAAAAGATTAGGAGGAGAAGGAGTTTAATGCATATGCTGTCAAAAATTTTCTAGAATTTATTTGTCCCTACTACCAATACTGGGTTTGCTTTTTAAGTGATCATGCCATCAAATTGTTCTTAGTGTAATGTGTCTTCAACCATAGAGCCCTAAAAGTAATGTCTGTTTCACTTGAGGTAACTGTTTTTGTCTGCAGAAGAACCAGGACTTCATGTGAAATGTGTGATAAAAATTGTTAATGTAAGCGTGTATCCATAACTCTGCCTTAACAGGAGCTGCAGGTCTGCTGTGCAGAGGGGCAAGCATTGCTGAATGCTGCTGTCCGTGCCAGAGAAGAGGTGATTCCTTGGGGCATGCCACAGATAGAAGACAGAGCCTTGGAATCCATACGGCAGGACTGGCAAGTTTATCAGCACAATCTTTGTGAAGCAAGAAGCCAATTAAATGCTACTGTTAGCAGATTGAGGTTAATGGAGAAAAAATTTCAGAAGGTTAATGACTGGATAACAGAACTGGAGGAGAAAGTTGATATCAGGACTGGAAGGCAGTCTGGTAGAGCAACAAAAGAGATGCAGCTTCAACAAATGAAGGTAAATAATACAGTTAAGGAATTCCTGAAACAAAATACCATGTGAGTTTTCTGCATCAATGCTTACTGTCAAAATTCCAGAAAATCTTTCAATAAATTCTGAGTGCATTCCCCCATTTTACTAATTAAAATATGTCTGTACCAATGTTGAAATCTCATAAGGAGATCAGAAATTCATATGCTCTGTGGAATGTAAAGACATTACGGATCCTGAAACAAGAAAGAGTTAACGCAATAACAAAAGTAAAATGTAATGAACTATGTTTTGAACTCTTTGCTGTACTGATGTAGCAGTATTTCTTTGTCACTGCAAGGAGAAGACATTGTTCTAAATAAACACAGGAAGTAGACTGGTGAAGATTTAAGGTTCTGTTTTACAGTCTCTTTTAAAATGTAGACAACATAAAAACTACAGGAAGTCCAGCTTGCATTTCTATTATTATTCAGAAAAAAATACTAACCGTACTGCAATAAAATGGAGACAATATTGTTGCAGCTCCATATTTATAATCATATATTTGTTTTCCCTTCAGTAATTTCCTAGTTGCAACTAAATTCCTGTTGTGTTTAAATCATTTGAATTAGCCATATAAACTGGATTATGTCTTTTGTCATAGAAATGGCATGAAGAAATTACAATATACAAAGATGATGTGGAGGAAGTTGGGATATTAGCTCAACAAATACTAGAGGAAGGTCTCACTACCAGTGGAATGGGAAGCCAGGCTACACAGCTTACATCTCGATATCAAACTCTTCTTCTTCGTATCTTGGTGAGTTACGAAAGTTAATTCATTAACACGTCATAGATTGTCAGCTAAGAAGCAAATATAGATTGAATTTCATAATTAGACTTTATCAAACTTTATCATTACTGTAGACTACATAATATAATGTTGTCATAGTCAAGGGCCTTTGGTCTGTGACAGGTTAGCTGGGCCCTCCTTAGCATTCCTCTGCCAGAAGCTGGCAGAGAAGTGAGAAGGGGGAGTTGAGATAAAGAGAAACTATTTTACTAAAAATGGTAAAGGAATGTGATATAACACAGTGTAAAAGGAACCAAGAGTAATGAATCAAACAAATGGGAAAGAGAAAATATCTCCAAAGCACACTGCAAGTTCAATCAGAACAGAAAAAGGGACATCCTCACATCGCTATATCCCTTCTTCCCAGAGACCACGTGGGAAGGACTGGAGCACTCTAGAAACTTCAGTAATACAGGAACTGTAATTCCTGCAATTCCTCAGCAGCCCTCCTGATTCCTTCAGTTCACTGCATGATGTCATGAGATATGATATACCTATGGAAACTGTGACAAATGTTCTTATTTTTATCTATGTATTTATATAAATATATATGCTCACACATGTATTTATGTGTACACATATACATACATAAATATACACACAAGCAGGCACACATATATAGATCTCATTGGACTAAACGTGTTAGAGAATGATATTAAAAAACTTTCAAGTATATTCAGATTTGATCACATATGATTAGTAATCTTTTTTTGATAGTATCAGGGGAGAAATTCAGAATTCAGGAGATTTAAATGCTAATTTGTGACTGGGAAAATGTTTTTCAGGTTAGCATTGAGAGACATAGGTATGGGAAATTTGAATTGGTAAGGTAAAACGTTTAGTCAGACACTGTAAGATAGTATATAATCATCAGCCACAACACAAGTTGCAAAATAGAAGTACCTTTTCAGTTGCTTAGGATTAACCCAGTTTTAGTATTAACAACTGTGATAAGTACACTCTGAGAAGACTTCAGTGATAATTATCCATTCGGTATTAAGGACTCAAAACTTGTGTTTAATTTCTTAGTATAGCAGGTTTTATTAATAAATGGCAGTCTATTGCAATCTCTAGTCAATATCGGTAATAAACATCAAGATGGTCCTTGTTTCTTCCTCTAACATCTATATCTGTTTTGAAGGAACAAACAAAGTTTTTGGAAGAAGAGATACGCAGTATGGAAGAGTCAGAATTGGCTTTCAGTGCTTACAAAAATTGGTATGGAGCTACTAACAAGGACTTCAGAAATGTGATCACCAAGTTTGATGCGTTGGATAAAACAGCAATGGAGAAAAAAGTGCAGAAACTAGAGGTACAGCTTTGTTGGACACAGCTATTGTTTGTCTTCAGTTTCTGTTCACCAAAAAATGCCCATGTTTTGACACGTATCTTAACTGCTGCTCAAAATCCTAATTTCACCCTGCCCAGAGAAATAAACAAGATAAAGATCATCCAGTATAAAGCTTTGTGTTCTCCTATCACATTACATCACACTTTGGTTGTTGAGGTTATGGATAGTCTTAAATAACATGATACTCTCTTTCCATAAGGAATGTTTCTGTATATTTTGTTTCATTTAAAGCTTAAATACATTTCCCTCCCAACTCATACTGTCATGTAAATTTTAAACCAGTACATACCGTGGCAAGAAATACATTCTCTTTCTCATCACTGAAGTAACTGCAGTAAGGCTAATTTTTTTTTTATTTTTTTTTTCTGCTTCCTTCTAGTTTATCACAGCCTAACACCAGGTAGTTTTGTAATGAAAAGACCATTTGATTTCACTAACAATTCCTTGTGTCCTTAAAAACCAATAACGAAAACCAAACAACTGCTATGCTCTCATTGATAATAAAATTGCAAGGAATGAAAGAGAGAAGAGCTTGCATAAATTTTCTCTTAACTGATTTTCTTCACAGCTGCTTTTGAGTGATATGGACATAGGCCACAGTTTACTGAAATCTGCCCGTGAGAAGGGGGAGCGAGCTATAAAATACATGGAAGAAAATGATGTTGACTGCTTAAGAAAAGAAATTGGAGATCATGTGGAACAGCTTGAAGATTTAGCTGGTTCAATCAGGAAAGAGCACGTGACTTCAGAGAAGTGCCTTCAGCTGGCAAAGGAGTTCTCAGACAAGTACAGGGCACAAACCCAGTGGCTCACAGAGTACCAAGTCATGTTGCATACACCAGTGGAGCCAAAGTGTGAACTCTATGAGAAAAAGGCCCAGTTGTCTAAATACAAGGTAAAAAGTGATTGTATTATCATAGTATTTAATGAATTTTGACAGAGACTCTCAATAAATCTTTTGATGCAAATGTCTGTTCGAGTTTCCTCAATAGATTTATACCTCTGATCTGAATCTCTAAAAGCAGTGTCAATGTGAAAACATGCATTATTTGATATCTGAAGAAGAATGAGTACATAGATTTGCAATGACCATATTTTAGTAAGGCTTCCACATTTGAAAATTCTAATCTTACTTACCTATCACCCATATGATGAATTCCATTAATGTCAGCAGAGTTAACTGCCTTTTTAAGCAAGGATGAAAATTAATTGGTCGTCTTTGCAGATACTCCTTCAGGCTGCATTAGTTTTATGAGCTTTTTGGTTAAAGCTGGTGGTCCCAGTTCAACTGACTCCCAGGACAGTCAGCTTCTGTGGCCTCCTCTGTTTTTATTTTGCATTTTAATGAAGCATCTTCCCTCCACCCCCAGAAAATAATTGACAAAGTAAGTGTTGGCTCTTTTAATAATGCTTTTGTGAAATACTGCAGGGTTCCAGATTTTTCATTATATGTGTGCTGAGTCTGACTGCAATGGAACTAACTTTCCTCACACTAGTCTTTACAGCTCTGTGCTTAATATTTATAGCTAAAACAGTGTTGATAACAACACTGATGTTTTTGCTGTTGCTGAGCATAATTTACACAGCATCAAGGCTTTCTCTTCAAGCAGCTTCTCCTGCCCTTTCCCCCATCCTCCAAGCTTAAATATTCAAAATCATATGGTACATCTCTGTGCTTGTTTGCTACATTTTCGTGGAGCTAGTGTCTCACTGTAATTTCATAGATGCTGCCATAGGCCATACTGTCTGACCCAAGGATAGAAGAATGGCATAATAAGAACTCAAACTGGATACGCCCAAGAGTACAGTTTTATGCACTCATCTGTATTGTTATTTCTCTATGAGCAGGGATGTAGCAATATCTTATTGCCCACCTGTTTGCAGAATTTGAGCAAGTTTTATCCCTAACGCCCTTTCACACATAATAGTTTACTGTCCTTTAGCAACCCCAGGTTGTCAGTCATGCTTCTAGGCACTGTCAATGGGAGAAATTGCTCTCAGGTGCCTGTAAAGCTATTGTCCCAGGGCAAGGCTTAAAAATGTGGTCTAGTAATTGTGACGAAGCTTACCTTACCTGGAAAGGATGATATTTAACATGAGAATGCTGTGCTTCAGATCAAAGATAAATGAACGAAATAGATCTTCAGAGCTCAACACGTTTTACTATTCTTGCTTGTACCGTAGTCCATACAGCAGACCATTTTGTCCCATGAGCCTTCAATAAAATCAGTGATTGAAAAGGGAGAAGCACTTTTTGATCTGGTGAATGATGTGACTCTAAAGAGCAACATTCAAGACCTTCAAAGCAATTACCACGAACTCTGCAACGCAACGAAGGTAAAAAGTCGGGGAAAAGAAATGAAGGTTCTTTCAAATTGCTCAATTTCTCCCCTTTTTAGGAAATTAACTACTTATTTCATAAGTAGTTCACATTTCTGTCCACACCATGGAGAGAAAGCCACTTAGATTTCAGTACTTGTTTCAATCATGTTTCTGCTAAACCTCATACAAACTTCATTTAATCTAGTTCTTGTTAATAAATGGAAGTCACTAGAGAAAATGGACTGCAAGACAGATACAATTTAATTCAGCAAGGACAATATAAATTTAACATTGATTCATGAGTCCCTGTTTATATAGTGTTTTGAAAGATCTAACACTGTAGCCCTAGCAAAGATGCACTCTGCAAACATGTTAATACTTACTCTTGACCAAAGCCCCTTTAATTACCAATCCGTCCATCTAATAGCAGATTATTAGATATAATTTTCTTGAGTTAAATGCAGGAAAGTGTATAAAAAATCCTTCTTAAAATGAAAAATATGCTTAAAACCATATTTTTAGCTCAGTGTATTTATTCTCACTTTGCATATTACAGACACAGGCAGTCTGTATGTACAAATGCTATGAGCAGCAGGGACTCTACTGTAGCATTTGGTTGGCCATGTGCAGTTTCTCAAACTGTCTGTAATAACTCAGTTGAACTGAAATTAAAGCCAGTTGACAATGTTCCTGTTTTTAGAGGAATGTGATCCTCACTGTCTCTCTCTGCTTTTGAAGTATGTTATTTTACTCTGAATAAAAAGCTACTTCAGTACCACAGATTTTCTTCCCTCAGCTAATCTCTTCAATATCTTCTTTAACTGTCCAATCATATCAGTCAGTCACAGGAATACGAATTTGGAAAAAACACTCTTACTATATTTTCGATGTCTTGGTATTTTCAACATCTTGGTATTTTTATTTTTTTTATTTTTCTTAACTTACCATTTAAATTTGCTTGTTGTGAACTTGCAGGCATGTGTTGAAACCTTAGAGGTGAGAGTAAAAGAGCATGAGGATTACAATAGTGATTTGCAAGAAGGAGAAAAGTGGTTATTACATATGTCTAGCAAGCTGGTTAGCTCTGACCTAATGGAGAGTAACAGTCTTGAAATAATCACTCAGCAACTAGCCAACCACAAGGTGAGTTTGCTGCTTGGGTAAACTGTCTGGTAAATTAGATTTTTTCTTTTTTGCTTCACAGTGTCATTAATGCGATTTACATGTTTACTTTGTAACACTGTATGTTGGATCAAATTGAACCTATACAAGAGCTTTTTTTACACTGATGTTAATTCTGTTTCAGATTTTTTTCTAAGAGGTTCCAATGAACAGACCACAAAAGATGGATTAGGGTCATTTTACTCCTAAGACCTTTTTGTCTCTGATACTTTCAAGGAAGTAAAGAAATATTTTTTCCCATTTTTTTTTTTTTTTTTTTTTTTTTTTTCCCCCTTCTATTAGATTATAGCATTTCATCCTCTGATTTTATTCAAAGTATTGCTATTGTTATTAAATCCTCTCCCTCTCTTCATACACGCATTTTGAAACAGAGATTCCGATGGCATATGTTGAAACCTTTTGACTCATAGTAATTAGCTTATTATTCCTTTAATAATCTCTTTGAATAAAAGTCTGTGTCCACCAAATTGGATCAAAGGGTCTACTGTGAAAGAGTTTCTTGAATATGACATGATTCAGTATCAGATTTAGTCCTCAGTACTAGAACACGAGAAGTTGGTAGAGCTCTGGTGATAATAAAATAAATTTTCATTTGTTTTATTATCACCAGAATACTCTGTTTTGGGACATAAGCATATTAATGCTTATATACTCAACAGTGTTACTGATGTTTCTTTAGAATACCTACATACAGACTGTTGGCAATATTTTTTATGTTGAAATTCAAATAGCTCGACTATTGCAATATGCATTGACTGAAAACTTCTTTCCAAAGCTGAAGAGAAAGAGCGTTTCAGAAAAGAACAATTAACTTTTAATAAGCTCATTAAAAAGCTGTGATGTAGAACATATTTCAAGTTTGAAATATCTCTTGAAAAGTATTTTATCTATTTCTTAGGCTATCATGGAAGAAATTGCAGGATTTGAAGACTGCTTGAACAAACTTAAGAGTAAAGGTGATTATTTGATCAGTCAATGCACAGAACATCTTCAAGCGAAATTTAAGCAGAATATACAAAGCCATCTTCAAGGAACAAGGGACAGCTATTCTGCCATATGTAGCACAGCCCAAAGGGTAAATCTTTCAAAATTGTTTTAAATACAGTTTAATAACAAATGTTATTATTTCTGTAATTACTTGCAGATTGTTAAGAGGTAAAAATTCAACTGTTTTAAAACAAGCCTATAAATTACTAATATAGCCTTTTATCATTATTGTGCTATAGATGAATTCCTTGTGATCTAAATGTTGCCTTGGAGCCAACATAACTACCTGCATAATAGCCAGAAGTTCCAATTTAAGTTCCAATTTAGTATCTCTGCAAAGTCACTATATTCAGATTACAGTAGCTTCTGAGCAGTCACAGCCAAGAAAAATAGAGGTATTCCTAATTTCAAAGCTAGGGAGAAAATTACACTGATACATAAATAACTGTTCTTAATTTTGTGCTAAGAAATACTGTCTCCTAGTAAAACCAGAATATTCAGTTAAGAAGGGCTAGTTAGGTCATTTTGTTAATCTGTTAATCCAATTAGGAGATCAGACTAGCATAGTTTCAAATAACAGAAACAGAGAAAGAGAGAGAAAGAAATAAAAAGAAAAAAAAAAAAAGAAAAAAAAAAAGAGGAAAAAAAACACTTAATAGAAAGAATTGTAGAGATAGATAAAACCTTGTAATAGATCAATGGCAAAAATGAAGAACAAATTTGAGAAAATGCTCTTCATTTTCATCTCTCTTTTCTCTTTTCAGAAGCCATGTCTTAAATGCTGTCCATTTTATCCACGAATTAGCAAGGTGCTCGTGATGAGCATTCATCTCCTGGTATTTCTATATACAAGAGCCAAATTTTTTACAATCTTAACTGTTCTTTCCTTTTTTTTAATTTTTTTTTCTCTGGCAGTTAGCAAGGTGTGGGTAGGGAGCCAATAGTGATGTTTGAAAATGTAATGAACTTTCAAAATGTTTACTTTAGGTGTACCAAAGTTTGGAACATGAACTCCAGAAGCATGTCAATCATCAAGATACCCTACAACAGTGCCAGACTTGGCTGTCTACAGTACAGTCAGAGCTAAAGCCAAGTACCTGGACACCTTTCAGCCTAGCAGATGCAGTTAAACAGGTAAAAGTTCAGCAGTTGAAAATGCTGTTAACCTTATTGAGGTGATTTCGGGTAAGAGCTCTATATTAATAGAAATTATCTCTAGCCTCCTCAGAGATCTCTTTGTCTTCATTGTTTATTTGCATATCCAAAAGAAATATCTTGAGGGAAAAATAACCTTAGGTGAAGAATTACAGAGTTTTTGTTAGCTCTCCTTAATGCTTAGAAATACATTATTTGAAAATAGCCTTTTAATTAGATAACCAGGCTCAGATAATCTGTGGCTGTGTTTAGCAGACATATTATCTCTTCAGCTTGTCTGCTTTCCATTCTGTTTGCCTACTAATGTTTCTATATGAGATCTGGTTTCATAGTTCCGTGGACATAGAGTCTGTTATCAGGCAACCAAAACAAGTTTCCAGTTGGAGTATCAAACTGCTTCCAGCTCGCATTAGTCATTAAGAAAGGCTTCTTTATTTCTTGGTTATTTTTAGCAACAATCAGACTTGTACGTTGTTTTCGAATTAAACTGGTTGAATATGAAAAGTGCTGAAATTGGATGTTTTCTCTTCCACCGTGTGGCTTGAAACCATGAGATACTTGAAATAATGCAGATTTTAATTGTCCTTTCCTCCTTTATCTGCTCACCTTTAGGAAGAATTTTACTGTCTTTTTGATACTATTCCCACCTGTCCTACTCCTTAAGTTACTGGGAGACAGTAACTAACTTCTCTTTTTTTTTTTAAGCTGGACAAATTAATTTCTGTCAGTCTTGTCCAAATGCCATGTGCTGCAGCCTCATATACCCCAGCCCTTAGCTGAACTTGTACCAGTTTGCCAATGTTTCTTCTGTGAAGAAAGAGGGAAACTGAACCCAACGCACCAGGCACAACCTGATAAATGTAAATGTAGAGTAGTCCCTTCCATCAGCCTGCTCTCTTGCTTTATTGCTAGTGCAGTAATTCAGGGTTGCTACAAGAGCACATTGCTGTTATGTAACTTGTCCGCAAGAAGCCACTACTGGGTTAGGTGGTCAAACACCTTCCTCCCTGGTCTCTAGTTGCTGTAGCCCAACTTGTCAGGCACTGATACTGCCATTTTCATGTGGGATGAAGATACTCTTCATATGGAGAGATGATTTTCTGTGGACAGTGTCAAGAGGAAGAATCCTCAACAGTATAATGTTATCAAATCTTGTGAGTGATAGAAGTTGGGGAGGTTGGAAAAGATTCAGAGGATGTGGAGAAAGCATGGTGTGCCACTGGGTTGGATCCTCCATGAGGAAGATGCTGGAGAATTTAATAGATAGAGGCAACGTGACAATTTATAAATCAGATCAAGTTCTGCTTCCCGTTCATCTTGGGAATGTAATTCACCTTGTTGAAACTTTATATGTATCAATCAAAATTTTATAGTTATGTAAGCTAAATAATGTATATGTCACTGAATGCTTTGCTGGGTGGATGATGATTATCAAGATTTTTAGAGTTACACTTTTCTGCATTTTTTACATTTTCTAGTTAAATATGCAAGTCTACATTTCATTTCTTGGGAGTAATGAGATAAATTAAAAACACTAAAACACATGATTTTAATAAAGTATGCTTTATTCCACAGTCTGAGTATATTTGGGGATTGTCTTCCTTCAGGTGAAACATTTCCGGGCTCTGCAGGAGCAGGCAAATACATATTTGGATCTTTTGTGCTCCATGTGTGATCTGTCAGATGCCACAGTGAAGAGTACAGCAACAGATATTCAACAAACAAAACAAATGGTACAAGATAATCACAAGAAACAGCTTTTAATCTTATTTAGAGCTTTAACTGCTTTGATCTGTCCTCTTTTAAAAGGTCATATTGGGTAATAGTCTAAAGAAGGGCATTCTTACTTTCAGCTCCAGTACTTCATTTAGAAACGGCTTTATTACTCTCTTTCTCTTTTTAAATTATTATTATTTTTTAATTAAATTGACAATGCTATCCTGGTAGTAATATAAAGAAAAAGGACAAAGTATTAACAAAACACACTTAAGCAGCATTACAAGGTGTTGTCCTGAAGGCACATTAATAACATGTTGAAGAAAACCTCATCCAAATTGCTTCACAAAAGAAAATTCAGTTTATTGTTATATATATTTTAATGTTATTATTTGTTCAGGAGTAGTCTGGTGCTTTCTCTGTTAGGATATACTAATACGTTTGCTATAATAATTTTTATGATAGTTCAGTTCAGACCTATGTATTTTATCCAGAACTTATGAATTTACAGAAGTGCTCCTCGGTTTTAAATTTCAAAGTACCTTAATGCTTTGTTTTAAAACAAAATCATAAACATATGATGTTAGAAAACTACATCTTTAGGATTTCTCTTTTTAATGTATGAAAAATTATTTCATACACACACACACACGCACACGCACACACACACACAAATCATCTGAAACGACTTATATCCAGAGTAAAAATCTAATACATATAGTAACAGCATTCCATACCAGAAAAGAAAACTGTTCCAATCCAAGTAGTCCATTGACAACAAGGCTGTCTAAATATTGAATAGCAAAAAATAAACAAGAATACAATTCTTCTTTTATGTATATTGCAGTGGAAAACATTTAAGAAATCACAGGCGTGGCAGTACTGATATTTATTAAACTGGTTGAATGTCTAAATCTTCAAGACTCCTTATGTGTGTTTGCAGTAAAAGAAGATTTGTGACTATTGGTGTAAGATGATTAATGGGCTCAAGACTAATAGGCATTGTTCTTATTGGCATTTTATAAAAGGCATATAAGCAAAGTAAATGGATGAAACGCAGTAAAGTGTTTAAGTTTTTTGGTTGTTTTTTTTTTTTTTTTTGATTGTAAAGGCGTACAGAGCACAGTCTGTTGGTAGTCTTGGCATGCAATTGACTATAACAAATTAGTAAATTACACATTTTAAGCTTTAACTTAGAATACTGAAAACACACACATAAGTATATTTGCTTTGTTCAAGGGTCATTTTTCTCACAGCTTTCCTTGCATAGGACTGATTTTTATGACTTTTGAAGGTTGAGTCTCCTTGTGGATAATATTAGCCTCCTCAGAATCTAGTAAAGGAATTTGCTGTGAGTAGAGTATTGTGCTTGAAGAAAGACTGTTATTCATCCTCCGGTCTCCAAAAATATCTGCATTAAAGCAATCCTACTGTTCTTTTTTTGTTTTGTTTTTTTCCTTTTCTGCTAGATTGAGCAACAGATAATGCATTCACAGTATTTGGCTCAAGGTTGGGAAGAGATAAAACAAATGAAGGCTGAACTCTGGATATATTTCCAGGATGCAGATCAACAGCTACAGAACTTGAAAAGGAGACGAGCAGAGTTGGAACTAAGTGTTGCCCAGAATATGGTACTCCAAATTAAGGTAAGGAGGTTTTAAGATAAGATCAGAATGTAAGGTAGAAGTTCACCTCGTAGTTTATTTAATTGCAATGAACATATTGCATGTAATTGGTGGTATGTTCTAAGCAAGAGCACAGAAGAAAGAAGAAAGAGAATTCCCTTATTGATGCTACAGTTGGATATAGAGAGCAAAACATAATACTACAGTGTTTCTGATTTTTTTTGTTGTTGTTGTGTTGTTTTGTTTTCTTAAACAGCATACAGTTTGCAGACTACTGTTTTGATTTTTTTGATTTACCTTCAATTTTAATGGGCTAGTTGCTGATTGTAATGCATCTGAAGATAAAATCTGCAACTTGTGCTTACTAAGTTTTTTGATTCCAGTTATAATTTAGCTAGATCCATTTCAAAAGCAATCTAGAATATCATCAATTTTGCTGGACTCTGAAAAGCACTGGAGAAGAGACGTGATAGAAAGCCATATTAATTTACTGTTAGTTGTGAGATATATGACTTCAGATCCTCACTCATTCATTTATAAAGCAGATGATTTTTATGGCTATTCTGCACGCATCTCAGACATCATTAAAGTAACAAGAAGAAAGAAGAAAACAAATTATTTTTGAATAAGTAATTAAACGCTTGGATTTTGCATTTTTAGATTAGATTTTTCTTGTGTTCTTTTCTGATGTGCCAGGAATTGGGTGAAAAGTAAACAACCAATCCTGTCCTAAAAAAGCATTTGAACAAAATCATAAAATACCTCTGTGCAGTGTTGTCTATGTCCTACTACACTAGCAGGAGTCAGTGTAGAGACAGGAGTCTGTACTTCTTCACTATTGTAGTCGGTTTTATTATGAATGACAGGCACCAGCTGTAGTGTCAGAAATGATTCATTCTGTGCTTTTCCCTGGTATTTACTCTATTGTAGGAAGATATCTAGATCAATTTGTGGGAGTCACAAAGAAAGAGGTAAGGGTGAACATCTCTTCCCCAGAAGTCCACAATCCCTCAGTGAAAATTTATCACCCCAGCAAAGTGCTGAAGCTGGGTGTGTTTGTTTAGTTACAGGTTTTGGAATTGGAATTTGAGAAAAGATTGTCTTTACCCCCAACAGTGTAGAAATGCCAAAGAATATCTGGTTAATTTTATTTGTCAGTATATTCTATATTTTCACGTGGAGTTCTCTGTTCATTAAAAAAAATGTTTATGTAGATGAGCTCTTTTATCTAGTGGAGTTAATTAATTCAAATAATTAATTCAATATTAATTCAAATGTTAACTTGAACAGCGATAACAGCTATTAATGAAAGAGAAACAAAACAAACTATGCATGTGGGGGCACTGACTCATGGACTCTTTACCCAGTTTTAGTCTCTAATAAAAAAGAGAAAGAAATGAGCTAGAAACGCTTCTGGTAAAATTAATTTGCATGAGATTGCAATTATCCTGTATGTTACAATGTAGATGGAATGAGTGCCAGGAGCCTGGCTAGGAAAGTGTAACTTCTTTGTGATTTCTTTTTATCACTGGTATTTGCGCTGGTTTGCTGTCCTTACATGAGAAGATGGAGAGAAAGGGGAAAAGGAGAAGGCACTTTTTCCAGTTAACATTGGTGCAACATTTGCCTGGACAGATAATTAGTACTAAATTAGATTTATTTATTTCAATGTTTTTATTTAAACTTCACTGTGTCATTTACAGTAAGCGTCACCATATTGGTTTTGATCTTTTTCAGGAATTCAGTCAGAAGTTGCAGTCTAAGCAGTCAGCTCTTACTTCAGTGACTGAGAAGATAAACAAGCTAACCCAAGGACAGGAGTCACCTGAACACAAGGAAATCGGACAGTTGAGCAATCAGTGGCTGGATCTCTGCCTTCAAGCACACAGTTTGCTCATACAGAGGGAGGAAGATCTACAGAGGACAGTAGATTACCATGATCGTATGAATGTAGTTGAAGTTTTCTTGGAAAAGCTCACAAAAGAGTGGGACAACTTGGCTAGGTAAAACAAGGGGTAGCAATGAGTACATATACACTGAAAGAACAGTTTACAATATGTCTCTAAGTGGATCTGCTAAAAAATTCCATTTTCTAATGCTTAATTAAAATCAGCCCCCCTTATTAATTATAGCATAATTACTTGTATTGAAATAAAGAGTTTGAGGAGGTACATCTTCCATCTTTGTTTTTAAGATCCCATTTGGGGGCATAGTATTTTCTGGCACATCAGGCATTTATATTTTGTTTGATTGTTTCATTTATCTTTCTTGTCAGTGCTTTATTTAACTATTACATTGAAGCTTAGTTACTTCTACTAAATTACTGCAGATGTTTTTTACTCATGTTTAAAATAAACACACAGGATGTGCATAAAATTGTAGGAGTTTACTACCGCTGCTATTACTTGAGGTGCTGATGACCATATTGCAAATGAAAGAGAAGAATAAAAAATGTTAAACTTTTTAAACAATAGTTGAAACTGATATCTCCAAATAAATCTGAAATGTGCAGGTATTTGCATCATATTGATTTCAGTTGGTAGAGTGCTCATAATTTATCCATGCCTCTTTTAAACCTGTCCTGAAATAGAATCTGATCATTAATTTCTGTCTTGTCCATTTTGATAACAGATCTGATGCTGAAAGCACAAATGTGCACCTTGAAGCTTTGCAAAAATTGGCACTAACGCTTCAAGAGAGGAGATTTGCTCTGGAAGATTTGAAAGATCAGAAACAGAAGATGGTGGAACATCTGAATCTTGATGACAAAGAATTAGTAAAGGAGCAATTTGGTCATTTTGAGCAACGCTGGACTCAGCTGGAGGAACTTGTGAAAAGAAAAATTCAGATTTCTGTTTCAACCTTAGAAGAGCTTAGTTTGGTGCATTCCAAACTTCAGGAACTAATGGAGTGGGCAGAAGAGCAGCAACCTAGTATCTCAGAAGCTCTTAAACACAGCCCACCTCCGGATTTGGCTCAGAGTCTTCTCATGGATCATCTTACCATTTCTAGTGAGCTTGAAGCCAAACAGCTTGTACTGAAGACACTGCTGAAAGATGCTGAGAGGGTGATGACCAGCTTAGGGCTCAATGAAAGACAGGAGCTGCAGAAAGCACTTTCTGATGCACAGCATCATGTAGATTGTCTCAGTGATCTGGTTGGCCAGAGGAGAAAGCACCTGAATAAAGCACTGTCTGAAAAAACACAGTTTCTCATGGCAGTCTTTCAGGCTACCAACCAAATTCATCAACACGAGAAGAAGGTAACATTTCCAGAGCATATCTGTCTGTTGCCAGAAGATGTGAACAAACAGATCAGGACTTGTAAGAATGCCCAAGCTAGCCTGAAAGCCTACCAAAATGAAGTCACCGGGCTATGGGCTCAAGGAAGAGATTTAATGAAAGAAGCCACAGAACAAGAAAAGAGTGAAGTGTTAGGTAAACTGCAAGAACTACAGAATATATACGACACTGTTTTACAAAAGTGTACCCAGAGATTGTTAGAACTGGAGAAAAATATAGTTTCCAGGAAATATTTCAAAGAAGATTTGGATAAGGCTTGCCATTGGCTAAAGCAAGCTGATATCGTCACATTCCCAGAAGTTAATGTAATGAATAGTAACTCTGAACTGTACACCCAGTTGTCCAAGTATCAACAGATTCTTGAGCAGTCTCCCGAATATGAAAATCTCCTACTTACTCTACAAAGACATGGCCAAGAAATCCTACCATCACTTAATGAAGTGGATCATTCTTACCTAGATGAAAAACTTAATATTCTCCCTCAGCAATTTAACACTGTCAGTGCTCTGGCAAAAGATAAATTTTATAAAGTTCAGGAAGCAATTTATGCTAGGAAAGAATATACCTCTTTGATTGAGTTGACAACTAAAGCCTTGACTGAGCTAGATGATCAGTTTATTAGTATGGACAAAGCTCCAGCTGCTGTTTTAGCCAAAGAAGCTCTGGCACTCCAGCAGGCCTACAAAGACCTCCTAGGTGAAGTGATGAGTCTTGGTGCAGCAGTGGATGAACTAAACCAGAAGAAGGAGGCCTTTCGTAGCACCGGCCAGCCTTGGCAGCCAGATGAGATGTTAAAACTTGTCACATTATATCACAAGCTGAAGAGGCAAATAGAACAGAAAATCAATTTGTTAGAAGACACAATAGAAGCATGTCAAGAGCATGAAAAAATGTGTTCACAGCTTGAGGCACAGCTAGAGGCAGTGAAAAATGAACAAATTAAGGTAAATGAAGAAATGCTCCCAATAGAAGAAAAGTTGAAAATATACCATTCTCTGGTGGGCAGCTTGCAAGATTCAGGGAGTCTTCTGAAGCGAATAACTGAGCATATAGAAACCCTTTCTCCCCAGCTTGATCCATCTGCACGTGAAACAACAAATTACCAAGTGCTGTCTTGGCAAGATAAACTAAAGAATTTGCACGCTGCCATTGGTGACATAGTGATGGACTGTGAGAATAGACTTGTGCAAAGCATAGACTTCCAGACAGAAATCTGCCGCTCACTCGACTGGCTGAGATGGGTGAAAACAGAACTCAATGGAAAACTAAGTTTGGACCTAAAACTGCAAAGCATCCAAGAAGAAATCCGAAAGGTTCAGATACATCAGGAAGAAGTGCAATCAAGCCTGAGAGTGATGAATGCACTGAGCAATAAAGAGAAAGAGAGATATATGAAAGCAAAGGAGCTGATACCTGCTGATCTGGAAAACACTTTTGCTGAGCTGACAGAACTAGATGGCGAAGTTCAAGAAGCTATACACATAAGACAGGTTAGTGTATACTCAGTGTCGTTAGTTTCTTACGAAGCTGAAAAATATAGCTCTGAGGCTTGATGTTTGTAATCTACATGAAATCTTGTTAGTTTTTCTAAACAATTTAGATTGTGATTTGCTACCAATGTTGAGTGAAAGAGCAGTAAGATTTCCTCAATGTGCCTAAATACTTACATACAGAAGTACAGGCTCACTCAAAGCCTACTTCCATCTGTTCTCTCCCAGACCTATTAGATGTAGTACAAGGAAAAGAAAGGAAACCTCTCCATGGCAATCAGCCCTGGTGCTAGCACCTTCTGCAGCAGAGCAGAACTGCAGCATGTGAGGGAGGCCTGCAATCAAAGAAACCCCAGGGTGAGGAGGGACATGCTGAGAGCTAACAGGAGTCCTCAGCCCTTGTGAGAGTGGCTTAGAAAGTGTAAGCAGAGCTAGGATATATTTGTTGGTATTGTGAATTTTTATCTGTTACTGTATTTAATTTTCACTTTTATTTCAGGCTACCTTGGATAAATTATATAGCCTTTGCCAAAGATATTACCAAGTGATTCAGATAACAAATGACTGGCTTGAGGATGCTCAGGAGTTTCTGCATTTAACGAGAAATGGTCTTGATGTTGAGAACTCTGAGGGGAACCTACGGAACCATATTGAATTTTTCAGCACAGAAAGTCAGTTCAGTAATAATTTGAAGGAGTTACAGGACCTGGTACCTGAGCTGGAGCCTTTTATACATGCCACAGCAAGAGAGCAGCTCATGCAGAATCTAGCTTCATTGGAAGAAAAGGGCAGAGGGACAAAGCAGGAAGCCAACAGTCAGCAAGAATTGTTGCAAAGGTATAGTTTTCTTTTTTTCTTTCATTTTGTTTTGTGATTTTTTTTTTCATTATGTTAATGATGAAAGAAACATATTCCAGCACTTGATTAGTTTGTACGGGAGTTTTGTAAAGTGTGTTACTGGTGACTGAAGTGGATACTAGGATTCAGAACTCTTGGATTCTGATTTCTCCTCTAACACTGACAAGAGATGTGATCATAAAGAAATTATGATAAAGTTGTAAAAAGCTTGGAAAAGCATGAAGAAGCTAAATAGAGAATGGTTACATATTAATTCACAAGGCGTAAGAGCCATGGAGATGCAAATGAAATTGAAGTAGACATTTTGAGCTACAAAGAAATACTATTTTTAACCAGCATACTTATTCCAATGTGTTCTGGGTGCCAAAAGTTTGGGAGGGTTTAAAATACAACCTAGACAAAGTCACAGAGGAAAAGTGCATCAAAGGCTATTAAATGCAAAGCTAGGAGTACAGTTTTACAGTTTTTGGTTATCTCTGAGGCAAAGCTGGAAATCAACAGCATATACTTTCGTATGTATCTCAGTAGTCTTGCCTTTTCTTGGAAAAGAGTGGTTTTATTTTACATTAAATTGTTCTTTCTGGTACTGCATTTGTTCAAGGTGTGCTTCTGAGTGGCAGGAGTATCAGACAGCACGACAAAAGGTCATTGAAGTGATGAATGAGGCTGAGAAAAAATTATCTGATTTCTCAGTAGCTAAAGCTGCTTCTTTTAATGAAGCAGAAGAGAAATTGCAAACACATAAGGTAAGATGCTGAAAATTATATGAAATCATTTTCCTTCAGTTAAAAACAAATGTTTTTTCTGGAGATCCTGACCCATGAAAACCTGAAATTGAATTTTTAGATCTTTTCCTTAAGCGCTTAAATGTTAGAGTATATAAAGAATTGTTTTGTGTGTGTTTCTTTTTTATTTTAGACTCTAATAGCAGAGGTTACCGGTTTTGTTATGAAAAAAGTTTCTGAATACGTTTCCTATCCTTTTCAGGCATTAGCAAGGAATAGAAAATATGATTACACCAAATTTCAGCTCCATCCACAGATTTGCATTCTGGAACAAGTCCTTGGAATTATTGTAGCTAATATTTGGTATATGCAAAATAAAGTGGAACTTAACCAAGTCACTCGATGCAGAGTACATAGTTTTTGTCTACAGTGGATGGAAGTTTCTCATCCTGAAAGTGTGTTGAAAAGTTACAAATTGTGTTATTAATAAAAGTAAAACTTAATGTCCATTTTTGCTTTTTCAGACTCTTGTGTCTGTAGTAAATTCTTTCCATGAAAAGATCACAACTCTTGAAGAAAAGGTTTCACAGCTGGAAGAAGTTAGCAATGATGCCAGCAAGGCAACTGTAAGTAGATCAATGACAACGGTTTGGCAGCGCTGGACACGGCTCCGGAATGTAGCCCAAGAACAAGAGAAAATTTTGGAGGATGCAGTACAGGAATGGAATGGATTTAATGATAAGGTAACTTCTGGTCTTTGTAACTCCTCAGTTTCTAACTGTACATAGGATTTTGCTCCTTATACTGGCCTTCACAAATATTGAGTACAGATTATAGCAAAGTCTTGTGAAATGAAGACAATTTTATTCCTGAGAAATTTATGATTGAGAAAGCTGAGAGGAGGAATCACAGTCATTTTCCCCAGTTCACCAAATAAAATACACCTCACCATGGAAGATGTAGATTTAGAATCACTGCCTTGCACTGTTTAGAATCAAACACTTGTACCATTCTTTTATATGGGTACATATAAAGTAAAATACAGGTCTTTTTACTTCTGATGGTTCTTCAGGGTCTCTTCCTCTGTTTCCCTTCCCTCAAATGATTGTCAATCTTTTTTTTTTTTTTTTTTTCCTTCTTTGTTTTCCCAAAGAGGATGAAGCTGCTAATTTTAAGTTTGGGCACTGATATTTTTCTTGTCACTGGTCTGGTCAAATCACACTTTTTTCCTAAAACCTTACTTGAATCTTTTTATCCGTTGTTGTCCATTATTTTATGCTCAGATTAAAAGATCTCTGGGAATGAGGAGGATCTTCCTGTTAAATGTATGGCTCATGCCAAACAGGGGTCTGTTGTGGACTAAAGATCTAGGTCATATGGCAATAAAGATAATAAATAATAAAAAATAAGAGGAGCAACTTATCACAACAAAGGAGACCTTTAGAAGACCTAGTGTAAAGAATTAGGCTACCTAGCTATTGCTGTCAGCATTAGGTCAAAGATTTAGGGCTGTTGCATCAGCCCTATACCACAAATGTTCTTTGGCATCTAAACATATAGCAGAAGGTGTAGAACCAGTTGGTATCAGTTGTAGTAAGACTGTGTTTCTTTGTGTAGATTCAGAAAGCTACTGTAGTGATTGATCAACTACAAGATCGTTTACCAGAAAGCTCAGTAGAAAAAGCATCTAAAACAGAGCTCCTGGAACTCCTGGATTACCACAGCAGCTTCCTTCTGGAAGTGGAGCACCAGCTATCATCTTTGGGTCTGCTCAAACAACATGCTCTTAATATGCTTCAGGATGTGGAAATAAAGCCATTTTCTCAGGAAGAAATACCAGTCATGCAAGAAGTCAAAGCAATGCAAGATCGATGCCACAAGTAAGGTTTTTTTTTTTTTTTTTTTTTTTTTTAATAAGATTCACTAGAGAAGTAGTAACTTAAAATTCATTAAGTAATAAGAATTACTTACTATTTTTATTATCTCTATTACCATAATTAAATATTACTATATTTAAGAGAAGTTAAAATTTAAATGAATTTTAATTAATTTGGAAATACAACTTTACTGTTATTTTTTATTTCCACCATCTGTGAGTATATATTGCAGAATATGTAATTCCTGCATTGCTTTAATAATGGGAACATATGTAAGAATACCATAAACTACATTGGAGTTATAACTGATTTTAAACACTTCCATTGCACCTCACCTTTAACTGTGACCTTTCAACTTTTTGTGACCTAAGTTTAGATTTGTTTATGGCTTTGTTTCTCCTATTTAAAGCAGTTCAGTTCAAAAAGTAGGCATCCTTTGAATTTTACAGGGGGATTTAGCAAATAGAACACATTTTAAAATTATACCCTGTGACTATATGAATATTTGTATAAATCTAAAGTGTTCATTTACCATGTAAACCAGGAAGTTTTATAGCTGAGATTTGAGGTTTAGATTACAGGTATCCACATCTGAAGCAGTTAATTCTTACTGCCTAGTTAGTAGAGAAGTATGGGCAAGTCTAAGAAGCATTTATTTCTTGCCTATTTTAGAAGTTTATTTTGGAATGGTGATGAATCATTCTTAATTATGCCCTAAAATTACCCGTTTCCTCCACTGACAGTACAGGCACCCTGTGATGGTGAGCTCAGATGTAGGTGTTCATACTATAAACATTTGCATTTGTTCAGAAAAAAAAATATACATAGATTTCAAAATACATAAAACTGCTTATTAAAAGGCTTGAGCTGAGGAATAAATGTGAGAGATGTGTCTGCTGCTCAAGTAGGCTTGCTACACTGCGCTTTTTTATTATTTTAAGTCTAGGGATATTATTCATTCTTTTCATTATTTAGCACTTTTGACAAAGCAAAACATTTAAACATCCTCAATTCTTCACAAATGGTCATTGTTTCTGTTTCTAAAGTATGCAACAGAAAGTGAAAAATAGTGTAAAGCTTGTGAAACAGGAGCTGAAAGAGCGTGAGGAGGTTGAAGCACAAATAAATGTTGTGAAGACTTGGATCCAGGAAACAAAAGAATATTTATTAAGCCCTGATGTGGAAGTGGATACTCAACTTCAGGAGCTGAAGGTATATTAAATCTGTCAATGTCGAAATTACAGTGTTTCTAATACATCTTCATAATCTAGTAGAGAGTATTAATCAGTTTCAAACCACCATCAATTACAATTACATGATATTAATTGAATTTTAATAAAGCCATAGAAAAAAAAAAATCATGGAAGTGGGCTGTAATATGTTACTTTCAAAATATTTAAGATACATGTAAATATTTGTATTTATGCAACTTTACCTATCTGGCATATAGTTCATTCTACTTTATGTCCTAATCTAAAATATGAAAGAACTATAGAATATGAAGGGCAGAACATGGCATCTATTTTCCATATTAGAGCTCTTGGGAGAAACAAAAGCAACTAAATAAACTCCATTTACTGGAGGTGCTGAAAACTTGATTATTGTCCATATACAGATGACATACTGGAACAGAGGACTGGGCCTGAACATCATAAGTGAGAATCCAGGGAATCTCAACATACAATAATTAGTTCATTATTTATATGAACTAATGAAAATAATAACAAAAGTTGAAAGCAATTAGCTTTGTTGTAAGCTGCAAGTAATATCTTCTTTTGCTTATACAGTTTATGCAGACGTAATTATTTTCCTTATTGTTCCTGACAATATTGCTTTTTCTATAATTAGTCTCTCCTCTGTGAAGCAACTACTCATCGCCAGGCTGTTGAAAAAATGGCTGAACAACAGCAGAATAAGTACTTGGGACTTTATACAATTTTGCCTTCTGAACTCTCTCTTCATTTAGCAGAAGTTGGGCTGGCCCTTGTAACTGTACAAGATCAGGTAAAATGTAGTAGATGAAATTGTTACAGAATCAGTGCATTTTTTTAGATGGTCATCTTTGCAACCCCAATTGCTCAAGCAGAGACACCCAGAGCAGGCTGTCCAGGACCATGTCCAGATGGCCTTTGACGATCTGCTGTGACAGAGACTTCAAATCTTAGTGGGTAACCAGCTCACTAGTGCTGTCACCTGCACAATGCAAAAGTGCTTCCTGGTATTCAAAGGGAACTGTGTTCTGTTTTGTGTCCATTGCCTCCTGTCTTGGCACAGATCACCACTGAAAAGTGTCTGTCTGCTGTTACAGATGTAGGGCCCTTCTTTAGACTTCCTGACTTTGCAACACGCTATATCTGAGGGTGATCAAAGTGTAATTAGTTCTATTAACTACTTACTTTAACAAAACAAAATTATGTTAATTTGAAAGTGAAAGTCAATTTCCTTTGAGGAAGAGAGTTTTCTATTGCTGAACTTCTGATTTTTGACAGATTCAAGCCAAAGAAAAAGAAACTGGGCATATCAAAACACTGAATCAAGAGTTTGAACAGCGAATTCAGGGGATAGCAAATGAATTAAATGCAATTCTTTCCAAACTAAAAAGGAAAACAGATGATATAGTGCAAGCTAAACTTGAACAGAAGGTAAGAACTAAGCTTTCCTTCATTGATTACATCAAAAACTCTTCTGAACTGAGAATTGTACCAATATTTTATCTATTAAGATCTTATATGTAATGTAGTTCAATGGAATGTACAGAAATATCCTTTGCAAACTAGCCCATACAGGGTACAACTAGAAACTACAACTACAACTATCACAAGAAAATGGAGGGGGTATTTGAGAGTAAAAGAGCATGCAATTCTCTCTAAATAAAGCGCATGATTGCAATCTGAAGAAGTCCAAGAGGGCTTCCAACCTACTCCTAAAAAGACAATTCTTTTCATTCCATCTTTACAGCTGATAAATAGAATTTCACTTAGTCAGTAGTTAATCTCATGTAATCTAGCGTACTCATGAAGTGAAGTACTACTGGAGCAGTTAAGGGGAAATACAAAGAATTATGTTACTTTTCTGGGTGTTCTGAATTTTAGTTATGCACTACAGTCATAAAAACTCATCTCTACTAAGGTATAATGGCCTTATACCTTAGTATAAGGTATAAGGGCCTATAATGGTTTTTTGGAGGGGGAGATAAGAGGGAGATGGGGCAGGGGAACTGGCTATGGCTTTTTTTGTTTTTGCTTGTCTCTCAGCTAGTTAAAGATAAGCTTGTCTAAATTACTGTGTGAAAGTAGGTAAGGCATACCAAATAGGGGAAGACTTGGTATGCCTGGTGTGTCATAAATTACCTGTTTGTTTTCATAGGTTATTAGCAACATCATCTAAGTGTTATTTGGTTTCTAGAACATGTCACTGAACTACATTCCATTAAAACTGGTAAACCCTTAGTCTTCTAACAGAAGACCAATTAAATGTGTTTTCCAATATGGCACAGACAGAAGCCCTGTGTCACCACAGATTTAGTAAAGTTTTTGTAACTCCACAATAGCTCTCAGCTGATATTTCTGAGATTGGGTTGGCTTTGGTCACAGTATTAAATATTTTTTTGTATTAAAATTGAAAGTGGTTGTGAAAAGTAAAATACAATATTTTAAATCCGTATGATCCAAATCAAATATATCTGTCTCTCACTTTCAAGCAAAGTAGAAATTCTTTATTCTAGATATATACAGACATAAAGTTATGCCTGTCTGAAATATGTATGTTATTGTATTTAGATGTGTAGATTTACAACTATCTTCATGTCTACACATAGATAGTAATGTTTTTAAAGTGTGGTGGTATTAGTGGAATAATAGTTATTTATCACAAATATCAAATGATCAAATAATTGATCATAAATTGAATCTAACGTGTCTCTGTCAGGATAGTGCTAACCAGATGAGTTAAAAGCACTTGTGGCTAGATCAGTGTTCAGTTCTGAAGCGGTTATTGCCTGATGATTGCAATTTATATTTCTAAGAATAATTGTGAAGTGTTTGATGAGAATTACTTTACAAAAATGATGAATCATTAATACCTTAGGCATAAAACGAAAGACAAAAACTCAACACCACAAGCAACAATAGCCATTAAGCATTTTATCAGTTTGAGAACTATAGATAACAGTTTAGATTTATTTTTTAACACTTACAGAAACTTTGTAATTATGGTAGGAAAATCTGATTTAAAAATCAGTTCTATTGAAATGGTCTGTCTTGATCCAGACTGCACCTTTGTCTGGATCAAGCTATGAAAGCACTAAAGTTTTCATAATGCATTCTTGAGTGATTACTAATTTCTGAGTTTATAAGTGTAACAAGTCCCTTTCAAATAAACAAAAATCTTTGTCATGGCGACATAACCATTCACTTTGTCCAAGAACAGTTGACATCTCTCTGAAGTGACTCAGTCTTTTGATATATTAGGGAAAATAGTTACTTTTTCAGCCCAGTCAGAGAAGAAAAACTAGTGTCATCCATTTAAGAGATGACTAAACACCCTGCTGTTCTGCCTTCCTGCTTAGAGAGTTGTTGTTGATTTGTAGCCAGAATAAAGATGAAATAAATCATGGAAAGTTAGGGCAGGCTGTAAGAGATGCATGGTGGACTAGAAGTAATCAACAAGAAAGCTTCCTATCTCACTTATTTTCTTGTTTATTCTATCTAGATCCTTGGTGAAGAGTTGGACAGCTGTAATTTAAAGTTACTGGAATTAGATGCATCAGTCCAGGAGTTTTCAGAACAGAACATACCCCTGGCTAAGCAGCTGGCTAACAGAATAGGGAAACTCACTGCACTGCACCAACAGACCATACGGCAGGCTGAATACAGAGCAACCAAGCTCAGTCAGGTATGATCTAACTTCTTCACTGTCATTTCTTTGGGAAGCAAAAAGCGCATTAAGAAGTTCTCATGTATTTTCCCTTAGTTATGTAAGAAGATACATTCCTTGGCACATCTGCCTATTTTTATTCAGGGCTTGTATAACACAGCAGAGAGGAACAGATTGGTGTCAAATAAGGAGGGTGGAATAACTCTATATGGTGCTGATTTAACATCTAACATGAAGCATCTGATGATTGGTTCCTCTGGTGCCCTGAAAAAATTTTAGTTCTTCCTACCAATAGCAACATGTCAGGAAATAATATATTATTACACTTTTCAGGGCCTCTGTCTTATCACTGTTAATTATGTTTGTTTCCTTGCAAAGGAAAAGAAAAAGTTTTATTTTGATCACTATCTGTAGAGGGAGAATATTATTAGTACATACAGTGAAAAGTCTAGATACCAAGGCCCTGATAATACATTATCTTTCTCCACTTAATGTTCACAAAGATTTTTTTTTCCCTGCTGTCCTCAGGGTTTGGTACCTGGAATCCTTTATGCACTTTTGCTAAACGTCACTATCCAAAAATAGTCTAGCTTAAAGCAAAGAAAGGGAATTTGTATGATTCTACCATTAATACCTTGATAATTTTTGAGTTCTCTCTTCTGCATGCATGAGTGAGCTTCAGTTACTTCTGAAAACTTGATACAAAAAGAGATAGAAAATTATTATCAGTGTATGAATTCAATCAGAGATTCTTGATAAAGGGATTTAACTGTTAGGATATTTTTGTTCAACACCAAGAAATCTGCTTCCCATTAAAAAAAATTAAAAAGTCAAAGCAAGCATTGCATGCAAATGCAGTATTATTGTTTAATGTGGTCCATTCCTCATGCAGAACAAATACCTGAAAATAAGAGAAATTAATCCGTTTAGAACTACAGGTAGTTGCTAAACATAAATTAGATGATTAGAGCAGAGCATCTTTTGTCCTGTTCTTCAAAACAAGTGCAACTTCTCTTTTTTTGGAAATATGACAGCCTGGGTGGATGAAGCATGCTTTAAATAAAAGTTATTTGGGGAGCTGCATGGTAAGACAAAAAGAAGGAGAAGGATGACGCAAAAGAGGCTTGCAAGTGAGCCACAAGCTGAGACAAAGTATTTTCAAACTTATGTGTGAGGCTGAAATGTGTGCAGGAAGCATACACTCTAGTGATGCGGATGAGTATCAGTGCATTCTGATTCAGGGAGTTGAGTTTTTGTTGTGCCATTTTTCCTTTAAAATAGATAATCTTGCTACTAAAAGCAAACCTTTTTCAACTTCATAAATACAGATTTGGTTGGTTCATATTCTGCAGTAATTAAAAGTTATTAAAATTATCCCCAAAGTCAAAAAGAGTAAATGAAATAAATACATCTGTCATTCTATAAGAATTGTATAGAATTACATCCTAGACATAACAGGTGAATTTTTTCTTCTATATCCAGGCTACTTCACATTTGGAAGAATACAACGAGATGCTGGAGTTCATACTGAAATGGATTGAGAAAGCAAATATCCTAGTGCATGGTAACATAACGTGGAATTCTTCCTCTCAGCTTCGTGATCAGTTTAAAGCCTACCAGGTGATTGTACTAACTATGACATTTAATGGAAGCATATAGAAGATCTTACCGTTCATCTTCTAAACCTTTTCTTCTTTTCCTTCAGGAAAAAAAAAAAAGTAAAAATTTATGTTATTCTGATCTCTGATTTGTCCTCCAAAACTTGTCCTCCAAGTCGTAAAGATGATTGAGTTCTTCTGTATAATTGCTTTGAAGACTGAAATAAGGATACTTTGTTGAATAAAACTATGTGGTTCAAGTAATCTCTTTGTTTACTCAAGCACATTGGCTTCGTGGGAGCTTTTGATTGAACGTTTTGTCTAGACAGTGAGATGTTATCACATTAAATACCTTATTGCAACTAATACTTGTTTTAAGAAAGATCATAATAAATCTTTTCTTGGTATGATCCTCTTATTATAAATTCTAATTTATCTAAACACAGTTTTCAGTTTTTTGTTTTTTTTTTTCTTCTCCCATTTTAAGCTAAGTTTGGATAGCCTTTGTTCACATCTACGCATTTTCACACCAAATAATCCCAGATTGACATCCAACTGATTAATTTTTTTTCTTCCCAGTTGCTTTCTACTAGGTATATCAGACTTCCAGAAAATCATGTTCATAGCTAATGTATACTATGTTTTACAGACAAGTATGTATAGCAAAATACTAAAATAAATGTGTTGATAAGTTCAGTTACTGAAACTTTGAGACTTATACTTTTGTTTCCCTGAAGCACTTAAAAATTCACTCAGAATTAAGCATATTGTCTAAGCTCTACAATAAATTGATAGAACACAATCGTGTTTACGGATGTGTATAAATTGAGGAGTTTGCAGGGTAAGAATTTACTAAAAGGTAGACCCAATCTGTAGTTCAACTTTCTGATTACCTCTTTATCTAGACTATGCTTGAAGAGTCTGGGGAGATCCATGATGATCTTGAGGTCATGAGTGAAAGGATTGAGTATCTGGCCAGTGTCTACTTAACTGAAGGAATGTCTCACCAAGTGCTAGAACTGGGACGTAGGACAGAAGAATTGCAACAAATCATCAAAGTGCGGCTACCAAATCTGCAAGATGCTGCCAAGGTATGTAAAAGCACTTTTTTTTCCAATACTGGATGACAGCTAGGTTTGTGTGTGCTTAAGAGCATTGTGGTTTTGGGAGTACTAGCACCTTATCTGTCAGTTCTGTTTAAAAGTATGTATCTTGCACCACTTGTGATGCTGTTGAGCACTCTGCCTTTGTTGATCTGTGAGAGCAGATTTCTGTAGGTCATGTTACATCTGCCCCTTCTGCTTGGATGTATTGGGGATAATTGCATTTCTCAAAAGGAGCTGAGCACCTGTGTTTAGATACTTGAATTGAGATGAATATGTCTGTGTTGACATTTATGATGCACCTTTTATTTTTCACTTAGAAAATACATAAAGCTTGTCTTCTGTTAATTCAGATCAGTACTGAACCTGAGAGGAACTCTATATTGTGAGACCTATGGCTCTAAGAAAATGCAATAACATGCTCTTCTGTGTCCTTGATTTTTCTTTGGGACTCTTCTGTATGTGTTTGTTGTTAATGAAAGTGTGTGTTATACATGTGTCATGTATGAGGGCATTATAGACAGGTGCAAGATACAGAGAAAAGTGGAGAAGAGTTTTCTATTTACTCTTTCCTTTTGGGTGTTAAATTTTACATTGTTTTTTTTGTTGTTTTTTTTTTGTTTTGTCTTTTGTTTTTAATTGACAAAATAATTTAGGTTTTTGTTTGTTTTTTTGTTTTTAGTATAGTTTATTTTTAGGATTCCTTTTGCTGTTGACTGATGCAGTTCAACACAACTAAATACGAAAATAATACGTACTGGCTGCTGAGAATAACCTATCATCAATAATTAGGATGATCACAACTAATACTGATTTTTTTTTTTCCTTATTTCACAGTATTTTATAGGATATAGTACTGTAGTGATTTAAGAACAGATCAACAGCTAAGGTCCACCACTCCATTCTCTCATTCCCCACCCTCAGAAGGATAAAGATGGAAAAAGAAAAGATGAGGTTGATATAAGAAGCAGTTCAATTAAATGGAAAGAAAAAAAAAATAAAGCTGTGTGGAAGCAAAAAGAGAGAACGTAGAGGATTTTTAGAATTAAATTTTTTCTCTAATTTCATCAGCAAACAATGTTCACTCACATCTTAGGAAGTGGGGTCTCAGTACTAGTGGTTGCTTGGGGAGATCAATGCTTTCTAACGAAAGTATCACCTCCTTCCTCTGGGCTGAAGGTTTTTTTTTTTTTTTTTTTTTCTCATTGAGTAAGCACACAAATAAGAAGAGTAGAATGAAACTCACTAACTTCAGTTCTTAGAGAAATATCAGAATAATTGAATATGTATAAGCTGTTACATGAAAATATGAAATGAGTAGAAGTCAACTAGATTTGCAAAGAAAGAAAATCATATTAAAAGAATCACATTTAACATGAAGGTAGTAGACATTATAGATAAATATACAATGTGTCATATATCTTGATTTTAATAATGTTTCACAAGATGTTGTTATTAGCAGTTGATAAACTTACGTATTTGAAAATGTATCAAGTAGGTGTAAAGACATTTAGAAATTTTCCTGGTTTGTAATTATCAATGGTTCCCACCCCTAAAGATGGGATACGTGAAGTAGTATCTTTCAGGTTCTCCTTTGGGCTGTTAGTTGTTAATATTGTTATTAATAAGTTGGATGGTGTTTTAGATACCATAACTTTGAATTTGATTAGATAACACCAAATGTACATGGGACACCTAAAAAAATTTAGGCTGCCATTCAACAGGGATAAAGCAAATTGTTACCTTTAGATAGGAAGAAAAAATTATTTGTGTATCTGAATGAGGGATTACTGGCTACAGGTACTCTTAGAAAGATCTTGAATTTCATACTGTAGATCACAGAAAAATAAGTGAATGTTTCAGTAAAATAATCCAGTCAGTATGAAAAAAAAAAAAAAAAAAAAAAAAAGAATTAAAAAAGAATATAATTGTCAGGACATGTGAAGTGGTTCTTTTCTTACCTATCAATCACAAGCATGGTTTCAACTGTGTCTAGTTTTGCACATGAACAGAGGACAGTAATGATAGTGAGACAAATATAAATTTGCAAGAAAAAATGCACTGAAAGAGAAATACGACATATGAAGTATTCAGAGAGGTTAAAAATTATTTGTTCCTATCTGTTGTTAATAAGTAGAGGACAGAAATCACAGTAGTAGATAGCTTCATGTCAAAGCATTGTAGAAAGAAATATACAGAATAACAGTACTGGATCACTGGAATATATTATCTGTAGAGACACAGACACTGCTGCCAGTGTTTTTAAGAATGAAAAGGTCTGAAAAGATAGCCCAATTCTGTTCTGTTCTGTCTTATTTTGGGAAGGGGACTAGAGGACATCTTGATCTCCTTTTTAGGATTATAACTCTTTGAAATCAGCTTTGTGACATACATACTGAGTTTGAAAGATGAAGTACTTAAAATAGTAGCTCTTGCTGTGAAACCTATTTTTCCACACTCTCATAATACTTGCAACAGTTTTCCTTTTCGAAATTATGACTTAGATTTGACAAGGTAATAAGAAACACAATTATAAAATCCAGACAGATGTATATTTATAGTGACTTTTTTTTTCAGATTCATGAAATCATTCACAAATTTGTTGTTGTTACAGGACATGAAGAAGTTTGAAGTTGAGCTGAGAGCCTTGCAGGCTGCTCTGGAGCAAGCCCAAGCCACCCTGACCTCTCCAGAGCTTGGGCGTTTGAGCTTGAAAGAGCAACTGTCTCACAGACAGGTAAAAGTGCAGGGTCTCAAAATTAAGTAGTACAAAGTTGCACGAAGAATACTGAATGTTGGTAAGACTGTTTGTGGCGTTGGTGCTTCTTTTTGTGGGTAACTGTTTCATATTCTATCCCCAAATTACAGCCAAATGAATAAGGAATGGAATCATAGAATGATTTTCAAATCATAGAATGAGGGACCATAAACATCATCTAGTTCCAGTCTCCCTGCCATTAGAAGGGACACCTTCCACCAGATCATATTGCTCAAAGTCCCATCCAACCTTTCATCATACACTTCCAGGGAATGAGACATCCACAGAGACATGCACAGTTTCTCTGTGCAACCTGTCCTATCACTTCACCATCCCCATAATGAATAATTTCTTCCCACTGTTTGATCTAAACCTACCCTCTTTCAGTTTAAAACCCTTTGTTCTACCACCTTGCAAAGAGTCCCTTCCCATCTCTCCTGTAGGCTACCTTAAGTATTGGAAAGCTGCTGTAAGGTCTTCCCTTACATAGAGAAGCTTTCTCTTCTGGCTGAACAAGTTCAGCTCTTTCAGTCTGTCTTCATAGGATCGGTGCTCTGGCCATTTGAACACCCTTTTGACCCTTCTCTGCGTGTACTCTGATATGTCCATGTCTTTCTTTTTCTGGAAGCTGAATGCAGTATTCCATTTAGGATCTCACAAGAGCTGAGTAGAAGGGAGATTCTTATCCCTTAGCCTGCAGATCACACATCTTTTGGTGCAGCCTAGGATGCAGTTGGCTTTCTAGTCTGCAAGCACGCACTACTGGCTTGTGTTTAGTTCTTCATTCATCAGAACCACCAAGCCCTTATCCTCAGATCTGCTATCAATCCATTTATTGCCCCACCTGCATTCATGCTTTGGATTGACCCAACACAGTTTCAAAACCTTGCACTTGACATTGTTGAACTTCATGAGGTTCGCATGGACTCACTTCTCAAGCCTGTTGTGCTCTCTCTGAAGGTCATGCATAGAATCACAGAATAGCAGGACATCCACAACTTCTATGGGCAGGCTGTACTAGTGCCTCATCACTCTCTCAGTGAAAAACTTCCCCCAACATCTAATCTAAATCTCCTCTGTATATTACTCCTATACAGATTTGTGGAATTCGTATAGTTATTTTTCAAATATGTTAACAGAAATATTATTGTGCATAGACACCTTGAAATAGGATTGAATATTCTATTTCATTATTTACCTTTATGCCTATTATTTAGGCCTTTTGATTTATTAATACTTAATATTTTATTAATATTTTAAAAGAATCATATATGAATAATTCCAAACTGTACCTTGATTGTATTTAATTATAAATAAATAAAATAATTATGCATTGTTTTAGCCTGTGAATTCATCATCTGTTGTTTGCTGCATCAGATGGGTGTTCTGCAGAAGTATCTTATTTGTGGAACTGACTTTTTCCAGCATCTCTTATCTGAAATGGAATCACTGAAGCCAAAGGTTCATGCAGTCCAAGTCTGTCAAAGTGCTCTGAGGATTCCTGAAGAGGTGGTCACCAGTCTGCCAATATGTCACAGTGCACTCCAGCTCCAGGAGGAGGCCAGCCGCTTGCAGCACACTGCCATCCAGCAGTGCAACATCATGCAGGTAAGCATAATTTTGTCCTGTGTATTATTCAGAGTAACTTGAAAAGTGCCTTACAAATTTCATTGAAAACAAAGGCTTTCATATCTCTGTCCATTCCTTTTTTTCCCATGTCATATGATTAAGATATTCCACACTTTGTTTCAATCACATCTGACTCCATGTTTTTAAAATGTATATTTGACATCATAATCTTCCTTATGCTTAAGTATCCACAGTGATCAGAAGCCTTTATTGCTCTCTGTCTTGAATCTTTCTACATGAGTTTGCAATGTATTTTTCTATCACCAGCTAGCAGGAAAGAAAGTTTATTATAATGTACTTTGGAAATATTTTTACGTATTTTGGTATGAAATGACACAATCAATTAAAACCCAATTTCCTTGTATTTACCATACCCTGTTTCATCAGAAGATGAGCTTCTAGTAAGTCTATGGTGGAAAGAACCTACACCACACTGATAGGATAATGGTCTGAATCCATCTTCAGAATCTTCTCCTGGCTGTATTTTCTGCGATTCTGTGAAATCTAAGTAACTCATGTAATCTTTCACTTCATAGAAGAAGGCCTTATGTGAAGAAGTGCTATAGCAAAACTGTCAGACTAGGTGACTAGGCAGTGCTATCTGTTGGTGTGTATTCTTAGTGCAGATATTTATGGGAATCTGAAGATTCAACCCAGTATTGAATATCTTAAAAAATAATGCATCTAAACTATTTTCTGGAAACAGTTAAATTAAACAGTTGAATTCATTGCGGTTTACCATATATCTTAGTGGACTGATGTTTTCCTGACTTGATTCCTGCTGTACTTATCCAGATGTGCCTTTTATGTGTAAGTTTGCTTCACTTCAGAAGGGATATTAGTCATGCTTGGCATAAATAAATCCTTTTTTGTGTGTGTGTAGACGCTCAAATCTTTTTTCCCCTCTCTAGGAAGCTGTGGTTCAGTATGAGCAATACGAGCAAGAGATGAAACATTTACAGCAAATGATAGAGAGTGCCCATCGTGAGATCCAAGACAAGCCAGTAGCAACCAGCAACATCCAGGAACTCCAGAACCAGATTTCACGTCATGAGGTAGGAAAGCCATAACAACATGCGCTCATTGGCAACTCAATGGCCCCAGTACTTTTCATAAGTAAGTTTAATTAGATAGCTGAGTAGTTTTTCAGGCATGCTTAAAGGCTCTCAGAACAGGTAAACTAATACTCAATAGGAAAGTCATGCTGTTAGTACAGTCTGGAGTATTCATTTGTTTATTCAGTTAAATGTATCCTAATCTCCAGGCACTAAAGCATTATGTAATTAAGAGGCAGTTACCATATGTACTTGACTGAGGAGCACTCTCTGTTAATGCTACTGAATTAGCAATTACTTATTTCCATCCCATTAACGAAGACACCAACGTACCCGAACCACAGCAAACACAAGTAAATCTGGTGGAATACTGTGCAAGAGACACTCCAAAGGCTTCTTAGCTAGTTGGCTTGGGGGGAGTTTTGTCCCATGTAGTTACTAATTCTGTCTTCAAACTTATTGATCTTAAGTGCTCAAATGAGTCAAAACAGTCTCCATGGAGCCTTCACTGCTGTGCTGTCATGGGGGCTTCTCAACCCCATTTCCTTGCTCCTACCTTTTGTTTATTTCTATGGATGGCAAATGAGTCAAATATATCTGTATATCACTTTTGACAGCAGATGGCACAATTTCTTTACCTTTTAATTAAAACCTCCTTGTAGTATTATGTAATGTAGCCTAATGTTGCATGTATTGCTCATTTTCTATTATAAATTCTTATTTTATAAGTTCTTATAGAAGTAGCTTACTATAAATGCAGAGTGGTTTCCCTTAAAAAATAAAAATAAAAAATAAATAGAAGAAATGGAGAGAAAGAGGGAAAGGTTTCGCACTTGTAAGATTTTTAAGAGACTAAGATATGGATTTGTTTAAATATTTTGTCTGCTAAGTAGTTGTAGGAAAGCGCACTGTCACAGAAGGGGATTCTATGTTATTACATGACTTTAATGGGAAGGTCTGTCTAGGTGCCTGTTACTTGTCTTGTTGTTTTAAGAAGATTTTAGTTATGAGATTCCCTGTTGAAGCTTGCATGAGCAAAAACGTAAAGGGATATTTGTAGGACCTATGTTTAGGATGAAAATAGGAGGATGGAAGTTAAAAGAACATACACAGTTGTCTAGAAAGTTTATACTGTTGTGTATTTATGTAACAGCAGTTAAACTCTGTAACTAAGCTTACCATACCCAGTTTCATCAGAATTTCAGAAAAGAATATGGATAAGTATCTCCATACTTATGCTTAACCAATCTGGTGGCTTTCTATGATGGAGTGACGGCATTGGTGGACAAGGTAAAGGTGACCAATGTCATTTACCTGGACTTGAGCGAGTCCTTTGACATGGTTCTCCACCACATCCTTATCTCCAAATTGGAGGGGTGTGGGTTTGTGTTGCATTGCCTACAACAGATTTGCTGGGTGGACCTCTCGATGGATAAGAAATTGGTTGAAAGGCCCCAAACAGAGGGTGGTCATCAATGGTTCTATATCCAGGTGGAGGCTGGTAATGAGCAGCATCCCCTGGAGTCTGTCTTGGGACTGGTGCTCTTTAATATCGTCATCAATGACATTGATGATGGAATCGAGTGCACCCTCAGCAAGTTTGGTGATGACACCAAGCTGAGTGGTGTGGTTGACATGATAGAAGGAAGGGATGCCATTCAGAGGGACCTCTACAGGCTAGGAAGGTGGGCCCGGGTGAACCTGATGAGGTTCAACACAGCAAAGTGCAAGGATTTGCACTTGGGCCGGAGGAATCCTGGGCATCCATACAGACTGGAAGGAGAGGTCCTTGGGAGCAGACCTGCAGAGAAAGACCTGGAGTCCTTATGGATGAAAAGCTGAACATGAACCAGCAGTGTGCTCTTGCAGCTCAGAAAGCAAATGGTATCCTGGGCTCCATCAGAAGAGGAGTAGCCAGCAGGCACAGGGAGGTGATTGTTCCCCTCTACTCTGCTCTTGTGAGGCCCCATCTGGAGTACTGTGTCCAGGTCTGGAGCCCCCAGTACAAGAACGACAGGGAGCTGTTGGAGAGGGTCCAGAGGAGAGCCACAAAGATGATCAGGGGTCTGGAGCACCTCCCCTATGAAGACAGGCTGAGGGATTGGGCTTGTTCAGCCTGGAGAAAAGAAGACTGCGGGGTGATCTCACTTTCAGTACCTAAAGGGAGCCTACAAACAGGAGAGGAATCAACTCTTTACAAGGGTAGACAGCAGCAGGACAAGGAGAAATGCTTTTAAGCTGAGGGAGGGAAAATTTAGGTTGGATGTCAGGGGGAAGTTCTTTACAGAGAGTGGTGAGGTGCTGGAGCAGGCTGCCCAGAGAGGTTGTGGATGTCCCATCCCTGGAGGTGTTCAATGCCAGATTGGATGGGGCCCTGGGCAGCCTGGTCTAGTGTAAAATGGAAAGGTTGGTGGCCCTGCATGTGGCAGGGGAGTTGGAGATTCATGATCCTTGAGGTCCCTTCCAACCCTAGCCATTCTGTGATTCTGTGATACTTTTGACTTTAATGGATATACATTACCATACAAAAAATTGCCTATGTAGGTTACTTTATATTTTTTACAATCACATTTTTGCATCTTTTATTTTTTCCTTTTATTCAATTGTAGAAGGTAGGTTAGATGCTCAGCATATTAGACATTAATGTGATATGTTATTGTATTGAATATTTTGAATTATAATACATTTCCCACTTGTGTGTCCCTGAGATGTGTCATTCATTGAACATTAGTGAATGACTAGTACTTGCCAATTAGCAGATAACTGTACTCCAGCTGCTAGATTTAAAAGCTATGGCTTGATTTGATTGCAGTTTCTCTTTCAACTGATCTAGTTGTCTGCTTTATGCTTTGCTTACTCTCCAGCTGTGAACTGTGAAACTCCAAAGGAGCTCCTCTTGTTGCTGACATGTCAGTGACCAGGTAGCATTGATTCCCAGACAGAAAGCATCATCAGCATTCTTTGCAGTGCATCCACTTTCTAATAGTGCATTTTTCACTGGGATAGTTCTGCACTGTGACTCTGAGGAGATGATTTACTGAAGATGTTTCATAACCAGAATAATCTTTCTGTTCTACTTGCCTGAAGTGGTGGTCTTTTCTTTTTCTTTTTCTTTTTCTTTTTTTTTTTTTTTTTTAAGATATTTATGAATTGATTGTTAAAGCTTATATTAGCTTACATTTCGTATTTCAGCTTATATTATGCATTTATTATTATGATAGATCTTGCAACTTCCATTGCTATTTTTCCTTCAAAGCTTTAATTGGGTAAAAATTTTAAAGCAGGCTAAATTAACAGACAAGCATAAAGAAATGTATATTTTACTTTACAAATAAAAATTCTATCGAATTATTAAGTCTCCAGGGAGGCAGGACAAATAGCTTTAGCATAAATGTGAAAAGTCACTGAATCATACAATAGAATCATAGATTCTATGTAGCTATTGCTATTTATTTTTTTAAATAAATGCGTTTAATTCCTTGAAATCAGACACTGAACTAGGTAGCAATACAGGGCATGAGATAATACAAGCCATTCATTTCCATATCTCTTCTCTGAGTAAACTTATTGTGATGGTATTTCACCACTAGATTGACCATTTAATAGCCATGTTAAATAATATTTTAAAATCTCACTTTAAGCAAGATTCACCAATGCTTTTTAAAGTTTTTAACTCCAAAGACATAAGCAAAACCAAAATAAAATAAAATATATTTGAACACTAGCATAAATAATTCAGTCTGCATTTTATCTTATTATCTGACTTACTGTTCATATTACATTTGATCTTGTTAAGCTCTGTGAGTTATTGTTTCAACTATTTGTTCTTTCTGCTGAGAGCTGAACGATGCAATTTTACAGTTCTGGTTCCCGTATGACCTCATTTTCAAGGCATGCAATATGTGGAAAAGCTTCATCTCCATTAGATAAACACAAACAGATTTCAAAAAAAAGTAGAAAAGAGCAAGGGGTAGATATTCCCCTTTTCTGTAAAATGAAGCATATAGAATTTGTGCCCAGTTCAGGCTGGATGCAAGTATGAGGTGTCCTTCACTTCTTGCAGTGATCACACAGAGGGTTTCACAGTACTTTTCCGGTTTCACTTCTAAGCTCTCTGCTTTGTGCTTTAGCTGTGCAGTGAGATGCAGCCTGACTTGTTCCCTCCACAATCAACATCCTGCTTTTCAGATAGTGCTGCTGCTTATGCAGGGTTTCTGAGAGGCAGTGCTATGATTTTATTGGCTGGGCTAGGAGGGGAAGCTCCACAGAAGCTGAAATGCTGCTAGTCCTGTAGTCTGTATTGGCTGCTTCTGCATAAGGGATAAAATGTTTCCTCAGGAGCTGGCGCAGAAGATCAAAGGATACCAGGAACAAATTGCTTCTTTGAATTCAAAGTGCAAGATGCTAACGATGAAAGCGAAACATGCCACTATGCTTCTGACAGTGACAGAAGTGGAGGGGCTTTCTGAAGGAATGGAGGAGTTGGATTCAGACCTTCTCCCGGCACACCCTGCACATCCCTCAGTGGTTATGGTAAGGAAGGAATTGGTCACAGTGCTGTTTATCCTAGCAATTTGTCTTTGCATGATTGCAACGCTTCTGTGTAGCAAGTTGTCACAGTTCACATCTGTATTTTGCTTTTGAAATGGCTGAGCTGTGACAAACTTCAGCTTCCTCTTTCTGTATTTTGCTTTATATGGGTTTTTGAGACTCATTGAAGTACCAGTGGCAGTTGTAATAAGATGCAAATATATTACTTTTTCTTCACTGTCAGTATGTGAGAACAAACACTGATAAATTACTGAGTTGCAGGAAAAAGATAAAGGCAGAAAAAACATTATTTCATAACATGCTGCAGTGAGTGTATTTTACAGACTGTATTTTTAATGCTCCTTTATTAAAATGTTGATGTGGTACTCAACAGTATGCTGCTTATGCAAGTGTGTGGAAATTAAAACTAGGTGGGTATTGCATAGGCCTTATGCTTGAATTAAACTGTTTTCTCTGTTTCTTGTTGGGTCTCATTACAAACGTATTGCTGATGTCACTGAGGGGTTGGCCTAAGTGAAAACTGAGTGCAGATTTCAGGGTTTATCACTGTATAACAGCACTAGGAAAGAAGAAAGCACAAGTTACTATTGGATTATATGTTTTTTATATTTTAAGTCTAATTCTTGTTGTGCTAACCAGGCCTGGGTACTGAGACCAATACTGCTTTATTTTATAGCTCTCCATAATATTTCCATATGCATCCCTGACTGTATTAGAAGACATCTAGACAAACCTTAACTTGTTGTTATTAAGCTGCTGGCTATACATTTCCTTTTAAATTCATTAGGTTACAGGAGAGCATGTTCATACTAAAGTACAACAAGTAAATAAAACCATGGATTCACCAGTTTTACCTGGCAAATGTTAAGAGCACAAGTGATGACTAAATACCAGAGTTAATTCCAAATGTATGTTATTTTTCTTGCTTTGATCTCAGTCTAAGTAAACCTAAGATGAGGTAACCAACTTTCTTCCTGTGCTCTGGGGTTTGCTTTTCCTGTGGCAGATGACTGCTGGTCGCTGTCACACGCTCCTCTCCCCTGTCACTGAGGAGTCTGGGGAGGAGGGAACCAACAGTGAGATCTCCTCTCCACCTGCCTGTCGCTCTCCCTCACCTGTGGCTAATACAGATGCTTCTGTTAACCAGGTACCTCTCTTTTTGCATTTGTTCAGCTTTTATGTCAGAGATATGCATGGTTCCATTCTGTGGAAGTTTATTTAATCCCATGAAAGAATATTTAACTACAGAGACTGAGCCTCAGTTCCTTATATCTAACTTAACTGAACCTTCAGGTTCTAGCTCAAACTTTATTCAAATATTGACTTCTGAATTTAAAATGTGTAAGCTCACCATAACAGCTATTCTCTGTTTTTTAAATAAATCTACATTAAATTTACCAATCTCTTCTATGTCACTACTATTTTCTATTTTTACTTTATTTTATATGATCATAGCAGTACACATTGGAATCTTGCATCTTGAGAAACATTGAATTTTCAACAATAAAACATTTCATCATGTCCATTTTCATCTATCTTATAGTACCACAGTCATTGCAGCTTTGGTGCTTTCCACTTAATACCGTTTCAAGTATTAACTTTCACGTATTCTTTTCATATATTGTTCATAATTTCAGTGACAGCCTATTTTAAGTAGTAATGAGAAAGATGAGTGAAATCACTTAAACATTTTATACTAAAACGAAGGACTCTGACGCTTCTACTAGGAACAGGTATACATCAGCATCAATTGAAATGGCAGTGATGAACCAGCACACTGAGTACCATGCACATGAAAGAACACATATAATAATAAGCTGAAGTTTATAAATTAGGAACAGTTACTGGCTCAGTCAATTCAAAATGTTTAAAGTATTGTGGTTGCTTGTTTCTTGCATCTAATGGCTGGTTCCAAAATTGACTCCTGCAGACTTTAACGGTACAGTAGTATAGTTCTGCATTTCTGAGTAGGTTGAGAAAAGTTTGAGCAAATTGCCCAATAATTCCCTACATTAATTTCCATTACATATATATGGTACTTTAAAAGCTGCTAAATTTAACTGATTCATTTTCATTAATTGGTATAAAAAAGAATTTTAAGGGAAGATAGAAATAAAGGTGCCATTCTTCAAAGACATAATAAAAAATGTTAAATGATGCATCAGAAGGCTGTTTCTGTTACTTCAGATAGTCAGAAATTTCCCAGTGATGTTTACTTACAGTAGAAAGGCAGCTGTATATTTCCATACCAAGAAAATATCAAGACAGTATTAATCAGTGAGAGTTAAACAGCCAGGAGAAGCGTACTTCCCAATAAACAAATCCATTCTCAGTACATTACATTTATGTGAAAACGAAATAAAGCAAATGAAAAACTTCAGTAACTCAAATAATAAGGAAAATCCACTGAAAATATGTTGTATCATGGCCTGACACTGAAACACAAGTTTTAAGACCTGTGATTTACATGGGCAGAATTTCATGTAGAAGATCTTCAGAGAAGAGAAATTTTCTGATGTTATAGTAATTATAATAAAAAACAACAACATCAACAACAAAAACTTAGAGATGAAGATTTCTTCAATGTGGTTAATGATGAAATGAACTTCATTTACTAGGCAACCTGAGGAAGAACATTCCAAAATGCTGTGGTTTACTTACAAAATAGTTAGGTTACCATGCATGTGAGATTAAAGAAAAAGAAACTATGAAACAGTCAGTGCTGATCATAATGGATGATTAGGGAGACTTCATGAAAGAAGGCTTATAAAATTATAATAAAAAGAAGCATTTGTAGTAATAATAATAACTGTAGAGGAGAGTGAATTGGAAGCTTAAATATAAATTAAGAAATATTCAGTAAAAATAACCTCTGCAAAATTAATTTGGAAAAATTTTTGACAGTAGTAAGTGAAATAATTTCTCACAGGAATATTACCTGTAAATTGCCATAAAAATATGTAAAGAGGAGCTCTGGAAAGTAAAGAATTTCATTTGTTTAATTTTGGGGGAAAAATATAGAGCCCTTATGAAATGTTTTGTTTATTTTATAGTTTTCCTTGGAGTGGAGGGAAGTGAGTTTTTAAGACTGTTCTAATTTAATCCCTCACAATCTTTGTACAATCTTCCACCAAAGCTTTCTAGTATCTCCATTACCTCCTAAGGATAAAATGTAGGTTTTCTGAATTTAAATAATTATGCATTACTTTTGCATTGCTAACAAACCACAAAAATACAAAACAAGCACCAAATATTGAGAATATTGATCCTATGTGTGGAATCAAAGTAAAACGAAAGCATGTAATACAAGAAAGTGATAGATTGTCACTGTTGTAAAGTAACAGTTGCCTGGGTTGTTATGTTTATACTGACACTTCTCTAAAACAACTGAAGAGAACAACTGAAAAGAAAAAAGCCTAAACTTCTAAAAAGCTGAGGATTTCATGCTATAGAGTGTTTCAGCAATAGGCAACAGTCCTTTGATGCAGTACATTCTAATTATTCTAATGCATAGTAAAATCAGGCCCTTCATCTCTGCTACAACACTGAAGGAGAATCTGTTGGGGCTAACATTTCTCACACTTACCCAAGATAAAATTGATTAAAACTTAGCACATCTTAAAAAGCTTGTTTTCCAGATATGTGATGTAGAGCAATCAAACTGAAAAACATGATGTTCTTGGCAAAAAGCCTTGGAGTCTACAGCTGGTCCTGTGATTCAAGTCTTCAGCATTGGGTCACCTGTTAAATATCTTCATTTCTCCTTGTACAGAGACTACTTAATCATTCTTCCTCCTCCTATTATGAAAACTCACCTAGTTTGCACCAGCCCTTGTTAAATATCTTTTGAAATCTGCATGCATCCTTTGCCCCTGCATCCTAACCAAGAAGCTTGAATACTGTACATTGACTAATTTTCATGAAAGAAGGATGAGATTTGTGGCCTTTATGGGGGAGACCAAATCAACTGTGTGTGAGAAAATTTGGATTCATGCCGTCAGCATAAAAACCTTTATGAAAACAGTCATGTTATACACTCCAAAAAGTAGTTGAAAAGATAGGTAAAGGGGTTATTTTTCCCTTTCAGCCACTTATTCTACATGCTGTCCCAGAAGCACAGTTTGGTTGGCTTTTTGTCTCTAGAGAAGACTAGGTGGGGACTGTACAGTAACTGTAAACCAGTATAGGAGTTGCCTGCTGTGATGCAGCCATGGTCACTTACGGTCAGAGTCAAAAAGTCTGAGCTCAATGTCCTGAATACTGTGTTATGTGTAAGAATAGGTAACCTATTCTTTGTTACCTATTCTTTGTTGTCTCCTGGATATCACTAAAGCCTTCATCTAATTTCTCTTGATTCTCAATATGTTTGTGAAGAGATACCTCATTAAACAGATTTAGACAGTCCGTTCTTGGGTCTTATGGTTCTCTGGAGAGTCTTTGAAAAGGCAGAGTGGTAAGGTAGAGTTGTCTTTATCAGTCATGGCAGCTGCCTTCCCTTATAAACAACAGTGCTTCTACAGCACTTCAATTGTAAAAATGTCCATCAAGGAATCAGATGACCTGAGCTCACATCTTTTCATTTTCCAGAGAAGGGGAGGAAATGAAAAAACATACCTATGCAGCTGCTGGATGACATTCTGTTTTCTGGGGCAGGTGACATTCTTTGTGCTCTGCACAAGATTCAGTTAGGAGAGCCCAAGAAAGTGACTGTGCCTGAGGAGTGACTTGATTTCTGCACATATGTAATGAATCAGTATGGGATGTTGTTATACATTATCTTTCATTTCGAAAGTGCAATTATATGCTTCATGCTTGTAGGACATTGCATATTACCAAGCCCTATCTGCTGAACAGTTGCAAACAGAAGCTGCTAAAATTCAGCCCAGCACTTCAGCCACCCAAGAGTTTTATGAACCAGGCTTAGAATCAGCTGCTAGTGCCAAACTGGATGATTTGCAGCGTTCTTGGGAAACACTGAAGAATGTGGTAAGTCTGCATGTGGAGGGCTTAAAACAATTGGCGTACTTGTGAGGAATAAAATATAATGAACTTGCCTAGCTAGTATTTTCTTCTGAAGTTCTTGACTTTTTGTGGGGCAACAAGAATTGTCAGTTGCAAGACTGTATTACATTGTCTTTGTTTTTTCTTTGAAAGCCTGTGCAGTATGGGCCTCCATTAAGAAAAAATAAGTCATTAATATCGATAGGTGCTTTTAGAAATGCTAGCTGTTTTCAGACTATGTTCCATAACTTAAAATGGTACTTAAATCATACTGAAAATGTTGGCATAAACATCCAATTCATCCAAATACTGAGTCAGCTTAATACAGTTTTGCATAATAGTGTAGTATAGTCAGGTGGTATTGTATCAAAATGGCTCAATTTTTGATTACGTGCTATAAATCTTAACTCTTTGCAAAGGCACAGTAGCTATTATAGAATATTAAGAACTTTAGCTCTATGAAGTGGTATGCATGCATATGTTTGAGTGCATAAAATCTAGAATGCCTGAGAATGTCCATAAGGTTTTCCTCTTGAATAAAGCAGCTTTTTTCAGTCACAGAATTTGACTGATGGTGTTTAAACAGATAAATAATTTTAATGCGGTTGGTTTTCTTTATAGTATATACTTTCGAAAACTGACTGTGCAAGTCTTTTTAGTCTCATAAGCCGAGATGTATGAAGCAGAAGAGAAAGAAAATGCATGAGTGTGCAGTGTGCCCTTGTGGCCAAGAAGGCCAACATCATACTGGCGTTTATTAAGAAAGACTGTGGCCAGCAGGTCGAAGGAGGTTCTCCTCCCCCTCTGCCTTGATGAAGCCACATCTGGAGTTCAGTTCTAGACTCGGTTCCTGTTCAAGAAAGATGGGAAAATGCTAGAGAAAGTCCAGTGGAGGGCTTCAAAGATGAGCATGGGACTGGAGCATCTCCCCTGCGAGAAAGGACAGAGTGACTTGGAACTGTTTAGCTTGGAGAAAAGAAGGCTGAGGGAAAATCTTATCAATGCTTATAAATATGTAAAGGGTGAGAGTTAAATGGGTGGGCCAAGTTTTTTTTATTTTTTTGGAACAGTTCCATTTGAACATTAGAAAAAAACTTCTTTTCTATGGAATTTATAGAGCACTGGAGCAGGCTGCCCAGAGATGTTGTGAAGTCTCCTTCACTGGAGATATTCAAAAGCCTCCTGAACACGTTTCTGTGCAAGCTTTTCCAGGGAAACTTGCTTTAGGAGGGACCTTGGACTATATGATTTCTAGAGGTCCCTGCCAACCTCTAAAATTCTGCAGTTTTTCATCAGAGGCTAGTATTTATACCTCTTATTTCCCTTCAGATAAGTGAAAAGCAGCGCACACTTTATGAAGCTCTTGAGCGTCAACAGAAATATCAGGACACGCTACAGTCTATATCTACAAAAATGGAGACTACTGAGATGAAACTGAATGAGAGTCTGGAACCAGCCAAAAGTCCAGAGAGCCAGATGGCTGAACATCAGGTAAAGACTTATGCATGAGAAATAAAGTGAGACCGTGCATTATCCGTGTATCTTTAGATTTCTTTGTTGTTAGATGGCAGTATTCTTTGTGGTCAGATGACTCAGAAATATACAATAGCTGTATTAATCTGCATTCACTCCATATGTCTTGCCTTTGTAGACTTCTTCCTCTTCAGAAGAGGTTGTAATGGGGATTCTTTTTAAAAAGAAGCTTTAAAAAAGAATTAAGAATAGATTATGAGTTTGACTTTGACAAAATGTATTGTTCAGTGACACCTACACACATGATTTTCAGCATACTGCTATTAGCATATCAATACATGCTAGTATATATAGACTATTTGTACCATTCTCACTATTACTGAGATCATAACCCATACAGATAAATTGTATTTGTCTTAATATAACTTTTGCTTTGTTAAACAAAACAATCCAAAAAACATAAAAAATTTTGTCCCAAGGGAAGTCTTAAAAAATGCTGTCTTAATAACATTGATCTCTTAATAATAAGGGAATACTGTAATTATTTGAAGTAAATACTGTAATTTCATTCACAGACCAGGTTTTCCTCTTCAGATTGTTAGTAACAGCATTACTGACAGAGTGAAAGCAAGCTATTATGCTGAAATTTACTTTATCAGTTTTGGTGCTAGAGGAAAACATTTTCTAATTCTGACTCATTTTGTAAGGCTTCATTTTTGGATTCTCAGTGTCAAACTAATAAAATTCATTAAAAATTCATTAAAATACAGATTAATTATTTCCCTAATAGATGTTTATCCTCAGAATGCAAAGAACCCTGAAAAATTTTGTTGAAGAGATTACACTATCTTTCTGTCCATCCATGTGGACTGGAGGAGGATGAAACCACCACAGATCTCAACCACTGTTACATGTATAATTGCAACACTAAGCCATTTCAAAATTGGTTAGTTAAAAAGAAATATGGACTAGGCTTCTCAGCTTGATTCATTTTCTTTTCCCTTTCACTGTGTTTGCAATGAAAATGTAAGATGTTTGTTCTGGTATTTTGCAATTTTTACTTTCAAATAATTATGCCAAAATATGTTAGGGATGTAAAAGGTCTGATGCGATATGTTGGTTTTGCTTGCAAAGTTATTCATCAGAGTACACATCGTTGTGCTGAAGTGCCAACATGTTACAAAAGACTTCCTGAAATAATACATTGAATGAGAAACAGTTCTGTCATGATGCTGTCTAAATTGCACTCTGGTCATTCCCTTGCTCCAGATGTTGGAAAATTGAGTTAGTACTGTATGCAAATGCAAAATAGAGCTGCAATTTCATCTCAATTGTTCTTTATCAAGTGATCAATCAGTAATTAGACATACACCAAAGTTGTAACCATCTAAGAATTCTGATAGCTCATAACTGTCTGATGGGGTCTTCCTTACTAACCCTGTGACTTTTAAAGGATAACATTTGGCTATTGCAGCACTGCGTGATGTCCTGAGCACCAAATGTACTCACAGACATGAAAGTAAACTGCTCTAAGAGATTGGTAATGCAGCATCCTTTCTTAGGTATCTATCTAGGCTAAAAACTATGATAAGAATATCATGGAGTTCATCTCTGAATGTTTGTGGATGTTCTTGAAAGCTATTTGTCCAGTTAGTAAATCTCTGCCTGGAAATCCACTCAACTGATGTGTTTCTCTCTCACTCACTCATTCACTCACTCACTCACTCACTCATTATCTTGACAGTATCTACTTGAATACCCTTCAGAAAGTTTGCTGAAAGAGCAAACATATATATAGTATTTACAAAAAATCACTAGAAGGAATTGTTTGAAATTTGAGATAAGTAATGAAATCCAACAGTGATATATTGTATTATGTTGTATTCCTCATGCTCCCTTGGACAATTTGTCTTTAATATAAAAGATATGCATCCTTAGATACCTTCTTCTCTCTGTTGAGTGATACAATCAGTTTATTTGCCCTCATTTCTAAATAGGCTTTGATGGATGAGATTCTAATGTTACAAGAAGAAATCACCGAGCTTCAGACATCATTAGCACAGGAGCTGGTTTCAGAATCACTGGATGCAGAAGCTGCTGACCAGCTGGCGCTGCAGTCCACTCTCACGGTCTTGGCAGAGCGAATGGCCACAATTCGAATGAAGGCATCAGGAAAAAGGCAGCTATTAGAGGTACCAGAAAACTCTAGAAGAGCCTCTTTTGGATTACATTCCAGATTTTGTGGGCCACTTTTGACCAAAGATCTTAGTCACCATTGCATGCTTCTAATTAAATAACTAATTTTCATTCTCACAATTACATTCACTAGTATATTACTAATCTTCTTATGCCATCTCTTCTTTGTTAAAATATTAGGTGGAACTTGGAAATTCATTGTGCATATATATATATTTATTTAATGTCTTCTTTGACATTTTCTCAATAGGTGCTTTATTTTCTTGGTATTTGTTGTTTAAAAGAAGTAATGCAAGTATAAAAAATGGTTATCTACATTGAAGCTGAAACTTTTGAGCAGTCATTTCTCCAAGCAGGGAGACAAGACAAGTGGGAAAGTTAAAACATTGAAGTAATACCTCTTCTAAACTGCTGCATTGTTGTCTATGCTCATCTTCTCAGCGATGCGCACACAAACTGTTATAGTGGAAGATATGCTTCTTTATTTCTTTATCTTTGGCACAAAAATTATAGGGTTTTTTGTTTGTTTGTTGTTTGTTTTTCAATTGCTACATGTAGGAATGTTGTGTGTTAAGCAGCAGGTGTGTATTATACTGGGGAGAAAATGTATTCATGCTGAAGCTTGGTACAGGCTTGTTACTTTGAGTGCTTCAAGGCAGATTTACTGCTGTATTTCTAAGAATAGAAACAATGAAATCATAAATGCAGCAACTGCTGCCTTTATAATTTCTATTATCAACAGATTCTTGAAGAGAGGCTGACAGTTGTCTCTGTAGATTTACCTGGGTTACAGAGGATTACAGAGGAGTCATGGGGTGGATCAGCTGCATTAGTCCTGTGCAGTAACTTCAGGTAGTGAACATATTCTTAGGGAATACCTTTCTTAATATAGAAATTTTCTTCTCAGAAGTAAAAATGCCTTTTAATTTAAAATTAAGAAGCTCAAAATAGAATAAGGATCTTACTGTTTGTAGCTTTGGCTCCATACATAATCTTGATGACACTTAGGAGAAGATAGTAAATAATTGTAAGAAAAAACATAAGTCAAATACTAAACCTAAATATGATTAGGATTCTACAGTTATCTTGATACATTAGCAGAGGTATACTCCAACATTCTTGACTAAGAAATAGAAATATGGTATGTAGCCAATACTCAGTAATTTAATGTACGTTTTATATAGCTCTGATTTCACAGACAAAATCTTGCAGGAAGTTTCAAGGATTTGGAAACACAGCTAGAATAAGAAATGAAAACAGTTTGCTGTTGAGTTTGGATTAGCAATATTTATTTTATTTTTTTTTTCTGTAGAGTTAATGTAAATAACCAAATTTTGAGAACTTTCAATTCTTAATTGCCTGGGATACTTCTTACTTAGCATTATTCTTTAAATTATTCAGACTTTCTAATAACTTCCCCATAAAAATTAGGCAATCAGAAAACCTGTACAGATGATTTTATCCTGCATATATAGGTCTGCATTTTCGTACTGCATGTGTACTCAGCTCATCAAAGTAGATTAGAAGATTTATTTTAAAAACAGGATGTTTTAGCTCAGATCTGTGAAGTGGGTTCGTGAACAGAAGTGTGGTGGGCTGACCCTGGCCAGCAGCCAAATACTGATTGGTGTATTCTCAACATTGTCTTAGTCATAAATACAAGTCAGCACTGTACAGACTGCTGTGAAGACAGTTAACTCCATCCCTGCCAAACCCAGTATAATCTCCACCCCTCATTGCACACCACTTGTGTCATACTTAGATCACACACTATCTGATACGTATAAACATCCTCTGACTGTCTCATTCTAGTTGTTTCTTATTTCTGAAATCCCCTTTTCTCTATCCAATAGCTCCATATATACTTTGTGCAGAATGGGACACAATAGCTGTGGCCTCACCAGGGCTGAGTGGAGGAATAGGATTGCTTCCCTCAATCTTCAGGCAACACAGATGCTAATGTGGCCCAACTTACCATTAGCCCTCTTTGCATGTTGTTGATTTATGTTCAAATTGGTGTTCAGTAAGACCTCTGGTCCTTTTCTGTAAAGCTGCTTTTCAGCTGATCGGTCCTCAGCATGCAGTGCTACATGGAGTCATCCCTCCCCAGCCTGTGGGGCTTTGCTCTTCTCTTTGCTGAGCTCCATGAAGCTCTTGTCAGGTACTTTTTCCAGTCTTTTAAGGTCCCTCTGGATGCGATCCACTGATGTGTCAGCCATTCCTCACAGTTTTGTTATGGGCAAACACACTTGGAGCATGCTTTCATCCTCCAGATCATCTATGAAGATGTTAAACAGGACTCAAGGAGTTTTGACCCCTACGTACACAATTAGTTACTTGACATCAACCAGACCTTATGTCACAGACCACTAACTCTGGGACCAGCTATTCTACAATTTTTAAAATCCATATCTGACAGATAGGATGTCTGGGCTGTGGGATGCTGACTTACAGGATTTAAGTCATCAAAAAACATGTTCGGTAATATCTTGTGAAGTTTTCAACTTACAAGAAACAATACTTATCATGGCTTAAAAAAATACTACGTAGAAGTTGTGAGAGATGGGAGTGGATAGGGGACAAAAAAATTAAAGTGATTGATAGGGTGTATTCCTCTTGAAAAGTAAAAAATTGCTATAATTTATACCTCTAGGAAAAACTAAGTGAGCAACTGGAAGAACAGCGACAAGAACAGACTCTTCAAAGGTACCGCTGTGAAGCTGATGAGCTTGACCACTGGCTACTCAATACCCGTGCAACGCTGGACAATACTCTCCTTACTGCTGAGGAACCTATGGATATGGAAGCTCAGCTGGTAGATTGTCAGGTAAAATTATCAGGCTGTAGTGCTTAGATAAAGAGGGAGGGCATAACTTCATAGTAAGCATTAACATTATTATTGGGTGGAGTGAGTCAGTATACTAGTAGAGGGAAAGTTTCTGAACTCCTCAGCACCCCATATATATTCAGTTGGTTTCATCAATTATTTGTGAAATAAAAGACTTCTTCATTTCTTCTTAAAGATTGCAAACAGTGATTTACAAAGCACATGTTAACATAACAGTAGGAAGACAAGAAATTCATATTGCAAGAATGTTTGAAGCATGGTATTTTTCAGAGGAATTGTTTGTTTTGCTTTAAAGGCCATGTGTTTGTCTTACTGTTTTTGCTCCTCCCAAACCGGGGATGTTGAGCAGCTCACTTGATATATGTGAAAACACCTGCAGTACTTTCCTGCTCCTCCTTTTCCAGATGAAGAACACACTCCCACTAGCTTTGGTGGCTGTGACAGTGCTGTGCTTTCTGTAGGAGTAATTCCTACCTACACTCCAAATAAAAAATTAATCATCTTTAGTTATTACTTCTATGATTTTAATGTTAATCAACACAATATCAAAACCAGTGAGGAAAATCTTACTGCAATAAAAGTCAACTGCACATGCTTTTACTGAAAAGATTTGAAGCCATGTCATCCAAATTCACAAATGAATGGGGATTTTCTTTTTTTTAAAGAAAAGTTCAGAACTGTATGAACATTACAGTTGAAATAAGACAGAGAAAAGGCAGATGGAGACTAAGGACCCCTTTTCACTCTGTATACTTGTGAATTTGAACAAAGCAATAATGTTTTTTTTTAAACATAATCTCTAGGATACATGACTCTGGCAAGAGTTAGTACTTCAGTTTTTTAACTGATTTTTAAAATCTTGATACAGTAAGTTTTGGGGTTTTTTTTTAATTCCTACTTTTTTTTTCCCAGATTTAAGAGACATCTTATCCTGCACACATTTCTTCAGCGAACAGTGGAAAAAAACTGATATCAGTCTAGGTTTTTGAGCAAGTACGAGCTTTGAATTTGGAAGAATAAAATATGTACCATGTCTGTAATATGTGAATGGTTAATGGAACAACAATAAAGTAGCTTTTGAGAATAAACATGCCAGAGATTTGTCACTTTAAGTCTCTCTTTAGACTAAAGAGGATTATTCAGAAATCCTTAAGTCCATCATGCACCAATCAGAAAGAGCAAACACCGAGAAGCTTATCAATGCAGCCAGAGCAACACATAGGAGGAGGTAGGAAGCATTTCACTAAATGCACATGGGAGAAGAGGAAAGAAGTAACTCTGTGTGTGCTCTATTCCTTGACATTATGGATGTCAGACTATCATCTTAGCCACCATTTACCATTAATGTGAAAATAAGTAGCATCTCATCTGCAACAAATCTTATGTTTCGAACAACTCTTCAATTACCAATTTTGAAAAAAAGACTGCAAACAAAAATGACAAATGCAAATGTTTGTAAATGTTTTCATAAGGACTTTGAAAGGGACTGGAAAGAAAAGTAATGAAGAACTGACTTGTTGTTAGCTTTCCAGCAGGTGAGGTAGGCCACAGGTCTCCTTGCCAGGAGAAGTGAGATGCTGGAAAATGTATGAATTTGCTTCTTTGTTTTTGCTGCTGCAGAACATGCTGGTTGAAATAGAACAGAAGGTGGTGGCCTTGTCAGAGCTTTCTGTGCACAACGAGAACTTGCTTATGGAAGGGAAAGCTCACACTAAGGATGACGCAGAGCAGCTGGCTTTGAAGCTCAGGACACTGAAGGGCAGTCTTCTGGAGCTGCAGAAAGTTCTCCATGATAAACAGATCAACATTCAGGTAAGTGGCTTGTTGCAGTTGTCCCAGTGGGTAGGAGTTTGAGGGATATCATGGCAGTGTAATGCAATAGGGAAAAGGAGTGAAAATACTCTACTGATTTATTTTGAGATATTCATCTTTAATTAGTAAATGGAATTACACTCCAAAATAAAATACTGCTAGCAAAATTTAGTTTGTCATTTCTAGCACTGCTTCATGATGAAGCTATAGAATTTCACTGTCTGCCTTTAAAAGACAATTATAAACTAGTTAGATGAATATACTGAATATACACTGAATATACTCTTTAGATTGCATATTCACTAAGGCAGGATCCCTTATTGCAACAGAAGAAAAATCCTGAATGTGTGCTTCCATGTATGCATTGTGCACAGCACTACAGATAGCATCAAGTAACAAAAGACCTTTAAATATGGTATATACTCAGTGAAATGATTACACGGCACAAAATATTGTAGAAACATGTAACCTCAATCTTATCCTATGTTTCTATTCTGAGAAGCATTGATTTGCTTACTGCAACTGGTTAATTTTATTTAACAATTGTTTTAGTCGCTCTTCAGGTTAAATTAGCATGTGGAGAAGTGAATGCATGCATGAGATCCAGTCATGTAATGTGACTTCCTGGTTTTGAATTTGCTCTGTTGTGGCACACCCATTCTCCTCCTCCCCCATTTTCCTTTACTTCTTCTCTGGGCTTTGCTGTGCAAATTAAATGTGATAAGCTTCAAAGATTTCTGGCTTGTAATGCAGATTAAATTCTACTGAGAGGTTAGCTTGAAAAGTCACTTAATGTGCTAAGAACTATTTTTAGCAATTGAGTAACTATAAAGTCTGAGATAGCTTGAGCAAAACCAAGGGAACAAAAAAAACAAAAAAAAAAAACAAAAAAAAAAGGAAAAAAACAGAAGTGTTTATTGTTATTGCTTCTGAGATTGAGGCAATACACAATGTGCTTTAATATTTTGACCTAAGAACAGTAAGGAGATGCTTAACCCAATCTTCAATGTTATGTTATTCTTACATATATTTAGACAAGTGAAAAATGTTATCAGTGGCATGTGGGAATTTAATACTGAATTCAGATATATTACATGCAATCAAAATAACCTTTGCTGCTGTATTTTAAAATATGATGGTGTCATTTAACTTACTTTAATTTATAAAACAGATTTTTCGATGTTTTTCTAATATCTATAATAGTAACAAAATAATTCCTAGATGCAGAATATGACTTATTCAAGGTACTACATGCATGCAAAATTTCCTTTCTAAATTGCAAGCAATTTTTTAGACTTCACCTAGGGATTATCGATGAAAATAGATTTGGACAGTGAAACACCTACATTTTCAAATGGGATGATCTTAGAGGTCATTGGATCAGAAGAGGATATTGAATTAAATATAATTATTTCTGAGTCAACTAGAATATACAATGTAGCTTCTGTCTTCTTGAATGCTAGCCCTTCTTTTATAGTGCTTTTTTTTTTGTTTGTTTTTTGGTTTTTTTTTTTTTCCCCAAACAGGCAAAAAACAGTTATTCTTATTTTTATTTATTTTTTTATTTTTATTTTTATTTTATCTCATTATATTTATATTTCTTATTATATTTCCTATGGAGTGAGGCTCTGAGATAGACCAAAAAAAAAAAAAACAAAAAAAACCTAACTCTAATTTCTAACTGTCATAATCTGTGAGAAATATTACATGATAACAGCATTGTTGGTCATGCATATAGGAAACATGCACTCTTCTTTAGACATGCTATCGCCTTGTAATTTCCCATTAGCATAGACAAGCTTGTACGCAGCAAATGCTCTGATGTTGCATTGCAAGACCAGAGTATAGTAAAGACCAAGCTGTATTTTCCTTCAAGCAGAATTTCCGCAAATCTGTTATTCCTGTAGCAAAAGGCTTTTTTGTAACCAGTGTAAGATTCTGTGCTTTCCTTTAACAATTTTAGCTTTCCTGATAAATGATGGTCATTTTTCATAGAAAAAAAAAAGTGCAAACTCAGTAGTAATTGTGCACTGAGAATAGCATTAAACATATCCAAGGATGTGTGTTGATTCACACAGCTAGACCTACAGGTTTGTCTCTATCAATAGGTCTGATGTGTTGAAATTCCTACATTTAATCACACTGGCATTTAAAATAATTTCAATTACAGCCAACATGGATTTCTGAACTGAAGGAGTTAATAAATCACTTCTTGGAAACCCTAAGCTGTGTGTTCTTTTCTGCTGTGCTCATGCAGAGGGCTTGTCTAGTCACTCACATTAGAAAAATATTGATAGAAGTTCTAAGTGAAGGGCCTTTTTCCTTAATTTTTCTGATATAACATGTTGTGTTTTTTCTCTCTTACTTTCTTACTTGTATACTTGTCTTATATATGTTTATGTCCTATAATAACCTGTTAAATGCTTCTCTGCTTTTCTGCCAACCATAGATTCAATTCTGTACTTACTGATAAATAAAATTTACCAGAATGATAAACAGCATTCTTTCATTGTAGTGAAGGTCAGAAATCTGAAATCATAACTCACTTCAGAATTTATGAGTGTTGGAAGATGGCATACATGTAATTTTCAGACGGTGAGCTGGACATGCAACCTATACAAGAGTTTTGTTGTTTTTTTTAAAACTATTTCTTTTTCTTAAAGCAGGGATCACTACAAGAAAAGGAGGAGAACAATCTGGATTTGGTTTCCTCTCAAAGTCCCAGTGTCCAAGAATGGCTGGTGCAAGCAAGAACTACTCGATCGCAGCAACAGCAGAGCACTCTACAACAACAGAAAGTTGGTGTTTTGAATTTTACTTCCATCTTTAGCTTATATTTAACAATACACTTGAGGCATTCTTATTAGTTTTTTTTCTACTGAAATCTTTTTTACACTGTTCCTTGTCCACTGTTCCTGTAATTGTGTATTGTGTTACGTTTGTAGCAGCTAGAGAGACTAGACATCCTGTATGATTGTGGTCAACTCATTTACTCACTCTATACTTCCATTGTGTACCAGAATAATTACACTGAATTAGTTCTTTAAGCTACTGTAAGGAGATGGTGGTATTTATTGAAAGTATTAATACTGTCCTTATAGTAGCAACAAATACACATATCACATGATATATTATTTTGCATGATGCACAGGCATTCACAATGGCTTAAATTCCAGGAACTGCAGGACATTAGTCAATTAGTTCAACAATCCAGTTTATGTATCCAATTTTTCTGTCTCCCTGAGTGGAGATTTTGTGCTAGTTTACGTGGTCAAGTAATCTGTATCAGAAATAGTTCAGCTGTCTTTATTTGATATATCTTTCAAATGCAAAAGCAATCTGTTTGAGGTTTGTTTGCTATGTTAGGAGTTGGAACAAGAACTAGAAGAGCAGAAGAATTTGCTTCGGTCAGTAGCATGCCGTGGCGAAGAAATTCTAACACAGCATGGTATTCCAGAAGGCTTATGTATAAGGTATGTTTTAATGGTTTTTTTTTCTGTGAAATAAATTTATTTGACTATATCCCTTGTCACTCTTTTATTTATGTTCTTCTTCCATATATGATTCTCTCATATTTGTTCTGTCATTTTTATATGTCACCCAGGACACTAGAGACCTGGTTTATAATTGAGAGTTCTGATAATACAGTAACATAAACTGTTTTGTTTTAATAGGTCTCTTCCAATGTTCAGAAATTCCTTTTACTATGAAGAAGCACATTAAAATTGCAAATTATTAGGATTCATTAGACAAATAGTAGATTAGTTACTATTGCTTTCTGGTCCAGCATTAGTATGTGAATAATAGCTGTTATCTATGTGAAAAAAACAACAACAAAATTGTTGTTTTGTCATTCTAAGCAAATATTCCTAGATGAGATGCTCATTGCTTAATTTTATTTTGCATTGAGTTAGAGAATGTTTTTCTTTTAATAGCCTTGTGTGTTTTGAATTTCATTTCTGCTCTATAATTTCTTGCTCAATTAATGATTCCAGGGAAGTAATTGTCTTTAAAATTCTCATCTCTGCTTTAGAGGAGGTGGAAGAAAATAGCTGCTTACTGCCAATGCAGAGCTTGAGGAAGCAGCAGGGGCCAGGTCTTGGAAAGAGGAAACCAGGACGAAGATTATCAGCTTGAGAATCAAGAGTTTTAGTTTTTCCTTGATTTCTTTCTATCTTTTTTTTTTTTTTTCCCTTGATTTCTTTTTTATCTTTTTCCTTGATTTTTCTTGAACATGAAGGTGGTTCATGAGGCAGGGGAACCAAGACTTACACATAGAGAATGCATTTATTATTTTCTTCAGCATTTTTAATAATTCAATGTGTTTTCTTCTTATAATATTAAAAGTACTTAACTTGAATCTCCCTCTATCTGAGGCTGCCCTCTGTGACTTGATATTATGTTATAGAGAAAAGTAATTAAACTGAAAATGTTCAGCTTAATTCACTGTTTACCAAAGGTGAACTCTTATGCTTGTCCTGTACTAATCAAAGTTCTTCTTGCATGTCAGGAGGGGAGAGGAGGAAGGAGACAGATAAAATATTTTTTTATTTCAAGCACTGAAATAAAACTTGTTTAAAGGTTGCATTTCAATGCAGTATATTCTCAGCTTATTTTAGGGGTTCTGATTTAATCAGAGTAACCACAGCTCTAAACAGCATATTAAAAAATACATTTTACTTCATCTACGAAGAATAACTTCCTGTTACAACCAGCCTTATTTTAATACCTGGAGAAACAAGTACAAGGAAAAAAAATAAAAAGTAGCATTTAACTTTAAAGTAGAATTTCTGAACTGAAAGAGGATATAAACACTACAGTATTATAAGTTTTGTTTTTGTTGAAACTTTTTGTATTTTCCCATTATAGTGAGAACCCTGAAAAGCTCTCTGAAGAACTGTGCTTGGAAGGTGAGAAATCATCTCCCGAACAACAGCTGAAGATAAAATGGGAAAGCCTGAACCACAAATTCAGTACCAAGCAGAAGCTTCTCCAGAAAACTTTGGAACAAGAGCAACTGGTAGTTATTTTTAATTTCTCCTTGAGTTTTCTCTGTGAAAAGAATGATCACAACATAAGCTAAAGTATGTGCATAGCAAATGCATTAAGTTCATGCTGATAAAGTGGAGAACATGGAATGTTTTCTTTTTGTGTAATTTAAAAAACTTTTAAATATTGCCACTAGCATTGCTTTTGTTCAGTAATTTTAATTACATTGCTATAAGTGAATTAAATTAAAATTAATTAGACAATTAGACAAAATTTTGATCTATTTGTGTAGTTCAGGGTGATGTGTAATAAATTGTCCTTATAAACTTGGCCAGAACTCTCATGACAACTTAGGAAAAAACCTGATATTTTCAGTTTGAGGTTATTAGTTAAATTTTTGTTCTTTGTTCTTTGACAATTGTTGGTATTTGATGAAGACCCAAGTGATTTCAGCCACAGAATTTTTACTGAAAGAAACAGGGATTAATCAAAGAAGATGGATACACTCCAAGGCATGTGCTAATGTACATCCTGTATTTTACTGTCAAAAGTCCCAGGCCCAATATTCTTTATATGATATTAAAATCAAATTTCAATTATATGAATGTCTTGTATTCATTGGATAACAATTAATTAAAATAAAAAGCAGTTACTTATTTTACACTTCAATTGAATTTCTTGTTGATTAATCTTTTATACAAAGTATTCATGATGAAACAGTCATGTAAGGGCCATTATTTTGTATCCACTGTTGGAGGTAGAATCTGTATAGCTGAATTTTTGCCCTACATGCTATAGAAGCAGTCTGATTAATATTTTTCTCTCAGCAGATCTATAGCAGACCAAATAGACTGATTTCTGGACTGCCTTTGTATAAGGAGAATGGACAGGATGAGGAGAAATCATCTGTGTCACCAGTATTGGTTGAACTAAATCAGGCCTTTGAAGATGTGTCATCTGAGGTAATCATTTCAACTGTCTTTACATTGGTATTACAGCAGAACTCACTTTACAGTGAGAACTCTTCTAGCTCCCAAAGGAAATATAGTCATTTCCAAGTTAGAGAATCACAGAATCACAGAATGGCCAGGGTTGGAAGAGACCTCAAGGATCATGAATTTCCAACTCCCCTGCCACATGCAGGGCCACCAACCTCCCCATTTAATACTAGACCAGGCTGCCCAGGGCCCCATCCAATCTGGCCTTGAACACCTCTAGGGACGGGGCATCCACAACCTCTCTGGGCAGCTTGTTCCAGTACCTCACCAATCTCTTTGTAATGAGAGAGGATCTTGTACTTTTTCTCTGGTTTTTTTTTTTTTTTTTTTTTTTTTTTTCTTTTAACTCAGACTGGACAGGTGGAGAAGGAAAGTCTACATCTTGAACAGAAGCTGTATGATGGAGTTGCATCTACCTCCTTATGGCTAGATGGTGTGGAAGAACAGGTATTTGTTGCTACAGCTCTGCTGCCAGAGGAAGAAACAGAAACATACCTCTGCAAACAGGAGGTAAAGAATCCATGAATTGGACTTTCTTTTAATTTCCAGTAAGGCAGCATTTTATGTCATGGTTTAGAAAGATAATTTTAGAAACCTGTTGAAATAACATGTCACTGTCATCTCTTTGTAGTTGCAATGTACTGCTGCTTTTAGAAGTAACTTTATTTAGTGCATAGATGATGTTTTAGAAAGCAGCATCTGACCCAAATTTTGCCTGGTCAGAAGAGAATTAAACAAAGACTTCTTTCTCTATTTATTTTTTTTTTTTCTCTATTTATTTTCTTTCTTAGTATTAGCAGACACCACACTTTTGAAACTGAAAATTAAGTAAACAAAGGGGAGGAATGCTCTGGATATAGAAAGAGTACAAACTTATCAACATGAGAGTTGAGGGAGAGAGAAAAGCTTTTTCATGTAGCAGTTGACTTAAGGCAGAAGCTGCATGTGCTTTTTCTGAGCCTCTTATTCAGAGGAAGGGATCATTTGGGCAGGTTAATCTTGTTTTTATCATGTGTTTTTCTCAGAGTAAGTTTTTATTGTCAGAAGTTATATCGTCAGTTGCATAACTTTGTCTTTAACAATTTTTAAATGTTACTACCTCACTGCAAAATTGATGGTGATTTTGACAGTATACTAGATTCCTTTCTAGAATATCTAATTGTCACTTTGTTTTCTCCAAAACCAGTCTCTTGCCAAAGAAATCAAAGACATAACAGAAGAAGTGGATAAGAACAAGAATTTATTTACTCAGATATTTCCTGAGAATGGTGATAATAGGGAGGTTATAGAAGACACTTTGGATTGTCTCCTGAGAAGACTGACCTTACTGGAGTCTGTAGTAAACCAGAGAAGCCATCAGATGAAAGAAAGGCTACAGGAAATAATGGCCTTCAAGGTATGATGCCCATCTGAAGGAATTAACAAAGTTATGTGTAGAATGTGAGCAAAAAGAATGTGACTCTCAAAGCAAAGAGAATTTTGATACCAAAAAGAGAGACAAGTTTTCTCAGGATTTTCTGAAAATTTAACACTTAGAACTATGCACAAAAATCATTATCCAAAATTTAAACTCCTTGCTAGGTGGAATGGATCATTCATGCCTTACCTTTGCACCTTGTTGGCATTACAATAAATTGAACTAGAGTTCCACTCTAAAGTTTTGCGATGTCACATATGATAGAGTACATAGTTTTCATTAGCTGAGATAAAATTAAAGTAGTACTGATTCCTGTCTTTCTGACCACTATTACACTGTCCCATTGCTCTATGAGAAAGTATATGTCAAGACAGAAAAAATAAAGTGAAGGAATGTATGCATTTACAGATCTTCTCAGAGTTCAAAATATGTTCAAATCTTAATTGGCCTTCAGCTTCTATCTTATTTTTAAAACATAAAGCTTCCAACATTGTTTTAATGAAAAAAACCGTGAAAAAACAGGAAAAAAAAATCAACAATGCCCACCCTTGTAATGCTGACAGTCTTAAAAAAAAAATGTTGTAATTATTTTCTATTTTACCAATATTAGGAGTTCAGTTGGAATGAGTATATGGCAATAATTATAATAATACTTGGTAAAAGTTGTAATGCTTAGTTAACCCTGTAATGTGAAGCCTTGTTTTCTATGTTGTTGTTTAAGACAAGCAGCAGATTGTCTTAAAAAAGAAAATGTAACGTAGCTTGTTTGTGGGCAATGTGATTGAATGAACTACAAAAGAGAAACATTTCTGTTAAATAAAACTGACTGACTCATCTCACTGGAAAGAAAAAGCAGAAGTATGTTCATGGATTATGTTTTGAGTAATAGTTGCTTTAGCTTTTTGCTCACTTATATCCAGTTATGTACTTTGAGAAATGTGGCATTTTTTGCATTGGATAATTATGATGCTTCCTATTTTGAATAGTTTTTACGCCTTAGTGCTGATACTGTGACATTGTAATGCTTTAAAAGTTTTGGAACTTAGAATATTTTGAAACTGTTTTGTGGAGTGATTCACTATAATTTCTTGTTCTTGATGTCTCCCTTAGAACGACCTGAAACTCCTGTATACTTCACTGGCTGATAGCAAATACTTGGTTCTACAGAAACTGGCAGAGGCAGTTGAGAAACCGGAAACAGAACAAATTCAGGTATTACCAACTGTCTTCTATTTGACAAGATAAGTAAGATGTAAACTTTCTATTCAGAGTATAAATGGATGCTAGAGATGCTTTGTATGGGAAAATGTATGAGTTCACATAACGTATTTGAATATTAGTATTTGCAATAGTTTATTTGTGTGTACGTATATTAATGAAAAGAAACACAATATATGTTTCTGTATCCCCAGTTACGCATACATTACTTGAAAGAAAGATAACTTCAATGTAACCAAAGGAGGCCTAAAGTTGTTTTAAAATTATTTGCATTATTAAAAATCAAAGGCACTTTGTTCTCCACTTGTTTATAGTGGTATCTTGACAATAATTCTCTTTATTAGGAATTGCCTGATGAATTATTAGTTAAAAATATGACAAAATATATTTTTTTTCCCCCTTGCTTCTATTTTGCTAAGGAGAGAATTCAATGAAGTATGCTAGGGGCTTTTTCATAGAGGCTTCTCATTACCCAAGAGCTACTGTTGTTTGGTACCAGCAGGTGTCAGGGGAGAAGAGACTTATCCTTCCACTAAACAGGGTTTTAAGTATTTGGGTTTTAAATATTTGGGCTTTAAATATCTGATAATTCAAATTCTGCAAAAATTTAAGTCTCATGTATAACTTAAAGTGACAACGTGTCTTTCTTTCCCATTATCCATGTTTAACATTACTGTTAAAAAATACCTCCTATTTTATTAGTATAATTATCAAATAAGAAAACAACGAACTAGCAAACGTAAATTAATCTCTTTTTTTTTTCTTTTTTTCTGTTCTGATAATCTTCTTTGGCTGATAAGACTTGGAAATTTAAAAAGCATTGGATTTTGTTTGTTTGTTTGAGGTGTGATTGGAAAAATAGAAATAATGCATTTAATCAGCAAAGGAAATTAGGTAAATGAAGCATAAATTTAGTGACTATGTTGTCCATGCTCTTGATGCGAAAGGAGACTAAAGCACTGCACGCTTCACTTGTAAGAGGAAGATGGAAAGATGTTTATTGATATAAACAGGTGTAAGATGGTAACTTGAACAATGATAACAGCAACTTAAGATTCAAAATAGCTAGATATTCTTGACAATTTGCTACATAGAGGGTAGGGGGTGCATAATGAATCTATGATGAAATATTGGTTAGGCTAATATAGCATAAAAATAGTAAACTTGTCTACATAGCATCACCACACCTTCAGTGAATCTCTATACACCTCAAGAGATGTCTCTACTCAAGGGGGGATTCTGGAGTGCAGCCAACTGTTTGCAAGAACTTTCCAAGGGGATTGTAGGTTGCTTACTATTTATGAAATAAGAGGATTGACTCGTAGTCATACAGCTTAGAATTAGTTCTGTCGAACCAGGTGTCTTTTACCAGGTTTCTGAGCACCAGTGTTGAAACTTTGATTGTTATTACTCCCAAGGACAAGGTCTTCTCTACCTCATTGTGTGCACTAGGCCTTGGGCATAATAACCAGGCTGGTTGTGGGGGCAAGGACTGCACCACCACAGCTCTGCATTAAATGGAAGTCAGGAGGCCTACACTTATGAATAAACATATAGATAGCTAGCTTCCAAAAAGAGACCTTAACAAGGATCTAATTTACATTTTTAATTCACATGCATGAATTCAACAGAAACCTCTTAGTTTGAAAAAGCTTGTTTTGCTTGCAGCTTCTATTGAAGAAAAAGAAAATTGAATGATCACCCATGAATATGTGTAAACACCAACATATGTGCTTTAGCTTATAGCTTCCCAAGTGCAAAAGGGAATGTACAACTCCTTCTCTTTGACTCTAATTCTTAGCCCTACTCTAGTCCTCTAAAGGAACAGTGCAAAGCTTTTTTTGCTGTTCTGCAGGATTCTTGTTGTGATGGTTGTTTGCTTGGTGCTCAGTTGTGAAAGGAAAAAGTACTAATACAAAGAATACTCTATGATGGTGTTAGAATAGTCCTTTTGTGCTTAAGCTATATAATTAATAACAGGAACTTCACAACAAGATTTTGTATAAAGGAGTGTAAAAGCTAGTGATTGAAAAATAATAATAAAAAGCCACATTGTATTTCACTTAAAAAAGTAACAAGCAAACAGCTTCCCTCCCAACTTAACATTAACACTTTAGAGTATCCTCTGAAATTTCATCAGATTCATCATATAAAGAGGACTGATGAATACTTCAGGCAGAAAACAAAAAAAAAAATATTCATGTCTGGCAGCTGCAGTTTCGTAATTAGACATTCAAAATAAATGATGTAATTTTCAAATACAGGTCATAATGCAGGCAGAAGAAAGCTTGAAGGAATTAGATGCTGGAATCAGTGAATTAAAGAAGAGTGTAGATAAGCTACAAATAGACCAGCCTTCTGTACAAGAGCTATCTAAGCTACAGGTAAGGTTCATAAATTCCATCCTAGAGTTGTATGGTGATATGAAGGGTATCATATTGTTGCTCATAAAGTATTTGAGGAAAATGTATTTAAAAATGTTTCATATGAATTGATAGCTTTCTGCCTGGTTCCTCTAGATTTTCTACTTCAGCTTTTACAAATTGTCTAACATCTCAATTATCAATATTAATCATAACAATATGCAAAAAAAAAAAAAAGAAAAAAAAAGTTTATTTTCTGCTCCTCTGTCAGAAAGGACAAAGTTTGTCACATAAAACATGTATTTGGTTAAAAGTTGAGGCCTGTTTTCATCACCCTATTGATCTGCTATTAAGCTCTGTCTCACATCAGCCATTTTAAAAATAAAGCTACAGTGAGGGAGAGATAGTGGCAGGTAGGATAAGGAGGGGGAATGGTAAGTGTGACTTGAAACTGGAAATGTTCTGCTTTTACAAAAATGCCCATAATGCTAAACTAAAAAATTATCTCCTTCATGCACACATGTTTTCAAATATCCTGTGTCCTACCACTTAAATACAAATTGATGCAGATTTTTTTAAGGCTATTGAATCTCCTTTTTGAGCACTTTTGTGAAGTGGTTTCACTAGGAAAGTGAAAGATGAAGAGGCTGAATTTTACTTTTTATAATGGCATAATAATTTTAAAGCAAAGAGAACATGAAAATGGAATGTAAATATAAGCTAACAAAGCAGTGATCTCAACAAAAAATGAAAGATAAAATATTGCATAAAAGGGTTTTTTTTAACCCGCTTTTTTATCCTTTTGTTCCTAGAGCCTCCTGCTTATTTTCCCTGTCATGTTATTTGTAGATACTCCAATCCCTTTACTTCAGTTTTTAAAAAACCTTTCCCTTTGCTTTTTTACCATTGTGCTTTGCACAATTCTCTCCTTAAATCTGGGAGAGAGGGCAGCAGTTCCAATGTGGGTATTCTGTTCCACTACTGTATGATCTTAGAAATATTTTAATTTCTTGATTTTTGTATGCCTTGCCCAAAGTTTTTGCCCAATGTGACTCTTATCTTATCTTCACAATCAGACATATGTTCTGAGAATATAGATCTCAAAACCAAAATAGTTAAATAGTCTTGCCTTCAAGTAAAGGAAAAAATCTGTACGCTGTTCTCACTTCAGTAGTTGATGTATGCAAGTCGACAAATAGCAACAGGAACTTGTTCTTCCAACTGGCTGATTTTGCATTTGACAGAATAGGCACACTGTGAAAGTATATACTACGCTTTTCTACGCTGTACTGTTCTATTCTGTTACTCTTAGGCTTAGTTTGTTTTTTTTTTTCTATAGGTAGTATGTACCTTGCTCGCTAAAATTAGTTGCTCCGGCACAGATCTCTTCCTGTGCTGAAGCAGGTGATGAAGACAAGCCTGACTGAAATGCTTGTACTTTGTGTAGCCATGATGGGGTCAGTACAACACACTACATTATAAGAAGCAGAACATAAACAGCATCTTCAGTTACAGCACCACACTTGTCTGGTTTTAGAGGACTCTTACTCCTTTGCTCCTTACTCTTTGGGATTCTGCTATCTTTGTTCCCTGCACACACCTGAAAAAGTTCCAGGTGCTGCTTGCTTTTTCTCTCTTTAAATGCTAATTAGTTTACCATTTAAGTTGGTGTATCAGCACTGTCTTTTTTATCTATGAATAGTTGTTACTGTGCTAGCTTTGAGAGAAATAGAATACAGTGACAGAGATGTGGCTGCTATGTAGACAAATAAGGTAATCATTGATGCTTTTTGCCTCCAAGGATATGTATGATGAGGTGATGATGATAATTGGATCCAGACGGAGTAACCTGAACCAGAATCTTGCTCTTAAGAGGCAGTATGAGCGGGCTTTGCAGGACCTGGCTGATCTGGTAGAAACAGGCCAAGAAAAGATGGATGGTGACCAGAAAATGATAGTTGCTTCTAAGGAAGAGGTTCAATCACTACTTAACAAGCATAAGGTAAGAAACTGTGGCTTATTTCACTGATAATGACTGCAAGGCTGTATACACTAAATTGCTAGTCATTACTTCCTAAATGTTTAGGACCTTTTCTTAATTGTGAGCTAGTGTAAATCAGGATATGTTAAAATTACTCTATTTTAAATTGTAATTAATGAACTGTTCTGACCACATGACTTTGAAATGCTGTGTTGCCGGTAAATACAATTGGATTATAGTTTCTTCTCCATTTTAAAAACCACTTCCTATTCTTGTGCTATCATGCTACGTATCAATTTCATCAATCACTCAATTTTTTCCGATTGGAAATTTAAGTTTGCTAATAACATCCACAATATATAGTAAGACTATGCACAGCAAGTCCATGTTTTTTGGTGTGGCAGAAGTTTTAAATGGTGTATATCTGATTTAAGCTATTTTTGTTTGTAGAATTAGAGTACTGAATTTGCATGTAAAGAGTAACCTCTTTCTTTCCATAAAAAGACAGTTGTCCTTTTTATATTACATGTTGGATTTTGTGAATTGTTATTGGAGGGAAAAGTTTACAATTCTGTATCTGTCTATACTTGATCATAATGCTCTTGTCTTAAGTTGTTGTTTTAGTAGTAATAAATTGAAGAAAAATTGAACTTTTCTTCTTTTATTCTCTTTTTCCCTTCTCCATCAGGAATATTTTCAGGGGTTGGAGTCTCACATGATCCTGACAGAGACACTCTTCAGAAAGATGAGTAGTTTTGCCCTTTTGAAGGAAACTCGATCACATTCAGAACTAATGACACAAGCTTCAACTGTATTAAAGCTGGCACATAAACGAGGTGTGGAACTGGAATACATTCTAGAGGTAATAATTCCTTTGATCTTTTTTGTATGTCCATCATAATCTATTACCAGTACATCCTACAGTGGTTTTCTATGCCTGAACTGAATTGATGGATGTCAGTCCTACTTGTACATACAAGGAGCTCATGGGCAGCATGTAATTTTGTATTGAGAACTTCAAGTGACCCAAATTGAGTTCCTTTAAATTTGAAAGAATTGCTAAGCTTTATGTGACAAGCATATTCTGACCAAAAGCTATGCTTGATGCAAAGATGGTGTTTTCCTGTAGATTTTTTTAAGACATTTTTACTGCTGTTTCTGTACATTCGCAGCATTGCAGCTATAGTATTTTAGATTGAGAAAGTAAGTAATATATTTAAAATTTACTCAGGTATAAAAAGTATAGACACTCAGATATTTTTACCTACAGACTTGGATGCATCTTGACGAAGATTACCAGGAACTTACCAGACAACTGGAGTCTGTCGAAGGTAACATTCCCTCTGTTGGTTTGGTGGAAGAGACGGAAGACAAGCTCACAGAACGGATTAAACTTTTTCAGGTACTTTGTAGTTATTTTATATTGAAAAGTTTGATGCAAGGGGACCTTTGTCATGATTCTAGCTGGAGTCCAGTTGGAAGGACCGTTGGAATGGATCAGATCAGAGAAGACTTTGGTGACCTTCAAGGATGAAGATCCTACAGCCAGGCTGAGGGCCAGTTGCAGTACTGCACTACTTCCTACGGAAAAAATTTCATATGATGTCCAATCTAAACCTTCTAACTTGTATCTTTGTGACCATTATCATTTTTATGTTGTGTGACACTACTAAGAAGCATTTATTACCATTGTATTTTTAATGCTACTTTAAATAGTTATGGGCATTTGTTAGACTAGCTTTCAGTCTTCTACTTGCCAACATAAAACAAGCATGCCTCCCCAACTCTCCTTTTAAAGGTGTGCTACAGATCCCTAAATGTCTTAGTAGCTATCCAAAAGACCTGGACCAGTTTCTGCTTTTTGAAGTTGGTGAGAGGTGAGGACAGGGCAAAATTGGATACACTAGGTATAGTCTTACCAGCACCATATAGATAGGGATAATAAAATAATGTAAGTCTGCTGACCATACACCTACTAATATATGTCAGTGCTGTGGTTAGCCACATTAGTGATGTAATTGTTATGATAGATGCAAAGCTAAATATACCAGCTGTTCCCATTCTAGCTTGTACTTAGAAAGAATGTTATTCTGCGCAAGGTGCAGAATTCCTATTTCATTTTGAACATTCTCTGGTTCCTGCCTTATTGAGATTTCAATTTTATCAGCCTCTGGACTGCCTTTTTCTGTGAATGTGTCAATTACTCTCTATATATTAGTGCCATCCACTAATTTATCACAAGAATGCTCTCTATTATTATTTAAGATGTTAAAAATGTTTGGACTCCAATATCAACAATCCTTGGAGTACATTGCTGATTACTGACTGCCAGCCAAACTTTAAGCCTTTGATCGCTACTTTTTGAATCCAGCAGTGTGAGCTGTGCAACATTTCTCCAGCCTTCACTCTCAGCTTCCAGAGGAGGGTGCTGTGGGAGCCAGTATCAAAAGCCAAACAGAAATCAGTTTCATCCACAAAGTACTTCTATCAGAGAAGATAGTCAATTAGCCAGTCCATATAGAGTATTCCTGATTGCTTTTTTCCTCTTTTTTTTGCTCTTGGAAATGGAGTCCACGATCCTTCTAGAGAGCAAGATGAAGCTAGTCAGCCTGCAGTTCATTGAATTATCTTCCTCTTTCTTACCTGCAATAACAGCTAGTAGTTTAAATACTGATTTTTATACCACATCCTGTTTTTTTTCAGTCTGTTCTCAGAATGAGAGTTCTGATCCAGTGCTTTTTTTTTGTCTTGTAGTATGCAAAGTACTTTGGATGTTCTTGCTTTGTTTTCAGAAAGATGTCTGACGTATTTTTCGTGCAAATTTACTTTCCATTATTTTCTAATCTGAATTTACTATTTACTGTTTTTTACCAGACAGCTTTCTGCTTTTTTAAGGCTATGAGGAGAACTTAAAGCAATATATTGTGTGGAAGCAGCTATTAACTATCGGCACTGATTAGATTAAAAATTAATCAGATTATCCGCTTTATTGGTTTCAGTGAGTTCTAGAGAGGGAAAAAAAATATGATGTGGTAACATTGGACATGCTACAAAATGCAATAGAAGGAAATGGAATATTGAGAAAGCATAGCTGTATAAACTTGCAGAGCTAACTTTCTCTCCTCTGTCATTACAGCGTCTGAGATCTAACCTGACTGAATATCAGCCTAAATTATATCAGGTGCTGGATGATGGGAAAAGGCTACTTTTTTCTGTTAGTTGCTCAGATCTTGAAAGTCAGCTGAACCAACTGGGAGAGCACTGGCTAAGTAACACCAGCAAGGTTAACAAGGAACTGCACAGGCTGGAGACAATACTGAAGCACTGGACAAGGTAATCACAAAATCATAGGTGTTGGAAGAGACCTCTGGAGATCAGACAGTCCAACTCCCCTTCTAAACCAGGTTCTATAAATTAGGTAGCACAGGCGAGTATCCAGACATGTTTTGAATATCTCCAGAGAAGGAGATTGCACAGTGGGCACCTGTTCCAGCGCTCTCTCATCCTTAAATGCTGATACAGTATAAGCTGCTTTAATTACACTGTTGAACTCAGTTGTTCTGAACCCAGAACTTTTATATTCCACGTTTAAAGGAAAGTTATTGGAAATACATGTGATGGTTCAACTCAACTAAAATACTTCTATTACATACAAGTACCATCATATTCTCTTATGTACAATAAAATGCATACCTGATAAGAGTCAGTGGGAAGAAGTGAGAAGGCATATAGATAACTAAATTAGAAGCCCCTTTTCCAGCAGTGAGGGAGGGTGTATTCTTTGCTAAATACCGTGAGTAGCCTCAGCACAATCTGGTATTGCCATTGCTGGGTTCTTGGAGTTCTGTGTCATTGCATGTTGGGATGGGAACATTTAACTGCCTTTAGCAATGTTCATATACTACTTTTGAAATGCATTCTCTAACACATGTAGAAGATTTCTTTATTGTTTTTCATAATGTCTCTGGCTTGTTGTCTTACTAGCCTTTCAAGAGAGATACATAAAATGATTTTATGTGTATAAAGTTTATGTAAAGTCATTCTCATTCCAACGTTTACTTTGCGTATGGAATGATGTGGAGATAAGACAAGAAAAAAAAAAGAAAAAAAAAGCAAAAAGCAAAAAACCAAAAAACGCACAAAAAAAAATCCATTATATTTCTGATCTGATATAACACACTCTAAAGGTTTTGAAAGGCTGAGCCTTCTTGTGGAAAGCAGAAAAGGTGATTGTGTGCTATGGGCTATGGCACTGTTACAACTCCTCTGAATGGTTTGATGGACTAGTTCATAGTTCTTCATTAGACTTAGTTTTTCCTAAAAGATAAAAAGAAGTCAGTGGTAGGAATCATGGATGTAATTGTTAAAATATGAACAGTGTGGTACCTTACCTTTCTTAAAAATTAAATCATGCTTTTCAGAAATCATGAAATCATGAAATTTGATGAGAAAGAAAAAATCTGTTTTTTAAAAATCTGTTATAGGGTATTTTCTTCTAACACATGGAAGAGACTACTCTTTTGGAAGCAAGAAGTTGCAATGAGTGTTTTAGTTTTCTGTAAACATTTTTACAGGTACCAAAGTGAATCAATTGAACTGACACACTGGTTACAATCTGCAAAAGAGCGTCTTGAATTCTGGAGTCAGCAGTCTCTGACAGTTCCTCAGGAACTGGAAACTGTTCGAGACCATCTGAATTCCTTTTTGGTAAGTTATTCGTAGGTTTAGGGCACCATTTTTTCCCTCAGATTACAAGTAAACAGCTTAACAATCACACTCCAGGAGGAATAGAAAAAAAAATAATAATAATAATATTTTTTTTTAATTTTGCTGAGTTTTCCTTCCAAAAGCTGATGTGTTTCATAACTGAACTATTTTTATGATTGAAAACAATTTTTTGTATTCACTTTACATGAAATATAACTGGTGAACTCTAATAGAAAGATGATATTTTTAAAGAGAAATGAGGATATTCTTAGTTTTCTGAGATTTAATGCTTAAGTACAGTAGTCGCTTATTTCCACAAAAACGATTCTGCTTGTAGGAGTTTTCAAAAGAAGTGGATGCTAAATCCTCACAGAAATCTTCTGTACTGAGCACTGGGAACCAGCTCCTCAGACTGAAGAAGGTAGATACAGCAGCGTTGCGTGCAGGATTGTCCCACATTGACAGTCAGTGGACAGAGCTGCTCTCACAAATCCCAACAGTACAAGAGAAATTGCACCAGGTAAGAAAGAACAATGGAGGCCTCTAATATTCCAGAAAACTAAAATCATACAGTTGGCTTCTTCTCTGAAAGTTGGTTGCTTCCAGATTGTCTTTATCCATTTGAGAAAAGTCAGGAACAACATTATCTCTACTTTAGAGTGGAAAAGCCTACACTCATACCTGTATCCTGTCTACCCATACTGCCTAGCACTAACTGATGCTAAACTGAAACTTTCCCAGTTGCATTTGTTAAATTTTAAGTAACAAGCAGGTAAGCTTTTTTAGAAAGATTGGTGTACTGTTTGGAAAAAAAGTGCTGCTCCTGTCAGCTTGTTTTCTTCAGAAGATGTTTTTGTTCAAAACCTAAAGACTGGGTAGTCTGTGGAAGACAAAGTTAAAATGGAATCTTTAGACTTGTATTGTGAAGAATGGAAATAAGAAGCCTTTAATAAAACATTTTCTTATAAAGATGCATGAAACTATGCATTATATCTTTTATTGAGAGCTTTCAATTTTTTTTCCTCTTTATTATTTTATGAATTTCAGTAATATATTTGGGATGTAGAATAATGATAACAAAAGCAAGGAAAAGAATATGTACTATGGTAATGCAAAGCAAGGAATTACTGTTAATTTTCTTCTCAGCATTTATTTTAATTCTGTTATTTCTACAGCTGCAGATGGACAAAATTCCTTCTCGCCATGCTATCACTGAAGTTATGAGCTGGATTTCCCTGATGGAAAATGTTATTCATAAAGATGAAGAGAGTATAAAAAACATAATAGGACAAAAAGCCATTCAGGATTATATCCAAAAATACAAGGTATAGCATGGAAATATTATAAATTTTGTTTTCAAAGTATGTCTGCTAAACATATATACGTATGTGAAGTAGAACTGATTTAAGTAAAAAACAAAAATATATTGTGGAAATATTAAAATTGTACAATGATTAGAATGGAGTAACTTTTGATATAGTGGAAAAGAAATGAATTAATTTTACTCTGCTGTTTACTTACGGCAGGAATTTATTTTTAATATGCTTACCTTAATATCCAGGTAATTAAAAACACTATGCACCTTATTAGATGTAGCTTTTGTCCAAAAACAAAATGAACTTTGCAAATAAGATTTCGCAAGTTCCCTGCATAGCCTGTTCTAGAATGGAAAATATGCACTGCTTTATGGGTGAATCAGTTCATCAATATCTGCAATGAAAATGAAAGATGGTATATCTTGAGCTAACTATTAAGAAAGAGAGCAAATAAAATGTAAGATTTTTCCAGATCAGTAATACTCCTGTAATAGATCTGTACCCAGGAACTCTATTCTCACCGTCAGAACAGTTTTATTCTTTTGAAGAATATGTATTATGATGCATTCCAGATGTTTGTACAAGTTACACGAAACATGGATAACTCACATTCAGTCCTTTTAAGACAAGTGTCTTAAAAGATTGCTTTACTTCTTGGTTATTCTTCTCTGTTTATAGGAATACTTTCCATAATACCTATTGGTGGAGTAGAAAAAAAAAAAACAAACGACTGAGACTAAGTGAAGTGAATAGAACTAATAAACACACTTTTTTTTTTTTTTTTTTTTTTTTTTTTGTAAACCTGATCCTTGAGACCACTATCAGTAATTTTGTTGGTGGGTCGTTTTTTTTTTTGTTGTTGGTTTTTTGTTGGGTTTTTTGTTTTTGTTTTTGTTTTTTTTTCTCACGTGTTCATTTTCTCTGGGGGAAAACAGGCAATTTCTTTATTCCCAAGGCAGTGTACTGCTATTTTAGTTCTAAATATTTAGAAGAGAAATATCAATGTTTTTAATTACTGTTCAGATGCTAGAAAAAGCTTCAGCAAGATTGTAGTAGGGATGTAATTTGTGAATGTTTTTTTCCTGTGTTCTGAAGGATACTAAGAAATGATTACATTTTTTGAAATATTATTTCCTTCTTTTCTAGGGTTTCAAGATAGATTTAAATTGCAAACAATTGACTGTAGACTTTGTGAACCAATCTGTGCTACAAATTAGCAGCCAAGATGTTGAAAGTAAACGTAGTGACAAAACTGATTTTGCAGAACAGCTCGGAGCAATGAATAGACGTTGGCAGATTCTACAAGGCTTGGTAACAGAAAAGGTAAAGAAAACCTCCAGCTGCTCTGCTGTGAACTTTAAAAATACATGCAAAAATTAAACAGTAATGGCTAGAATTCTCTGCAGGGCATCTGGTCCAACCTCCTACTCAAATAGAGCTAACTTTACAGTTGGATGAGATTGCATAGCGTCTTGCTTTCATGACTTCTGAAAATACACAAGGATGGATTTTTCACAAACTATCTTGGCTGCTTGTTCCTGTATTTAAACATTGTCCTCTATCTCACTGTTCCACTGGGGAACAGGTTTTTGCTGTATGCCCAATCAGAATTTCTGTTAACTTGAGTCTGTTTCTTCTCTTTTCTTTGTGCACCTTGAAGAAGAGTTTAGCTCCATTTCTCCATAATCATAATGAGAAGAACAGTGAAATGAGACCCTTTCTTAATGTTCTTTTCCCCAGGCTAAATTAAGTGAGTCTGTTCTTGTAAGTAATGTACTCCAGCTACCTAACTACTTTAGTACCTCTTCACCAATTTGTCAATTGAGAAGGCCCAAAATGGGTTACCAGAGTCAGGGAGAAGGGAATAATCTATTTTATTGTCTTGCTGGGTGTGCTCCCCAGAGTAGATCCCAGGTATAGTTAGCCTTCGTCAGTAATGGTCTACAATGCTGCTTTCTTACTTGTGTTCAAATTATTGTTCATCGTAGCCCTTGTTAGCAAAGTTGCTTTCTGCCAACCTGCATGTTACCATGTCCAGGATGAAGGACTTTACCATTTACCTTTGCTGAATTTCTTGAGGATTCACAAGCATATTCTTCCATCTTGTTGAACTTTCTCAGTGGCAGCGTATCAATGACTTCTTCTAAATCAGTGTCATCTGTGAACCTGGTGAGAATATAGTTCATCATGTTATTCAGTTTATCAATTAAGATATTAAACAATATCAAATTTAAGAATCACCATGTTGATCTGGCAATCTTATAAGTGGCTGCCAGATAGGCCTTGAAAATTTTTACCACTGGCCTTTAAAGCATTGCTGAAGCCAAGCTGAACAGTATCTACTACTCTCCATTTGCTGTTTATGTCATCATAGAAGGCTATCAGTTATTTCTGGCTGAATTTGCTCTCATTAAGACTACAATTATTGCTACTTCATGCAGATGGAAATGATCTATTACAGAATTACAGCCTTTTTCTATTCACCAGAATCTTCCTCCAGCTGCCATGACCCTTTAAATGTGATAGCAGCCTTACAATGACATTGGCATCCTTGTACACATTCTGTCTAGTTCTGTGGACTGCTATACATACAGCTTATTTAAGTAGCACTTATCTCTCCTCTCTCATAGCTAGTACCTCAGTCTACCTATCCTGGTTATATCAATATTCTGTATCATGACATCATGTTATGCTGTTGGATGAAGAGGCACAGTACACTGCAGAGCTGCAATTCTTGTTTTTTGGCAGTCTCACATGAGTTCTGATTCTCCAAGATGAAGATACACTGAGATGTACTACATTTCCCAAGAGCTTCGATATGATCTCTGATTCTGGAGGATTTTCAGGTTCCATCAATGCAGCGAGCAACACAGTCATAGCCTTCCTCTCTCTTTCATTTGAATTATGAATTGTAACTCTCTTTCTTATTATTATCTTACATTCTTTTACCATTTGTAGTAAATTTCTTCTATCTCCTTATCTTAATTGGGTCGTTTTTTATTCCTTCTCCCACAGAAGGGGTGAAAGGGGCCCTCTTGCCCTGTTGTACTTGAAATTGCAATGTTCCCAAAGGACCTGGGAGACATGAGAAGGAGATCTTGGCAGTAGAATCAGAGTGAAGGAGGCACTGTATGGCTCAGACTATTCTGTGGTTTCCTATTATGTGCTGATGCATTTATAATGATTAATAGGAAGAGTTCTCTCCTTCACTAGCTAGCTTCAGCTAAAATTTTGCTTTCCCAAGACCAGCCCTGCGCAGCCAGGAATCCACTTCCATTCACAATTCTTTTTCTTTTTTATATCAGTAAGAAGCTCTCAGTTCTGCCGAAGCCTCCAAACTGTGTCACGCTATTTCCTTGTAGCCTAGGATTTATCTTTCTGTGACTTGAGGATGTTGTCTTTGAACATCATCTGTCTTCTCCTTTGCCCCATGGCATCATGTTTATTGAACAAAACAAACATTACTATACCAAACTATTCTAAGTAATTTTAATCTACTACTTGTTTTCCTTGCTTCACTCTCAATTGTCTTGTCACTATGGTAAGCTAATCAAGATGACTCATTCTCTAGAGCAGTTTGTGTGAATGCTTTTTATGTTAATACTGCCAAGTTCAAACTCTGCTTTTGTTATTTAGCTGTTTTATAATATCTTTCAAAGAAAAATTTGATATCCAATTTCCACTGAATAACACCTAGATCAGAAAAATCAGAGTGACTTTGAAGTGGCTGGTTGCCAAAGGAAGTAATATAAATTGTCATCTTTATCACATGTATAAGCAAGAAATAAAGAATGTATTTTCACATACTTAGTTATATTTGGGGAGTCTTGTGGTATATACCCTCTGAAATCAGTTTCATAAAATATTCTGCCAAAGTGTTAGCTCTTTTCCATGCATCATGATTTTTGAATAAGTTATGCATATAGAATCATTCCTGGATGAAGCAGATTTATTTTTTTTAATTATGAACTCTTTTCAAATAGCAAATTTATTTCAATCTGAATACATATAGTGTTTCTAAATTCTGAAAGTATTACTGAATTCTGAGGAGCAGGTCAGCATTGATTTTTACTGATTTATTTAACTGACTCAGAGTTAAAGGCAATTGTATAAGGAAGTATGCGCTCATATTTCTTTGCAGATCCAGCTGTTGGAAAGTCTGCAAGAATCCTGGACAGAATATGAAAATAATGTGCAGTGCCTAAAATCTTGGTTTGAAACCCAAGAAAAGAAGCTGAAAAAACAACAGAGAATTGGAGACCAGGCTTCAGTACAGAATGCTTTGAAAGATTGTCAGGTATAAATCCATCCTAAATAACAATATTCTAATTCCAGTTAGAAACAGGACTTAATAAAACCCTGTGGTATTTGTATACCATTGAAGTCAGTGAGATTTCATTTCTAAAGTGCAAAAACTAAGGAAAGGAAGAAAGAGCATTAATGTCTGTCTCAAAGACGTTTAAAAGTCATTACTCTTTTGACACTCAGTATTAAAGTGTGGTCATTTCAGATATGTCAGGCTTATTGAACTTGAAAGACTGTTAAAGGAAAATGTTCACTTTCTTCTTTGGCCAGTCATTTGGAACTTGATGTAATGAAACACCATGTTTGACTATTCAGAAACTTGTTTTTTCTGCCTCATCACTACCTTTCCTCTCCTGCCCCAATTATTCTATCCTTCTCCCCCTGGTACTCTTATTTCTTCAGGACTACTTAAAGACAGATATAAGAGTGTATTTTTGTTTTCAAAATATGTTTGGAATCACACATACTCAAATATTCAGCTATCCAGAAAAGAGAACAATGTTGGACTCATTTTGCTTGCAAAAGAATAAAGAGTAATCTTAAGTAGAGTTGGCAAAGATTGCATGAGGAGAAGCTCAGCTATACAAAATACAGATCAGTTCATAACCATCTCAGTTTTTCACGCAGAATTTATACAAGACTACACAACAGTGAATAAGAATATGCTGTGGACTCTGGACATCTGACTAGGAATAGCACATACTTGAATAATCAGAATGTTGTTTCTGGAGCTACCAGACTAGGATTTATTGTAAATTTGCCAGTGTCTTAAGCACATATTTGATTTTGTAAAGACAAATATTTTATTAGGTCAGATATGTTAGAAATCATACTTTTATTTTTTCCAAAGTTCTTAACTCAGATTTTCAAACTGGAGCCAATGCCTACTTTCAGTTAAACTGTCTTTATAATTTCAGCATAGTAAGCACATACAACTGAATCAAGTGTAATTTACTGCCGCCTGCCAGAATTGGCAAGTTATGCTTGCCTGTAGTTCAAAGCTGAATCTAATTTATCACCTTTTTGGTTTCTTTTGGTCAGCAAAGTTAGCAAACATGCTTAGGTAGTCAGATATGAATGGCAGGACTTTGATCATCAGAGAAACAAATTGTTTTAGAAATAACAGTACCAGACACTCTCAAGTACCCCGTTCAACTAGTACAAAAGCTCCAGCTTATTGATTAACCAATGTTAGTTGCTGCCTAGTGTCATAATAATGAGTGGCACCTTTATTTTTCATCGCAGATCAGAAACAATAATGGATCTTTAATTTTTACATGACTTAAGAATGATTTAGTAGATATCTCTTTTCACAGAGAACCAGAAATATTTGCTGTTATTGATGTTTGAAGCTTTTGTCCATTTTGCCTTCTGAAGTTTGGAATGATTTTGTTTAAATCTAAATTACTCTTATTTCTGTTTGTTGAAAAGTCGAACTTGCTACTAGCAATTGAGAAGTGTTTCATAAAAAAAAATTGCTAGTAATAATTTTTTAAAAGTGTTATTCAAGGCTGTAATCTGGAACAAGATCATTGCCATAAGTTATAAACAAAAATATGAAATAATACAGAAGAAAACTGCAAGAATAAACATACAGCAAAGGCTCAGTCCTCAGGAAGGGGCTTTGCTGAGAAATGGCAAAAGAATAAAGATTGCACTTTGTGTAGGGAGGCGCAGCAATTTGACATGTTTCACTATGAAGTCATCTTGTCTTTTTCTTTGGATGGTAGAGGTACCTTGAGCCAATTTTGGATTAATTGAAAAGTCATCTGTGTTCTGGGACAAACTATGACACAGAATTTTCCCATGTATTCAAACTGCTAACCTATTTTTAATTAAATTTGGACTCTGTCATGAGAGCAGATGGTCACAGAAGAAGTTTAATGTAGAGGACATGCTTTTATTTAAAGACTTGCAACTGTGATTTAAAGGGACCTTAAAACATTAAGTAAAATTGCTAATGAGTTATGATTCTCTTGGGAATAAAAACAAGCAGACAACAAAGCATGTAAGTGTGTCTTTCCTATTTTTAATATTGTACAAACTGAGGAGCATATGATTATCTTTTTTTGTCCAAGTCACTGTCTACCCAAGAATAGGAAAAAAAATTAAAAAAAAAAAAAAAATTCTCAGGTGTCATCTTTTTTTTCTTTTAAGGAATTAGAAGAATCGATAAGAGCAAAGGAAAAAGAATTAGAAAGCATAGAAAAAAGCGGTCTGTCTTTGATACAAAACAAGAAGGAGGAAGCCTCTTCTGCTGTTTTGAATACACTGCAAGAAATCAATCATTCCTGGGCCAGCTTGGATCACATGGTAAAGCAATGATCAAACTTCCGAAATCAGAGCATATAGGAAAGGGATAAGTAGAAGTTTGTGGCTCATGTATTTCTTTTGTGTTGTAGAGAAAGAGATTATAAATTGTGTTTCTGCTTTCATCTGTCCACAAGCTTGTGCATATATTCCACATAAGATGGATATAATATTTACTATTTCAGGATATTTTACATTCTTACAGTTGAAGCTTTTAGATGCTTCCTACTATTTAGTAGAAAAAGACCAAATGTAAGTAACTTCCATTTCAAGCACAAGTAAGGCAGAGTAAGAAGGAGATCAGTACTAGTTGTCATCGTCTAAAGATTGATAACATCAATCCACCTTTCAGGTAGAATGGTCATTAAGGTCAGACTGTCTACTGACTTTCCTAGGCTTACTTGCCTACCTCAGAGAGTCAAGAAATTTATCTTGAACCTTCTGAAGCAAGATAAAATGGACTTCATGTATCCTGAGTCCTTGCCATCCTGCTCTTCTGTGACTGTATTCTACAGAACTGAACTTACTGCATAAGAACACAGTGCAAGCTGAACTGGCAACAGTGTAAAATGTTCTCCCTCCAACGGGTTTAAGTTTAGGCATGCAGAACAAGTAGTATCTGAGATCAAAAGAAAGGAAATAATTTAAACAAAAGCAAATAACCTTTATGTTTCTCATTTACCTTACTTTTCCTCCTTCCCTCCTAGGTTAGCCAACTAAAGATACTGTTGCAGTCTGTTCTTGATCAGTGGAGCGTTTACAAAGTAACTTATGAAGAACTAAATAGTTACCTGATGGAAGCCAGATATTCTTTGTCCCGCTATTATCTTCTTACTGGTTCTTTGGAAGCTGTGAAAGTCCAAGTTGATAACTTACAGGTAAACTGGAGTACCATACTCTTCACATCCGTAAGGATGGATTTGAGGATGAATGTTGTCCTCATTTTATGGATGCAGATAAATATGCTTTTTAGTTGATGAATTATGGAAGTGTGTGGATACTAGTACGTTGACAATGTGAGGCATTTAGATGATGCTTTATCTAATGGCCATTGCATTTTTTTTTTACTCATTTTTCTAAATAAATAAAATAGTGATAGTTGTTTTCCTAGTACACTGGTGATGTTGTTTATATTCTGAGCTATAAGAGTTCCAAATACTGAAACTCCTTTTATAAAATTATGTCAGTGTGGATCAAGTTTAGATAGATCAAGCTTTTGCTTCAAAGAAAGATGTTCTCAGCTTTCAAAAATCAAAAGTAATTATGCAAAGATTTCCAGATTTTTAAAGTAACAAGAACTTGCACTGATAATATTTACCAGCAAATTTAAGTTTGAATTATCATTTAAATATTTTGTGTGATTGGAAGATCAAACTTTCTGAACTGAGATATAAAGAACATCTGTTAACACACTTTATAGCCAATCCTCTATGTTTTCATTTATGTATTTATTTATTGCTTATCAGAGAAGAGTTGGAAAAAAAAAAAAAAAAAAAAAAAAAAAAAAGTACAAAAAAATCAAATCACTTTTATTTTGAAGATATTGGATTTATGAATTAAGTCAAAGACCAATAACCATATTTTTGTAATAAACCTTTTTCATTTTTTTTTTTTTTAATTTTTATTTGTTTTTAATGCTGTTAATTTTTCATCTAGTTCTAGACAGGAAATGTGATTTAATTTAATATCTTTCATGAGTTTACTTTATTTCTGAAGGAGTTCCATGCACTTATACAGTCTTTGCAAAAGTATTTGCTTAGAATAATTTCTTTTATAAAACTGTTACTTTTTTAGAATAATTGGGTAAAAAATGTAGTTTTTGCTACACCTGCCTACTGGGTTAGATAGAGCTAGAAACAGTCTTTACATTAAAAAACTTTCTAGTTAGACAAAACACAAGACATCTAGTTTTACGTTCATAATCTGTACGGTGTAATTGATACATAACATTTTAAAGCATTTGTACATCATATATCATTTGAAATACTTCCTGTGACTTTATTTTTCTGTATGTTTTAGAGCCTACAAGATGAACTGGAAAAACAAGAAAATAGCTTACAGAAATTTGGTTCCATGACCAATCAGCTATTGAAAGAATGTCACCCACCAGTGACTGAAACCCTTACCAACACTTTGAAGGAAGTGAATATGAGGTAGAAAACATATTTTAGTTGAACTGTACATTTTCGATTCATTTACTCAGTTTACTCAATCATTTTTATTTTTATTGTTCTTTGCTATTTTATGTATTTTTATTTTTGTTTCTTGTTGTTGCTCCTTTTGCTAGGGCATAACTGTCTCATTTTGTCACAAATAACTAATGCAAGATTGTTTTCTCTAGCAAAGGACTTGGGCCTTACTGTCTGTAGCTTTGTTCTGTGCACGGCTGCAGTCAAGTCATCAACAAAGATGAATCCCATGCTAGACAATAATGCTGCACTTAAAGTTTTGAAAGTCTGTGACAAGTTTGGTTTGCTGCATGTATCAATTTCTCTAGGATTCAGCTTACAATTTCCAGTTGTAGGAATAGTGCGACAGACTCTTTATAAGATTTAAGTTTTTGCCAGTACTGTGCAAACAGCTTTCCCAACTTTGAATCCAGACTAGAACCCGTCTGAAGATTTACTCAGTGAAGCTACAGAAAATGAATTCCAAGATTAAAAATTCCCAATTTGGGTGGGAAAACTGTCGAGTTTGGGCTTGGGTGTTTGGTTTATTTTGTTGGTTGTTTTTTTTGTTTGTTTTTGTTTTTGTTTTTTGGTTTGGTTTGGGTTTTTTTTTTGGAAAAACATAATCATGCCTAACTTCCTTTGGTTCATCCTGTACTGGAAATAGGAATTGTGAAGAAATGATACTGAAAGATTTAATGGAACCAGTAGTAATGACTGAAAAAAAAAAGTAAATAAATAAATCACTTTACTGATCTTTTTATAGACAATTGAAAATACTGTGATGTCCCTTAGTAATTAAATAATGAGAAAATTTGGCAGAAACATTACATTTGAGAAAGCAACTTGTAAAGAGTGCCATTAGAGCCAGTAATTCAGAGAGGAATTAGAATAGGGGTTTATGAATTTATGTTCTATGTAATCTAGAACAGTTCTATGAGAGTTTGGGAGTAAACTGCTGCAGAATGTGTGGTTTCATATTTACACCTGGTTTGGGCCTCTCAGGCCTTGATGGAATCTGGTGCTTGCAGTTCATGGCGAGTCGTGACTGGCTTTCTGTGACAAACCCAACTGTGCCAAGTGAAAATAGCAGGAGATTCACTTCAAAAAGTGCCATCAATCTTTGACCTCAAACGTTAATATGCAGCACCAGACCTAGCATAATATGTCAGAATGTCATATCAACATATTTATTTGATTACTTTTTTGTCCCTGATGTCTGATAATCTGGATTATTACCAAATTTCTGAAAAGCCACAGCACTAAGTCAACAGCAGCAAGGAAGTGGGGCAGGTATAAATGGACTACTAGGCTTAGGTTACTTGTCTGATCTCTTCAACAGGTGGAATAACCTTATGCAAGAGATTGCAGAGCGACTACGTTCCAGTAAAGGTCTCCTTCAGCTGTGGCAGAGGTACAAGGACTGTTACCAGCAGTGCTCTTCTACTGTCCATTTACGAGAAGATCAGACCAATGAATTGTTGAAGAGTGCCACTAGTAAAGAAATTGCTGATGATGAAGTAACCACCTGGATTCAAGACTGCAATGTATGTTTACTTAAGCTTTATGCTTTTTCACATCTCTGTGAGCTAAAAGTCAAAACAGTTACTAAACAATGTAGTTGATGTATTGGAAGCTTGTGTACAAAGTTATTTCTTTTTGCTGAAGGATCTCATATTTGCAAGAGAGAGTTTTACCTCTACTACCCAAATCTCTATTCCTTGATGCTTTGTTTTTTCAGAATCTTTTTCTGAAGTCATCTCTCTGGAGAAGATGGATAACTTCTATCACTTATTTAGTCTTTATCCCCACTTACCAAAAGGTTTCTTGCTTTAGCTCTCTACCAAATCCACTGAGTTTTTTACTGTAGCCAGAAACATAGAAACCTTTGTCTGTATTTCCACTGGTCAAGGCTAATCACTTTTTCTGAATGAAAAGAGAGGTGTTTTCTGGATGTCATTTACATTCTTCCTTGATGTTCTTCCATTTTCAAAAATATGTCTCAGAGCAGTAGGATAGTTTATCTCCTGTCTGTGATTACTTACATTTTGATATGTTTTGGTTAATTTAAATTTTTTAAAAATTAAAATTGTATTTGTCTTAGGGTAAGAAAAATAATTGCAAAGAGAAAAATTGACCTGTTAGTGAGTTTTTTTGAACATTTCCTGCTATAATCTGCCTGACCGGCAATTCTGATAGTTCAGTCTGATATTTACTCTGTCATGATGTCACATTCTTTATCCATTACATTACACAATTTACAAAAGTTAATATTTAATCTTTCCTGGTAAGTCATAATAGGATAAAAAGGGAGGCCTACTCAGACCTCAGTTGATCCACAGTGAGAGTTGCCACTGCTTAGGACCAGCATATCAGTAAATCCAAAGTATTCTTTTCAACAAGTGTTGCCTCATCAGTAACTCTGGCTTACTCAGTGACAGCTGAACAGTCACTTTTTTCTGTTCCTCTGCACATACATAATTCAAGAATTTTAATTCTGTATATCATTTCCTTTGTTTGCAGAGTACCAGTGGACATTTTTGCATTGAAATACTGTAGTAAATATAAATTCTTTATGCAAAGGTGATGTTTATTCATTTTGTTTCTTCTTTATAACAAGACCGAATAGCATGGGCTGAGTGTCAGGTTAACTATTCATCTCTTTATTCATTGTGTTGCCACAGGACCTTCTTGCTGATATAAAGACAGCACAGGATTCACTGATTGTTCTTCAGGAACTGGGAGAGGAGTTAAAAAGCCGGGTGGAGGCCTCAGCAGCAGCAGCTATACAGTCTGATCAGCTGTCTCTAAACCAGAATCTATTAGCCCTAGAACAAGCTCTATGCAAACAACAAACTGTACTTCAGGTATGCAGAGAGTGCTTTCAATTTTTGCACCTTTTCATCCTGTTGATCCTGAAAATAACTGGATTACCCAAGGCCACCTGGGAAAAGAGAGTAATGTTACCTGTTCATCTGCATTTTCCAGACTTTCCTGGAAGCCAAAGCAGAAAGTAGAAAATATGCTGAAGTGAAATACAGAGACCTTGTAAGAAGGTCCATGTTTTGGGAAGTGGATAGCAAATCTCACAGGGGAACGCATGTATCTGGAATGCCAAGGCTACATTCTTTTGTGAAGACAATAGTAGTGCTAATGTCTGGATTCACTACTACTGCTTTCCCACAGACAGACTCCTCTCTTCCCAGCTTGTTCTTTAGTGTTAAAACGAATGATGGAAGATTCAAAACAAGTGTGTAGCAGTAATTCCTACTAACACTGGTGACCATACTGACACCTATGATTTGTCTCAAAGCCTGTACATTAGATGTTGCTAATTGCTTCTGTCACTAAAGTACGAAGTACTTGGCACTAAAGTACAAAGATGGAGTAGCAGAACGTGTTCATTTAGGGAATTATATGGATGAGAAGGCAATAAGGTAGTAGCTTCTGTTTAGGTGACAGAGGATATGCCAAGAAATTCAGTGTTGTCTAGAATGTGATCATTAATGTAACAAAACAAAACAGAAGGCAGATTTTTTCATTTGAAATTTCAATAACAGAAACTAGTGGTTCTCTTTGTTCACAAAATAAATTAAATTGAGGATGTTCTTTTATAAAAGGAAGTTAGAGAAGATTATCTGTCTTAGAATAAGGAAGTCTTTGTACTGAAATGCTGCCTTTTTGCAATGATCAAAATCTCATTTTCTCACCTGGTACAGGCATTACAGCAAAGTCTTTATGATAAATTAATAATAATTTATTTAAATAAAAAAAACCAACGTATCTGCAGTCTGTAAGCTGTGCAACAGTTGCAATTGCTCCTAGCCTGTTGTCACCTATATAGCTGTATACATATAGCTACAAATACATCTCATTATAGCTGTATATCTATAATGAGAATAATTGGGAGCATAACAGCAATCTGGATGATATGTAGCTTAAGTTACTAAACCATGGGACATTTCTGATTGAAGGCTGGTGTATTGAACTATCAAACGTTTGCTAAGAACCTGCAAGATCTTGAGACGTGGGTAACAGAAGCAGAAGCAAAACTGCAAGGGCAGGATCCTGGTCACGCATCTGATCTCTCAGCAATACAGAGCAGGATGGAGGAACTCAAAGTGAGTAACAAATGAGAAATTGTTCTTCTTTTATGTTAGCCTGGTTAATTTACATATAGTATGCACAAATATCATATGTACTCTCTATACATATTAAGGAATGTTACTCATGCAAAGTAAGACTGAGGAATTTGAAGTTTGATGGCAGCCAGGAAGTGACTGTTGCAATGTCTCTGGACAAAGAAGAAAAGGAAAAGCAGACTCTTTATATAAAAATGAATATCAAATCAAAAATGGGAGTGGAAGTATTAGTATTTGGGGGTGTGTGGGGGGAGGGGGGGATGTTCCTTTATTTTATTCTTTTCTCAACTTATTTTGAATGTACAAAGTTCCTTACTCATTAATATTTGTATTCTATTCAAGAACCAACTCATCTATTCCTTTTTGGTATCTTGTTAGACTGAACTATGATGAATACTGTGTACAATGTAATACATATCTCTAAGCTCTTAATCTCTGTGTTTTGGCCTTTTGTTTTGTTTTTTTTCTTTTAGAGGCTCTGAGAGGAAGTTGATAGCTTTTGCCATCTAGGCTGATATTTTTTCATTTTAATCTTCAGTTAACATTTCTTTTACAATTAACTAAATATACATTTTATTCCACTTTTGGTATGCTAATAAATGTACATTTTCCTAAATTAACAATCTGGATATTTCTGTACAGTAAAACATTATTTATTTATTTATTCAAAGGGTGAATAAATTCAATGTGGATTTGCTAGCCTAGCATTCAGGTTAAGAAACAAGGATAAAAGCTTGCTTCAGGCACTGTTCTACTTTTGCATTTGTGAGACATGTATTCTGAGTTTAGCAATATATTCAAGCAAAATTTGAGTTTACTTCTCATAAGCATTATCTTAATACTTCTGGTCTGAGACTAAAGAGGCAGAAAACTGGAAATGAATTTTTTCCCTGGCATAGGAGTTACTTTGCTGCCTAATGGCAACCAAGACCATTCCAAATTTGAGTGCTAGCTCAGTCTATAGTAGTATAGTAGTGTAATTATCAAATTTCCTTGTTATCTCTTTCATTGCTTGTTGCAGAGTCAGATGTTGAAGTTCAGCAGCATGACCCCAGATTTGGACCGTGTTAATGAGCTGGGTTACAGGCTTCCTCTGAATGATAAAGAAATCAAAAGAATCCAGAACCTGAACAGGCAGTGGTCTCTGATCTCGTCTCAGACTACAGAGAGATTCAGGTGGGAATAGCTATAGATTGTTGCATAGCTTTTTCTTAAATTATAATAGCTAAAAAGTATACTTTTTAATTAACCGATCCTCCTCTTCTGGTATACTTAAGAGAAAAGAATGAAGCTAGTGAGTTGTGATTTTGCCACAAATCAGAATTTGACATAAGGAGGAAGAATTTATATATATGTATATATATGTTTAGCGTTACCTAAATAAATAAATCATGCAACTGGCTGTGAAAAAGCAGCGCTGTTTTCACTGCTTGAAAATTCATTGCAAGACTCAGTTCTGTGTGTGAGAACAGGAGACCTCACCTGGATTCATCTTTCTTTTTTCCAGTAAGCTGCAGTCTTCCTTGCTACAGCAGCAGACATTCTTGGAGAAATGTGAAACTTGGATGGATCTATTAGTTCAGACTGAACAGAAGCTGGCAGCAGAGATTTCAGGAAACTACCAGAGTCTTTTAGAGCAACAGAGAGCACATGAGGCAAGTCACTGTGTGTATTTATGCATTATTACAACCATGTAGAGTACATCAATATTCCATTTATACATAACTGGAACTCGCATTCTTTTGTGGAGTAGTATAATAGTAGGTTTTGAATTACATTCCTATCATCTTTTCAATATATCTTCATTTAAAAACAACAGCATGCAAATATATCAGTGTTAGCCAGTTAGGAAGAGGGCTTGGTTTTCTGTCTGCCTTTTTTATACAATATATTGCTGTTTCTCTAAATGCTCGTTCTCTGTACGTGGTGTGCTTCAGGTTGATTTGCGCGAGAGGAATCAATGCTTTATTGGTCTTCTCATAAGACATAACTATCCTCACACGTTTTGCCCCTTTGCCTTCAGTCCTATTTGGATATTTCTGTTCTTTCGTTTTATTCTGGTTTTGTTCATTTGCCATTAAATTACCAACATACGCAGCATCTGAAAAACATGTTAAAGGAAGACTTTTCTGTCAAAAGCTGAGATATATAACTCATTATTCTGCCTCCATTTGTGTTCCTTTTGGAAGCAGTTCCTGGTTTTCTTGGAGCAAATTGATTTGATCTTTCCTCTGTGCTGGAGTCGTTTGCAGACTTTTTACAAGAGATTAAGAACTAGCTTAGCTTTTGCTGCAGAGAAAAAAGAAGGATGCCTAGCAGATTCTTTGGTGATGTCGAGCAGTGCACATTTTTTCTCCACATTGTTACTGCCAGGAATCTTGGTGAACATTAAGTAAGACAAATCAATTTTCATACCAAAGTTCCCATGTGGCAAACAATATTTCATTTCCCACATTTTTTTCAGCTGAAATACCAAGATACTCAGGAAAGATCACAGAGGAGTCATGTCCTTTTGCCCCTTGTGTCTTATATCTGACAGTGTTTGGATGGGTGTTTGATAGCAGAAATTACTTCACAATCTTTTTTTGCTTACTTCATTATACATTTGCTTTAGCATTTAACTGCATTTGCTTTTGCAAATCTTATCCGTTTCATTTCATCTCAGTGCCACCAGCATTAACTGCGCAGTGAATCTTCGTAATTTGTGATGTCTCTCTTTTTGAGATTTAAATGTTCAGAAATTGATTATTTACTACTGTTGTTATGTTCAATCACAGCTATAATTCTTGAAAGGAGTTAGCAAGGATCTTTTTGCATGCAGTTGCACATACTTTGAGATCTTATACTAATTCCCTGTTAAAACCTGGTTCTGCTTCAGCTAGCTGAAACATTTCACTCAGATGAGTGTTATTCAGGCAGTCTGAAAAAGCTTTACTTCTTTCAGCTATGTAGAGTCACTTTTCAGAATGTAGAGAAGGAATATCCATTTCGCTAAATGCTGCATTTCATCAACAAAAAATGTTGAAATTTTTTTTTTTTTTTTGAACACAAAGTTTTTTGACATTGTATGTAATTTCAATATATTTCATGGTCAGTGTTCTTTAGAGTGTCTTCTGATGCTCATGAAGAAATCAGTTTCCACTTCTCTCAGCTGCAAGAGTTTCAAATCTAAATTTCTTGAGAGGATTTTCCAGATTGTTTTTCTGTGCTTTCTTGAAGATAATGAGAAAATACTGTTTCCATATGTATTCCCAGAATGGATGTTAGGATGCATCCAGTTCTGTTACCAGCTTTCCAGTACTGACTCTTAATTTTGCTAGTATTTATTTGAACAGGATTACAGCTATATCAGTGGTCTTATTTCCAAATAACTTCCTACTGAAATTTTCAAACCATTTTCCAAATATCATGGCTAACTCTGGCATGTGCATCGAATAACTCTTTCAGGACAACCATGATTCATTCTTGTTCAATTGTCCAGATGTCCATCTGCAAACCTGGTACTTGGTACTTGAGACTCTTACACAGTGCTAGTGCACTGAGACAAGCACTTGCGAAAGTGCTGGTAGAGAAAGAAAAAAAGAGTCGCTTGCCAATACATTTTCAAATTTTTTTCCCTCAGTGTTCAGGTACTGTGTATTCCAATACTTACCCCCCTTTCCTGATTCTTTGAATTCCTATTTCTTTATTGATAGCAATCTGCATACGAGAAGAAAATGGGATTACAAGTGGTCCCACATAACAGGATATCTCATTTTTATGTATTTTTATGTGCATGCACAGAACAAGTATCACAGAATCACAAAATTGTAGGGGCTAGAAGGGACCTCCAGAGATCATCGAGTCCAACCCCCCTGCCAAAGCAGGTTCCCTACACCAGGTTGCACAGGTCAGCATCCAGGCAGGTCTTGAACATCTCCAGAGAAGGAGACTCCACCACCTCCCTGGGCAGCCTGTTCCAGTGCTCCGTCACCTCACTGCAAAGAAGTTCTTGCACACATTTGTGTGGAACTTCCTGTGCTGCAGTTTACGGCCGTTTCCCCTTGTCCTGTCTCCACTCACCACTGAAAAGAGTCCGACCTCGCCATTCTGCCCCCCACACCTCAGATATTTGCAGGCCTGGATCAGGTCCCCTCTCAGTCTTCTTTTCTCACGGCTGAACAGACCCACTTCACTCAGCCCTTCTTCATAGGAGAGATGCTCCAGGCCCTTCACCATCTTTGTGGCCCTCGCCTGGACTCCTTCCAAGAGATCCCTGTCTTTTTTGTACTGGAGAGCCAGAATTGGACGCAGTACTCCAGATGAGGTCTTACCAGGGCAGAGTAGAGGGGGAGGATCACCTCCCTCGACCTGCTGGCCACGCTCTTTTTAATGCACCCCAGGATGCCATTGGCCCTCTTGGCCACAAGGGCACACTGCTGGCTCATGGCCAACCTGTCGTCCACCAGGACACCCAGGTCCCTCTCCGCAGAGCTCCCCTCCAGCAGGTCATCCCCCAACCTGTACTGGTGCATGCAATTATTCCTCCCCAGATGCAAGACTCTACACTTGCTTCTGTTAAACCTCATCCAGTTTTTTTCTGCCCAGCTCTCCATCCTATCCAGGTCTTGCTGAATGGCAACACAGCTTTCAGGCGTGTCAGCCAATCCTCCCAACTTCGTGTCATCAGCAAACTTGCTGAGGGTGGCCACTATCCCCTCATCAAGGTCGCTGATGAAAATGTTTAACAAGACTGGACCGACCGAGTAGATTTTTAGAGGAATCAATCTGATTTGGTGTAGGACTTGAATACATCCTCTATAAGCAGAGTTTCTCATGCTTGATAACCTTTTATTTATTGCATCTGTCTTCTCAAAAAAAAAAAAAAAAATTTCTTTCCCTCCTCCTTTCTTTCCTTCCTCCTTTCTTACCCTAAGAGTTATGTTCTGTTGAATCTTTCAACAATACTGTTAGAAACTTGCCTCTTGTGATCCATGCCCTTTCAGCTCGACAGAAATAGATGTGATAGGAACTGAAATTTCTTCCTTCTTACTCAGCTTTCTGAAATTCTCAAACCCGTAGTATGTGGTTTTGGTGAAATTGCTCAACAGAGATATTATTTTCCCTCTGTTCTTGGCTTGGTCATTCCCAAGTACCAAAGTATTCAAAGAACACTATCAAAGGCATCTTCAAGAAAACTGGGCAACACTGTTTCTTTTTATAGGAAAATCCATGAATTGAATAACAATGTCAAAACTTGTTCAGTGATTCAGAGACACAGAATTGCATTTTGAAAAACTGCTATGTCATGTAGTAGTCCTGAAATACACACAGTGTTCTTGAAAAATCTAATTGCACAGGTGCCAGTTGATATTTCACTTGGAGAATCTTGGGTTAAGTTCAGGCAGGGTAAATATCAATTTAGAACACCATTACTAATAAAAGAAAAAAAAACGTATTGATCTTCATACTTTGAATCTCTCTGTAAAACCTTTTGAGCATAGAATGTGTCTAGTCCTTGACTGATGCCTAGATTGTACCAAAATAAGGAAAGATGTTTCTAAAAATAAATTTAACTGTAATGTACCTAAGCAGTGTTTGCATAAGTAGTAATTAGATAATTTTTGGTCATAAATAAAGCAATGTTTAAGTAATACAGGAGTTTTAAAAGTATTAAACTATGTAAACTAAATTGGAAAACATGGAAAATGAATTTCCGGCACATTAACTTGGCCAACCATTTGTTTTAAAGTAATTCTGTTGACTGTATAAAATTCTATTAAAAGTTTGTTCCACCAAACTGCAAACGTTAATTAAATTTAAGAAGGGAAAGCATTAGAATACTCTTAAACTTGTGAGAAAATAAAATGTGCTCTTATGTTCATGCAGTAGATACTCTGTGTAGATATTCTTGTAAATTATAATACTGATGTCACAGTTGTACTCAGAGACATAATTCATAGCTTCCATTGATATTATTTAGCTTTTAAACAACTTTTTAAAATCTCAAAGAACTAATAATTGTTACTAGAAGCCATAATACCATCCTTGTCTCTTGTGCAACAGCTATTCCAGGCAGAGATGTTCAGCCGTCAGCAGATTTTGCATTCAATCATCTCTGATGGACAGCACCTCCTAGAACAAGGACAAGTAGATGACAGGTAGACATTGTTGTGTTTTTTGCCGCTGCTGGCTGTGTGAAGTAATACTTAAATTATTGGGAGATTTCTGAACAGAGAATGTCGCAAAAGATGTCAACATTCAAGTCATGCTCTTCTGAAGCAGGCTTTACTGTCGATGTGGTTAAATTATTAATCTGTTAGATTTTAAATAAGACTTTTCTTTAGGATGCCATGGGGTAGATGTGTTTGCATTTGGGAATGCAGCAGCCTTGAGGCTGGTTCTCTGATAAGGATTTGTCTTGTATTGTCAAATAAATCACATATGTCTTTTCTGATGGAACTTCAAAACACCTTTCACCAAAAGACCCAGCAGTAATTGATTTACAGCCAGTTACATGCACTTTGAGGCAGCTGCGGACATACCTCAGAGAAGATCACCTGAAGCATAAATGTAATTGAAAAGAAATTCATTTCTGTCTCAGAGATTTTGTTTTATATAATTCCAGAAATCAGTGGAGTGTGACTGTATTAACACTTGTGCATATGTAGTGGCTTTGCTTAAGGGTATCATGGTTTTAGTTTTAGAATTTTCTTGTCGAGGGGTTATGAGAGTCTTGATACTCCTTCATATATTTTTCACCTGCTTTGATCTAGCTCAGGGTGAATCATGAAATCTTCATTCTCTCCTACGAATTTGGATAATTTAATCTAGCAAGAACTAAGTTTTTGTTGCAAGTAAAAGAGTTGTGTTTTTTTTTTTTTCAATCTTAATAATTGGATCCCTTTGATTATCCATGTGTACGATCTGTGGAGTTCTCATCCGCAGTCAACTGTCATGAGAGTTCAGTGCTTTTCTTCTAGTGCTTAATAATTAGCAGACAAAAAACACTTCACATTCCCTCCTCTCCACTTAATTTCAGTAAATAAATAGATAAAGTATGAAAGCTACTGCAGATTTTTATTTATTAATTTACAATAGGGATGAATTTAATCTGAAGCTGACACTTCTGAGTAATCAGTGGCAAGGAGTAATTCGCCGGGCACAGCAGAGGAGAGGGATTATTGACAGCCAGATCCATCAGTGGCAGCGCTACAGGGAGATGGCAGAGAAACTACGCAAGTGGCTGGTGGAAACGTCCTGTCAGCCAGTGAGCGGTCTGGGAAATGCTCCTATACCATTGCAGCAGGCCAGAGCATTGCTGGATGAAGTGCAGGTATGTCCAGTGTTTTTGAAGAGTAACATCCTTTTTTAAATTTTATTTTTAACCACCTTTATTATTCAAAAAGTGCTTGAAAGTGCATTAGTTTCAGACTTTCTGCTTCACAGAAAGCAACATTAGATATCAGTTGTTCTTTCAAAATGTCATAGTCTCAGAAGCAACGTTTTGATGGCATGTAATGGCAAACTTAAAAAACTCAGGCTTGATTGTTTCTGGTTTTGCTTTGTAACTAACCTCATATTGAAACAGTCTTAAGAGCCACAATAATGTCAAATTTGAAGAGTGTTTTCTTGCTAACAAAAAAGATACGTTGAATGTCTGATATGACCTTCATGTGAGGCTAACAATAACTATTTAGCAGCTTGGTGTCTTCAAGCTTTTTTAACTGGAAGATATTATATAAATGATAAAGCTTGCAAGAATAATGAGTTTTCAAAGAGCTGTTTTTCCTCAAGATCAGTTGAGATACTGACATGAATGAGGAGAAAAAGAAGTCTTCTATGTCTTTAACTTCTTGGAGAAATTTTCTAATGATCTGCTGCAGTAGATGATGGCAAAATAAAAGGTAGGGTAAAGCATTTGGGCTGCAGCTCCTGCTTTAGTCAAGATATGCAATCAAATAAAAGTTAGTTAAGTACAGACTTAAGGATGAGTTGTAATTAATTACTCATTACAAAAACATTACAAAAAAAAAAATACAAAGTTGACAAGAAACTGACAAAAAGTTGACAAGAAAAAAACTGTTTGTATTTGCAGCTTAAAGAGAAAGTTCTCCTAAGGCAACAAGGCAGTTATATCCTGACTGTGGAAGCTGGGAAGCAATTACTGCTCTCTGCTGACAGTGGAGCTGAAGCAGCCCTGCAGGCAGAGCTTACAGAAATTCAGGAGCAATGGAAGAAAGCTAGCACCCAACTGGAAGAACAGAAGAAGCAGGTTGCTTTATTACTGAAAGTAAATATATTGGTTTTTTTCTGTACTTTCAAGTTCACCGTTTCTCATTCTGAACCATGATAAAGAAAAGTATTCTAAAGAAATGAGTACAAATACAGGAATTGCATGTATGTTATATAAGCTCATAATTTCACTACCTCTAATTATAAAATATTTAAAAATAGAAGTAATAATATTTTGCAGTAGGCCTGTATGTTTCTTGATATCTTTTAACTGATATTTCCACACCCATCATTTTCAGTATAAAGCAATTATGTAATTTATTTTGCATAATACTTGTTAGCCTTTATACATATGATATTGAAAATTAGATCTGTCTTATTCTCTCACATGACAATATCAATATCTACTTAGCCAGTTTGTGTTTCCTTCATGTGTCTTGAGTATTTGCTGTCTTGAGTAAAGCACTTGGAAGAGGGGGACTTGAACTTCATTTTAATGTAAGCAGTCTTCAGAATGCCTACTAACCTCACTCCAAGTACAAAAGATCGTAGACTGGGATTTAAATTTGGTCTGTTCATTTTTCTTTTTAGCTTATTTCATATGAAAAAAATTGAACTTGCTTGTATTAACAGAATAAGGCAAGTGCTTTTAGAACAGTTTCTGAGGTCTAATAGAAATATGAACATGTTAATTTTGTTTGTAAGAAGCAAAGCGATACAAGAAAATTAAGTATTGTTTTGGAAAAGTTCCATTAAGTATATTTTTCTTCCTGTTTCAAGACTTGTTCATTCTACCTCGGGTTCTAGTTGGTAAGTTGCATCAGGAAATTTTAATCATGAAATCTTGTATCTATGAAAATGAAAACTTCTGTGATATGATGTCCCAATGAAAAATATAGGACTTGATGCTTGGAGGGAAGGAAGCAGGGAAATTTACCACACAAATTGCACATTTAGAGGAGGTACTGCAGGTACTTCAGTGTGAGCTGAATTCACACTACTCCAAACTTTTTTTTCTGAATTTTGATGCACCAGGCGTTCAGGAAACGAAGTGGAAAAACATTTTGGAGAGTTCAAGGTGTTTCTGAAAGGATGGAATTGTAATTAGACAATGTTGCAATAACAGGAATCCTTGACTTCTATGTTTCTTCTCGTAGAAACCAACAGAAAACAAAACAAAAAATAACCTAAAAAAGATTTTAAATCCAGTTTACATATGAGCCTAGTTTTAAGACTCTGAGTATTATTTAAAAGAGAATTTCAGTACATGTTACTACTATGGAAATGTTTTCACTCTTTATGTTGATTGATTTGACTAACCACTAAATACAGTAAGTATAATCTAGATCTGAACTGAGTTCTAATAAACTTTCTGCCCTCAGGACTGGGAAAGATCTGAAAAGGGTATAGCAGACTCCCTGGAGAAGCTAAGATCATTCAAAAAAAAGCTTTCTCAGCCTTTGCCAGAACACCATGATGAGCTGAATGCAGAACAGATTCGTTGCAAGGTAAAGTACTTCTCTGTTGACTGTTGCTTCATCTCTGGATGCTTTTTGCAGTAACATCTTTCATTGTTAACAGGTTTTACATTAATGGCTATGTAAAGCAGCCAAGCATCTTTGTGAAAAGCTAAGAAGCCATTCTTGTAACATTTGGACAGTATAAATCCTGCAGGGTAGTAATTGAAAAGTTCAAAGGATGCATATAGAAAAGATCAAAGATATTAGAATAGAGTCTGAAAAGTATTGTAGAAGTACTAAATATTTGTAAGTTTTTGTAATATAAATTCTTGATTCAAACTTAACTCATGATCTAAACAGTTCTCTTAGTGATTCTTATTTGAGGTGGGATTGCTGTTGTGGATCTTATGTACCATTTATATGTTATATTCCTTGCAGTCAATAAATGTGATACAACTTGAAAGCATTTTCACTAGAGAGAACTCTCAAAATCTCTGGAACTTTAGAGATATTTGAGTGCTAATTTGGTTTGTGAATACTTGACACAAGACTGATGTATCATCTTCTATCTTCTATGGGTACACATGGAGTTGGTATTTTCTTTTTCTTTAAAACAAGACTGAAGCATTCCTCTTGAAATAGTGGATCTGCTTAGATATGACTTTGATTCAGTGAGATAAAAATATTCATCTCTGTACTTGTCCTTTTTGCTTATGCTCATCTTTTAAGGAATTAGAGAATGCTGTTGATGGATGGACAGATGACCTTGCACATCTTTCTCTGCTGAAGGAGTCCTTGTCTACCTATATAAGTGCAGATGATATTTCAGTCCTCAGTGAGCGTATAGAGCTTCTGCACAGACAGTGGGAGGAGCTGTGCCATCAGGCAAGTATAGTACTGAGCTTTGATATGAGCATGCAAACTAAAAAGGTTTTGGAGAAACAATTGAATGCAAATAGAGTCTTTTAGAAAAGATGCATGTAGAAACTGGTAAAAATCATATTTGAGCACTCGCTGAATTAGGTATAACATCCATTGAAACGTTCCCTCTCGTTATTACTTAGATTTTCAGTTTTCTTGAACTTCACCATCGAGACTGTATATAAAACTTAAGAAGAAAAAAACCGAACAAGACATGCTTGTGATATGAGACTGCAGAACAGGGCAAACAGAAGTAATACAGTTAACTATGCTTTTGTGGAGGAGCTGTGCTCAGAAATGTTGTCCACTCCCCACTCAGCATTTCTTTCATACCTCTACTTTTGCTGATGATTTCTACCTCTTCAGATGTTAGTGTCAGCATTTCTTTAAGTCCAAGGGTGACTTGCTTGGCTGTGCAATGAGCTAAAGAGAATTGTTTGATTTTTCAGCTACATAGTGCTAGCAGTGTATTTTTTGCATCCTTTTTCACTTACAGATTTGACTCTCTCATCCAGTTTCTCAGATTATTCTACTGTTATTGCTGTAGTTCAGTAGACGTCACTGTGCACATGTCTGGGGCTAGCATGGAAATAGTTACCTTACATACATTTTCCATAAAGTCTTCAAAAACATCCCCAAAATAGAAAAAATGTTCCTCAGTTAACAGTGAGAAACTTGTTATTAGTTTCATTTGAACAAGCTGACATGGATACATCTAACCTATGGTGTAGTCACTAAACATATTAAGAGGTTAAAGGAGGGAGATGAGTAAAGAAGTTTTATCTTATTTTTGTACGTATTGAGTGCTTCAGGATGTAACCTAAAGCAACAGCGTTCAACTGTTTCTTATTTCCGGAAATCTGCCATCAAGTTTAGAACCACAAAAAGGAAATGGTGAGATCATGTATGCTACTGTTAAACCTAACATGGTGGTCAGTGCACACACTTTTTTATGAAAGAACAGATGCAGTTTTCATCTTTTCACATGAAATGCTAACATAATGTCAGAAACAGAGTAGAATGAGGAAATAAATAATGGTTCAAATATCTGAAACTACAGAGATAACTTTGCTGTTCACCTTCTGCTACCACTTCGATTTCAATTTCCATCCTTATCTGTCAAGGACGGACTGTTACTCATAGTCTGAGATGATGATACCGCTATAGCAATTTCTTAAACATTGAAATGCTTTTCTTCGTTTTTTATTAAATACAGCATTTGAATGTTTTATGCCTGTTACGTAACCCCTTGGGAATCCCTGAATGTAACAACAAGATTCAGGAGAAATAGTCATCTATGGAATGACTGTATTGAGACTCTAGTAGAAAGTAGCTTATGCAAAAAATATTTGCAGGGAAAAAAGTGCATCTTTGCATTTATGCACAAATTGCACAGTTTAACCTGTGCAATACGTGTATTTCTTTTTTTTTTTTTTCTTTGATCAAGCATTTATACCTTCCTTTTTATAAAATCTCTTAAACTGAAAAGAAACTATTGGCATGCTTTAATAGCTCTTGTAAGATTGCCAAAATTGTTAAAAAAAAAAAAAAAAAAAGTGTTTTTTGTTCTTCCTGGGAAACCTGAAATACACTCTGAAAGAATATATAGACACAATACTGAGCCTAATATTTGAATGTTGAATGCCTCCCATTATGCAATAGAACTGTGAGAATCCTGAGAATAACACTTACCTCTAAACTCTCAAAGAATCATACAAAGTTTTTGCAGTACAAATCCAGTTTTTTGTAATGGAAGCAAGCGCCTTCGGTTCATCTGCAGATCCAGAGGAGTTCACACTGAGGCACAATGTGCTTCAACTGTCTCTAAAATTCATTTACTTTTTTTTCTGAATATTTTAAGGTATCTTTACGTCGACAGCAAGTTAGTGAGAAACTGAATGAGTGGGCTGTCTTCAGCGAGAAGAACAAGGAGCTCTGTGAGTGGCTGACACAAATGGAAAGTAAAGTTTCTCAAAATGGTGACATCGTCATAGAAGAAATGATCGAGAAACTTAGAAAGGTATAGTATAGAGCATGTATACTTACATATTTTCTTTTACTTTTTGCTGCTTTTGTGTTGCAAAGAGAATACTGAATTAGCTGAAATCAAGGTTTTACCTGAAATGGATGCTTATAAGTTCCAGTGAGGCTGCGTATTTGTGTTTTCTCGCTGTGCAGCTTTTTCCTGTCTTTCTTCAGGTGGTACCATCCAAGATATCAGAAAATTAAGTGATTTGATTTTAAACCAATTGCTTTACTCATGTAAGGAGTTTAACTATACTTTCATAGATGGGTTGGTTTTTTTTCCATTCTTCTGATAGAGTTGTTTGTAGTTATACTCCAAAATTAAAGAGGCTGTCATTTATTACTAGAAGAACAAAAACATGTCAACATTCACTGGTATTTTTGTATAGTTCCTTTAGTAATGTAAAGCAAAATGTATTCAGTATTTTTCTTCTGATTGCACTTTTCTATCCAGGATTATCAAGAGGAAATTGCTGTAGCCCAAGAGAGCAAAATCCAGCTCCAGCAAATGGGAGAGCGACTTGCTAAAGCCAGCCATGAGAGTAAAGCATCAGAGATTGAGTACAAACTTGGCAAGATCAATGACAGATGGCAACATCTTCTGGATCTTATTGCAGCCAGGTAAAACAATTGTTTTGTTTCTAATTGCTACATGATACAGATGAATGTACTGGGCATCATGGAATTAAAATATTTTTTTTATCTGCCTTTCCATTATTAATCATGAATGGGTCTGTTCTCAACCATCAACATTGTTCTGTGAAATTTACTCTCCCGTTTGCCTTTTGTATTTCTTCATATGTTATTTCAGCAAGTAAAAAGGAGATAATTCCAAACACTGTCTGCTATGTCTGAGTTACACGGGATTGGTGGCAGCCAGATTTAGTGAGCCTTGTTTTAATTCCATTTCATGTTAGAGGAGATTAGATTAATTTAAAAAAATTAAAAAATGGCAGAACAATCTGAATAGCGCATTTGTTGTTTTAATTTGGGTTTCCAGAAGAGGAGTTCCAAAAATAAGTCTGACTGATTGACAAGATAGACATACACATAGCAAATTAAAGATTATCATCAAGGCTGTTACAAAAGACAAAAAACAAAAACAAAACAAAACAAAAAAAAAACCAGCCATTTTCATAACTTAGGGAAATACAGGGCTGCTTGATGATATGTTGATATATGAAAAAAACTGGCTTATTTGTTTCAGTATTTTTTGCCCTGAGTCACAGTACAACATCCTCCAGACAGTAATTTTGGCATGGTTTTGTATATGTATTTCATAAAATGTATATATACTCTCTACTATTTTGCACTTCTCCAATTAAGTATGTATGAATTAATAATACTTCAGCCTCGCATGCAGCAAAAAGGTTTGCCTTGTTGTGTTATCTTCTTTTTAAAATCCATTTTCATGTGATTTTACTGTGTTTCTACTCTGAAACCTGTAAGCATGCTAACAGTAAATTTTGTGTAAGCTGAAGCATTCTGGTTCCATGTCCTTTTTTAGCAGTTTGTTTTAAAGTAATGAAAGCTGTATACTTCTTGCAGAACAGTCAAGTCAGGAAGTGGTGCATTGCTGCCAAAGAGACTGCTGGTTTCAGAGGATGTGATACATCACCAGTTGTTGATCATAACAGATATTTGCTGTATTTTTATGTGTCTTTAGAAACACCTACTCAGACAATTTTTCAAATGTTGTGTTCAAACCATATCTTTAGGAAATTTCTAGTGAAAAGCAAAATGACATTCAGAAATTGTAATTTTTTATTTTTTTTTTTTTTAAATCTATGTTGTCTGTTTAGTATTAAAGATTAGTGCTCGATATAGAGACAGATAAGGGCATCATTGTTAGGGTGACAGGAGGAAGGGTAGGTGTAAATTGCATTATCTGCTTAAACTTTCTCATTCTGTTATCTTGAAGTAGGATGTCAAGCCCTAGCACTAGACTAATATATGTGAAATATTTATTTACTTTTGTTTCCAGAACTAACCCTTCAATTTAGCCTTTTTAATTAATGTGGGATATAAAGTACAGATTGGGAAATGACTGACTGGAGAGCAGCCTATAGATGGACATCTGGAAGTGCTGGCTCGGTATGAACAGCAGCTTGCCCTAGCAACCAGGAAGGAAAGCCATATTCTGGTGTGCATTAAGCACAGCATAGCCACCTCATCAAAACTGATGGTTCTCCAGCCTCACTTGGAATACTGTGTGCAGTTCTAGGCTCTCCAATTTAAGAAGGCCCTTAAAAGTCTCTAAAGCTGGTTAAAAGGCTGGAAGTCGAATCCCTGGACGAGCAGTTAAGGACACTGGGTTTATCACACGTATAAGAAAGGAAATTAAGGGATCATCTAATTGCCCTGTAAATCTTTCTGGAGTGGGGAAATGGAAAAGGAGGTGTCCATCATTTCTCACCGGTATCTAGTGACAGGACACATGGCAGTGTCTCAGAGCTTCATCAGGGTTGGTTCAAAGTGGAAATTAGGAAAAAATTAATTACCAAGATAGTTAAGCATTGGAAACGGCTTTCTGGAGAGGCGGTTGGTGTCCTGTACCTTTTTGTGTTTAAGAAGCATATCAGTAATGCATTTAATGATCTGTTTTAACCTTGATGTTACCCCTGAAGTAGATTAACAGTTGAACTCAGTGACTGTTGTAGGTCTCTTTCAACCAGATCTAGGCTACACTAGTTCGTTCAATCTAGTGTGCCTATTATCATATGTAATTAAATATATAAACTTCTTCATTTCCAGACCATACTGAAGTGAGAAAGAATGCAAAGCATGAACGCTGCATTTCTAAAGTTGGGAAGTAAATCTTGGAAAGGATTGATGCCGAGTAATAGAGATTTTGCTAGTTCAGTTGTAGTTCAGACTGATATAAATTAAAACCCAGTTAAGTAATTCCTACTGATCAAAAACATTTGCATCCTCCAAAGTACTTTTAGAAGACTGTCGAGTCTCTTGAGCATTTTGCTATATATCAGAGTGTGTTCCTATTTTGATACTTTTCAATTGGGGATATATCGTATAACATGAATTTTGGCTGCATTCAGTTAGAACATGTGAATTATTTTTTCTGGTGTTAAGAATAAAACAGACCTCTTATTCTGGATCCTTGACAGCGTTAATAAATGCACATTTTTTTCTTCAAAATCACAGTCATACTTTGGAGCATTTTTCCTAGTGTTTTATTAGTACAGTATGGTAATTACAGTATGGTAATATGGGTCTGAATCTTTTCTTGTTGATTTTATGCTTGATGATGGAACTTCATTCCCTTGTAAAAATCCTTCTTTCTCATGTTCTGTTCCCTTACCCACTTCTTATCTCTCTGCTATGAGGAGCTAACTGAAGAAAAGACAGCTACAGAAAGGCAGTTGTGTCTTTTTATCCAAAGACTTATATTTCTATTTTTTTAAAAATATTCACCCTTAAAGTGGAATTTGTTTGATAAGTGTTAGAGATGTTAACTGCCAACAAGTACTGTATTTGCTGGTACTGTTCAGGCTTTGCAAGGAAGGCTTTGTTGTATATTTTTTCCCTCCCTTCCCCTTGCACTCATGATCCACATTCCTGGAGATCAAGTCTGGCACATGTTGATGAATGCAGGTTTTATTTAGAAACATGACCACTTGTCACCATTCAGGCTCATGTTATCAAGCAACGTCTGCTAACATTTGTTTGGCATGCAATATTTTCTGTACAGTACTCAGCAGCAAAGAGAAGTTTGTTTCTTTTCCTGCCCCCATACAAAGCACACTGTTTGCAAGCTTTTGAAGTGGAAGCTCTTCTTTTTAATGCTGGAAAATTTCATGGTGGTGGCAGAGGATTTGCGTGCTGTGAGGATGGCGGAGGACGGCAGTGTGGATTCAGATCTCCCAGACTGTAATTGTGATATCACAAGGCAGGCAGCTATTTTTGTTTGCTTTTAACTGATACAGTTCTTTCTGAAATCTTGGTTTGCCAGAAAACGGGAATGTTGATAGGTGGAAATCAGCTGTTTTCTGCTCAATTTGAAAAGTTAACAGTAAGAACAACCTTATTTTACAGCTAGTGCTTTTGGATCTCAGATTAGGATTTTATAACTAATGCAGACTTACAGCTATTAACAACTCACTATAATTTCTTTGTTGCCTGAAAGAAACTTGACTGATTTTACTGATGTTTTTAAATGAGTGTATATAACAGAGGCAAACTGTATTTTCTTACTATCTGTGTCATTGTGGATACATGCAAAAGGCAGAGAAGAGGCTGTCAATACAGGATTTCAGACTTTACATACTTAATTTGATCTGTCTTTGTATATGGATGAAAACACTTTAACTGCTTTTAATACTGGAATTCAAGCTACATTTCCTTAGATTTTTGATTCAACTCCTCCTTTGCCTTCTTCCCTTTGTCTTTTCTACAATTTTTTTCTGGGTTTGTTCAGAGTTCTATAAATTTATTCTCTGAAAGTGAAAACTGTGATCTGAAGAGCAATTATAATTGTTAATACTAGTATTGTGGTACACATTTGTGCTGTCTTTTGGATTTTACATCTTTTTAAAACATAAAAACATAATTTTTAAACTGATTTTTTTAAACTGCTTTTAATGGTGACTTTTATCCCTACTGTTTTATAGAAAAGCAGTGTTTCTTGATATCTTGTCTCTGGAGTAGAAGAGTTTTTTCACTTGTGTGAAACTTGTGTGAAACTACTGGCTTTATACATGTTTAACTAACATGGTCTTAGTGGGGTTTTTTAAGTTTAATATCAGCAATCGGTTGTCTGAGGAATGACTAATACAGTAGCTATGAGTTCTATATGATGCATTGTTACAGGTTTACAAGGCTGTTCCTGTTGAGGTTTAAGTGGATTCTAAGGCTTCCTGGTTTTAGGACCAGTTGAATTAGAGGCTTTTGGGCTTACTTTCTGCTCCAAATTGTTCTCTCTCTCATTTTTAATGGAAAATAGACATTTTAATGTAATTACTTACTTAGGGAAACTGAGGTATTTTCATTTAGATATATGGAAATGTAAGTATTATAAGCCAGTTCAAACTTTCACATGAGTTTTCCTTGTTAGACAATAGAAATTAACAGTTCAATTCTGCAGTATTTTCCTTTCTGAGAGTCTTATTATGTAGCAATAATGATATAGATAGATATCTAAAACAAGTTTTAAAACAAAAATGGCATGTGTCCAACACTTAGCTTTCAGTGTGAAGTCTTCATTATCAAGAATGGAAGTTATCTCAGATCTCTTGAAGTAGCATGCATAAGTGCTGTAACAAAGCATGAGATGATTATCTGAATAATTGTTTAAACATCATCTTGTAAATGAAATCTTCAAAGGTCAAAAATTACAGTTAAGTAGGCATCCTACATACTTAGATGGTTTCTAATTCAACCTTTGTCTCTAAGCAGAGATTTTAGTTTTGTTTTCAGTCTCTCAGGCCCTTTGACATTAACACAGAAAGGTGGGGTTCTGATCTGTTTAAAAAAAAAAAAAAAAATGGAAGCTCAGCATGTTCCAAGAAGCACTCACTATTTCCTTCTATTTGTATCATGGGCAAGGAATCTGTTGTGTTAGATTTTGTACAAATAAAGAACACTATGAACAGTAAAGGTAGTGAGGTGAGGGAAGGAGTTGTCCTTACCATGAAGTATATATTTCATATGTCATTTCATTTTCTTTTTGTCTCTTGAGGTCATATGACTGAAAATAACACTATTGGGGTGCTGTTGATTTTTTTCCCTCCCCCTTTTTTTTTTTTTCTGTGTCTGACAGAGAAGTAGTCCTATTCTGTTTGAATGGAACAAAGAGGGCATTTTCTGATTGGCAAAGCCAATCAAATGTGGCCAGGCATTGTTTAAATAAAAGCCAGTACAGAAGTTAGAATTCTATAACACTGCAAGTGGGATGTATCTGTTTCACAGCTTGAATATGGAAATGTTGGAGTAGTTTTTCTTGTATACATGTATGATGCAACTCGTTCCCTTCCTCAGTCCTGCACTCATGCAATAGAACTCATGCATACAGCCTTGAAGGTATAAGCAGAAAATGGGCTGTACTTTATTATGTTTAGACTGAAAAACTGCAAGTTCAGATGGGTGACAACCAACTTTCTTTCCTGTTCTAAGAGCAAGGTCTGATTGGTCCAAAGCCACAAAACATTGTACATATAGCACACACATAAAGAGGGAAAAGTGGCCCAGACATTGGCTGCTTTGTTAGTATCTCTCCAAGACTAATGACATAGTTGTGCTTTGAAATACCCTGACAACAGGGAGTGGGTGGTTTTCCAGCATGACTGAGTTGTCTTCAGTTTCTTCATAGCAAGATTTCTAGATTACCAATGTTTTTTTCAAATTCACAAGAGCTTTTTTCTTCTGATCACAACCCTGCCAATGAGACTTCAGTATGGAAGGTGCATTTGAACTGTTCTTAGGCATATCATAAAGAGCCAAACATTTGACTATCTGTATGTAAGAGAGATCTAAAAAGAAAAGAAAAAAATATTTACCAGTCTTGTCCTTTTTAAAGTCGATATCGAGATCTCAGTATTTCTCTTCAGTGGGAAAAGGACACCCATAGTAGTCTCTCAGGGACCAACTGCACCTTCTGCATTAAATATGGAAACACCTGATAAATTAGTGTTTTAGAAAAAATGTAAATTGCTCTGATTTATGGATAGTAAGCATTTTCTTTGTATGGTGGATCCAGAAGTCTGATTCAGTCCAATTTCGTTGATCTATTCCCAGCTAAAGAATCTCTTAAAGCATTCTGATATTGAAATACTTAAGAAGTTATATAAACATAAAAGGGAATGTTACTCAAAATTGTTTGTGGTACATGACGGAAAACTTGAGAGCAGAAGTTGCCATCTAAATTGTTTCTTTGAAATCCTCCTGAAACACACAGTTTAGAACTCTCCTTCAGGCTGTACCTTCAATGTGCCCATGCTCCCATTTCTTTCTCTTTACAGGGTAAAGAAGTTGAAAGAAACACTAGTTGCAGTGCAGCAGCTGGATAAGAACATGAGTAGCCTGAGATCTTGGCTTGCTCACATTGAATCAGAGCTGTCCAAACCAATTGTCTATGAAACTTGTGACTCTGAGGAGATACAAAGGAAGCTAAATGAACAGCAGGTAAAATGCAAAACATTTATCAAGTGAACAGTGGTAAGGGGAGAATCAAAATAGTGTGTCTCTGGTCTGCTTTTACCCAGATCAGTGCCAAGAGGGCATGAGGTAAAAAAAAAAAGTGTTCAAATATCAAGGCAAGTGGTGCTTACTGTGTCACTTATAGAGCCTTCTGCTGGCTTTGACATCGAATCTTCCTGGAGCTGTTTGACATTCCCAAGAAAGGTAAGGCGCCAAGAGATATATCTTGAACAAGCTATTGCAATTTGTTTTTCCTTTGTCATTTTGGATTGTTTGAATTGTCTGTTCCAAAAAGTAAAACTGACACCTATTAGACCTTGCAAATTTTGCACATGCTTGGAAAGGACTCTTTCAGCAACCTTTCTAACTTGGTTTTATTTTGCAGTTTGTTTTGAGAATCACATTGCACGCAAAGATGCATGAACTATACAAGTGAATTTAAAATCAGTTGTTTTACAGCACATAAAGCCTTTATGCAGTCCTGGAACAAAACAGTCAACATTAAAACAGGCCAAAAAAATACATCAACTTGTTTTTTGGCATTACAATTGATGTTACTACTAAGAGCGTTTTCTATAATTTCTATTTACGATTCAAATTCACTGCTACTTTATATGCCTGCTTCACAGATTATGGCTCTGTGCAGTAGAAGAAAATATGTGGGTGCTTCATATTCGGCTGCCCAGTGTAGTTTTATTTAGAAGCACTTTACTGGGAAAGACTTTTCTATTGTGTTCCTGTTGGTACTTATTTAGCAGAAATACCTTTTTGGTGCCTCACTGAAGATGAGTTATATGCTCTTCTGAGTTCTGTCATGAGAGAAGAAAGAAATGTGTGGGAAGTGGAGTGCCAGAATGCTTTGGAGACAGTTAAGTTATGAAGTACATAAAGTGGAATTTTGATCCTTAAAACTGAGTGTACGGTTGAGGCCCAGGAACCTTCTCAGATTTTTTTATGGCTCCCCAACTGATTTGCTACATGGCTGTGGAGAACTGCTTATTAATATTCTATATGCAATTTGCACAGGGTTAATAATTTATAACACGCAAGTATCACTAATGAATTGTGTTTCTGAGATGGTAAAGTGCTGGGCAGGGTTAAACACTGCTGTCAATTAACTAGATGCTCAGATTTTTTTTCTAGCATCACTGTGCAAACATTCCACAGTTTTGTTATACCTGCTCCTTATGAGACTTACTCTGGGTATGGTGACTGGTGTACCTCTGCTTTCTACTGTTTCCTTAAAATGGTACCTGTGGAGTGACAGCATGCAGCAGTTTTCTGTGGAAGTCTGAGTGGTTTCACTGGAACTGTAAAGGGGAGAAATAGAGGTTAATTTTATACTGGGAAGACACCATATTTGGAATCTTGATTATTTGATTTGATAATGCTGCAGACTGGTCATCATTGAAAAACAAAAGAAAAACAAAAGCAAACAAACAAAAGAAACATTACAGTATGGCAAACAGTATTTTTGTTATTAGGAGGCTATATCTCTATTCATTTTATCTTAGGAAGCCATTACGTTGGCAATCTCAAATATTTTATCCCTCTTTTTTCTTCCCTGTTAATGTTCTTTTTCATGCTTAATCTTCCACTGAGGCCATTATCTTTCCTGCTCATACTGCTACCAATTGCTCATGTACAACACTGCGTTAAAAATATTATGCTGTGAAAGAGAAGGGACAAATTCCATCTCTGTAACTTCATTGTCTACTTCTCAGCATCTTCTTCAGCCAAGAATGAGCTTTGGAGGTTGCTGGTCTCTGTAGTGAAATTAAGAGGCAATTCAAACTGGATATCCTGGGGAAGGTAGTGTAACCTCACTGCAGCATTTTCCAAGGATTGAAAGCTGTATTTCAAAAGTTACTTGTTTACTATCTCAGCCTGCTACCACTTGAAATTGAAAAATTGTGTTTGCTTTTGTGATGATTAAAAAACCCAACCTGTATTTGGGTGACAGTGATGTGTAGAAGTAATGCTCCTTCTGTAAACTAACCAAAAGGCTAATTGTTTTCTAATAAGCACAGAAAATTTTAAAAGCCAAGAAAGAAGCTGAATCTGTGAAGAAAAAAATAGCTATCACTTGTTAAAAAAAAAAAAAAAAAAAGTTCTGAATGTGAATAAAAATTTAATTCATAGGAATCCTCAGGACCACCAATGTGGCAATTCTATCTACTGCTCCACTCCAAAACGGTGAAGAGGAGATTGTATTACCTGAACTTGCTTAACCTCAAATTTTATAGCTTCTGAAATTATGTGTTTTGCAGTGTATCGAAGGTACTTATAGCATCCACCCTTATATAACTTTGCAGGATAGGGAGAAAAAGAATAAGTGCAATGTGATGGAAGACCATTTTTTGGGCATATGAGTGGACCACAACTGAAAGAGAAAATATTATGATTTTCCATTTTATGGTCTTGTGTCAATGCTCATAAAACATCCTTTTGTTTCACAGATGAGAAGAGGGAATTAAGTTATTAATTTAAGTTACAGTAAGTTATTCATCATCACAACCAAATTAGATGACTGATATAAGATAAAATTGCTCCATTTAAAATTTGGTGGAATTTTATATACCACATTTAGACCTCGTTTCCTGCTGGAAGAGACTATTTCAGAACTTCATATTTCTTGCTGTTAGCAACATTTGTCTAGTTAGGGCTTGAGTTATGTAGGCACAATATGTTGATGCTAAATTAATTTTTGTGTTTCTGCTTTTCTTTATTAGTAAAATTATAAAGAGTACTTTACCTGTACTTAGCCTCAGACTACCAAGTTCTTGTTCTCCTAAAGAAAATTTCCCATCTTTAATTACCCTAGCTAAGGTAATTTTCTTCACCTGAACCAAAAGTAGATGTAACTTCTTGGTTACTATTTGGGTTATGTTACCTTGACCTTGGTCCTAATTTTTCCATCTGATATGGAAAGTAATAAGCCCTCCTGATAAGGAGGGTTTCTCTTCCTTGTGCTTATCTGACAGAAATAGTCAATTACTTTCATAGCTTGTCTCAACTTGAACCAGTAGCTCAAGACAGTAGTTGAAAAAGATCCTTCAGGAAGAAGCATTATCACTAGTGTACCGCAGTCACAATCAAGGAAACAGCATAAGAAATAATACAAATCATGTTTAATTTGTGCTGAGACAATGAAAATGCATTTTCTTTCTGTCCTAAACCTTCTTTTATTCTGTCACTGAAAATGCTGTGAATTTTGAAAGTTGAAGAAAAATGTTATTACTAAGTATGCACTGTTTGATCTGTGCTATTGCTAGTCACCGTGTCAGATGTGCCACTGTGGAGCTAGCTCACCTTTGTGAGTAGGCTTACAAAGGGTACCTCCATCAAACCCTGGCAGTAGATATGAACAGGGTTGTGGTTTTTTTTTGCCACACTTCTCTTACTAACTTCCGCTTTACATTCTCTGTGATAACGGTGAAGGGCTGGGAATAATTGCACCATTTATTGGTAATGTTGATTAAATGTATGTGAAGGATGTTCAGCTGAGCATGCAGTTTGTCCCAGATGATGGTCTGATGTTCCTTGGCTATGAGGGAGCTGTTCATGCTGCTAGATTCTCTTAGCTTCATTGACAACATTGCATCATCACTTGTGCTGTCACAAGCACAGTATCTGTTTCAATTTGTTGGTTGCTTTTCTTTTTTGTTTGTTTGCTATTAAGTTCGTTTTGAAAAAGTAGAGCAGAAACGCATCTATATTTACATGATTTGTGATTTCTCTTAAGAATTAATTTCTTCATCTACAGGAACTTCAGAGAGACATAGAGAAACACAGCACTGGAGTGGCATCTGTTCTCAATTTGTGTGAAGTGCTTCTTCATGACTGTGATGCCTGTGCCACAGAAACAGAGTGTGACTCTATCCAGCAGGCTACACGCAATCTGGACAGAAGGTGGAGGAACATTTGTGCAATGTCAATGGAAAGGCGACTTAAGTAAGTCTGTAATGCTGACAGTATTTCTTTCCACATGCACAAATACAGGATGGGATGTAGGTGATAGGTTTGTATTACTGAAAAAAAATCTACAGATCAGAAAAAAAGAACATACACTGAATAGAAATAATTATCATGCTGTGGGGGTTTAAAAAAAAAAAAAAAGTTGCGTTATTTTGTATCATTATACACAGTACAGTTACCAAATTTTGCTCGCATGAGGCCTTTGATGGAATATTGTCTGATTTCACCTATTTCACAGTAGTAATGAGAAAGAACTTAGGGAAAATTTAGATGTATCAATTATTTCAAAAAGTTTAGAAGGCATGAGCAAAGAGGCAGAGCTGTAATACGTACATGTATCCTACAACTTCTTAGACTGATGATGAAACTAATTATCTAATTAGGGTTTTCTTACACTTAATGTTTCTCAGCAGTTCCTTAAATAAGAAAGTTTTGGTTTGGAAGAATTTTAGGAATGAACACTCATCTGAAATTTTTTAATCTGATTACCTTAGATAAGCAAACAGGGCCAGTAATATCTGTGTACCTTGGATTTGGTCTTATTTACATTCATGACTCTCATGCTTAGACCATCTGTGCACTGCATGCCAATGGATTCCAGACATTTGTATGGAAATGCTGGATGGAAATATGACAACACAGTGGAAAAACAGAGGTCAATAGTTTTTATTCCCATCTAGGATAGCATGGATGTATTTGATAGCCAGAAATATGTGGACTACTTTGAGCCTATGGGGCTCTGAGCTGATCATTAATAATGCATGTTCATGTAGCTATTTGAACTATATTTATGATGATATTTTCTGTATGTTTTTAAGTTATTAATCTAGGTAAATTTTATGGATTTTCAAAATGCTGAATTGAACTTTCTATTGTGGGGTGCTCTTAATGTACTTAGGGACTTCTAATTTATTGATTTATTTTAAGCAAAGAGTTTGTTGCTTTTGCTGTCCTGCTTCACATCCAGAGATTGCTATCTTTAAGTAATTTTATATTTTTTTCCATTTTAATTTGTGCTGTTAATAGATTTGTAACAGTAAATTGACCGAGCTATAATTATTTAGAATTTTACTTTGTATAGAAACAGTTTTTCATTTGAAAGAGAAAAAACCCCAATGTCAAAATTCAAGTTCAACAACATATCATCAGTAAAGTTTTAATTTTGTCTTGGAGTCAATTTTGCCATGGATCAGGTTTCTCTCTCTTTTACATGAGTAAGATATGAGAAAACCATCTATATGCAAGAGCAAAGTTCTGCTGTAATAGAACCTGTACTCAAAAAAAAAAAATAAATCTCATTTTGAAGTTCTTGGGATTTTGCAGTCATTAAGCAAATTTGGAAACAGAGTAAAGAGCCAGCCTCTATTTGACATATTCAACTGAAGTCAAATATGAGGGCTGCTCCAAAAGTAATGCCTCCTATTTTTATCATATTGGCCCACAATGTCAGAGGCTGATCTTGGTGGTGTGGCAGTAGAGATGGAGCCTTCCCAGTAATATTCCATTGCATTTTGTTGCTGTACAACATATGGCAGCAGAGGGGCAGTCAGACAAAGCAACATCTGACATGGAAGTGTGTATAAAGCCATGGTGTAGAATTGAATTCCTTCATGCAAAGAAATTGCATCCATTGACATTCATCAACACTTGCTGAAGATTTTATGGAGACCAGTGCATATGACCACAGTGATGTGGTGAACACTGTGTTTCAGCAGTGGCAACTGTGACGTGAAAGACAAGCTATGTTCTGGACAGCCAAGCAGCTTTTCAAAAGCATGGCATGCAGGCTCTTGTTCATCACTGGCAAAAATGCATAGCTAATGGTGGTGACTGTGTTGAAAAGTAGTGTTTTGTAGCTGAGAATTTGCTCTACCAAATAGTGTTATGGTGCTCTTTGTATCTGTTATAGTTTACATGGAAATGAATAGAAGGCATTACTTTGAAAACAGCCTATGTAGTTTATTTGGAAAGTTTGTATAAATTTTACTTTTTTTTTGATTAAAAAAAACAACACAGTTACAATATAAATTGAGAGATAATATTTTACCTCTTGTTGGTGAATGCCAAAAAAGCCAAGCAAGTTCACATCCGTTTGCAATGAGGAATAATGACCAAGAAATTTAAAATGTGTGCTGCAACATCTCCATTATTCCATTAAAAAAAAAAAAAAAATCTGCATTTGGAAGTAGTGTAGAATTTCTAATCTCTAAAAGATTGGCAAGATTGGCTTAGGTACCTATGCTAGTCTTTATTTCTGAAGTTATTTAGTATGTGCTATTGTTTTTCCAACTCCTATTGCATGTTTATAATCTTCTTTTTTATACTGTTACCAAAATTAGATGCATTTAAAAAAAAAAACTGCCATCGTCTTATTCCAGCTCCGTCTGGAATGGGTTGATCTTCCCTGTTGCCTGTTTATCAACCCTGCTGTCTTAGTTAGATTAGGAGCCAATTATTGTCTGATGCAGTAATCATTTGCTGTTGTTGATGATTATTTAAAGTGCTGTAGGTCATCTGGCCTTCAGTCTGAGCATTCGCTTAGTTTCCATTATCTATTGCAGAATTGAAGAGACGTGGCGGTTATGGCAAAAGTTTTTGGATGACTACTCTAGATTTGAAGACTGGCTAAAAAACTCCGAGAGAACAGCTGCTTTCCCAAGCTCCTCCGGTGTGCTTTACACAGTTGCTAAGGAAGAACTGAAGAAATTTGAGGTGATTTTTAATACTTGAAATTCAATATCTACTGATCACATTACAGCAGCCAGCTGGTGCTCTTCCTTCTCATACACAAATCACTCTGCAGACACTGTATTAATGTAATGGAGTTTATGGTTTTGCAACTGCCTTCACTGGCAGGTTTCTAGTTGAAGGTGGAAACAGAAAATGTTAATAAGTCAATCCAGCCTTGCTTGCTGTTTTTTCACCACAGTTAGATTTCTTGGCATTTTTTTTCTTCTGTAGTTCTTTGATACACTTGGTCAGTAGGTACTCCATAGCATTCACTAATCTCCCTTCAGTAAGTACATCTTCCTAGCCTTTGCTTTGATTTTTATCCCTTTACTTCTTTCAGTAACACTGACTTCAGCCCTCTGACATCTTTCCTTGTTTGATACAGAGTAAGATGTCCCTGATAAGGAATTCATTTTCAGCTTTTCTGTAGGCTCTCCTTTTAGATACTGGAAGGCTGCTATAAGTCTGTCTGCAGCTTTCTCTTCTCTAGGCTGAACAACCCCAGCTCTCACAGATTTTCTGGAGGTGATCCAGCCAGATGATCTTCTGCTCAGTTTTAGAATTTCAAGAATATCAAAACGGGAGAGAAAATTGTTTTTGAAGAAAGAAAACAAATTGTTTAGGCAATACTGTAAAAAGCCAGGTGCTATAAAGTATCTCCTCTGAGAAAGAAATGCAGATTTTAAATGATGTCTAACACCAGTTAATTCTATTTAGTTTAACATTTAATTCAGAAACAAGTTGTGAAGCACTGATTCAGATTTTATTTTTGACATTTGCATTTCCAAATGCCAGGTTCAGTTGTTAAACAGCCTTCTTGATTAAGGTGAGGTCTGGACATGAGTACTCTGTTTCAGACTTTCTTCCCATTGTCATTTTACTTAATGATCAGGATTTAAGTGTCCTGTTTACCAAGCCATCATATGAGAAACAGTATCAAAAATATCTTGGCTGTCTTTGATTTTAACAGTTGAGCTGATATTATCCAACGTCAGTTTCACTGACTCAGTTTTTATGGTGACCTTCTGTCTCCTGCAGACTTGTGGAATTTTTACTGTCTACAAAGTGTCAGTGGGAACTAGCTGCAAACTGAAGTTTAGCTGCCTTTCTAGAAGTTTCTAGAAACCTATTTTCACTACATTTGGGTTCTTTCTTTTTCTTTTTCCTCCTCTTCTTCATTATTTGTTTTCTTACGCTACCAAAATGGAAGAATGGAACAGGCAACAGCTGCAGTGTTCAAAATTTAGTGGAATTCAGCAAATTTACTGTAAACTCAGCAACTGATAAATAATAACTGAAGCAATTTTCTGCTTTAGCTGACAACGTTTTCCTAATTTTATTTTCACCACTGTATCCTCAGTTGAATCAGTTGAGTTAAAAACAAACAAACAAAAAAAAACAGTGAACCGTGTAAGAACCTTTCAATTCCTATGCAGAGATCAGAGCTGACTGTCACTTCATTCACAATACAAAGTCAAACTGGTTCCTCCGCCATTGTTTCCTGAGAAATGAAAGGAGGTTATAGGGTAGAAGGCAACAGATGAATTCTGTGTATCTGAACTGTGTAAGCACAGCAAACAAATGCACCGTTGTTCTTTTTGCTGGACATGTCTTAGTAACAGGTGAAGCAACAACTGCATGCTTGTGGATTTCATGATCCTAGTAAATACAGTCATATTTATGCCTCTGCTATGAAAATGATCTCCCTTGTTCTCCTTGTACAATTTTAAGTGAATTTTAAGTTTTGCTAAGCACATCATTCCATTTATAAACCCATTTGATGCTTGTTGGTTGTCCCCTACTCAATTTAAAAACCCATTTGATGCTTGTTGGTTGTCCTCTACTCAATTTAATAGTGACTTAAACAAAGGGAATAGTTACACTGAGAAGATGGTATGGGATTTGATATTTTTTTCTTTTTTCAAACCTACTTCTTAATCTCTGTCTCTTGTCTTATCGTAAAAATGTGCTTACTTCTTATAAGCTTTAGTACAGTATGGAGAGTATATATCATTGAGGATGAAATCCTGTGTTAGCTGTTTTTAATGAAATTTTCTCTACAGAAGTATGTTATCCATCACACTTCTGTAGTCCTTAGTAAGGGTAGTGTCCAGTGTTAGGAAAGACTGTTTTTTGCGTTTTAAACAATATTGGAGAGCAAGTTTGTGATACAACAATGGAAGCAAAAAATTGTTCACTTGTGTTCAAGAGAAATATGGTGAAGTAGTTTATAAGTTTTCCTTTGCTTGATTTTCTCTTTGTGACAATGGTAGAGGACATTTTTTTGAAACATCATTAAGAATTTTTGAAGAGATTAATTCAATCAACTCATTACGTGGTGTTTTCTCTAACACACTTTGTGGTAGCTATTCAAAACATGAAGCTGATGGTGTCTTATGCATTCTTCTTTAGGCCTTCCAGAGACAGGTGCACGAAAGTCTGACTCAGCTGGAACTGATTAACAAACAGTATCGCCGACTGGCCCGAGAGAACCGCACTGATTCCGACTGCAGCCTCAAGCAGATGGTCCATGAGGGGAACCAGAGATGGGACAATTTACAAAAGCGAGTTACCTCCATCCTGCGAAGGCTAAAAGTATTTTTTCTGTTTTTAAGCTTTCACTACGGTCTGTATGAATCAATGGTGCTCTAGAAGCTTCCGGATTAATGCATTTGCAGAGTTTTTGAGGGGGTTTCTACCTTTGGAAGAAGAAGGGAACTTGTTCTTTGATTACTTCAAAGAGAACTGTAGTCTATAGGCATATGCTTGATGCCCTTGACTACCACCTCCTTCTTAGTATTTAACTTTCATATATCTGCTAATTGCAGATGAAGGTGGTATTACTGAAGTGCAAACCCTAGAAATCGTGTAGGAAAAAGGTGTATGGATTTTGGTTTAAGTTTGAAGGGCATGAAAATTGTTTCTCTGGAGAACTACTATTGTTGTTTTTTGTTGCTGTTATTATTTGTTGTTAAACAGCTTATTGCTGTTTTTTGGGGTCCTTTTAGTCATTTCACACCACTCCATTTCCCACTCCCCATTCTCAGCATTTTATTGGCCAACGTGAGGAGTTTGAGACAGCACGTGATAGCATCCTGGTATGGCTAACAGAGATGGACTTGCAGCTGACCAACATAGAGCATTTCTCAGAGTGTGATGTCCAAGCAAAGATAAAGCAACTTAAGGTAAAGAATAATGGAATGGAAAGAGGAGGAGGGAAGAGAAAATGAATATAAATATTCATAGAGGAAAAAAAATTATTAATAAACACTATGCCAAAGAACAGTGTAATATAGCTTGATTCTTACAGGTTGACTTCATAAGTTTTGGTTTATGTCAGGTTTCAATGCAGACTTTTCTGCCAGAGTAAAAGATCTTTCAGCAGTGAAAAATTATCAGAAAAACAAGGGTGATAGTTCTCTAATTGTCAATAAAAATAATGGCAGGTCTCCACTATTGCTGACACTTAATAATTACTACATTTTTCAACCATTTCTGCATCAAAAAACATGCGTTATTTGATGAAAAAAAAAAAAAAAAAAAAAAAAGCAGGGCTCATACTATGTTATCCAAAATTCCATTATGATAGCTTTAGAAACTGTGTCCATTTTAGACATTTGGTCACAGGCATGACTTGTTTAGAGAAGAGCTTTCTGTCCAAACACAACAAGAGAGAAATGAGATGGTAAACCATGAAGCATCACTGTTTTTGACAAGAAAGACTGTGGAATGCTAAGTTTAATTTCTCATGCCAGAATATTTAGAATCATTTCTGTTTTTTACCCACACCGTTCTCACTGGAGAAAAAACAAAACAAACAAACGAACAAACAAACAAACAAAAACCTTCTAAGACTTGCATCCATGATAGTTCAGGTTGTCTTAATGTAGATTTCATTGATAAAGTATGGATTTTTCTTTTATAAAGGCTTTCCAACAGGAAATTTCACTGAACAACAACAAAATTCACCAGATAATTGTTCAGGGTGAGCAACTCATTGAGAAAAGTGAACCGATGGATGCAGCTGTCATTGAAGAAGAACTAGATGAGTTACGTCGTTACTGTCAAGAGGTCTTTGGACGTGTGGAACGCTATCACAAGAAACTGATCCATCTTCCTGTGTGTATACTTACATATGTATTTGCTTTACTGCCATTCTGAAATGTGAGAACAAGAAGAGAGAAACATGTTGAAGCAAACTAACATTGAAATTTCCCCAAAATCCTGTGGTTTTAATCTTGTTACAATTCTAACCAACTGCCTCTCTTCATTGGATGCTATTTTTGTCCTGTTTAGAAAGCAAAGTTAATAGGTCTGGATTTTTTGAAAATCATTGAGAAAATTTGTGCAAATTGGAAATTTATAAAGCTTTACTAATATATAATACTAATATATAATTTCATTGGTAGCTCATTAAGTTCACTTTTATTAAAAAAAAAAAAAAAAAAAAAAAGATAAAGAGATTTTCTCCATGCAGTATGGACAGAAATTTGTCTCCAGAACTGAATAAACAGCTGAAAAAGTGAGAGCAAAATTCCCTTTGATAACTCTAATCCAACTGAAGAAAAAGAACAAAACCTGGGTTTCCCCACATATGAAAGAACATAATGAGAACACCAGTCATGTCAAAGGTCACCTACACTTCCTATTTGATTTGATTCCAAAGTTTTCTTTAACTTGATGTCTGCACTACAGAGGCATCAGTAAAACGTCTGGAGACATTTTCTGATGTGAGACTATGTGGTGCCACACGTAATTAAAATGAGCAGGCATGCTGAATTTCCTTGTTCTATTTTTTCATGTCCCTAAAAATAATGTGGGAGGAGTGAAAAAGGATGCAAATGGAAACACCATCATTTGACCATTACCTAATACTACTTTATATTTATGCTTTATATTTACATTACCCAGGCTGATTACGCAGTGAGTGTTTCTGTGTGTTGCATTGATTGTTTCTGTTTGCACTGTTCTTCTAGCTGACAGATGATGAACATGACCTGTCTGACAGAGAGGTGGATCTGGATGAATCAGCAGATCTCTCTGATATACACTGGCATGACAAATCTGCAGACAGTGTTCTCTCCCCACATCCCTCTTCCAACATCTCACTGCCTCTTGCACAGCCAGTGAGAAGTGAGCGATCAGGGCGGGATACCCCTGCAAGTGTGGACTCTATCCCTCTGGAGTGGGATCATGATTATGACCTAAGCAGAGACCTGGAGACAGCTGTTTCACGGGCACTGCACTCTGAGGAGGAAGATGGAGAACAAGAGAAGGATTTCTATCTGAGAGGAGCAACTAGTATAGCAGGTATGGTGGCAAATTATGTGTCCCCTCTCAGTAAAAAGGAGAGGATATTACTTTGTGTCACTGCTTGGCCAACATGCTCATAGAAAAGTATTTTAAATTGCCCCTGAAAATCTTAAATAGCTTTCGCTAAGTAATCCCAGTGGCCTTCTGGCCTTAGACACAGTGCTGGGAATTCCTGAATGACTACAGCCTTGGAAAATTGCAAAGGTTTATGTGAGATGACAGAGAATTGGCTCTGTCTCTGTGCCTGAAGCCTGCCAGATGAGATATGTCATCTGTAACAGCAATGCATCATAACTTATTCTGACTAGAAGAAGCTATATTGAATATGGCAAGAGGTGCAGAAATAACTGATGAAGAAATGCTGAGGAAGAGGTCCACAACTTAAACTGTGAGATTCTTAAGTAAATCTTAACTTGGTCCATATCCAGGCAAGACTCCAACAAATGGGTTGTGAGGTGAGGTGAAATCTCAGTTCTTGCTCTCCCGCAAAGCTGGAAATCCCTTCTATGTGTGTATAGTTTGTATAATAAATATAAATGAATGAAAGTTAGCAAATGCAGCCAGTTGTGAGGGAAAACTTAATGTTATATTGCACTCTGATCTTGTGGCTCTTTTGCTTTCCAGGTCATTGCTCTGAAAAAGGGTTAGGTTTCCCAGGATATTGAGACTCTAGCAGGCTCCGTGCATTTGTCTTCATCGTTTTTCCTTCTCCAGAAAGGATGTGTGCTATCGGAATTTATATACTTCATTTCATGAAAAAGACGCCTGCTATGAGGATATGGCCATTACTGAGCTGTCAATTTAGACTGTGCTTTTATTTTTTCAGATGTAGAGATCCCTGAAACTCTTGAGGCCTATGTAACACTTACAGAAAACGCACTCAAAAATATTTCTGGTAGGCATCAAAAAACACTAAGCAGAGCCAGGTGCAAATACTACAGTGCACTCTCTCTCTTCTTATTGCATCTTTTATACTTTTCACAACTGGCAACATAAATATTTCTTACGTGGAAGCACTGGCATTTTAATGTAGAACTATCCTGCTTTACTGCTGTGATTAAAGGTATTATTGGGTGCATGGACAAAACAATGATATGTAAACTATTTGCCCTTTCATGCTGGCTAACAAGATAAAGCAGCTCAGTAATTTACCCATGTTGGTATTTATTCTCTGAAGACTTTCAACGGAAGTCAGTACTTTATGTCTCTGAGAGAAGAGTGATATCTCCAAAGTTTAAAGAAGAAAAAAAAATATGAAGTTATGAAATGAAACCTAATTGTTTAGTTTTTCCCATTTTTACTTTTTTATATACAACCACTGTTTGAATTACTACTTATGTATAAAGTTTTAGGCTAGTGATTACAATGGTGAGGTGATGTACTGTCCTCCACTGTCTTTATCATAGTCTTTCATATTGGAAGACAGATTTTATTTTGATTGGCATTTTTTGCACAAGATTAAACCTACTATTTCACTTGGTGACTCTCACACAGATTAGATGCATTTACAAACACTTTCTTTTATGATTCCACATACTGCAAATTTGGAATGTCAAACATTTTTAAATCTCACTGTCTTTGCTACAGACCTCAGGTTCACTGTGTTTAAATTTTTTTCCCCAGATAGTGAAATAATACTGTTATTGATTAACAGTATAGATACAAAAATGTGTTTAGTTTATGACCTGTGAAAATTTTGAAACTAATGTGGGGAAGAATAATATTCAGCAGTTCATTCTATCTATATAGGTTGCTCCAAAAGTAATGTCTTCTGTATATTTCCTTAGAAACTGCAACTGATACAAAGAGCACGAGCACAGGACACTATTTGATAGAATAAATTTTCAGCTACAAAAAACTACTTTTCAGTATAATCACCACCTCTACCCAATTCACGTGGACGAGCTTATTAAGATGCTCTTCATTTCATGGTGTGAAAGCTCTGTTTGGCCATCCAAAACATGGTTTGTCTTTCACATCACTGTCATCTCTGGTGGAGGGCACCACCCACAACCTCACTGTGCTCACATCCAATGTTTGTTCTCCAACAATACTCAGCAAGTGCTGATGAATGACTTTGGGTGCATTTTTTTTCTACATGGAGGGACTCAATGACACCCCTTTGCTTCATCCATACTTCCATGTCAGACACCGTTTGACAGCCTGCCCTTCTGCTGCTGTCTGTCACATGGTGACAAAATAAACCAGAATATTGTCATGAGGGTTCATCCTCTACTGCCATACCACCAACATTTGCCGCTGATGTCATGGGCCAATGTAATAAAATGGGAGGCATTACTTTTGGAGCATGTGTTACATTTAGCCAAGTGATGTTTTGTATGAATAAGAGGTTTAACTATCTTATAGGCTCAGTTTTCTGTGAATATAGCTGGACAGAAGGCTTCTTTTCTCTATGCATGCTTTCAAACTTGTTTTCATAAACTAATTCAGACCGTCTTTGTAAACAAATGGAAATTAGTCACAATGATAGAATATGAATAAGAGGAACCTCACATGGTCCTCTAGGCTGCAGACTGCTTCAGTCAGAATTGGCTGTATCTGATTCATATCACAAAATTCACTTGATCTTTATATAGAAAATTCAAGTTAATCCTGTTTCAAAAACATTGGTACGTGTCTAAACAACCTGGTAGAATAGCTGTATTAAGCATTTTTATCAAAGCTTGGAGAAAAAAAAAAGTGCTGCTTAATGTGGTTGTTTTAATCATTCGAGGACTACTCACTGTGGCCATCCAAAAAATCCAGTCATCTCTGGATCTTGATAACACAATTAAAGCAATATTACTTTATCAGTTTTAGTCTTAGAAATTGTATATACTTTGCTTCCAGACTGATGAGGGACTCTCTGAGGGAAACTGTTCTTTCAGAATATTTTGCAAGCCTGCTTGAAAATGAACTCTTTCTTCATATGTTTATGGAAACCACATTCATTTGTTTGATGATCTGTCCTAGGAAGATTGCTAACCATGGCCTAATGGAACTAGTTATTCTTTTGCTTTGACGTTGTATTGCTCATGCAGTTGCAGTTGTGTTTCTCCTTTACCATCTAGTATTCCTGACATATACTCTGCTTGGGCAAAAAGTAGAGAAAAGTTCTAGACAACTTGGATGGCAATCACTCTTTTTTGTTGTTTGGTTTTTGGTACAGGAGAACCTGGTGCCCTAGAAGCACATATACGACAGCTGGACAAAGCTTTAGATACCAGTCGTTTCCAAATACAGCAAACAGAAAACATCATCCGCAGCAAAACACCTACAGGACCAGAGCTGGATGCCACTTACAAAGGATATGTGCGTGTGCTTGCATTTCATTACATGCTGACATTACTAAAAAAATTTCTGTTCTTAGTCACAGTGCAATATATTGAAGCACAAATCAAATAAGCACACCAAATTTAGATTTGCTGTTGAAAGAAATGTAGCTGTTTCAACATAGCAATTAGATATTGCTGCTTCTCAGACTTATGTTTACTAGTTGTGACCACATGCTTTGTTGTTTACATTATTAGAGTTTTACAGTAGTGTAAGTTTACAGGAACATGACTCCAGGGGATTTATTTTAATATGATGGATTTTTTATATGTCCTAAACTAATTTCTTACACATGTGATATAATCCATTTAATGTTGATATTATTTAAAATTCCTCCACTTTTAAAAGCGAGTTTCATAGTTTAGTGCCCAATATTCATCTTGATCCAAAATAATAAATATGCATCATGTTGCATATATGGAATCTATGATTGAAAAACTTTCTCAGAGAGGTTTTCTGGAAGAAAAATCTCTCTATAAATTATTCAGACCACATTTCTCCTGACAGAGTTGAAAGATTAGATGCTTGGACGCATAGTAATATTTCCATACAGATATTTATTTTCTTAATCATATTTTCTAATGTCTTAACATTTATAATTAATGTCACCTGCAGCCCTCCGGTATTATTTGGCACAGAGGCACTGAGTTGTTTCTAATTCATCTGAAAATATACACAAAGTCTTTATAATTTTCACACAGAACTCTTTGCTACTGCTAGGGCAAATTGTTAAATAGATTTTTCTCTTCACACCTTGACCTACTTGCTGGAAATTTTGAAAGCTGCATTGCAATTTTCATTTTTCCTGTGACTGATGGGATTGAGATGGGATTTTTTGTTTGTTTCTTAATACAGATGAAGCTACTAAGTGAATGCAGTGGAAGCATAGACTCAGTAAAAAGGCTTGGATATAAGCTGAAAGAAGAAGAGGAAAAATTATCTGGCCTTATTAATCTGAACAGTACTGAAACACAAACAGCTGGTAAGTGACATTTAGTTCTCTGATGGAAAGCAATTATGAGAAACAGCAAATATATGCAATGGTTTTTTTCTGAAGTAGAGCTTGGTATTACATAGCTATCTGTTATGTTCTGTTTAACATCTCTTAAAATGAAGTAGGGATAGTAAGTATTACTTTTATACATCTAGTGAAGACATTATGCCTGCAAGTGCATTTTAAGAACCCTTTCCTATAATGAGATGTAGCTATAGGCCTTTAGAAAAGTCCATGCAGATGCAGTGCGTTTTTATTGAATGTTCTCTTTTGAAAAATGATTTCTTATATTGCCCTACAAAACATGTAAGTCATAATTCGTTTCTTCTAGTATTACTTTCCACTTTTTATTGTATTAGCTGTCAACAATACAGAAATTTATTTTTATCTGGTAAAAATAATCATATAAAATTATGGATTTTTTACAGTGAAGGCTATGTCTCAGTTCTCAGTTTGGCATAATATGCTATTCATGCAGTCTATTTTAATAAATATTATTTTTAATCTTAAGTTGATGATATGATACAACTTATCCTTCTCTAAGACATAGCATTTCAAGTAGTAAGAATAAATAGACTTAATTTGTTAATTTTTTTAGCAGAGATAAGTATCCAGTACATCAACAGTAGCTTAAGCAAACATGATGATATGGGAATATTAAATTGTGAGAGTTACAAATACTAATGAAAATAGTATTTGGCTAGTTAGATATATTCAGAATGTAACTTGTTTGCAGTTATACTGATTTATTATATCTATATACTAGCATAACCTAGTGAGAGGTTGTGTCCCGTCCCTGCGTATTGCAGGGAATTTGGAACTAGATGATCTTAAAGGCCCTTCCCACCCAAAAACTATTCTATGATTTGTTCATTCTATGATCACCCATGACACTTGTATATATTTATTTAATTCTGTAAAGTCATTAATTGTTGATGTAAGAAAGTGGTAAAATTTCTTGCTGCCCAGTCACTCATCAAGACTACTTATTCTTTCCAACATAATTTAGTTTTCAGTGTGGTATTTGCTGGATTAGGGTTTTGGATGGTTTTTTTTCACTTTTGTTGAATTTGTTGTTCATCATTCCAGGTGTAATTGACCGATGGGAATTAATCCAGGCCCAAGCTCTAAGCAAGGAGCTAAGGATGAAGCAGAACCTTCAGCAATGGCAGCAGTTCAATTCTGACCTTAATAGCATTTGGGCTTGGTTAGGAGAAACAGAGGAAGAACTGGAGAAGCTCCGCTGCCTTGATCTCAGTACTGACATACAAACTATCGAGCTCAGGATTAGAAAATTGAAAGTGAGTTCTGTTTTTCTTTTCCATTATTTACTTCGTAAAGAGACCTGAATGCAACATGTATGTTAGTGAGGTTTCTGACAGTTGCAGCTGGAATGCTCTGTTTTTTACATAGCTGATGACTGAAATCAGTAATTTCAATGTGATTTTATGAATAACCTTTTGGCAGAAAATACTAATACCAGTGGTATTTAGTATTTAATCCAAATTAATTTTTGAAATAGTAATTCTGTGGCTATTCTCTAATTCCAGAATGCACGGATAATTGAAGCAGTTATCTAAGCTGATGAAAGGAAAATAAAGCCAAGTTAAATAAAATCTATTCAAGCTGGCAACAAAATAGCTATTTTCAAATAAATGCCTCTTTGGAACATATCTTGTGTGGAGGAAGGAGAGAGTGCCAAATGAGCTCTAGCCTAACTCACTGGTGTCATTCAGTACAGTTTAGGAAAAAAAATGGTCTCACATTGAAATACTCTTATTGCTTCTTCAATTTTCTCAGGTGCATCAGGATCTGAATATTGCCTTTATGATCTCTTCTGGCTATTTTGCAGCTATAAAGGTCTGCAAATGTGGTGCTCCACAGCTTCCCATTCAGTTATTAGCATCTCATAAGCTTGGGCACAAAAATGTTGGGCCAATGTCAAAATGCACTGTAACCTATGCTAGGAATGAGGTGGAAAGATAGTAAAGACTGTTTCCAATGATGATCCATTTAAAGCATATTAGTGTTGGTCTTCACTGCAGTCCAAATATAGTTCCCATAAGTACTACAGAGGTCACTGTGACATGGGGCTTTTAAGTAAATGCTGTAAACTAGGTGGAAAAGGGTACATTTCATAAGAATCCTGTCCTTATCTCACCCACTCTTGGAAAGCCCATTAGTGCCCTCCAAACCAAAAGAGGTGGGGTTTCTTTTGTGGCTTCCAATATAAACAAATCAGTTTTTATACATGTTCTGCTTCTATAAATTGGAGTAAGTTGTTTATACTCCTTGTATGTTTTCCTTTCCCTCAGTAAAAGCTTTTATTTTAAAACACTGCTGACAGCAGTTTCCACTTGAAAACATGTTGGGTTTTTTTGTTTATCAGCACAACTGAGAAGTGAGGGCAAAAGTTTTATTGTGAGCAGAAGTACAATTGTCTTACAACTCCTTCAATTTTCTTGGGCCCTCCCTGTCTAAAATATCTGAAGTATTTGCCAGATCTTCATAATTCAACTATGACTTCAGCCTTTTAAAAGTTTAATTGGCTTGTTCTAGTTTATGCTCACAGTAAAACTTTAATAGATCAACAGTGAACACTTTCAGAGTCACACAGTGAGCACAGAAATCTCATACACAGAGCAAAGGGGACTATTACAGTAAGATGCATTATGCAGTTGCAGAAGGCAAATGATTACATTCTTTTTGTACCTTCTCTGTTTGATTTTTCTGAAAGCTGCATGTTTTACTAATCTCTTTCTTCATTCTGTCCCCCTATTCCTTATCATTAAGGAGCTGCAGAAGGCAATTGATAACCGCAAAGCTATCATCTTATCCATCAACTTGTGCAGCTCAGAATTTACTCAATCTGACAGTGAAGAAAGTAAAAAACTCCAAGAGCGCCTGTCTCAGATGAACATCTGCTGGGATCACGTATGCAGTATGATCGAAGATTGGCGCTGCTCACTGCAAGATGCATTAATGCAGTGCCAGGTCTGTACTGTGTCTATTTAAATGGTCAGCATTTAACATGTCAAAGATGTAAACCATATAGTTACCTGATGTGCTTATTGTCCTGTCTGGAACTTGCCTGTGCAAGATAATACAACTTCATCAAAGAGATACATGTGCACTACATTGAAGCATATGTTTCCAGAGCAATATTTTCTAAGTTTGTCATCACTTGAATATTATTCTCATATACTATTCTGCGCTTTCTTGTAAGTTACAGAATTCAACCTAAGCAGGACCTATTACGGGATAAACTGAAAACAGAAATTTAACTGCTGTATCTCTGCTGCATGTCTGGTATAAACTCATCATTTACAGGATTTCCATGAAATGAGCCATGGTTTGCTGCTCTGGTTAGAGAATATTGACAGAAGAAAAAATGAGATTGTGCCCATCAATCCAAACCTGGATTCAGAAGTCCTACAGGATCATCACAGACTTCTAATGGTATGGCTATAATTATCCCTTTTTCTTCCAAAGCTCATCATCAGAAAAAAATGTATCTTTCTCATCAGAGTTAGCACTGTATATTGTGTGAGGACTCATAGCTATGGGAATGAGGTCAGCAACTAGCTTTGTCATTTCCTTCAATAGCAGAACTGGAGATTTAAAAACTCGAGCAGCCTCGCTGCTGTCTGTGTTGCTGTCATTTTGCTTTTAGTGTTTTGTTTCCCTTAGTGAGAATTTGATACAAACAACAAAAGTATTAAGCAGTCAAAGGATGAATCACAAGCTATTCTTCAAATTTTAAGTGAACAGTTACCTATTTTACCTAACAGTTACCTAGAGCTTCTCAGGCCTGGAAATGTTGATTCCTTCTTTTTTCTTTACATTTCTTTAATTTCAAGTGACTGGTTTTATGAATTCTTTGCTCTTTATTTTTTTCTTTCAAAAATAAATTCAATTTAAAAAATTTGCTGCTTGCCCTTGCAATAGCAAATCAGACGTGAACTGCTGGAATCTCAGTTGAAAGTGGCGTCACTGCAAGATATGTCCTGCCAATTGTTAGTCAATGCTGAAGGCAAGGACTGCCTTGAAGCCAAAGAAAAGGTGCATGTCATTGGAAACAGACTTAAGCTCCTCTTGAAAGAAGTCATACGTCACATAAAAGACCTAGAGAAAGCTCTAGACATTTCAAGTAGTCAGTTGGTGAGTGTCTCTTTATTCCTTGCTGCTTCTTGGGCACATTTCATGCTGCTTTAACTACATTTCTCTGATCAGTGCTGTTGGCCGTTTTTTTCTGTTGTTTGCATTACTTATCAAGAATGGTACACATTTAATCCTGAATATCACAAAGAAATTGTTATAATGTAAACATTCTTGCAATTTTTTAATCCAGCAGTTTTTTGCTATTTTGTATAGCAAGTTACCAGTTATCTTGGTTTTCTCATTCTGCCATTACTGACTCAGTGAATTGGCAAAGTATGTGAGATAATTATTCTAGCTGCAGTATTGAAAATTATAATGTCAGTTTTCACCTGAAAGGAAAATGTATTTCAATCTGAAGAAAAAAATAATAAGAGGCATAAAATAAATCCTGTAATTGGCTAACTGATCTCCCTCAGTGTTGAGCTGTACTGCAAATCTTCTCAAGTTATCTTGTAGTTCAAGGTATTTGGGGAGTTATGCATGCAAGTTCACCAACAGTGACAGGTGGCACAAAGTTAGGTTTTCAAGGCTCTCTATTCACTTTCAAACTCTACATTTTATTTAAAGCCTTAGATTAGAAGAGTTCATGAGGCATGAGAGTTTGGCTGTTTTCACTTCTAGTGAGTTCTTGTCTGTTGGAGTGAAATCATGATGGTTACTGCCTCTTCCAGTGATTAAAAGCCAATCAAAAAACCCTACTTTTTCCCTGTATTGCCCTTAGCAGAAAATGCTTCACCTAATACAATTAACTTCTAGCTATATGTTTGTTTCTCTTCAGGAGCAACAGAGACAACATGTAATTCCTGAATCTTGTAAAAATTGCTAACAAATATTAACTGTTTGGGGTGGGTTTGTTTTTGTTTTTGTTGTTGTTTGTTTGTTTTGTTTTGTTTTGGAAATAATGCGGTAAAGATTTCACTCTGGGGTTATTGGGTTTTTTGAGTTTGCTTACCTGAACAGGTGGTCTGATTCCATTCCTTCTGAATTTAGGATTTGTCCTCTTGGTCCTCTGCTGATGAACTAGACACATCAGGCTCAGTGAGTCCTGTATCTGGACAAAGTACACCAAGCAGACAGAGAACGGTAATTTTAAGTCATCAACTTTCTATCATCTGCTGGGTGGGAGTCTAGATGTCTACAGTAGCTCTAGCCAGCTGAAAGGCCCCCCATCTCACTTGACAGGAAAGGAAATGACATAAATTAAGAAAAAACACAGCTGCTTTCCCTGATCGTGCTACATATCCCATCCTGCATGAAATCAGAATTGGCAAATACTATCTAAAACCAGGGCTGTCAGTGTGGTTGGTTTACCATGGTATGGCATGTCATGTCTCTTGTATTTTGCTCTAGTGATGGCAGCATCCCGAAGTCCGGTCTTGTCTGGTATAATCAGTCCTCCATTTCTGTTTGGCCTTCTCTTCAGAGAGCTGCTTCATTGAGAACCTCAATAAGAATTTCTTATTGAGGCTTTTGATGAATGGTTAAATAGAGCTGAAGGGCATACAACTTTGTTCAAAACAGCTAGCTGAACAGGACCTAACCAATGGCTGTGATGGCAGCTCTGGAGTTGCCTGTTTACATCGCTGGCACAAAATTCAAGAAATGTAGCAAATACATGCCTAGTACTTAACACTTCCATACTCTAAGCCCAAAATGGAACTGCAATTATTTTGTCTTTTTCTGCAATTCTATTGGTTGATTACTTCACTTTTTTCTTTAGTTTATAAAAAGATCATAATTTTTTTTTCCATTTGCACTTTTTGTAAAGCCTCTGAGTTCTGTCTTGATAAACTGTATGGCTCTTGAATTACTGTTTGTTTGGTTTGGTTTTTTTTACATTCACTAGTTTCCTTTTAGATTCTAGTATGAGAATGTAAAGGAATACTGGCTTTTCAAACATAAGAAAAGAACATTAATCTTTAGACTTCGCTACAGAAATCAATTTTTCAACTTTTGAATTTGAACTTAATTAATAAAAACTCTGATATCACAGATGTAACTAGAGAATCCCTGATCATAACAGGAAATAGAAAAGTGTCTTACCATAAAATCTTTTTCTCAAGAGTATGTAGAATTATAATAGATCATCTGAACATTTTAATAAACATTTGTCTAATTTTTTAGTGTTCATGTACATGACTACATTTTTTTCATTTTTCTTCATAATGTATAGCTAGATTTTATGACTACTTGGGCTATATAACTAACTCAAAATTGTCTGCTTTTTAGGCTTCTGTTTTCTTTTCAAGTAGATTTTTGGAGGCTGCTGTGATGTTGTTTAGAATTTCTGTTCCAAATATGCTGATGCTAAATAAATAAATAAATACTAATACTAAATTTCCATCAGACTGATAGTCATCTAAATTCATTAAGTATTCCAGCAATTCTAGGTGTAGGAATGTGCCTACAGTTATTTGACTTTATGGGGAAGGTGATGGAAAAGAGGCCAGACACTAGAGGGAGGCCTTTCGACCATATTTTTATCCCTAAGAATTAGTAATATTAATTTTTTTGCAAATACATTTTGAGATGTCTATATTTCCCCATATTCCACTCAGTTTCAATTTCACATTCTAAATTCTTTCGGCTGAATTGCCACTGGTTTTTTATTTTTTATTTTTTTTATTTTTAATTCAGAGTTCCTGGCTCGAAAAGGAACGGCTAAAATTTTATTTGTTTCACTGTATATGTTCCAATCATTTTCAGACTCAGAAACAAAGAAAAGCCAGTTTCCTTGGTTCATGGGTATCAATCACTTCATTTGATTTGTTTTTGTTTCCTTTGCTGCACTTTTAATTTAGTTTCATCAGTAGCTTGTCTTTATTTGCCTGGACTGAACATTCTTCTTTCTTTACCCCCTGTTCATTGCAAACAGCCACGGGGCAAATGTAGTCTCTCACAGCCTGGACCCTCTGTCAGCAGTCCACATAGCAGGTACCTTATTCTCCTGGTTTCCGCACTCTGTTCTAGAACCGTAAGAGGATGATGGAAATTGGCTGTGATTCTCATCTGTCCACACTTAGTCTGAAAACTTCCCTTTTTTACTAGTTTGGCAAAAAGTGCTATCAATTATTCCATATTCTTTATGAATAGAAATACTGGCTAATTCTTGAAAATCTGCAGCTTTTGCTTCCTGGAAAGGACATGCAATAGACATTTGTTTTTCATGTGGTGAGTCTGTGTTCACACTCACAATATCTAATAATGATTTTGGCATAATTTAACAGAAATGCCAGTCAGTTCGTGGCAAACACTTTTCATCATCCTCTTTACCTCTAGATATTAAATTAAGGCAGGTAATAGGCCAGTGTTCTAGAAATCACAAAAACCCACAGATCTGGATGAGACATACTAACATCCGTTGGTTTTTTTTTGTTGTTGTTGTTGATTGTTTGTTTGTTTGTTTTTTGTTTTGTTTTGGTTTTTTTCCTGTTCTGAAATGTTTTGTCCAGTTTGTGGGTTTTCAGTACATAGCATTCAAAATTAAGTCATAATTCGAGGGGTTTTAAACTTGGGGTCACTTCCTCTCCCCGTCAGAAGACTGCAACTTAATGTGCTAATACTGCCATGACTCTTGCCTAGTGTTTGCATCCGTGTAGTGCTCAGGGAGCAGCACTGCCCTATCTCTCTCTGACCAGTAGAGAGCAGACATGCAGCTACAGCTTCTTGCTTTCCACCTTGTTTCCAGCAACCTGTCATCTCTGCAGCTAACGGTGCTTCTGCGTTCTTTGTTGTTGTCAGTGTGATATGTGTACTTTCGCTCTTTCACTGATCAAATCACTAGCCTGTAGAGCTACAAAATTTAAAAAAATAACTGTAGTAAATCAACAGGCATATATACACAGTATGTATTAAGTGGAACTCTCATGCTATTCCAGCATCTTAGGCATTGAAAAGGGAACCTAAAATAATCATAAAGTATGAGCAAGATACATTTGTACTTACAGTTATAAGTCCTAACGGTCATTTATTCTCCATATAAAAACATGCACTACATCTTAATTGCAACTCCCATTGAAGAGAAAGATTTGAGGTTGGAAGGAAAGCAACATGACATTTAATACAGAGATTGAGCAATAGCCAGGCAGCAAAAAATACTTTGAGGTTACTATTTTTTTCCGTAAGTAAAATAAGTGTTTTATTAATCAAAATATGAATTAAATAATAAGTAAAATACTTACATTTGGATGTTCTCATAGACATTTATTTTTAATAAATTGTTTGCTCTGTAAGTACGGCTAGCTACTGTGAGTGGTGTTGTAGTTGCAAAACTAACAGCACATAACAGCAGATAGAACAGATAAAGCATCTTTGACTGCTTCCACAGACATTAAGATTCTGTCTTGCTTTTAGGGATTTTTTATTTTTTTTTTTTTTTTTTTTGCCTTTGAAACATAATGAAACCACATAGAAAATAGGTGACATACATACATACCATCTTTCTGCCTGTAAGAGAAAGAGAATTTTTCCAGCTCCATCTGCTATGAAGCTTGGCATTCTGTTTCTTACAGGGAATGGGAAAAGGGAAGAGTGGGGCTTTACTCTGCAGCCATTAACAGCTAAGAGGAATGGAGAGTGTCTGTGGCAGATAAGCATGCTTGCGCTAGCAACACTGTACTCAAGAAACATACTGCGTTCATTCTTCCCCTCTCCTGTATGGTCCAACAGCCTATGCCAACCTGTTGAGAAGATTTCTTGCTGTAGGTGTGAGCAGCTGGCTCAGAGCACAGCTAGCAGTGCTTTGCTGCTTTGAGATCAGCCTTTATTCTAGCAGTGGCATTGGTGCGGCACCTTTCAGATCAAGTCTCTCCAGCACTGTTTATTAACACATCTTGTAGCAGTACAAAACAATGTTCAATTTGTCATTCAGACAAGCATGGAATACGAATGAGTCACTGCTGAATAGGAAGTTTAATCAAATGCGCAAGCCAGACAGGTTGTGGCTGATGTATAATGTGGTTTTAACTGATAAAGCAGTACAAGCTGTCACTGTGTTCTTTAATATTTTGACATGCCTCTGATCAGAGTATTTTGTGTTTGATCTTGCACTGGATCAGCAAACCCTGTTAGAGTTTAGTATACAGGAGAACTCAAGTCAGTTTTAAAATGTGTATCACATAGGTGGTTGTGAAAGGAAGTTCTTTAAGGGATCATGTTTTATGTATACCAAATGTGCTATCGCTTTGCCTTTCCATTATCACAGCAGAAAGAAAAAAAAAAAAAAGCCTACGTAGGATGATGCTAAGCAAGTTGTAAGTAACACTGTGGATTTAATCAAACACTCCTTTGAGAGGTATTAGTGTTGCTGCATTAAGTAGGAAAAGCAAATCCAAGAAGCAGCTCCTCTTCCTTCATCAGTATAATAGAGCTGTCGTAAATGCATACCTGGATCTGTGCCTGTGGATTTTTTGAGGTAATTAAAATGTTAAAAAGATTAAAATAATTGTTCAATTTGCTCAGGACTGTTTACATTGTCTCTCTTGAGCAGCTCTATTCATGTCTTGGCGCCACGGTGCCAACCTCCATTTCCTGCTCTGCCCAAGCCTTCCCAAATGACTAGTGGATGTTTAAAGCTCACTTGCTGTTCTTGGAGCAGACCAGGCCACAGAACTCTTCATGGCTTTGGCCACAAAACGGCAGTCATTGCCATGCAGTAGTTTAGATAGGAGGTTTTCACTTGGATTGTCATTGTTATTCTCCCTGCTCTTTCCTTTATTCTCACTTACTTTTTTGTTAAAATTCTTATTTAACTACCTATATGAGCACTTGTCTCTTCTAAGCCAGGGTGAGATTGGAGTCACATGATTGTGAGAGGTAGGCAGAGAAGTGAATTCGTAACTCAGCCAATCACAGTCGCTTTTAGAGAGTCTCAAGCCAACAAGAGGAATCATTGCATGCTCTCAAGGGCAGAACATCATACCACCTCATAACTTTAGTGAGCTCCATCTTAATAAAATCATCATCAGTGGAATTGGTTTCTTTTCACAGCTATTTTACATCATTGTCTTTTACCTATTTGTCAAACAACAGCTCTAAATTTCTTTCTTCACTACCATCAGTGTGAACTTCCAAATGTATAGCAGAAGGTTTTATTGCTACTTTGCATACTGTAATCTTAAATTCTTTGCTATACTTCTTCAGCCTATATCTGACCACTGAAGTCGTCGACCACTGAAGTCGTCACCCACTTTTCTTTGTGTAATAAGCCAATCCTATTTTGTATTCACAAAGACTTTCATCTTCTGTCATCCTAAAAATTAATTTTGCTGTTCTTACATTCTGTGCAGCACTCTTTTCATAAATGTATTAAATTCAGACTCATCTTTGATTAACTCCAGTAATAATATTCTACTATCCCAGTAGTGACCCTCAATATGACTGTTGTCTCCTTACCACTTCCCCATTAAACTCCATTTATTCTTATAATTTGCTTGAATGATAAATTCTTCTGTTATAATATTTCGGATGTTTTCTGCAGTCCAGATGGATTAGTTCAACCATATTTTTCTTCTCAGAATAAATAAATAATGATTTAAAAAAAAAATCAGTCATCTTTAAGTGAAGGTACTCATCTGAGATGAAATTAAAGTTCATTTTGCTCATCTGATCTATAGCCTGGTAAATTAGGTTCTCCTCTCTTGAAATGCTTCAGAAAGAGCTTCAATTTCTCTGACATTAGAAAAACTCCCACAGTAAGATTAACTATTGGTTGCAGTTCTGAGGTTAGTTAATGAGATTTCTTGGCAAGAAGAAGCTTACAGTTGACCAGACCTGCAGCTGTGCCTCCAACTTCGTTTAGTTGTCAGGAATTGTCCTTGGAGCAAGTTGCAGGTGGTCTTCCTTTCCTTGAGAAACAGCAGCCAGTATGACAAATGGTAGAGCAGTCAGATGAGAGACAGCAGAAGATAGATGCAAGAGAAGGAAATTACATTTTTCTCAAAAATAGTAAACAGTACTTCAGCTTTCCCTTCTCCGATTGCAGTAAATAGGATATTGGCCCCTTCTCTATAATGATCATTTTTTGTTAATAGTGTATGTATATTTTTAACCCTCTTTCCTTACCAAATCCATTAAACACTCTAAGCTGAACATTCAATTTTTCAGCTAATTATGTCCATTACAGACGAGTACCTGCAATAAACTGTGACAGTACAGCACTTGAACTTTTTAGAACTCACCTTCTGAAGATGTTTTCATGTTTCATTATTTGTTTGTTGAATTTTTTCCATCCAGTATTAGAAACTGTTGTTCAACATCCTACTCCACTGCAGAAGAAGTATTTTGAGATTCTTTGTCATAAAGTGTTAATTTTTGAAAGAAAATCTATAACCAGTTATGCAGTTCACACATACTTACACTCTTTCTTCCTGTTTGTAGTGATGGTGTTTGATTAGGGTTGGTTGATTGGTTTTGCTTTAAGTAAATCATAAAACAAACTGTTCTACTGCACCAATAGGAAAAGCCTAAAAAACAAAAAGATAGATGATTTTGATTCTGCTTTAACAGAAATGCCTCCTACTGCCCCAGAATAACTCAATCAATGGAGGATCAATGAAAATTCACACTTTACTCATTATGAAACAGCTGTTACCAGCTACAGAAATATAGCCTTTTTTATGCTTGGAAGGTAATTAAGCACTCCTTGTTCCCTTTGTTCCTGCCTCAGCCCATTGACTCTCTGTCTTGGCGTTCTTGGACAGTAAAGTTCTGATCTAATTGAACTTTAATATGGAATGCTCTGATGCTGTTAAATGTGCCATATCCTTTCAGTGTGTTCTTTTTAATATGTGATCTTGCATAATTCAATAAGCAGCTTTCCATCCAGGCAACAATAACGTGGATCCAAACAGTATGTGATTTTTTGTTTTGATCATCACTCCTTCCTGAGACATTTAAGTCAAGTTAATCATTTAACTTACTCAAGTTTTCTTTGTATCTGTTGATCATAACAAACTCTATGAAGTCTGTCTGGCTTTCTTGGAGTCAACATATTAGGATGATACATATGTATGAACAAGACATAAAAATAATCTCAAGCACAGAAAGAATTATTTCCTGATCATGTGTGAAGGGGGCCTGATATAGTTTTGAAGTTGATATTTGATCTTTGCATGCTTTTTCACATCAATTCAGATTCGATTTGAAAGGGGAAGGGGAAGGCAGGGAGATACCATGATGACCTATTTGCATGACTGAGGAGAATTTAACCTTGTCTAGCAGGCCTGATCTCCTATACCTTTAAGTTGAAACTAAGTACATACTTATGAGTATCTTTATCTCTTATACCCTAGTCATCTATAGGCCTTCTCAGGCTTCATAACCACAGTAGGTATACACACTTTCATAGTAACATGTCTATTGCAAAATTTGCAACAATGTTTGCGTGGAAGAATTCTTGAAACTAATGATGTAAAGGCTGTAAATTCTTCTATTTTTATCTAGCTAAAATACAATATTTTTCCATCATTCTAATGTTAACTTGCAGAAATTCTCTTTTCAGTACTTCACTTACCTCAAAATCTGTTATCCGTATGTTAGAGCTCTGGTAGTTTCAGTCAGAAGGGAAAATGTGAAATTTGTATCTTTGTCTTTTATTAAAAATATCTTATATTTTTATGCTTAAATTGAAGTGTCCCTTTGGGAATGTTTGGAAATGTCTTCTATTGACATATGATAGATGTATGCCACACACATCCATAAGACAAAAGGGGAAAATCACTCAGATGGTGAGGATATCTGGTCAGTTGAGCAAATAAATTTTAACAGCTGATTCAGTGCAAGATTCAAAATACAGTGTACTTTGTATAAAATGCCTGGAGACTGGTGTATTAATTAACTGAATATTGACATAAGGATCTTATTTCACTATACACTGAGGAATATAAGGAAATGAATTTAGAAACTTCTGACAACCAAATGCAGTTTCCATTTTAAAAGAGGAGGATTGTTTTTTAGGCAGTGTGTAGTGAACGTATGTGACAAGCATGTTTATTTTCTATATCTCAGTGCTCTAAGTGGAGAGTCTTCGCTATAACTGATAAAGGAGCACGTTATTCACCATTCTATAGTGAATATTTGATGTTTTCATATCCAGTCAAGACATATGAGATCTCTTAAGACCGTTGGGGAGTGTTCAGTGAAAAATAACTCTGCTGTTTTCAGTCAGTGTGTACAAATCCTAAACCAGCCTTCAGGGATAGCTGAGTACCCAGGGGCAACCTCTGCTGCAGCAATGTTTTACTCACCTGTCCATTTTCTTTTCTCAGGTCCATAAGAGGTGGCTCAGGTTCCTTCCCTTCTGAGGCTGGGCCAGCATGGCAGCACCCATCCTTCTTCCTTAGAGTCCTCAGAGCTGCTCTGCCACTACAGCTCCTTTTGCTGCTCCTGATCGGGCTGGCTTGCCTGGTTCCAATGACTGAGGAGGACTACAGCTGTACAATGGCCAACAACTTTGCCCGCTCTTTCCATCCCATGTTAAAATACATGAATGGTCCACCCCCGTTATAAAGTTGTGAGACAGCAGGTGATCTTGCTGGAGTAGTAGCCAGGAGGCAGTGTGGTTTTAAAAAGTGACAACATTCAGTATGGCAGCTTTACATACCTGCTGTTGCCACCACAGTGTCTGTATCGTTTTCTACTGGCACTCAGTAACACATCAGTCCATCAGTTCCAAACTGCAGAACGTATTACCTGAGTAGCATTGTTTCAGTATTTACATCCTGGGCACCAAGGAGGATGTGATGTGTGTGGGGGTTAAATGTCCTTCAGTCCATCATTCTGGATCTTTTAGCCACTTAATACCCAGGTCATTGCCCTGTACTATGCATAGCTGAGAACTGGATACTGTAGATCCTTTCCTGTGTGCTGCTCTATATGAGCCATTAGCCTATCTTCGTTAATTGCCCTCTCAGCATCTACAGTAAATAAAATAGCCAGTGCTAAAGAACTTTTAGAGCCTTTGTAAACATACAATTTTAAAGGATCTTATATGGCAGTGTATTATCCCCTGTGATATCTGTTTTGGGCATGGTGTTCTAACCTTTGCTTTGGATGTACAAGGTGTAAATCTGTTAAGCACTTTTTTAAGGTTTAAAAAATGGATGTAATAAATGAGATCATAAAAGGTTTTATGAAGAAAAATGTTGAATGCCGAGTTGAAAAACAAAGAACATATTTATGTATGTACAGTTTGCTAAGCCAAGTTTTGTTTGTATTGATTTCTTTGCATTTATTATAGATAACATAAAATATTTTGTCTACGTGCTTTTTAAGGACAACTGTGAGAGCCTCTAAGTTTAGAATATGTATGGTATAAAGAAAAATAGCTGCACTTCTAAAAATAATTAAAAAATGCTATAACAAATTAGCAGTATTGAGTATATGTTAGAATAAGGTCATCTGGATAATGTCTCAAGTGGTGATATACAAGGCAAAGTGCTATGTCTACTGTAGAATAATACTAGCTGAACAACAGCATTTAGAGGAGCCAAAATAAAGCTCCCTTTTTGGATAAGTGTAATATTTTCTTGGAAAGGATACCGTACGTCAACAAGGTATCTTCAGTGTCTGAGACATAGACTTGGATTGATACAAGTATATATTCTTCTGCAGTCTTAGTTTCTTTCATTGATATTCAGAAGTTATGCTGTCTATAATCACTATTTGAGTAGACAAAGATAAATAATACACTTTTAAAGTATAAAAATGAGCTGTTATTTGCTTAAGGATTCGTAAAATTAACCTTTCCTCTCTTTTTTGATATCATTCTCTATGGTAACATAACTTATCGGAATGGTAATCAATGCACCTACATTAATAACTTCATAGTTAGCTCACTTTACAACTGTTAGTCCAGGTCTCTGTATTCTTTGGACATTCCTTCATCAGACAGTGGTTTTGATGGCTGAGTTTTTGTTGGGTGGTTGCTGCTGCTTTTTTTTTTATTTATTTTTCTTTTCTTTTTTTTTTTAAAGGAAAGCATTATTTATACTGAAAAGGCTAATTTACTGAGAAGGTTGCCTCCAATTCATGTTTTCCAGTCTATTGTTTGTGATCTCATGGAAGGAGATGTTATCTAAAAGGTAGTTGTGATTATCAAACTACAGAAGTTGTGATTATCAAACTACAAACTACAGCATATTTATCTGCTGAAGGAAGCAGGAAAAAAATCACAAGTGAGACTTGTGTTTGTTTCTTATGATATTTAAAAACTGGAGAGGCAAGGAGGTTTGAAGGCAGGTGTTTAGGAGGAAGAGGAGAGTACAAGGATAAGATTTTTGTTTCAGTGATTTTGGTGCAATTAATAGAGTATACCAGAAAATAGAAAGGGTAACACCTGGCATGTTTAAATTGCAATCTGACATTTGATTTTTGCCAGCTACTTTGCCATTCTGTAGTCCCTGCTTTTTGAAATCTCTAATTATGTGCACGTATGATCCATTCAGAACTGATTTTTTTACATTTTGACACAGCATCCTCCTCCTCTACAGCTCTCTCTAATTCCAGGCAGCAAGATGATGCTGAAAGTGCTGCAAAGCCCTACACTTTATGGAGGAGCAGTGTGAACTGTTGCTTATTTTAGTTGGTGGTGTTGACCATTTTCCAGTGTGTACCTCCTTGGCTCACCCTTGCCCTGCAGCTCATATCTGAACTTGTAGAATGGATGAAAAAGGGTGCCCTGCTTAATGGAGGCTATAGGGGTGAGCAGAATTGGGGTGTTTTTTTTTGTTGTTGTTTTTTTGTTTACTTATTGTACTCAGCTTCATCCTGATTTTTTTTTATTTCTTATTGCATTTATTGTCCTTGGAGAATATTTTTGCGCTAAAGAATTTAGTATAAGAGAGAAAGAGTAATGTTGGTTCAGATTAACATATTTATATAAAATTCTTTCCATGCTAACTGCCGAAGGATATTTGAATCCTTTGGTCAGCTGTCACAGCTGTTTCTGCATTTTTTGCCATTATTAATTACATCACTTCTCCATGTTTCCTCCTTCAGCCTGTATTGCTGTTTCATCTACTTACATTTTGCTTGTCATTCATTTCTCTGTAGACTCCATTTATTTCCCTCTGTCCCTCCCTGAGTCCTATGTCATTCACCTTTTTGATTTCAGAAGAGAAAATCTCTACCATTTAAATTGGTTTGAGAAATAGGCTCCTCAAAAGGGAGTTTCCTACCCCCATGCTGATTCCATTATGACTTCATATGTGTCTTTTTCAGAACTGGATAATGATCCTCAAAACTGGCATGAAGCAGGCAAAAATGAAACAAATGCCCAGCTGTTTCTCAGGCTCCCATTAAATCACATTTCATCCAATGAATACCAGTGACTTGAAGACTGCAAAGCAAGGCAGGTGACATCAGCATATGTGTTGATAACTACATCATGTACTATGGGTAATGAGGCAAGTTTAGAGGAAAAACAGGACTCCCAGAATGTCTTCAATTATTACAGCATGTGGCATTAGCCAACTTTGCAGCCTAGGAGTCAATCCAGCTGAGGTGAGGTTGCTTTTTCTGCCTATCTTTATTTCATAGAATCACAGAATCACACAGAATAGCCAGGGTTGAAAGAGACCTCAAGGATCATGAATCTCCAACCCTTCTGCCACATGCAGGGCCACCAACCTTTTCATTTTACACTACACCAGGCTGCCCAGGGCCCCATCCAATCTGGCCTTGAACACCTCTAGGGACGAGGCATCCACAACCTCTCTGGGCAGCTGTTCCAGCACCTCACCACTCTCATAGTAAAGAACTTCCCCCTGACATCCAACCTAAATCTTCCCTCCCTCAACTTCAAACCATTTCTCCTTGTTTTCCAATTATCTACCCTTGTAAAGAGTTGATTCCCCTCCTGTTTGTAGGCTCCCTTTAGGTACTAAAAGGCTGCAATGAGGTCACCCTGCAGCCTTCTTTTCTCCAGGCTGAACAAGCCCAGCTCCCTCAGCCTGTCTTCTTAGGGGAGGTGCTCCAGACCCCTGATCATCTTTATGGCTCTCCTCTGGACCCTCTCCAACAGCTCTCTGTCTTTCTTGTACTGGGGGCTCCAGACCTGGATACAGTATTCCAGATGGGGCCTCACAAGAGCAGAGTAGAGGGGAACAATCACCTCCCTGTGCCTGCTGGCTACTCCTCTTCTGATGGAGCCCAGGATACCATTTGCTTTCTGAGCTGCAAGGGCACGCTGCTGGCTCATGTTCAGTTTTTCATCTACCAAGACCCCAGGCCCTTCTCTGCAGGACTGTTCTCAAGGACCGCTCCTTCCAGTCTGTATGGATGCTTGGGATTCTCCCAGCCTGAGTGTAAAACCTTGCACTTTGCTCAAGCATGACTTGCCCTTGATGTAGCCATGTTGTTTATCATCAATAACCCTATCTTTATTTTGCATGTGCCTTTGGGAGGATCTGCTCCATAATCTTGCCAGGCACAGAGGAGGGACTGACTGGCCTGTAGTTATCTGGATCTTCTTTTTTCTCCTTCTTGAAAATGGGGTTATGTTTCCCCTTTTCCAATTAGTAGGAAGTTCACCAGACTGCCATGACCTTTCAAATATGATGGATTATGGCTTGGCAACTTCATCTCAGTTCTCTCAGAACCTAATCTCATTGTGTACCAATGTAAATCTTATTGTAAATCTCATTGGGTGCCATGGATTTGTTCCCCTTCAGGTTCTTTAGATGGTCTCAAATCTGACCTTCACTTATAGCAGGCAGAGTATTTAAGCCTAGAGAAAATGAAATTGATGTAGACTGCATCTTGGCAAACAGCAGCTAAATTATCTTTTGTCCCATTTTCTATTCATAATTGTAGAATAGCTTAAGTTAGAGGAAATGTTAAAGATTATCCAGTTCTAATCCCCTGCAATGGGAAGGGCTGCTACCCACCAAATCAGGCTGCCCAGGGCCGCATCCAACCTGATCCTGAACACTGTCAGGTGTTTCACAGAATCACCCGGGTTGGAAGGGACCTCAAGGATCATGGAGTTCCAACCTCCCTGCCTAGCAGGGCCACCAAACATACACATTCAGATCAGGTTGCCCAGGACCCCATCCAACCTGGCCTTGAACACGTCCAAGGACGGGGCATCCACAACCTCCCTGGGCAGCCTGTTCCAGGGCCTAACCACTTTCCTTGTGAAGAACTTCCCCCTAACATCCAACCTAAATCTTTCCTCCTTCAACTTGGATCCATTTCCCCTAGTCCTGCTGTTATCAGCCCTTCTGAAGAGTTTACTCCCCTCCTGGGTGTAGGTTCCCTTCAGGTATTGATAGGCTGCAATGAGGTCACCCCGCAGCCTTCTCTTCTCCAGGCTGAACAAGCCCAACTCCCTCAGCCTGTCCTCATAGGGGAGGTGCTCCAGCCCCCTGATCATCTTAGTCGCCCTCCTCTGGACCCTTTCCAAGATCTCTATGTCTTTCTTGTACTGAGGGCTCCACACCTGGACACAGTACTCCAGATGGGGCCTCACAAGAGCCGAGTAGAGAGGGACAATCACCTCCCTCTCCCTGCTGACCACCCCTCTCCTGATGGAGCCCAGGATCCCATTTGCCTTTCGAGCTGCCAGAGCGCACTGCTGGCTCATGTTAAGTCCATCAGGACCCCGAGCTCCTTCTCTGCCGAGCTGCTCTCAAGGACCACTCCTCCCAGCCTGTACAGGTGCCTGGGGTTCTTCCGGCCCAAATGCAAAACGTTGCACTTTGCCGTGTTGAACCTCATTAGGTTCACCCGAGCCCAGCCCTCAAGCCTGTCGAGGCTTTCCTGGGGCAGCCTGTGCCTGTGCCTCATCAGTAAAGTATGAAAAGAATTTCTTCTTGACATCTTGACTCCCACAAATTTTCTTCATGAGAGAGGAGCTCCAGCCCTCTGATAATCTTTATGGCTCTCATCTGGACCCGCTGCAACATCTCCATATCTTTATTGTGTTGTGGGCCCAAGGCATAGACAAATGACTCAGGATGTGGCCTCATGAGCTGGCCAGTCCTCTGTTGTTGCAGCCCAGCATACAGGACGCCTTCAGGACTGCAAGATCATGCTGCTGGTTCATGTACAGGTTTTGTCCATCAGGTTCCCCGTGTCTTTCTCCATAGGGTTGCTGTCAGTGAGTTCTTCTCCCCGCCTGTGTTCTTATCTAGGATTGTCCTGACTCAAGTGTAACACCTTGTACATGCCTTGCTGAATCTCATTAGATTCTCATGTGCCCACATTTTGAGCCCTTTCACATCCCCCTGGATGGCATCCCCTCCTTCTAATGTATCAACTGCACCACTCAGCACCTCTCTACTATTGAATATGCAATGACTGCTTTTGAGGTGTAATCACTGTTGCAACTTGACGAATCTTGCAGTTGTGAACCCTGCATAC